TTTCAGCTTTTCCAACTTAAATCCTTACAGTTTGGTTTGAGGTTATGTTCTATTGTTTTGAACCAAACGATACATCGGACCGTTATCGAATAGGTACGGTCTATTGCAAACGATGGCTGGCAGTGCTCCCATTTCCCGGAACTAGTACTGAATTTCAGAACTTTTGAGATTTTCCTGAATTTTTCCCGGAACTTTTGAAATTCTCGAAATGTTCCGGATCTTTTGCATTTTCCGGAACCTTTGAAAAATCTGAAAAGAATCCCGAAAATTTTGACGGTCGTGGAGTGGGAGGAATTGGAACAAAAATTTCCGAATCCCGGAATTTTTGACGGACATGAAATGAGAGCACTGGTAGCTAGAGAGTAAGCGTCGGTAGAGGGCCCCCCCCCCCCAAAAAAAAAGAAAAAAAATTCCGATCGTATGCAGCCATCACGCCAGTTGCGAAAGCCAGACATTTTTCTTTGGGGGTCGAGGGGTCCAAAGTTATCTCATTTCTGAAGATCTGACTCCCTTGAGTCCCGTAAAGGGTGAAAAGGCCCTTAGCTACCTCCTCAAATTGTTCCTTGGCATGCGTATGGAAAAAAATTGTTTCTCGTCTGGAAATAGACTCAACATCGAAGAGGTGTGAAAGTGACATCTAATTTCACAGTCTGCCTTAGAAATTAGCGCTTTTTTGAGCTTCCCGCATCAAAATGTATACTGTGTCAATGTCAGAGGCGTAATTTCGATCAATACAGATGAGTCAACCCAAATTCACGACTCTACGCGAAAATCGAAATAGCCGCCGTCGTGTGTCGCAGTTTTTTAATCCAAAACAAACACTCGACAACCAACGTCATTCATCCGAAATCTTCACTTTCCTCCTTTTTAAGTTAAATTTTAAGAAAATAAATAATTTTATTAATTGTTTTCTTTTAAGGGTGTGTGTCACATGACCCAGTTGAAAAGTGAGAAGGTTAAGAACTATCTGCAACCCTTGCGCAAACTCCAGTCATTACCGAGGGCGTATCATTTGGACGTAATTCTACTAAACAGACCTATGTGAAGGTGAGAAATATGGGGTGTGCTCGTTAGTTCTTTGGCCGTAAGAGTGAATGAGAATAATAAAGCGTCAGTGACGTCAGTGCCAACGAACGAGGGTAAGCTCGAGGGCGCGGCAGCGGGGACATCGTCGTCGGGGCAATTTAACTCATGAGCCCTGTCTACAACGCTCTCTTGCCATGCCCGCGGCTCATGAGTTCCGCATTCAGTTGGCACATAGGTCTGTTTGATAGAATGTAAAATCCCGCTTTTCCAATTCTTCAAAAGGAATCACGCCCACTTTTACATTGCTTCTTATGCAGCTTTCTAGAGCACACCCCATATTTCTCACCTCCACATAGGTCTGTTTGGTAGAAATACGTCCATTTTTTATCGACTTGTTTTGAAAAAGTCATTTCGACCTTGCGAGAGTCGACTCCTGATAACTGCGGAATTAATGCTGAATCACCCCATATTGAAGTGGAACCGCCGCACAGTGGATCGAGTCAGTGGGAGAAGTCGGACATGACATTTTTAATTAAAGTTCCAAAGGACTCCGCGCACCTTTTGGGAATGTGCTTCACGATTTCTAATTTTTTTATTGCATTAAATTCGTTTTTGGATGCTGATCAACCGTCATCATTGCGCCAACTTTCTACGAGGCACCGTTTTCGTAGTATCTCGCACAATCCGCGCTGAAAGTTTCGATAATTCGTCGCTTGGCTGACATAAGGGCGTAACTACACATTGAGATGAGCCCGGAAAAACATTGAATTGTATGGAAGACAGGGTTCATTGCAGAGTGTACTTACGCCCTTATTTCAGGGAGGCGACGAATGAGTGAGGCCAGCACGGCGAATTAGCAAGGAAAATCAAGCCGGTGATTGGTAAGAAAAAGAGTGGGAGAGGGTAAGAATCTGATTTGGACGGTGAAACAAAAAGGCGTACGAAATCCGAGATAAGACTGCCAGATTCTCCTCGTTCTTAGCAAGTGCTGAGAGATAGATATCGCCTCGCTGGCCTCATTTATTCAAGTAACAATCGAAACTTCCACCACGGACTGTGCGAAATACTGCAAAAACGATGCATCGTAGAAAGTTGGCACAACGATGACTTTTGATCAGCATCCAAAAACGAATTTAATGCAATAAAAAAATTGGAAATAGATTGTGGTGCACACCTTCTTTAGAGAGGTCCTTTTGATGCTCCATTCGTCAAATTTTAAAGTTTCAGGGGTGCCTTGCAATGAAAATTTCACGAAGATACCAATGGGCTCACTTTTAAGACCTAAATGTTTGGTAGGAACGAAGTTATAAGCTTTTAAAGTTTCCAAATTTTGTCCGACTTCCCCCATTGACTCGATCCACTGTGCGTCGTTTTATTAATCCCCTCGTCGAGAGTGACAACGGGAAATCGGTCGCCCACAAGTCAGGGCGTTCGTCAGCGCGTTTTACTGCGCGGGGTGCGTTTCCGTCAACACGCGAAAACAAACGGAACGCAGCGATCACCGGGACATTTGCATGCGCTTTTGGCGCGTTCTGTCTTGTCCCGTTTCCCGACGAATGCGTCAGAGGGCGCTCCTGGCGCAGCTCCGTCGTGCCTAGCAAAAAAAGGCACATCTCCAGTGGAATCCCTATGCACATGTGCTCTTTTTGCTAAGCATGGCAGAGCAGTCAAAAAATAATCGGGTACCGCGTCGGGATGAGACGACGACGGTGACGGAGATCACAGAGACGGACCAACCTTGAGCGAGGTCTTTTGTGTGTCCACGCAATAGCGTCTCTTTCTTTGCGTCTTTTGTGATCGCGATTACCTAATCATCGTCTTGACGCCGGCGTCGGACGTACCGGGAAATGAGCAATTTTGCAGATCCACGGGAAAGCTAGAGTCAAAGCTCAAAGAGAGACCCCCCGGGTAGCCTCTCGGCGACCAATTAAAGGGCGACGAAGAAAAACGGAGGACTCATTGAATGAAACTTCCCGCTCTAACAGTGCTTGGTCAATCATTTTCTTAAGACTTTATTTTTGAACTTACTGCTCTTTTCAGTAACACGGCAGTTTTACTATTTTCAGGTTTTTTTTTTTTTTTTATGTATCGATTGCTATGTCTTTATCAATTTTAATAATCAATCCGTATAATAAACGCTTGAATGTGGCAATACTATCTAGCTGGATAGGTAGCCTCGATTCCTTGCCTCTCGAACGCCCGGAGACTTAAACGCAGCGTAGAAAAGTAAACTATTTCCTAACCCGTGACTGCGTGACAACTTGCACCGGGCTGTTTATTGAAATTGATAGAATAAGCGATAAACAATAATAAGACAGGGAAAATATGGGCGATCCTATTGTTGGTAAGGGGGGTTGCAATGGACACAAGAGTAGACTAACTTTTGGCATCCCACGAAAGAACCTACATTTGAACCGCGTTCAGCAGAAAGGAACCAAGCTACATCAGCTATTGCCAAATTCAACCGGGCAATTTAATATTTTACAAGAGAATATCTGTGCAGATTCCTTTGAAACTTTTAAGGAATTTGCCTTTTACTATGTAAAACTCACTGAAATTTTCACAGAAATTCGCACAACCGTTTTCATGTAAGAAAGTAAATTGCCCAATTGAAGTTGCATGGGAATAGCTGATGTGGCTTTGGTTCCTTTCTGCTCAACGCGGTCCATTTAGTCAATCATTTCCCTCCTTAGTCTATAAGAATCACCCGTTTCGACCAATTGGATCGCTCATTTTCCCTTTGTCTATAGCTTGATAAACAGCCCGCAGCATAGGTTCCTTTGCTCGTAAAAGGCGGCATTTGCAGAAACGGAAGCTCAAGGTCTCAGCCGCTTACTCACGCTTCGACAGGAAACATAAAAGTGGAGGAATCCGAACTCATCGTGAGAGCTTTCTGCTGGCGCACAGTGGACGCCAATGGGAGAGGTCGGACAAAATTTGGAAACTTTAAAAGCTTATAACTCCGTTCATACATGCCTTTGAGGTTTTAGAAGTGGCTCTATTGGATTTCTCGTGAGATTTTCTTTTAGGAGCACCTTTTAAATTCAACATGTAACGAAATTAACATAGAAATTTGCAGTTTTTGCCAAATATTCCTTGTCCGACCTCTCTGATTGGTTCGATCCACCGTGCGGCGTCGATGGCGGCTTGAATGGAGGAGCGTGTTGCCGTGCTAAGGAAGAACGCCGTATGAACATTCGAGAGTTGCCAAATTTCTCTTGATAAAACATGTATTTTTGACAACATTCATGCATATTTTTCCTTGGAATTTTCAGATATTTTAGATTAAATTACGTACAAAATTGTCTGCAATTTTTGGAAAATCATATTCGCAATTTTCCCAGTAAATTCGGTTTTTATCGGAGGGAAATTGGCAACGTCTGAAGGCCCATACGGTGTTCTTCCTTAACACGGGAGCGTGAGTATGGAATTCGCTCCCGTTTCGTCGGTCGTCGCCGATGTCTCGAAGCACCAAGTTGGGGTTGGATCCCAGTCGCGAGTGAATTTTTTTCGGAAATGAAAGTGACCGGATCACTTTCCTTCTTCAGACGCTCTTCACCTTCGAGGAGGCGTTTCTTCCGAGAAGCGTACGCGGAATAGCATTCGTTTCGAGGTGGAAGCGGATCTCCCGCGCGGAATGTAAATATATCGATCGTGTGATGATATTAATTGAACTCGGAACATAACAGCACTTTTACTGAAAAATGGTCAAACAATTTTGGTAACTCATGAAAATTGTTTTTGATTTGAAGAAAATATTTTTGGGTTGGATATCTATATTCATCATTTTTTTTATCTTTAAGTAGATGCTTTTTTTTTTAAAAAAAAAAATCATTTATTTCCGAGTTGACGCTGAAAGCTTGCCTGAACGCTTTTGTAGTACATTATTGACTCTCTATCAGCCTGAGATATACTCGTATGTTATTCTAATTATTTTCTTGATTTTTATTGGTTTTATTGACTTTTTGTTACAGATTAAGCTCGAGAAAGTCCTTGGGTTAACCGTCTCCAGCAATGCTGCTCTCGACTGTGATCCCAACACGGGACATATCGTCTACCCAGCTGGGTAAGCTTCAACCCATTCATTCTTACCAATTTTTGGTTTTAATTGAACTGTTCCTTAAATACAGGTGAATTCTGGAAAAGGCAGAAATTTGTATCCAACGCTTTAAGTCTGATAAAACTCGCTTGAAGAATATCTCGAAAATTCTCTGTTCTCACTTGATCTTGTGTAGATATCTAGGATAATTAATGCCTAGTGACATGTTACCTTTCCAAAGAAGGATCCTTGTATTCGCACAAAATTCCGATCGATTTTCCTTCATTCTTTCAAAACTTTTTCTTCCAAATTTTCAAAATTTTACTCAAAGAAGTCAAACGGTGTTCTGTTGAAAAAATGTATAGTTCATAATGTAATTTTACTTCTGTAAAAAGTCACACGCGATGTATGCATTGTATTTCCAGTTATGAGATGTATTGTATAATAATATTGAAATTGAAATGAAATCGAGATTGAAATGGTTTTATTTATACAGGAGCCTTTTTAAGGCTAGGTACACGTCATATATTTACATTGTAAGAAATAGAATATTTATATTGTGTATAACTTGGAGAAAAGTGTATAAATAAAGTATGATCATGTGACAAAAGTTGTTTCATTTTCTGGTATTTTAGGGTACATTGATAGGTCGTTCGGTAAATTCTTTAATTGTGTATCTAGAAAAGCATAAAAATGTCTCTTTGAGAGCAAAACTAAATTTTTTCGATCCCTCATTCTTTAGTAGTAACCTTAGGGGTTCCGAACTGTAACTTGACCTGTGCCATAGTCAAATTGTTTTGACTGATTATGTACTAAAGTGAGAAAATGAGAATAAAAATTGAAATAAAATACAGCACATGTTGACATTTGCAAAGACCGCAATCGAAACCCTCGTCGGATAGTTTTACCATCAATTTTGCAGTCCTAAATTATTGCAGAAGAGTCTTCTTTTCGCAATGTACATATCGACGGTGTAAGTCGGCAATCAAATAACTCGGTTTGCGTCATCGCAGACTTCCTATCATACTTTATTTTTTAAACGGAAAACTACTCAACGGCAATTCTTTAAAACTGCCTTGATTTTTCTTCTCTGTGCGAAGAAAATTCTGCAAAAACCTCAAGGGATGATGTCAATTTGTTCTCCTTTAAAAAAATAACTTAGAGACGGATATTTTCAGACATCGCAAACGAGTTATGTGATTGCCGACTTACACCGTCGATATGCCTCGTTTGCCGAATGCCCCGCATTAATATGATCTTGTCCGGGGTCCTTTCAGATGTACGGTGGTCATCTTCAATCAGTTCCGGGGGAAGCAGCACCACCTGTTGAACGCGCAGCGGAAGACGGTGACATGCGTGGACTACTCCTCGGACGGGAAGTTCCTCGTCACCGGGGAGTGCGGCCACCAGCCCTGCGTCCGCGTCTGGGACCTCGCCGACAACACCCAGCTCGCCGAGTTCGCCGGCCACAAATACGGCATCAACTGCGTGGTAAGTCCCCCATTCGATACGATAGTTCATGCGCCCGAGTCGAACGAGGTGCATAACCACTGAAATGAAGGGGCGCTAAGTCCCTCGCCTTGCTTCGACCCGTTCAGATAAAAAAAGGATAGGAATTGTGCAGCGGTTTACCTCTGCACCTCTACCTCTCAACTTCAAAAAGTTTTTCCAAACTTTTTAAGAAAAAGAACATTGAAAGCAGTTCAGAAGCCAATGTGATACAAGTAGACTTCGGTTTTCTTACAAGCGGAGTGTTTGAATAGACTAACACACAAATCTCTGATTTCTCATTTATGAGTTGAATTTAGAATTCTCTGGTGTGTCGACTGTGTTCTCTTTGAAATTTTGACCAGAAATCATAAATTTTGTGGTTTAAAATTTTTTATCCGATTTAATAGTCAATCGTTGGCATTGATACTGGTAAAACCATGCATCAGTCTTACGATTGAATTTGATTTACGTGACCATCAGTGATCTCAATTAATCATTCTGGTTTTCAGGCATTCTCTCCCAACCAAAAATTTGTAGTCTCCGTCGGATCGCAGCATGATATGATAGTCAATGTCTGGGAATGGAGATCCAATTTGAAAGCAGCGTCAAACAAAGTGTCATCGAAAGTCAAAGCCATCGCTTTCGCGGAGAACGGCAGTTATTTTGTAACCGTCGGAAATCGCCATGTCAAATTCTGGTACCTCCAGTCTCCTAGATCTAATATGGTAAGTGCTTTCAGGGCTGTAATACCATTCCCAAGTCCAGAAACACGTTCATTTTTTAATTTTTTCATGGCCAGTTTCTGCCACTCGTGTAGGTAGCAGAATAATAAATCTGTAAATATGTGCAAAATGTGCCATGAATTGGTGACTAATAATCAAAAATCGTAAAGCTCAGCAAGAAGGAGTCGTAATAGCAATATTGTAACGATGAATTCAAATGAAATAGCTTTTCGATATTCAAAAACTGTACCATCAAAAGAAGTTGATCTAATAGTCGAAAATGGCCATTGCAGATTTGTGTTTCACGTGTAGAAAAATATTGAAGTTAAATTGTATATCACAGTTATAAATCGACTAATGTATGTATACTTAGTGTGTGCTTGACTATCGTCTGTATATTGTCCATAAATAGCCAAATTATCACCAGTAATCATGACTTTCCACTACATGAGTAAGTCAGGAAGTTCAGTCTGATAGGAAAAAACTTTGGAAAATTCGGAAAATCAGATGAAAATTCGTGATTCACAATTTTATCCACCCAATAAATGTTGTGATCTCCATTGATATCCAATTTCAATTCTTGTGCAGCTAATTTTTCTAGGAAAATAGTCACAAGAATGTCAGGAATTCCAGTGTGGAATTTGTAAAATAATGGATAAATTAGAAAAACATAGGTAAGGATTTTTAGAGAGATGAAGGAGAAAAAAAAGTACGTGCCTTTAAGTAACAATAAAATTTTATTCATGCACCAAGGTAATTGCTTTATATAAAAAACAAGTAGAAAGGACAGTGTTTTGTGAAACACTTACTTCCAAGGGATGCCAGAAAAACAGGTGAACAGGATGTGAATAGAAGATAAAAGCAATGAACTTGCTTAAAATCTCATAAATGAAGTTGTAAAGGACACCTACTTGCAACTTGCAACTATAATTTACATATGCAATGTTTTGAAAATGTGAGTTATTGGCATTCGTTCAAATAGTCCGCATTTTGCTAGAGCAACTGGAGAACTCCTTCAGTTAGCAATGTAGGCCACAAAACATCCACGATGACTATCAAAATTGTATACGCCTGGGATTGAAGATATTCAGCAGAGACGTCTAAAGTGACACATTTCGCATTTCGCATTGACTATGAGGCAGTTGATAGTCAATCCCAGCAATCACATAATATGCTACTTTCAGTCGTTACGACTTTAATAATGACAATCTGAACTGCTTAACGGTTTAGTAATGCCAATCGTAAGTTTAAGCACACACCAATAAAAACCTTCAAATTTGTATTTGCCATCTCGAAGATTTTCAAAAATTTTCCTGTAAAAGCCTTAGAAAAATTAAATAAAAGCTGGAGCCCAAAATATTAATGAAGAACTAGGTTTTCTCAACTAGTGTTTTCTGTCTAGATGTTTGGTTCAGTCAATTGAAATAACTTCAAGCTAAATTTAATTATCCTACATGAATTATTTTTTAAACGATAAAAAATTGTTTCAGTATAAAGAACCAGTGCCATTAATGGGGAGGTCAGCGATATTGGGTGAACAGAGGAATAACGATTTCGTGGATGTTGTCTGTGGTCAAGGAACTATGGGCGACTCAACGTATGTCATCACTCGCTCTGGGCTGCTTTGCGAGTTCAACAACAGGAGGCTTCTCTATCGATGGGTCGAACTTCGGGTAAGCTCTCTGGTAGTATAAGTCGATTCTCTGTGCCTATCATTGAATTTCAGATGCTCTCTGATCAAAAAATCTGTTAACCATTACTTTTCTAAATAAAGATTTTGAGATTAATGTGAAGTATAAACATAAATGTTGTTTGCTCTCGTGAGTTTCAAATACTCTTGATATTTTTTGTCAATAATCACTTTGCCAAACCAAAAATCTACCGTTGCTGTCTGTTGTCATTAATTTTTCTTCCATTTAGTCAGTGAACGAGTGGCTATTTTTTATATTTCACAGCTCATATTTGTCAAATTTTGACATCTAACTCATCAAAATGTCATCCATTAATGGAAAAAGTGAGCATAGTCTGAGGAGGAAAATTTTGGAGAAGAGCAATTTTTTTGAGTTGGGTAAAAAAATACGGGTTTGGATTTTCGCTGGAGAACGCTCTTTAATACCACAAAAATTAAATTTTAAGATGTTTAGTTCATTTGAATGCCACAGGGGGTGTAGTCTTATCTTTATCTGACAATTTTTAGCTCTTAAAGTGGCCGATTCTTTGTTTTTTCTCGAATATGTACGTTGTTGAAACAGCAAACTTCAACCGTCTCACAAGCAATTTGGTTGGACACTTTTGGGTATTTTTTCTGAAGTGCTCATGAAACACTCCTCTTCTCTTTGATACTATTGATTCAGTTTTTATTTTTTGTGGACCAAGATTCCTTTTTCTCGTGGATAGTCACAATTTAATTTACTTTTTTTTTAATTTTTCGTCAGCATGAAGACTTCCTCTGCCTTTTTTTATAAAATTCATTTTAATCATCTTATAACTAAGAATTATTGAAATTTATGAGTTGTTATTAGATTTGTTCCATCAAAACATTCCATTTCAAAACGTCTCACTGAGGTCTTTCGTTCGAATCTACTTTAAAAAAGACAAGATTCCAAAGTTAACAATGAAATATTTAATTTTTTCCAGACACCCAGTGCAAATTGTATGGCAATTGGAGTCGATCACATTTTCATCGGCTGTGCGGAGGGAATCATCAGGTGTTTTCATCCTGTCTCCCTACAGTTCATCACAACATTGCCGAGAACACACTATTTAGGGGTAGACATTGCTCAAGGACTCAATATTAGGTATGTCGGCCATGTTTTCTTGATTTCAACTTGAGTCTAGAAAGAAAATGGAGTGACGATTTGTTTGTGCAACTAGCAGCTCTAGATTGATTAACTTGCGGATTAAAACATTTGTAGTCATGATTAAAATCAAATTAACTTAGCCAAGAAAAATCTAATGACTCAGAATTTAGCGAGAATATAATCTGATTTGAGGAATTTTCATTCAACAAAAATCAACTTTATTTTTAATCTCAGGTGATGTCCAGTGTATGAAACCTCATGACATTTTCCAGAAATAGAAACCATTTTTCTTTTTATCAGTCGCATGAAGTTCTCTATTTTTATCTTGATTTTAAGATTCTTTCATTTTGCTGAATCAAGTTATTTTTTGTTTGGTCTGTCCTGAGTTTTGGCTCCCTGTTTACCTAAGTTTGAAGCTTTTTTTTCCATTAATTCTTTTTCTTTTTTGAGTTCACTATCCTGTGTAAGTTAAGAAATGAAGTTTGATTTTTGCTGTTATGGTCATGAATATTTACCCATAATCTTTAACTTCCTCTTCATCTTTTTCTTTTTTCAAAAATTCCTTGTTTGTATCTTTTTAAGCAAAAAAAAAATTTCCACAGGTAAGAAGACAGAATGTGAAAAAGCTCGAAAACTTGAGGAAACAAAATACAACAAAATTCTCAGAAGCACCCATCGTATCCACTCTTATCACTAACAGGGATCAGATCCTTCGCTTTTTATTTTTGATTTTATTGTTTTCTCCCCCGTTGACCAAGGTCTCATACCACTTCAAAATGTCTCATACCATTGGACGTATTTCTGCCAAATGGAACCGGAGACAGGTGAGAAAGAAGGGGTGTGCTCGTTAGTCGAGGACTGTAAGAATGAATGGGAATTATTAAGCACCAGTGACGACAGCGGCAACAAGGCTGCCTTTGCGGTTGTCTGTCTTCCACTTTAACTCATGAGCCCTGTCCATAACGTTCTTGTCACATGCCCATGGCTCATGAGTGTTGCATTCAGTTGGCACATAGTTCTACTTGACAGAATGTAAAATCCCGCTTTTCCATTTCACCAAAGGGAATCTCGCCCATTGTAACATTGTTTCTTATGTAGCTAATCTTAAGCATACTCCATCTTTCCCATTCATCTATAGTCCTGTTTGGCAGAAATACGTCCAATTAAATGTCTTATTATCCTTTGCAATCAATTTTTTTGTGTTAAGTTTCGCTTTCTTATGGGTTGAAACAAGAAAAATTGAGCCTATTATTCAGAAAATTGTAATTTCTTCCAACTTTCCTCAAATATCCGTTCACGCAGGTACATGACGCACTGATTTTGTCTTGTGGGTAGGTACAGCCATTGTAATGTTTGGTTTGATGTTTCAGTCATATGACGTTACACCCAAAAAACGCTAAGTATCCAGATGCCATAGCCGTCGCTTTTGATGATAGGAATAAAAAATTAACATGTGTTTATAACGATCATAGTCTGTATGTTTGGGATGTCACTGATATCAAAAGGGTTTGTATCTCCGTTTTTTTTTCTACTCAATTTTTTCTCAGCAATTGAGATTTCGTTTTTTATCTATTTTAGTTTGCTTCCTTTTGTTGATTGGTGACTGATTGTGTTTGCATGGTTGTGGTATTATCCTTTAATCCTGTGTTACAAATTTTTTATTTTGAGTCTGCACAAAGACTCTTTGTGCAGACTTTCACTCTTTGTCAAAGAGTGAAATACTGATGAACAGTTGCTCCATCAGTTTCGCTTACTGTTCTCAATGTGAGTCAATTTTGATAGTTAGTAGGTTTAGGATCCAAATAATTTGTTTAAAAAAAGATATCTAATTGATTAGCTAATCCATGCACTCTTTTGTAGACTAAAAATTTAGCACTATTTTTTATAAGAGTAGTTACCTAAAATATATCCATAGCACACATCTACACTCAAACATTATCCGCTTTTCCTAGCGGTGCTACTGTTGCAATGACTTACTGAATTGAATCAAAAGTCACTCATTGGAGGTCTGCTAAATTACGAAATTTTTGTCACCTGAATTCAGCTTTTAAATTAGCAATATTATAACAGCACATAATTTAATAATTGAACTAGCCTTTGGCATAATTTCTGTTGTCGTCCTTTCATGTTTTGTTACTTTATTTCGTAATGTTTCGTTCTAGTAAAGATTTTTTCTCAAAAATAAATTATTCTTACCTGTAAGAAGTTCAATATTCGTTGGAAATGGGGGAAAGGATTTCTAAATCAAAATTTTCCTCTTTAAAAATCGTAAATTCAAAAGAATTGTATATTTGATTTGAATTGTTTCAAAACTGCTTGGAAAATATTCCCGAGGAGGCAAATTTGATTCCAATTGTAATGAACAGCTGGTTTAGTTCCTGAAATTAAAATTTCACAGGACTTTTGTCACACAGTAAACCCAGGTATACAGTTTTTTAGTTTCAGCAGTAATTTATTTCATGCTTTAAGATCTATTCTGTCTCTCACATTTTAATATTTTTTTGTTTCCTATCGTTCAATTTGCAGGTAGGAAAATCCCATTCATTTTTATTTCACTCTGCGTGTATTTGGGGCGTGGAAGTGTCTCCGGCGACATGCAAAGCTTTACCTCCAGGGTCTTTCATAACATGCTCCAGTGATGACACCGTCCGGATCTGGAACATGGATGATAGTAATCTAAGTAGCAAATCTAGTTTTCAAAGAAATATTTATAGTAATGTGAGTACCACTTTTATAATTTTGATATTATTGATAAGCAAACCGTTCACATCCTAGAATCTTATATTCAAATTATCATCATGGATTCCATCAGCCAAAATGAGACTTTTAGAATTTATAAATTTTATTATTGTAGCAGAAAGTCTTGTTTGAACTGAAAGAGAGGTGTGCGTTCAGCTATCACGATTTCACAGCAAAATAATACTTTATGAGGCTTTCTTGGTCTGAATTTGTGAAATAAGTTTATCTCTCATTTCTATTACACCTGTTATGAAAAGTGGTCAACTAATTAAGGTTAAAAATTGAATTAGTAGTAAATAAATTCATTTGAAAATCAGCCATTGTTTGTAAGCAATCATCAAGTAATTTTCAGTAGTTATCCAGTTATTTCTAAGAAATTTGAACAAAAATCAAGTACAAAATCTTAGGTTTTCCTTTTAATGTAGTCAGAGACCAGTATGCTCCAGTAATTTCCTAAAAATCATAAAGTGATAGAAGGAGTTGAGTGACTTTTTTCAAAAAATTGAGATATCGGTGTTTTTGAACCAATCTTGTTGCAAAGTAAACCTTATTGAAATTTTGATCCTAGAATCCTAGAAATACTTAGCTCTGTAAAAGCCACTCATACTTTTTTCAAGTCCCTAAGACCCATTTTTAAAAATGAAACAAATATCTCCTACATCGTTCATTCACTGGGATTTATTAGAGCCTTGGTGGATGTACTTTAAATGCATGTTATCCTCTCTTGTTGTAGGAATTATTGAAAGTAATGTACATAGATGAAGATCTAAATTATATAAAGGATATGGAAATCAATGCCGCAGACAAAAGTGATAGCAGCGTTTCATATGACGGGCGAAATGGAGTCCGAGCAATTCGAATAAGTCCTGATGGCAAGCACCTTGCATCTGGCGATAGGTCGGGTAACATTAGGTATGTTCATAGCAGTTTCAAATTTTCTGGTTATTTATACTTATCCACAGATTCCCTTCTGCTAAGCCCTTTCACTTTTGACAGAGAAAAAGAGTTGTCCAAGGAAACACACATGGTTTTTTGTCGGCTTTTGTCGAACAAATAGTTTTCTTCTTTTACACAAAATTCATGCAATTTTGTATATCCTTGATTTTGCTCCAATTTCAAAGTCATTGAACTTCGGAATTTAGAGTCTACTTCCAGATAAACACAATTTTTGGTCAGTTTTTTGGAACGCAATACACTACCAAATGTGCACTGCTCTTTACGTAAGTTTGGAGTTTCTTGTATTTGATTATTTGCTTGTTATAAAGATTTTGGGAAGGGAGAGAAGATTACTTGACTAGATGCTCCTAGATATTCTTGGAAAACTTGCGCAAAAGTTTGGAAAAGACCAGAAAAGTTCCGCAAAGTCCTTCAGTTTTAGTTGAATCTCTTCGAGAAAATTGCCCAAAACAGTTTTTCATTCTTTCAATTTTAAGTTAGAGTTAGCTGCATAAACCCTGTTTCATTCATCTAAGTTATTATTCATGTTTCTAGAATCCATGAACTGAGTAACTTTAATCAACTGTGCCTGATAGAAGCCCATGATGCTGAGGTCTTATATTTGGAATATACCAAGCCTGATGCTGAGAGTAGTGATAAAAATTTACTCGCATCTGCATCGCGAGATAGGCTAATTCATGTTTTTAATGTAGATGAGGTAAGATTTGATTCTTTTTATCTTATAATGCAATACCTTCCTCATGGAAATAAATGATGCGTGCTAAGTCACGAAAGGATGAATTAAAGATCAACTTGTTATGAATCTCTACACATTCATCCAAAGTTGAGTCATCAAGGCATTGATTCCTGATTTTGATCCAGACAATATTTGAAATTAAGTGTTCATTGCTTGGCTTGACCAAAAAAGTCTCTATTTAGTAGGGCTGAATTGTTTTTTCGCGTAACCGTTCCTGTTGGGGCAGAAGAAAAGCTGCGAAATGTGAAAGCTTCAAACTACAGTACTCTCCAATTGCTACAATGATAATTGACAAGATAATTTGACAGTTAATGCAAGCCTAAGTGTTTGAAAAAAGACGCAACATGGAATAAGTTATTGTGTTTTGAAAATATTTCGTCGCTGGTTTTTTTTTTTTTTTTTTTTTGAAAAAAAAAGAAATAATTATTAAGAAAATGTCCCTACTAGAGAACAAAGAGCAACTTGATCTCTTTTTTTGGTGTGTAAACCTGGCTTCAGGAGGCGTCTTTCTATGATTGTGAACTGTATTTCTGGGGGGAAAAGTCTTAAAATTGTCTTGAGTTAAGTCTTAGTCCAGAGCAGAAAAATGTAAGATGCTTCTCAAAATTACGTTCATCTTTTTTTTTTTTTTATTAAAAAATAAAATATGGCAGAAAGTCTGAAATGTCTCAAACTGAAGAACAGTCTTCCCAGCCTTGTCATCAGTGCATTTAGCTGATCCATTGCACAATGTTATCCAAGTGCTCGTTTCTTACATGATGCTTCTTATGGATCAGTTTTTTTCTGTGGCAAAATCATGATTTCTCCTAGTCGGAACCCTTTGTTCCCTGCCAATTAATCCACTATCTTGGTCTTTTTAGGATTACAACTTTATTCAAACTCTAGATGATCATTCCTCTTCCATAACGGCAGTTAGATTTATCAATAGTAGAGGACAAGTCCAAATGGTGTCTTGTGGTGCTGATAAGTCAATCATATTTCGGCAGCTGCAAAAGGTAATACTATTAGCACAGAACTGCTGCTTTCATATTTACTTCAGGAATACCAGAGATCTCTTATCTCCTTTTTTATTGGAGTGAGATTTTAAATTCTGGGAGATGCATCCAAACTTTTTTAAAATATATTTCCTATCCAATATCAGCGAAATTAAAGTCAGATTGAGGTAAAAAAAACAGTGGAAGATTTGAATTTTCCAAAAAAATGTTTGTTTTCAAAATGTGTTACAATTTTAGTGAAGTTTTCATAAGAAGAATAAATGAACTTTTTTTATGAAAGGAAATTTTTATTGTTTTATTTTTATATATCAATAGCTTAAGAACAGCTTATATCCTAACTGACAATTTTTCAGGACGATGATAAGACTTCACCATTTTTGTAATTTTGAGGATAGATCTGCAATTTTTTCACAAATTACAGTGTCATTACAGCGCTCCTCTGAAAAATTGGAAAAAACTGAAAACATCAGCTGCCGTATTTTATACCATGGGATACATCAAAATTGTTTATTCATTTTTGCCAAAATTGTCATGTAGGCTGTTATGTTTTCCTTAGCTCTTGATATTAATTAAAATACATCGAAATATCAAACTGTAAATGCAGTCATTTTCTTTGTAGTCCATGTCAAGGCGTAACGCAACAGTGATAATAATTGAGGTAAAGATGAATTTAATTTCTTGCCATACTTTGGAAAGTTTGCAGGTTACATTCATTGTTTTAGTTTCAAAGTAAGTTTTAATGCTATTGACACCTCTTAACTTGCCTCATAGTTTTGCGTCATAGAACTAATTTAATACCTCATGAATTCCTTCTTTCTATATCCTAATGTTCTCATTTTATTTCTGCAAAGACACCAAATGGAAAGTTCTCTTTCTCTCGTGGCCATAATGTAGCTGTCAAAACAACGCTTTATGATATGGAGGTGGACATCACACAAAAGCACATCCTGACGGCATGCCAAGACCGGAATATCCGCGTCTACAATGTGAATAGCGGAAAACACAGTAAAAGCTTTAAAGGATCAGTTGGTGAAGATGGGTCACTTATCAAGGTTAGTTGCGTTTTGTGAATCTAACTCTGCAACCTAAATTACTTAGTTAAACTTTCAGGAAAAAATTCAATTTTTCTGGGTCTTTTTGAATGATTTGAGGAAATTGTGAAAAAGAAATGATAGATTTTTAGTAAGAAGGTAAATGCTGCAAGAATGGAGAATTTGCATGCAAATTTTTTACTGCTTCATCTAAAAGTGCTTAAAAAGCTGATTTCACATTATTTTTTATGATGTGGGAAATAGTATAATAATAGATTCAAAAATGAGAAAATGCACCGCCTAGTGACGTCATCTGGCTGTATTTCCCATTTAAACACACATATTTTAGCAGATTAGATCATTTTGTTGTATCTTCTCCAATAATTGTTCAATTCATGAACCAATGGTATCCTTGTGTTCTGTTCACTCAGTAGTTTCCACTTAAACAAGAAATTCATCAAATTCAGACACCTGCAAATTTTCTATTATGAAATTTTGGCCGAATTATCAAGGAAGGGCGATGAGCTATAGATTTAGATTGTTTACTGCCAGAATACTTTGCTTTTAATGTCCCCTGATTTCTTCTCGCATTTTATCTTTGTCTCAGAAAACGGTAAGGAACATGAAGTATTTACTTGTAACCAAGGATACATTCATATACAGTTCCAATGCCTAAATTCCTCAGCTATCTGCTGAAAAATCAATTAATTAATGAGTAAAAATGTTGCATATTCAGATGCAGTCAAGTCAATTCTGGTCAAAGCTGACTGTCTTTTCTAGCTAACAGCTGTCCATGCCAATTAGTATCCCAACTTGTTTTTGGAACTGATTATATTTTTTTCTCATGCTAATCCCTGTTATTCATTTATTTGATTCTTTCTTTTGAATTTTGCTTTTGGGATGAGTCTCATTGATAGTTAAAAATCAAATAAAATCTGTGCTTTTCAGGTGGTTCTAGATGCAAGTGGAATTTTCGTGGCAACCAGTTCGACGGACAAAACGCTGTGCATCTACGACTACTACAGCGGTGAGTGCATGGCCACCATGACTGGGCACTCAGAGCTGGTGACAGGGCTGCGTTTCAGTCTGGACTGTCAACGACTAATCTCAGCGTCGGGCGATGGGTGCATATTCGTCTGGACAATACCGCGGGACATGGTCACAACGATGCATGCCCGTATTTCTCAGCAAACCGCGCGGCTAGCTCGACACCGGATCAGCCTTTCCAATGGGCTCAACTTCCACACCAACGAGGAGGACTCAGATAAGGCTGACAGTGCCATTTCCAGTGACCCATTAGCTAGCTACAGGTATTTACTCATCAGTGATAGTTGTCGAAATGTAAGGTGTGACTTGGATGCATTCCAAAAAATGTTGTCTATATTCGTTAAGAATCCAAGAAAAAGGTATGTCTATAATGGGGCAATAAACAAGGTGTAATTTAGAAAATAACGTCACATGTTTTCTTTTCACAATCTCATGTAACAATGATTCTCACAACTGGAAATTTAGAGGTCAACTCTTGGACAAGATATGAACAAGTATTTTTAAAAAAGATCAAATGGAAGTTAGATCTTATAAATGAGGTCATCTGTATTTTTGCCATTTAATAAACGTTAATTTTAAACACTCATATTTTGTTTAGGAGTTGATTTCTAGACTTCTCGTTGTGTGAGTCATTTCGTTCAAGGGAATTTGAAAAGGAAACATGTTATGTAGTGCTATAATTCATACCTTGTCTACAGACTCATAATTTAGGTCTGGCAACAGTTGCTAGACAGGGATGCATACGTCCTGTCTTAGAAAGCAAGCCAATATCAGTGAAGTTCTCATAGACAGTCAGAGCTAGTGACGGCCCCTTAACCCGCTTACAGATAAACTTCTTCACCATAGTACAATGCTCATCCAGAACATTTTATGTCAAGCAAATCCATCTGCACGGAAAAACTCTCCTCCAGAAGTACCCGTCCATCACCTCAGCCATTTTGAATTATACCCTAATTTTTCTCATTGTGGCATGATTTCCCCAGTAATTTGATTTTTCAGAAATTTGTCACAAAATGGTTTGATTTTAAGACAATCAGAATGTGAGACTATGGTTAAATTTTCAAGCTCAACTTTGGGGGAAAAACTTTGTTTTAGATTAAGACAAATACGGCGTCTACAGATATGCTGAAATGTGCCTATTCCATTCCCTCCCAGATAAATCAGCATGCCAAAATTTCTACCTGCACCTTGTTATCTTTCTTAAATGAAAGCTACTCAACTAGACCAAAAATGTTTTGAACTGCTTTTCAACTACTTTGCAAACTATTTTTACAATGAATGTTGTTTTTAGGTTTAATGATTCTCCGTTACCATTGTGGGCAAAGTCACAGCGCTCAGATAATGATGTTCCTGTCCCTGCGAGTTTTCCTCGCAAGGAGATACCAAAAGGTCGCTGGGCGCAGCGCTTGGATCCTACTGGACTTACCATTAAATCAATTTTTGATTCGGACAGTATAATTCACTGTCCTCTCTCACAAGGTGAGTTGTTTTTTTAATGAATGCTAGAATGCTTATATTAACAGAATTTCAAGATTGAATTTCTGACAGGGGGAGGAGAATTTGAGAGTATTTATTTAATTTATGCTTTTTGAGCTCTGGTGTTCCTATTTTAGGCAATTGTTGATATGAAAAAGCCATGAATAAATTTTTAAAATAGCATTATTATCATCTTGGATTGTCCGTCTAATAATGGTCTTACAGCAAAATACTGAATCGTCGCATTTATTAAAAAACTTGAAACTTTCTCATCCTTTTTAAAACTATTTTCTATTGTTTTGGTGGGTCCCCCTACCTCTCTAGACAGTGTTATCCTCTGTTGCAAAAAATAACTTTTGAGAGGGCGGGCAAAGAACCTGCTGAAACAATTGTACATGATAGCTCTAAAAAGAATCTAAAGGAGTTTTTTAATAATTACCTTGGTAAAGTTTTTCACCTAGTAATGTCCTTGTCTTATACTAAATCTGCATCATATCATAACTCAACTTATAACAAGTTCATTTGATCTGATAAGGTTGAGTTTGAAGTTGACGGCCTCTACTTAAATCACTGCATTTCTTATTCTTCTTTGCCCAGTTTTCTTCCCCCTTTAATTTTTTAACAAATAACTGAACAACACAATGCCCCAAAACTTTTTATGATGTGTGTGTGCATTTTTATATACTTAAGAACTTTTGAAGTTGAATGTTGCTGACTATCTTGCCGGAAAAATCAACTATAAAAGGAAATCAATCAACACGTAAAGTATTTAGACTTATCTTGGTTAAAACTGTCACTTGGATTGAACATCTCGAAACAGGAAATATACAAGCATTTATTTGTATGGAATTTGCTTATTAGCTCATGATGCTTACATTACATCACTGGCATTGCAAATTAATTTTCAAAATTTTGAATACTAAACTAAAACTTAAGGCTAAAGTTGGTTTGTGAACTACAACTGATATCAAAGGTCTCACTCTTAAACTCTTCGAATTTCAAAACTTTAAAATTAGATGAATAGATCAGCTTACTTTTTTTGCTTACAAACTTTATCTTTGTTACCTTTTTACTTATACTTAAACTTTGAAATTAGATAAATAGTTCATCTCACTTTTTTTGCCGACAAACTTTATCTTTGTTACATTTTTTACTTATGCTTTGATGTTGACAGACTGTTCTGATAATTCCAAAGAAGATAGTTCTGTAGACAGCGGAGCGGAAACCAGCCATTCCCTGTACCCTGAACTGAGGAAGGATTCTATCACTCCTCCAAACAAAGTAAGCTGGCAGAATGTTTCACCTCAAATTACCTCTCTTTTTTCTATAAGTGGGTAAACTATCTTCCTGAATGTCTGCACAAGGATTTTAACCTGCGGAGAGGATCCCTAACAAACAAAGTATTTGCTGAAAGTAAAATATTTTAATTGCTTGTAGATTTTCAATCAAGCTTTGAAGATCTCCTAAAGTAATTTACTTGAAAGGATTCTTTAAAATATTAGAATGCCAATTAAAACTACTGAGAGTCCCATGTCAGCCTGTTTAGTTCATCAAGTGGCCACCAGAGGTCGCTGTGACACTCTGGTTCTGTGTTGTAATTATATAGTCAAATTATGTGCCTGTTCAACCCTTAATATTTTGAAAGACCTTTGCATATTGTTGGTTGATAATTGATTCTTCAACTTGGCTAAAATGTGTTGTGCATACTGGTCTTAATGCGAAAATGCTGTTCAACATATTTGCAGGGCTCAAAGATTTCTGTGCCCATTTTGCATCATGACTCGTTGCACTGGCAGTCACTGTTGGGGACTTGTTATCTGAGGCACTGACTTTAGGTTTGACCTGTACAATGAAGAAACTGCAAGAAGAGGAAGAAGAATTCTAGCTACTTGGAGTTGCCCTTAAGGTTATTCCAGCATAGTGTCTTCAGATCTTATGGTCCCCCTCCTTCATTTCATCCTCACCCCAGGATAAGGAGTTGGTACCTCTATATGCTTTAAGTTAGGGATGTCGATACTCAGGGAAGTATTGATACTGGTATCGACTCTAAGCATCGATACCGGTATCGAGCATCGAGCTGAAGTATGGATACTTATGAGGTATCGATACCATCGATACTATTTCTGAATTATGCCGTGATTTTGAGTGTGCGTATGTCTGTCGGCCGTTAAATTCCGCCAGATTTACGCCTCTCTCGAAACAGCCCTGTTCGCGTCCTTAGTCAGCTATTTTGAGCCCTTAACTACAGTTATCGAACTGAGCTTTGAAGTATAATCATCTTGAGAAACTTGATTACTCCGTCGTTTGTCACAGTGCATCATGAAGGTGAAATAGTGGGGAGAGAATTTTTTTTTTAAAAAAAAGAGGCCTTCTTCATGGTCAAATCAGATTAAGTATCAATACCGTCGATACTGGGGTCTTGGCATCGATACTGCATGGTATCGATATCGTGGAGTATCGATGCCGAGTATCGCTAAGTATCGATCGAAAGTATCGATACTTTGCAAGTATCGGATAAGTATCGACATCCCTACTTTAAGTTCCGCTCGTAAACATGCACAAGTGGATTTTAGTTTCTTTCGAGCCTAATTTGACAGGACTGCCAACCTATGAAGCAAAACGTTTGCCAGGGGTCAAAAACTAAATTCGGCAGTTTGATGACTTGCGACCAATGGTTGCATCCGTCTTCTTCTGGACCCACCGCTTATGGTAGGGTTATAATCTAAACTGGGTTGATCTCAACAAAGTCCATGGATTGAAGATCGAAGCACACCATTGTATCCCCTACTCATCAGTTTCTTTTTGTTTCATTTGTTTTTTTACAGTTAGCAACAGATAGAACTAGTCATAAGAAAATTGAATCCAACCGTACAAGGTATCACACGGATGATAGCTCCCTTGGAAGTTTCAAGTATTATGAGGTAGGCTCTGCAAAATTGCAATAAAGTCAAGATTAATCTCCTCCAAAATTTTGCAGTAAAATCTTGCGAAGTTGGAATGCATCGGGTTCAAAGATTCATCCCGACTTAGAGAGGTTCGACTGTAATTCATTTGAATTTTTCAAATGTTATCATGTAAATTTGTTCAACTGTAATCAGAGTGTAACATTTGTTTTATTTATAGTAAAACAAAACGAAAGTAGCTGTGACAATTGTTTCCAACGAATCAAAATAAAAATCTTCTCAAGTGACTTCAATGCCATTTGTCTCCGAGTGTAACATCAATCGGGTTCAAAGATTCATCCCGACTTAGAGAGGTTCGACTGTAATTCATTTGAATTTTTCAAATGTTATCATGTAAATTTGTTCAACTGTAATCAGAGTGTAACATTTGTTTTATTTATAGTAAAACAAAACGAAAGTAGCTGTGACAATTGTTTCCAACGAATCAAAATAAAAATCTTCTCAAGTGACTTCAATGCCATTTGTCTCCGAGTGTAACATCAACGATGTTCTTGCCTATCACTTGAGTTGTGTATTTTTTGAAGATAGTTTCAAATGGATACCTTTCCTCAAGAACTTTACTCCAGCTGATTTTTGTAAAATGAATAATCAGTTCAAGTTTTAATATCCTCTCTTTCTTTTTTTTCCATTGTATTTAATTGGATTGTTATAGAAATTGTGAACATTCAATTTTCTACGGACTCCTAATTTCAAACAAAGTAATAAACCACTGAAAAATCCATTTTCACATTCATGTGTTTACTGATGTAGCTTGTAAATTTTTTTAAAGGATAATGAGAGCACAGAACATGATGGAGACGTTGAGGATTATTCAGAGGGTGAATTTACTGAGTCTGAACATCACAAAAAGATCATTTATTACCCGATCGCTGAGGAAAGTATGAGGTTAGTACTTATTTCATTATTCAACTCCTTTTAGGGCTCCAATTACAGCCAGTTTGCTGAAATCTAAAATTATAAGAACAAAACCCGTCAAACCTTTTGACAAAGATCTGAACTTATGGCTTTTGGTGACTGATTGTGCTGGTCACTTTTCAGAACTAAAGTGAAAACATGCCTATTCCCAGAAATGGAAACTCTTCCCAGAATCTCCTTACTGTATTTCATCCTCTCAAGAAAATTTGATGAAAAAACATTTAATAGTATGCAATCTTATGTATATTGTATTCATTCACACTCAAGGGATTTGAGAATTTCCTACGTGAATGTTTTCTGCAACTTTGCCTTGAATGACCATTCAAAGCACTATCCTTTCTCTAGAAACTTTGATGCCCAGGCTCTCCGGTATTTGCGTGACTAAATACAATGTAGAGAATATCAGAGTTGAATAATGAATCATTAGATTACGTTGATCAACGAGCGTAGATAGTATATAATGAACAGAGTTATTTATGAACTTATATCTAATTCGTCTTTGTATCATTTTAGTAAGTTCACAGTAAATGCTATGGACAAAGAAGAACTGCGCCGATCTCAACGTCGGATGAAACAGCAAAAGCGGGAGAAATTAATTGTATCACCACTGGAAACCACACGGTCTGTCTCAGGAAGTCAAGACAGTGACGATGATGAGCTTGAAGAAGAGGATGATGAAAGTTCAACGCTAAGTGCCCACAATCCAGACAAAACGTTGACACCCTCTGCGTTCACCTCTGAGTAAGGATGCAGAACTGATTTTTAAGTTTTGTTAGTTCTGAAAGTAATTGTAGACATCAAGGCATGTGTCTTCGACGATTTTTATTTGTTACAATCAAATCGTATCTCTAAAAATTTCCACTCTGAAATCAGGCATTTTGCCAAAAACCAGTCATTTGGCCGTGAAGCAAATCTGAGGTATGGCTGTAAAGCAAAAATGCCAGATTTTGACAAAACGGTCGTCGTTTTAGAATTTGTTGCATCCCTGTAAAACCCTAGCTCACAAGTACTGATATGCGACGTGAAACTTCTTATACTTAACATTCACTTAAGTATGTGCACGATATTGAAACATTTCCTTTCCCGGCTGGGAGGAAAGCTCATCAAACAAGGGTTTGGAAATGAAAGTCAAAACACTGAAATTCGGTTGGATGAAGAGGCAACACGATAGGGCTGACAAGCGACACAGTAAACAAAGAAATACGAAAAAAAGAAAGGGGACTGAAGACTGCTACGGTTTGACGGGTTTAGCCCCCCGTCATGGCATTATTAAGTTTCACTTACATTTTTAAAGAAAAAAGGTAACCGCTGTTAGTACAAGGACGACAATCCAAACACAAGCTCAAAGACAGAAGAGCGAATTAGAAAAGTGGGGGGCCGAGTAGTCGCCACGCGACCACTAGCGCTACTTGGCAGGCTAAAATTTTGAAAAGTGAAGGGGTAGGGGGGACACCTTGTTACAATATCATTTAATTTCTCAGGCTCATGGAGCTTTTTTATAATTTATTGTGAAAATTACCTCCTTTTCAATAGTAGTTCCTGAGTAGCTGCTTTGAACAATCAGTAATTTTGAGCAGCCATGATGAAGATCGTTTCCTTGAGTATTTATCAAAGAGGACCCATTTACGATAGCTAAATATCCAATTGGTGTTAATAAAAACATTTTTGATCATGAATTCCAATTTACATTGAAACCATTAAAATAATTTTCTAAAACTTTCATAAAAACCATTTGTTCAATTGTTCGTTTTTATTTACCACAGGCCTGAAGATGGCGTCAGCTTGCGGGAGAAGTATCTCAAAAACACTTTTGAATCATTAAGCGGTGCGGAGTTGGAATCTTCAGCGGAGAATACGTCAATGCGAGGTTGATATCTTATTCATTCATATCCTTTTGGGATGGGACTTGTCCTAATCTTAGAGAATCAAATTATTAACAAAAGAATAAAATGATGACAAAAAGTAATTGTAATATCATTAAGTAATTTTAGGAAAAAAAGTATTTGAGGTCATCATTATAATAAGTAATGATACAGTTTTGTTTCTTTTTATTTTTTATTGTTAGAAGAAGCTGTTGTACTTGCAAAAATAGTGTAGTCACCAAAACCATTGGAATTATAGCAAAATTTAATATTATCTAAAATGTGCAGTGCTTTTTTTTCATCGTAATTTTAATATTTTGCCAACAACTTCATTATCTTGCCATTCAATTTTGCATTCCTATTCTAAGTAAGCGTTTCAATTTTGACATGCTGCATGCATGCATTCTTTTATTTTTTTAAAATTTATTCATATTTATTTTACATTGAATATATGAAGCCTACAAAAGGGGCTATTGTACCAGTCAAGGATACTGGAGTTTTATAAAAAAAAAGAAATAGTCATGGTTATTTATAAAACATATAGAACAACATTCAAGAAGTTGCTAGAGAGTAGAGGAAGTAACAACTAATGCATGTATTTTATTTGCATGACAGGCAAAACAAGTCTATCATCTCAGTTCCATAATAGCCCCCTGCCACGAGTTCGCAATGTCAGTGTAATACAAGCTGTAATTGATAAAAAGAATGATAAAGAGACCATGCGGAAGCGCGAGGAGCTTCAACGTCGAATCGAAGAAACGAGAAGGAAGCTACAAAGTGTAAGTTATACTTCATCCTTTTTTCTTTCAATACATTTTTGCTCTATTTAAATTTTTGTTAAAATTTGATAGCTGAATCAGTCAACTCTAAAAGTCACTTAAACTGGATTACCTTTGGTAAAACAAAAATCTTGAAAATTTAGAAATGTGTATTGCATGTATGTTCAGTAAGTAATTGATACTTAAAAAAAAAGAGAGAATGTTTCATATGAGCCTGAGCCTTAGCAATGTGTAGCAAGATCCAAATCTGCAATCAACTGTTCCTATTTTTTAATGTTACTTTTGCCTAAGCCCTTAGGGAGGCAATTATCATATGGAAAATGAGAAAGATTTGTTGGATTGCAATAGCAGAGCTAGAAGAAAGAGGTGTTAAAGGTGGGGAAAATTCATTTTAAAATCAGATTTTCTATCTTTTGGTAATGTACATCTTGACAGAATGATTCCAATCATCAAAATTTCAATCATTTTTAAACACACGTTTTTAAAATGGCCATGAAAAAGCCTTTTTTAAATTGTTATTTCAGTTACTTTGTGGGGCACATTTTTAACGATGAAAAACTTATTTTTTGTGTGTACAGGTTGGGACTCGCTCCAATTTGAAAAGTAGTCAGAGCACAACAGACCTTAGCCGCAGCAACTTCAGCGATTCGCATGTGAAGCACACACGAAAAATATCGCTGAGCAACAAACATCATGCAGCAGGTAGCAACTCAGCCCAATATCCGGTGGTGGACTCGTATCGTTCTTCCAACTATCACAAGTCTGAATCGTTTTTCGTTCAGTTCTCTCCTTCCAAGCCTAACTCAATGTATGATATTTCTTCTAACCACAAATCAAGCTTTAGCTTCACTAACTTTAACCCAACCAAACCCATTTCTCTTCCCCTTTCGCCTGTCGATGACACGCAGAAAAGTCTCCTGTCTTCCCTTAATGCGCGGATGAGCGGTCCTAAACGCAATTCGTGCAGCTTTTTTGTGGACTTAGATAAAGATTCAGAAGGAATATTTGAACCAAAGCAGAAATTCAGCTCCGCAGATTGTCTAAGTGTCTCCGTTTCTAAAATGGAGTCAAGTGATGAGAGCGATTTTAGCTCAGATTCGTTGGAAAGTGAGTTCTCGAACATGAAACCGCGGCGATGTTTTAGTGAGTACCAAATCTGTAATCAACGGTTCACATTACATAATGTTACTTCCGCACGAGCCCACAGCGAGGAGAATATTTTGAATGGTACGGAAAATGAGGAAGATTTGCCGGATCGCCATAGCAGTGCAAGTTTTTTTTTGCGTTCGCATCACGTTTATAAGAGTACTGAAAGTATCCTCACAGATGAGAGTGAGTATCAATATCTGTTTCGTGACTGTGATAATAAAGCTCACCGTAGTACTGAAAGTATTTTAACGGATATTAGTGATACTCAGTTTGATTCTTTATCACGTGATGGAGAAGATATTATCGAGAGACATGAAGAAGAGGTGAAAAGAACTGTCTGTCGAACGCGAAGCTTGCATGGCACTGCCTGTAGCGGCATGCGGAGAGAAGAGAGCAGCAACCAACACTCACCTCAATTTGTGCGGTATTTTGTCATTCAGAAGGAAGTCGGATACACCCGGCCAATTAGAAGTCCGAACGTCGTAAAAAGCCAAACTCAAGAAAGAGTGACTGTCACGAAAACCACTAACTGTGTTCAAAACGCTCCTAAAAACGAATCATTTTTCATCCCATTCGACTCGCCAGATGCAGGGAAGTTGAACAGATGCAAAATATCTAAGTCTGTGAGTAATCTCGAGTTGTCGCCCAGCCACCCACGAGTGACGCACAAACCGCCAAAGCCCCATTCAAAAGCAGTGCCGCCCAAAAAATTGCTCACCAGCCGGAGTGAAAAATACCCACGATTCACAAACACTGTAAAAACCGTACAAAGCAATGCAGTGAATGGAAGTTCAATTTCAGTAAAAAATAAGGCATTAACAATAAAAAATGATCCATCAAGATTTAATTCGCTGAGGAAAGACTTGTCTAGTAATTACTCCTCAAGAAGAGAACCATCCAGAATTGACTCTTTTCAAAATGATCCCTCACAAAATAGCCATTCCAAAAATGACTCATCCAGCAATGACTCATCCGGAAATGATTCCTCAAAAAATAGTGTATCAAGAAATGAATTTTTGAGTAGCACAGAGCCTATGATGATGGATGAGAATTTTTCCGACGAGCGGCTGCCTACGGTAGAAGAAAATTCCGTGACCGAAGTCAAAGTTCGAGCAAAAATGCCGAGTGTGAAACTGCTTTTGCAGAACTTTGAAAGCTTCCATAGTTTACCGGGAGGCAGGAGTGGAGATGGAGCACTGTCATTGTCGGGTGAGGACTCTTCCGCTGAGTCATCGACTCCTGCCACCTCTTCCTCCACCAACTCGCCCAAAAGGCTCCATGCCAGGCCAGGCTCCACTAACCAGCTCGCCAGGCGTCTCATCCCTCTGTCTAACAACTCCGCCCTTCCCTCAAAATGTAATGCAGGTTCGTTCAACTCCTGCTCCGATCTCTCTGTGCAGCTTTCGTTAACCTGTCCTGTTGTTTTTGCTCTGTATCCAGTAGATTTTTTTACTCCCACAGTTGAATTGGACGTATCCCTGCCAAATGGAACCAGAGACAGGTGGAAAAGAAAGGGTGCACTTGTTAGTCGAGAGCCGTAAGAATGAATGGCAATTATGAAGTGCCAGTGACATCAACCGCGACAATGAAGAGATTGGTGGTGGGACTCTTTAACTCATGAGCCCTGTCCACTAAGCTCTTGGCACATGCCCTCGGCTCATGAGTGGTGCATTCAGCTGGCACTTAGTTCCATTTGACAGAATGTAAAATCCCGCTTTTCCATTTCACCAAAGGGAATCCTGCCCACTTTATAAATTGTTTCTTATGCAGCTTTCTATAGCGTGTCCCATTTTTCCCACTGGTCTATAGTTCCATTTGGCAGATGTACGTTTAATTGGTGTAATGATCTGACATAAATTATGAAAATCAGCAAACTACCCTATCTATCACTTGAGCCATTAAGATTATGATGAAATTGACTGATTAAAAATGGTGAAACTTAGAACCTATTTATCCTAGAAGAACATCAAAATATCTGGTGATTTTCTAATCTGTCTTTAAAAAAAAAAGAACACCGTGTTTATCGCAGCAAAGGCATTTCAAAAAATTTTCTTGATTCTTTGAATAGAGTTTTCTTTTGAGGGCGACTTTTCCCTCTCACAAGTGAAACGTGGTAGGAAAGGAGCATTGCAAAAGGGAATAAACGTTTTTAGCAAATTCTAAAGTCACCGAGAGTTCCTGATTTTTCTGTTTGCTGAGTTCATAACTAAAGCTCCCTCATTAGAAAACTCTTACATTTCCTTCCATTCTAAGTATTTGAAGCAATCTTTTTCTTTTCGTTTTCTTCTTTTTTTCTTAACTTTCTTTACCTTGGTCCATGGTCCATGTTCATTCTCTTAAGTTTTCTTAAGTATTCTTTTTCTCCTAAGTATATGTATTCTCCAAGGAAAAGTCTCACATTTCCTTATTATTCCCTTGATCTCCCTCCCCCTTTTGATTTTTGGTGTATTTAATATGTTTTTTATGCTCATTGTTCGATTAGAATGTGTTTTTTTTTGTTTTTTTTTTTACTTTTTTCTTACTTTTTTCCATCAATATTTTCAATTCAGAATTCTCCAGCTTATTTTATATAATCCTTGCTTTTCAAGTCTATTGGTGCAGCGTATGTAAGTCGAAAATCTTTCCCTCGGTCTCTTTTTATCTCCTTTCTCAGAAATTTTTCAACGCTTTATAGCTCTTCTCATTTTACTTTATGAGCTTTGAGTTTGTTCAATTGAACTCACAACAAACATTCTGTTTTCCTCTGTGTTTTTAAAGCTTAATTTTTGTGCTTTTTCATTTAATCATTAGTATCCATTCATTTAGCTAGTCAACAGCGTTTTTTTTAAAAATGCCAGCTGAGTATACCCAATAGAAGTAGATAGCTCAAACCTTTATGCATCAATGTGCTCAAATCAATTTAAGAACAAAACTCAAGATCAGCCTGTGGTTATCAGTTGTATCGTGAATTTCATTCCCCAGTAAACTGGTTTGGATCCTATAAAAGTCTTTAATGGTATCATCCTCTCTTGCTCAATCAATTCATGAAATTAAAAACTCCAAATTATTATCCCCAAGGGCTAAAAGTTTCATCCCCAAGCAATATTGATGGCTAAATTGAAACTAAGTGGCTGATTTAGCTAAATTTGGGAACCAAATATCTTGGTTTGTGAAGTTGCAGACCTCTTGCTGTACTGAATTTTGAAATTGGAAAACTAATCAACCTAATTTTGTGAGAATTTGTGTGTTTCTCTCTGTCTGAATAACATTTTGTGAAAATTTGTGGCTATAAGTGGGGCTTATTTTCCATTGGAAAATTAAAATGGAAGCAGATATTTTGAAACACTGCCACTGACAGACTTATATGGTTTCTAAGTTTGGCCATCAATATGTTGATCTGATGAAAGCTCGAGCCATTGCTTCATTTGTTCACTTCTGGTTAGTCTTATCCGCCTCCTCGGGATTGTAGTCCTGCTCAGCACTCAAAAAAGATATCATGTTTTTTTTTTTTTTTTTTCGTAAAAACGATCATTTGGTTTGAAAGAACTTTATTCATTGTCACCTCATTTCTTTGATTTTTCCCTCAAAATTGTGGCAGTACAAGATGGCAGTAAGTAATGTGCGAGACTGTGTCATAAGCTGAAATTATGAAATAGAGTGATCGATTTCTCTCCGAAAATAATGTCTGAGGAAAAAATGTTGCAACTTTAATATTAAAAGGCTTACTAGCTTCTTCTATCGTTGTGTGTACCCAACCACATTTCAGGTAATTAATTAAAAATTGATGTTTCTGGTTTCAAAAATACAGTAACAAATATTAATTAAAAAACCAAAAATCTGAAGAAACCCAACTTTTACTTAAAAATATGTTCTCATTCCATTCTCACCAAGTAGCTGGCTCCTCAAGCAATATCTTATATCCTTTCTGATGAAAATTATTTCAAGAGAATATCGCAAAGAAATGGAGAATGCAGTATGTTAAGAATGGAAGTTGCATTCAAACAGTTGTTCCTTTACTGCCAAATTAGCTGCCGCTTTCTTGAAGATATTTTCCCTTGTTCCCTGTCTTCAACGGTAGATTTTGAATGTATCGTTTACCGATAGTTCCTGGGTTTTATTTTCTGCATGGTTTTCTTTCTGTTTTGTTTGGCGTATTAGTGATCTCCGAAGAAAGTTCAAGTAGCTTCGGAGGTAGCATACGACGTGCATGTTCCTTGAGCGATCTTGTTTTGCCGGCACCCCATAGACAACGTATCGCCTCAGGTATGGAACAAAAATGTGAATTTAGTGTACATCTCCAAGAATATTGAATCAATAACTTAGAGGAGTGCCTAAGTCTGTTGCTCTGTTTCAGAATTCTTGCAATAATACACTCAGTTATCTGTGAATNGGGGGGGGGGGGAGGGAGGTTATCCCATATATTTCAGTGATTTTTAGACACTCTTCGAAAAAATCCCAAACTTTGTTGAACAGCAGTGATGTACTTAGGAAAAGGAACCTGAATATTGGGAAACTCAACATAGAGACTTTGACACTGAGAAGTGCTTTTATGTAAATATTTTTGCCAAAACAAACGAAATAAACATCTAATCAAGGCTTTTCGAAGAATCGAGGTTTGCAGTTCCCAATACAGTCTTGGAAAAAAGCTTCTGCAAACTCAACATTGAAGTGAGCTCGATTTTCCTGTTAGTTATCAGATATTTGTTGACATTACCAGAGATAACTGTATGAAAGTTTCATGAGTAATTCTGAAAAAGAGCAATGAAATAGATTTAGAAGAAAAATAGCACCCTTTGAAAGAAATTCATTCAGTCAACAATAGATTTATATTATTCTTTTTTTTTTCTTCTTCAAATTCTCAGGTAGTATCCTATTTCAGCTCTGTTTTTCTGTGTGTGAGGGTGTGTTTATTTGTGTTTGGATTCAATCTGAAAATGTTTTTTTTTTTTTTCTGTTTTCTTTTCTTTTTAATGTCATTTTATTCGTCATTGAAAATCTCTATGCACTGTGTTTGAGTAGATAGTCTGAGTATCTTGATTGTTAACCAGATGAGTCTGCCGCTCTTTTGTATGATTATAGTAGGCCCCTTATAAGTTTCATGTAGCAGTTGCGAACAACATCATTAACTCCTTGATTATGGTCCCTAGCATACACAAGTACTTACTCCAAAATTCCCTAAGAATTAACCCTTCCATCAAATACTGGAGCTTCTGCATGCGTCAAGGATTTGCAATTTAAATAATTTTTCATCTGCGAAATTTTGCACAAAACATGATGGTGGTATTGGTTTCCTCTGAAACAAACTCTCAAGCTCAAAAAAAGTCCTCAAAGGTAAGGCTGTAATGGAAGGGATCCCCTTTGTTCAGCTGAGAGTCCATCTCTACATCCAGTCAAATTCTCCTTGCACACATAGAGAGCAAATGCAAAAGCAGGGTTGCCGTGGTTCCAGCCTTGGGATCCCCTAATAAAGTAGCAACCCCGATACTTATAGCATTTGCTTTCTAATTGTGCATGAAGAGTTTGACTGGATATGGAGGTGGACTCTCAGCATAGCGTGGGGGATGGCCTCAACTTTAAGAGCTTTTCTTGCTCTGGGAGTCTGTATCAGAGAAAACCAGTGGCAATATCATGTTTCTTTTAAAATTTTATGTAAGAAAAAATACTTGTGCATGCAAGAGCTTCATTATTTTTTAAATGTTGCCGCATCTTAAGACAGTTTAGGGAACGAGAAATTTACATCTACTAGATCACCGGAGATGTCTTTTAAAATTTTATTGTGCAAGCACTTTAGGTCATACCACAAATGTTAATGATTTTATTCTGATACTACTTAAATTAATTGAAAACGTAATGCATGAAAGAAGAAGGAAAAAAAGACTCAATGGCCCTGTTGTACAGTCGTTTTTTATTGCTTGTATCGGAAGAACTAGGGCTCCTTAACCTCCGGAAACCTTCAAAAAATCAACTTAAAACTGCTCCAAAATTTGGACTTTCAAAACGGTAACTTTTGCTGGTAAAATGGCTTTTCATTTCACCACTCATCAACAGTGTTATCTGAGTGCATGTATCTATTAAGTGTTGCAGATTCACAGCTGATCAGAGTTCGACATTTTTCTCAATACTTTTATATATATATATATATATATATATATATATATATATATATATATATATAAAAACATACGATGTGTGAGCTCTAGTTTTTTTTAAGAAACTACCTTTAAAATTTACTTAAAATTTTACATTGTTTGATGATAAAAAACTCCAGTAGTAAATTTTTTATCTGCTTTAAAAAAAAATTTAAATCCTTGAGAATTTGGCTGAATCCATTGGTTTTGGGAGAAGTGTTACTAAGCTTAGTATTTTTTTGTTTCCAGCCAAAGTTAGTAACAGCTCTAAATTTGGGCCCAGAACATCTTCTAAACACAGCACTAAAGGATCTACTTCTTCAATGATTCGTAGTTCATCCGTTGGAGTCCTCAACCAGGTAAACACTAATTTTTAAGCCTCATGACTTTTAGGATCCATCTCACACTGTATCAATTCTGGAGTCAGCTACAGGAACTCCCTTATCTCATAAATTGCCTTTTGGAAAGACTGATTTCAAATTTTGGGTTTTCTCTGTTTATAGAAATTATAAGTATGAATTATTTTTGAAAATAAAACAATGTATTGCACAATATCAAAATTTAAGTTTCCTCCGGTCAAATTCATTATTTAATTAAAATTATGCTCGAGAAATACAGACGCAAGAGTAAGGGCTTTTTTTGCCGAAATTGGCTTTGTCTGGTAATGCTGATTTGAAGTATTAGAGAAAATAAATCCCTCTTTCAACTTCAAAATGATCTTCCATGATGAGTGACCACCAATCGAAAAATTAATCGACAGTCTTCAGCAAATTGAAAGTGGGAAAGGAATTATCATGAAAACTGATTTCTTGGACTTTTGGGATGGGTGAAAAGTTAAACACATATTATCAAGTAATGATGGAGTGTTTAGGCTTGGGTCGTCAGATTTCAAACATTTTAGAATACCAGGAATAAGAAAAGTTATTCTCCATGTGAAGCTCCTTCTATGCCTATGGACCTGCTCATAACTTTTTAATTGCTTCTAATGAGAGGACAATCAATCCAGAAACAAACAAGAGAAATATCAACATTATCTCTACGTCCTTAATCAGAAATGAAGTTCATACAAACCTATTTAAAAGTTCCGCACCATCTCTATAAGCCCCAGGGTTCTTGCCCCTTTTCAAAGTGATTCTTATAAAATTTTGGGGGATCCCATAAGTTGTTTCCTTTGACCTAGTAGCACTTTTCGAAATTTCGAATCCCTATCTCCAACTATTCAAAAGTTAAAGGGATGATGATGTCTGATGCTGGATGTACGAGACTTTTGGATCTTCCTGAATTGATAAAGCAGAATTATCGTTCAAAAGTCTAAGCACTCGTTTGTCACGATTTCGACCCACTTGGCAGATATTTCTTTTCATTTTTCTTTATATTTTCCGAAATGTCAATTTCCATTTTTCTTTCGTTGGGCTATTTCTCAATTTTCGATGAACCTTTGTCATTTTTTTGCTCAGAGTGATTCGGAGTCGGACGCTGGACATCGCACTGGAGGAGTTACCAGTCTATCGAGCAGGATAATGCGGCCGACAATTGCTTCGCAAAATAAAGTAGTCTCAAATGTGGCCAAAAACAACTTTGGATCTAGGAGGCGAATCACATCTTCTTACTCCAGTAGTATGTAACTTTTGTCATTATATTGTAGAAATGCTTGAATTGATTTTTTCCTTTTCTCAAAACCGTTGCATTCATCATTTGAAGGAAATCCATATTATTTGGTTTAAGGTCAAACTTCGCGTTTGGTATTAGAAATCAGCAGTATATTCTTCTTGGATGGAGTAGAATACTTAAATGTCGATCCAAAAACTGCAACCCATCATTGGTCCAAAAGTTGAATTATTGAATCTTTTATTAGTTAATCTTAAAAAATAAGGAAATATTCTCTTTTGAAGTCTGCTGATGCCCACTGAAGTTACCAGAGGAACTATTTAAATGAGGAATCCTGATGTTTTCAATTCAATCAAGGAAAATAAATTTTTTACTTTAAAAAGGGAATATTTTGGATTGACAGGACTTTTGATGAATTGATTCTTTCATCTTAGATAATCATTTTACGAAGGCTTAAAAATTCATTTTGACTCTGGGGTCGAGAGTTGGTGCAAAATAAACACCAACTTGAGCGTTTAGAAGGAAAATCTGCAATTTGGTAGAATATATGTACGAGGGGCGTTCAATAAGTAAGTATCCCCCCCTCTCTAAAATCCATAAGAATGGACCAATTTTAAAAAACTTGGGCTCAAAATCTTCCTTAGGATATTTTGAGTTCAACAAAACAAACCGCAACAAAATCGGACTATGTGCGGCCGAACGCGAGCCGTTTGAACGCGCCGAGGTGCTCGACGCTCCCGCCGAATCTGCGAGGATTTGAAGTCCGCTACAGGAGAAGAGCTTCTCTGCCAAAGCCTCGGTCGTTCATCACTGACGAAAAATCAAAGACATTTTTGTAGAATAAGGGGCTTACCTCACTTCTCCACATAACCAGCTCGATCCAAGCAAGTCTGATACTGACTAAGACTAAGAGAACAGCTTTTGGATGCCTCGTGCGTGGAAGTCTTTCAGCTGACCGCGGATGAAAGAGTGGACGGCTTGTTTGACCTCTTCCACTGATTCAAAATTAACTCCTCCGGGTTCAGATTTCAGATACGATAATAAATGGCAAACCAGACCACCATTTATTCCCGTTCCTGAAATCTGAACTCGGAGGAGTTAATTTTGAATCAGTGGAAGAGGTCAAACAAGCCGTCCACTCTTTCATCCGCGGTCAGCTGAAAGACTTCCACGCACGAGGCATCCAAAAGCTGTTCTCTTAGTCTTAGTCTCAGTATCAGACTTGCTTGGATCGAGCTGGTTATGTGGAGAAGTGAGGTAAGCCCCTTATTCTACAAAAATTTCTTTGATTTTTCGTCAGTGATGAACGACTGAGGCTTTGGCAGAGAAGCTCTTCTCCTGTAGCGGACTTCAAATCCTCGCAGATTCGGCGGGAGCGTCGAGCACCTCGGCGCGTTCAAACGGCTCGCGTTCGGCCGCACATAGTCCGATTTTGTTGCGGTTTGTTTTGTTGAACTCAAAATATCCTAAGGAAGATTTTGAGCCCAAGTTTTTTAAAATTGGTCCATTCTTATGGATTTTAGAGAGGGGGGGATACTTACTTATTGAACGCCCCTCGTATTCCTCCCTTTTTGAAAACTCAAAGGATTCAGAGCCAATTCTGAAAAATAACTGGTCCAAAAAGTAGACTGGGAAAAACTAGAAAGTAAGATTTCACTGTAACTCCAAAATCCATGAACTCCTCCCCAAAATTTTACAGGAGATTTTAAATTAAGATACTGACAGTGAAAAGTTTTGAAACCTTCTTAAGTAGTCACCAGACACTGCTTTTACCTCAGCTCATTCTAATGGTTCTTCAACATTTTTCAGTGAATCTTTACCACGGAAATGAGGACTCCAGTTCTGAAGAAGCCCCTGTTAGTAAGTCATCATCACGTCCCAGAAGTGCCAGTATAGACCGAACCAAGTAAGTTTTTGACGTTACTATTTTTTACTTATTGTCTCAGTCACACCAACCAGTTAGTCTTATGACCCATCTTGATGATTGCTACAGCATAACTTCTTTGAAAAGGGGAAATGGTGGCTGATTTGATAATATTTCTTACATGGACTCCATATATTAATTAGAGAAAAGCAATCTTTATGTAATCGAAATTTCCCTCCATCAAAACAAATTACACTCAAAGTTTTACCGGTGTTTGGACCCTGATTTTGCGTTTTCCAATGATTGTGTGATTTAATACTTTGGCTGCTGCATGATTTTTTGGTAACTTCCGTTTTATATGGCAGTTGTGAATGATTGATCTTAGCTCATGCTAAGAAACATTCAAGCTTTATGCAGTTTTTTTCATTTCACTATGACCCTCAATAATGGAGAATTAATTTTTTCTGTCCCCTAATTGGTAACTAGCATAGTCTGCATTGGGTGGCATTGCAACTTTCTGCACAGTAAAATGGTTAAAATTTGCTTATGCTGCCTACCTAGTCTGTCTGGCCAATACTAAGTAGAAAATAGGAGTGAAATAATTTTGTGAGACTCTTGCTTTGACGATTGCGTAGCCTCTGTCTTTTGCTGAATTTTACAGTGATAAGAGAATTCTTGTAGACTATTGCTTCTCAATCATTTGACTTGAGGACTCAGTGCTATCAGAAGTGAGTTCTGTAGGATCTGGCTTTTCCAATCTATAAAAATTTCTCTGAATTATGTGATTTGAACTTCTCATTTCAAAGCACCTTTTTCCTGGTTTAGTTTGACATTTTTGAGCCAACAATGTTCATGAAACACTTTTTAGTGCAATCTTGCCGGTATTACAATTTTTAGTTTTTTGGCATGAAAATCCCTTTTCATATGGACGATCACAAACGTTTAATATTGATGTAATTATTTTTTATCTTAATATACTTTAAGATGTTCAAGATCTCAGCTTCAAAATATTTTATGCAGTTCTCTAATTTCAGTCGGTTCTTCTTTGTTTTAGTATGAGCCGCAGGACTTCAGGATCTCTAGGTCGCAGCGAAAGCGAACACAACCTTGCAAGAACATCAAAAGGTAGAACACGACCTGTCGAGTAAAATCAACATCATCATCAAATGTTTCCTTTTTTTATTTTTTATTACCTTTACATTTTTTCTCCTTCCAAGTACTTATTCCTGCCATATTTGTTGTCCTTTTTACTTCAATTATGAAGAGCTATTGATGAGTCATTTGGAATCTTTTTTCGATTCGAAAAGCAAATTATTTGCGCTAATGATTGACTGCACGAGTTCTCTTGTTGCCAGGATTCCTGGAGATTGCACCGTCCTATGCATGTAATTCTACTTTGTCTTTTGTTAACCAAAAACGATACGTTGTTTCAGATTACGATAACTTTAATAATTGTTTATTGAGAAACTGTTAATGAGTTTTTTCTCTCTTTTTTTGTTCCCCAAAGGGAGAGTAAGTTAGACAAGCGTTATTGTGGTATTCTACCTGATTGATTCTTTGCAGCTAGAACAATTAAATTGTTCTTTTCCATTATTTAAGCTCAATGTATTTCCTCAAGTAAATTTTAAATTGATCATTGTTGTGAAAAGAAAAAGAAAAAACCTAATTGTGTTACTTGGATTGGTTGCAGAGTTTTAATAATATTTTCGATAATTTTTTGTAATTCTTGTCCAATTGAATTGTCAACATTTTTCCCATTTCTGAGTTTTCTCCGAAAAAAGTTTTTTCTCTGTTTGAAAGATTTGTTATTTCGTAAGAAAAAAAAAGACAAAAATCGATCAAGAGAGAATCAGTGTGTAATGATAGTTAGTATTTTAAAGTTTGAGCTCAAAGGTTTAACACATTGTCTGTAATTTACCTTTTTGGCCTTATCTCTTTTATTTATGAAATTAAAAATTGTAGGTGCGAACAATCGCTGAAAATCGAAAGGGTCTTGTGTAGTCTCGAACTGAAATAACGACAAACAATGTGCCTAACTAGTTTAACCTAAGTTATTTTATTCTGTTCTCAAAGAGTGTATGTATATTTTTGATCTAATCAATTTCTAATACTAGGTATTTCAAATTTTACTCGGTTCTCTGATTAAAGTAATAAAATAAAATGAAGATAGCCATATCACCCCGATGCAATCTGAATTAACAACTGTCATTAACTAGCTAATAATGTAGGTGATATTTTTCTCTTTTTTAATTGTAGTAAGACCAATTGTTTTTTGTACAAATGTAAAGTAACATAGTTGTAATTTTTTGAAATAAATTGAATATCTAATAATATTGAAACTTAGCTTTTTCGTCTGTCGAATTGTGTGTAACCATGAGTGCAACAGTGATTTGAATGGGTCAATGACATAACATTTCTGCAGAATACCCAGCGGATGCTGTTAAAGTAGAATTTTATGAAAAAACCAAAACGTCCATTGAAAAGTTTAAAAATCACTTTTAAAAGGAAAAGAACCTGATTAGTCGTGATAAACCATGGCCATGGCCAATGGATTACATTTTGCAATAAGGAACCACTATTTCTAGCTCATTTTAGAAACAACACATATGCTATTGGTTTCTCTATGCAGAAAGGTGCTTTTACAGAAGAGCCAGAGATAGTGGTTCCTTATTGCAAAATGTAATCCATAGTAGACCATGTGTTTGGCTGGACTTCACCATATAGCGAAATTGGACACTCTCACCTACCTGCGCCACAACAGACCATTAAATGTATCATTTATGTCCAATCGAGTTCCACTCACTCATTACTTCAAGAAAATGTATTAAAAAAACATACGCCACTGATCCGTCAAAATTTTAACTGTCCTTGCGAAAATATTTTTCAAAAATTTTGACTGATGAGAGTCCTAAAAATTTGAAACCATATGGAAGTCACGGCGGTTAGTAATTATTAGTACAAAAAAGGTAGTTTTGTGAAAAAGCTGTTCAAAATTATATCCTGGTGTGTAAAAGACACAGAATTGGCGGAGTATAGAGCAAATTTATACCCTCTCTTGCCACTAAGTGGACTAAACTGGTCGGAACTAACTCTTTAGAACACCCGAGTTTTGCATTGAAACCTTGAAATCCAATCTTCAGACACAGTAGACGACTCAAGAAGATATGAATTCCAGTCTTAGGATTTATGCTTTCTCATCAAAATTTCTTGCAGAACATGCTTTGTGCAACACAACTCATTGATAGGAACTAAAGGCCAAGATTTTAATATTTTTGGATGCTCAAACTCTAACCTCTTGCTCATAAAATAACCGTAATCTTTTTGAGTTAGAAAAATTAAAAATTCTCCAAATGTGCGAAAATGAAGCTAGTCCCCTGTAAAATGACCGGTAGAGTTTGATTTTCTGGTCAAAAATGCTCTTTGGGTCCATGGGCTCCCAAAATCAGCCAATTGAGGCCATGGTAAAATCCTCGAAAATGATAAAAAAAACACTCGTTTCTTGGCTCCATAAGCCCTGCAGAGTCTGCAGACCATGCGTAATAATTTCTAGGATGTACCATGGACAGTTCAGAAAGACTTTGCGATATTTTTGCTTCAAAAACAAATGCATTTCATGTGGAAAGAAGTAATGAAAATCCAAACAAAGATTGCTCAAATTCGAAATTGGCGTACAGGGCTCTCGACCTCCTGCACCTGTGATTAACTCAACAGCACATCCAGGATTTCAGCAAAGCAGGAGATATATGGTCCTTTTTACTCACTGATATACAATTCATGAGATAATTTTCTTTTCCACTTTTCTCTTTATAAAAAAGGTGCATTTTTATCTAGAAAATGTAGGGAAGATAATTCACTATTGGAAATTTTTTTAAAAGCAAGTCGGGGAAAGGCAAAAAGAAACACTCTTGAGGAATTGTAAATGTGACGCACATTTAATACTTCAATGCGGAATGTTGAACACAATTATTTCCACTTGATTTAAATAAAATAGCTACGATAATAAAATACATTATTTACAAAACAATTCCTTTATGGGAGCTTAACATAAGAATTATACGTAAAAAAGAGCAATAAATTAGGCTTAAAATGTGGTTTAAAAAACATATTGAGCTAGCATTGAAATAAATATGGAGCTATGGTTAATCAATAGTTCATTTCACTGGAAGTTATGCTTGATTGTGTTCCTGCTTGTAGACATCGTGGTATGCATTTCTAATGAGTGCATATGGAAAGCATGACTCCAGAAGATCCATTGTCAGGAAAGGTGACTCTTGCACAATCTGCAAAAAAACAGAACATGATAAGTGAGAACAGTCCAACGCTCTTTTTAGAACCTTAAGAGTCTGGAGTCGGAATATTTTCAAAAATCACTCATTTCCTTTTTTTGAGGGTCTTGCCCTTGGGAGATCGCTCTGTACCATCCTGATAGCCATTTATCTCGTTGAAGAAAATATTCAATCCTTTCATTACCAGGCTAGATTCTGCGCGCGTATCCCCCACAACAGAAATTTTTTTGTCATGCAAGTGAATTAGAGCACTCTTTTTCATGAAATTTCAAAAGTTGCAGTTTGGATCCTCTTCGAAATGATTTACAAATGTTATACTCCTGATTGTTCAGGAAGGTTGCTCAACAATGGTAGAATTGCCTCGGGAAGGATATGATTTCGTTAAGTGCAAATGATGCGTTTAAAGTAATGAAAGGGTTAACAATGATATTTTTAAGCAAGAAGCCTCTGAAATACCTGAGGTTTTCAACCAACAGTCAGCTTGAAAGCTCAACATTGCAAAGTATTAGTGGGTGATTTATTTTACTACTTAAAGACCACGATATTATAAGGGAAATGTTAGAAAGAATTTACATTAGTCACTTCAATTCAAAGTTATCATATGGTGAACTTCGTGAGAAAATGAAACGGTGCAGCAATTTTTTTGTCTCAATATTTGAGATTAAGGTTCCATCACTATATGAGTCACGAACTCTCATGTAGTTTTCAACTATAAATATACTATTCATACGATGTAGAAAAAAATCCCTCAACTCGTGGTTCATCAACACTTCTAATCTTTGAGTTTAGTTCTCTGAGACTTACGGTTCAACTTTCTGATGAAAAGAGAGGATTAATTTTAAGCTTACTTGGTCTAATAAAAGGTATACTGATTCTCTATTCTTTGTTGCTTCCTTGTCTGCCTCTTGGCCCAACCGAAGTAGACTGGAAGATGCCAACTGAAACAATGTGATAAATAACAATATGAGGAAATAGTAATGTAGTTACTTTGATTCTGGTTCAAGCTATCTATTTTATTTCTAAAACATCAGGATGATTTTGTATTCCAGACGAAAAGAAAACACAAAATTTTTCCAAAATTTTTTTAAAAAGAAAATGACTTGAAGCCATTGAAAAAAGGCACACTTTTTTATTAATTTTATAATAAATTGACTTTAAAATTCTTAAAATCTTCGTTGATTGGTCTAATGAAGACCAGAAAACCTTTGGTTAATTTTTTTTCCCTACTAACAATTTCCCAAAACATTTGTTCAGATCTTTTTGAAAACTCCAAAGATAAAGAAAAAAATCCATTCCCTTCATTACATTCACAGGCATTTCTGAGTAACTTTTAAACCCTTGCCTTTCACTGATTTTCCATACTTACAATCTGATAGACACACTGATAACCTTATGAATGAGCAACAGAGAATTGTAAGAATTTCTTACCGCAAGGAATTCTTTCATTCTATCTTCGATGTCACCCTGACCACAAATCGTGAAAAGAGCGCCGAAGATATTGTTGACAGCTGCTGCAATGCAGTGGATATTATTCGAGTGACCTTCCAGCGATGCTCGGTAGAATGAATTATCATTTCGAGCTAGCTTTGGAATCGACACTGCCACAAATACGCTGAGCAGACATGCTAATGTATGTTCTTCTTCTTCTACAAGAGAGGAAAATATAAAATTGTTTACATTGTTTGAGAAAAGATCACAGCATAACAAAAGCTTTATAGTATTACTTTCACGAAAACAAAAGAAGGCATGAGTCTATACTCTAAAAATGTCTAAATCCAAAAGCGACAATGCATGCATGTTTTTTACACCTGATATGGATTTGCAACTGAACTGCGCACTTTTGTAACTAAAAAAGCCGACTGAGTGTCTTTCTTCTTCTTTTTTTTTTTTTAGCAAAGATAAGGTTCTGAGTTAAAGCTGTGCGTAGTAATGATTAAAAGATACGATGTCTACCTGCCTTTTCCTCAGAGAAAGAAAACTTACAGTTTTATTTCTGCACCATGGAAGCTTCAAAACTGCATCTAAGGCGTATTATTTTTTTAGCAACATTCTAAAACTTAATTATTTTACTACAGAGGAGAAATGTTTTTTTTTTTCATGGCATACAAGAAACCCAAAATAGAAATTTTCTAACGCATAATTAATCTCTGCTGAAACAGCAACAAAGCAAATTTCGGTCACTTAGAATAAGTTAGTCAGAAATTCTCAAAAAATCTATGACAGACTAGTTAGAATATTTCTATTGATGCTAGTATTCCTCACAATACAAGTAATCAAACCTCAGCAAAAAATTTTGGTCAAATGGGGACAAAATTATCTCTGCGATACAAGGATTCAAAATTTAAAATCAAACAACTTTTTCTATCTTTTTCACAGATGATTTTGGTTATTTCTTAAAAATTACCATGAAATTACTGTAACTCAAAAGTTGAATTTGAATATAAACATTTCAGAGATTCTTACCACTATTTGCAGTCTTTTGACTTCTCAGTGCTGTTGCTAAGGTGGGATCAATTTTGCACAAAAGTCCTGCGGCTGATGCCATTTCGCTCACCACCTGCAAGATAAGAGGCAAATTAGAGTATGAACTTTTTTGAAATTTCCTTACTACGAACTGATGACTACTTCATTTGCAAATTCGAATTGTTATACTGTAGCACTCCCTCAGACATCTTCAAATTTCGAAATAGAGGGCACAATATGATAAATGTTGCCCAGTCAAAATTTTTGGTAGAGCACAATTTGCATGACAAAAATTACCGAAATTGACTTCTAACTAGGATATTAACATTCTTTGATGTGTGACTTTAAACCTCCCGCTCATGAAAAACAAAATTTTAAGAGAGTCAAATTGCACACTAATCAGTGCCGTGAGTCACTACGGTATGGAAATATGGCAACCTTAAACTCAGCGATTCAGCTCAGCTACTGCACATTGCTTACACTTTGAACAACACAGTTTGGGGTAGGAATGAGAAGAGGAATTATTGAGAAGCCTGCCGATATCATTGTGGCACATGATTTGATTCAAGTAGATTCCAGATCGTTTTACACTTAAAGATTGATTTACCAGATCGCTCTTTTCATGTATGCACTTAAGCCTTGTACTTGTTCGTATCATGTATTTCAGCGTTGACTTTAAATGAGACATTCAATGATTACGGTAAACTTACTGAGACATCTGCAACTGGTGGAGCATGATGGCGAAAATCTAGAATTGAGCTCAGTAGAAACGGAATTCGCTCTTCTAGCACATCTACGAGTGCCTCTTGTGCCAACTGGCGGAAACTAAGTATGACACCAACGATTGTCATCCTTTGCAGAACGCACACAACATCTGAGATTGAAAACATAAAATTATTAGATATAGTGTTCCTTCAAGAAAACCAGCATTTTCAATGCATAAAAATCAATGTAAACAATACAAGTCAATAAAAAAATATTTCTTCTTGACTTCGAATTTTCAATGATATAAGATTTTTAACGAGTTGAATTCCAAACTACTTCCGACTGGATTTTTTCCAAAATTTGACTTAGTGCATATCTATTAAACTTGGTTCACCTCGATTTGGAACCAAAACAAACTGTAATTTCAGAATTCAAAATTTAACGTTTTTCAACAATCCTTCCTCCCTCTCCTCTCCCTCCTCATCATTTTCGGAAAGACCGTTGATGAAACTCATGGTTAAAGCTAATTATTTCATTTCCTTGGAATAACTATTAAGTTTGACAATTTTTCAACCAAAAAGGTGTGATACATTAAACAATAGTTTGAAACTAACCGCTATTGCTGCCAAATCCCCTAAATGCAGTCTATTCAATGGAAGAATTCGAAAAAAAAAGAAAAAAAAACAAGAAGACTTACGTTGCAGCTTTTTAAACTGCTCTTTCATGATCTCAGGTTTGTCGAAATTTGAACGCAGGGACAATAGAACCTCCTTGTTGTTTGCCACCAATTGCTGCACAGAACACAAAATCTAATGAGTGACGGATGGTTTTCGAAGGGTGAATTAATTTCTAAAGCACATGCAGTGTTAAAAAAGAAGAGAAATGCTTGATAATATTAACTTACTGAATGCAAGTGACATACTATCCTGCTACTTAAGTTAGAGACATCAAAGTTAAATCGATCAATAACTTAATTTTGCCCCTCTTTGATCTCTTATGTCAAATTTTAAAGTAACTACCTTGTATAGAATGAAGGAGAACAAAAAAAAGAACATCACTTCAATCTAAAGGATCAAGAAGAATGAAAGACAATATCGTCTGAATAATACTGACCTTCATTTCTTGAACTTGACTCGCAATGTGCCACATAAGGGTTTCATTGAGCATTTTCATCCCATACGGCCCTATCAGCTCTGCAAGTGCCCGCAGTTCATTGATATCAGAAAACTCTTCGGCATTGAATGGAATAGCACCTTCTGCAGTCAAACTCACAAATGAGCGTTGGTTCAGCGAGAAACAAATGTTACCCGCACTCACGCGTCGCAAAAGCACTTCTGAGTACCTATATCAGCATAAATATTATGTAGTGAATGGTTGACATTAAAATGAAACATATTTTTTAATAGAGACTGAAGTATAATTGCATCAAAGACATTGATTGATTGATTTAATAAGTTATTCTTCTAGAAAAGTAAGTTAAATTAATAGCTTATGGCAGAAGGCTAGCAAATACGACTCAGAAATTTAATAATAAGGACACAGCATGCAGTGGTTGAATAAAAAAACGGCAAAACTCCTTTCCTTTGTCATTAAATTATAAAATTAAGTAACATTCAAAGATAAACCTTTGCATTAATTCCATCACTAAAACATGTAGATTCTCCTTTCAATTTTCTCATACATACATGTAGGTCTACTAAGTTTAAAGCCATTTGAAAAACACTAGCAATTAAATGATGAAGTGAAGTAAAATTTCAATTTTGAAATTCACATATATTACTGCATTGAACATTTAGGATCAAAAATAGTTTCATCACCCCCCTAAATTATACTTATGAAACGGATTATTTGTAGAAAATTACAGATAAGACAGGAGGGCAGAAAATAAAAGATTCTAGGTTATGTTTAAAAGGCAAGGACAGTATGGATAGGTTTTTTTCTGAGATTTTGCAAAAATTTGAAAAGAAAAAATTGATATAAAAAAATATGGATAAAAAAGCCAGAGAAAGATATTATGTCGCTCCTACAACATGCTCCGGCACTCCATGACACTCAAAGACCACATCAATTTCAATTTTTAGTTATTATTAAAGGCCATGGGGCAACTGACATCTCCGAATCTCTTCGTTGAGAGTTAAAACATAATCAGAGAAAGGTATGTCACACGAAAAAATCGAAAGAATAAAGAGCTATGCACCAAGGTTCTCACCATTGGGTGTATAATGCTGCAACAGTTTTTTCACCATGACTGTCTGTAGGCTGAGTTTGATGTAATAAAACATTGTTAAATACCCGTACCATATCAATGTGAACTGGAAAAAATCAAACACAGAGGTCAATTTTAAAAAACATTGGTTAACTATAAACTGCATGGCACACTCTGTAGAACTTCCCAAACAAATCGTACAAATTGTTGGCTTTGAAAAACGGTAATGTAAAAAATTCGTTGAAAGGTATGTATATAGAAAGAGTTGTACATTTAGAGTGAATTTGGTGGAAAGGAACTAAGAGCATGATATGTTTATGAAACACCTATATGCGTAGGGTAATCAACTGCGAAAATGTTGTTTCTGATATTTGCCAAAAAGTTTGTTTTTTTTTTCTTTTTTTGTGCTAAAATTGGTCTACCATGGATATCATGGGAGCTGCCGATTTACTTTCGGCACGCTCTAATGCTGTGGTTAATAGGCGAAATTTTGAAACTGGGGAGAGTTGAACAAAGTCTTTTTCTAAGAATTAAAAAAATTTATTTTAGTTAGTTTGAGAAATATTTCAGACCAAAAATATAGGATTCTCACTGTAGATTATTGCATCCTTACTGCACTGATAAATGTGCATCCTCTAATGCTTTAAACAGAATTTCATGTTTTACACCATACATATAAAAAAAATCAGAGATTTTCTCCGGGTATTTGTCAGAGAACTTAGCTGCACCAACCTCCCGAGGATATAAATCACTGGGTGTAACTTAAAAAAAAAAACAGTAAATGTTAAAGGAACATAACAAAACAGGGCCCATCTGGAATCTCGGAGGATTGACTGAATCATCGCAACAATTGAATTTAAAAAAAAATTAGGCCAGCCTCATAATAAACTTTTAAAGCATGTTTATTTCACTGAAAAAGTTTACACGTAGTGGTAACAACTTTTTTCAATTGAAGCAGCTAATAACAGTAACATAGCACTAAAAAGAAGAGTTGGGAAAAGGCTTACCATAATTTTCAACAGTCTGCAAAACGCTCATGTATGAACGAACACTGGCAAGAAGCTCGGATGGTTTTGCGATTTCGCTGGTGTCCGGATTGAACATGACCATACCATGGAGGGCCCTTGAGAACCGGTTTTCCAAATGCTGATACAAATACTCTCTTGGCGCAAAAGTAAACTCCCAAACATTAACTGTTGAACAGTAATTGATGGCGAAGCACAGCTCCGTCAGTGCCATGTGTAGTTTGTCCATTCTGAAATCACAAGTAAAAATTTTATCGGTCTGATTCAATTCAGTCTATGATCAAGAATACTTACTACAGAATTATTGAATATACCTTCATTTAAAATCCATTCTATTGAGTCATTTTATTGACAACTTTTAAATTATTATTAACTTGCTCAACAATTAAGTAGGACATAACAGACATATTTCTGCGCCTTCATCTCCTTGCATTCTTAATACACTATTACAAATTTTATAAATGCCTGAAAAACGCGAGATTTAAAGGAAGTTCAAAAAAGAAGCTTACGTTGTTAGTTCCTCCCTAGTTTTTCTGTAACTTTCAATACCAGGTTTGGCAAATTCATTTCCACCTTTCTTGTTTTTATCTTTCTTTTTCCGGTTGACAGCTTGAGATATGAGCACAGCGCAGTGCTTTGGAAGCAACTGAAAACAAAGAAAAGAATAATAAAGTCAAATGAATGAAACTGTTTCACTTACAAAGAAATCATGTCCGAACACTACATTTGGGCATTAAGGTGACCGATTTTTCATCAACTATATTGCTAAATTTGAGGTTGAATCTGAATTAAAAAGAATACACACCTTGTCACTCATTAAACACTGCTCATCACAAATTGCTGTAATAATATTCTTCGCTTCTTTGGCCATTTCATCCAGGAACATGTTGACAACCGCTAAACTTCTCTCCCTGATATGATGTCTCTGTTTCCGAGCAAAAAGCAATTTATTAGTAAAAAGTAAAAAACTATTAACTAAAAGTGGAATAAATTTGCATGTGGGAGAATGTGGACTAGGAATCAAACAAATATTACCAAACAATCAAAGCTTGGCTTTTCCTATCAAGTTTAGCAGTTCCTCCGGGCAGTATCATTCCAGGAAAAATTTTTAAGAAAATGGGTGAGGGAATTTTTTTTGCACCAAAAAAAAACTGGGAAGGCACCTTCCATACACAACAAAAGGCTAGTATAAAGAGGAAAAATGAAATTATTAGCTGAAATTTTCTAAAAACTTACAGGCTTAAATTGTTGAAGATATTTTAATTACGAGAAGGGACTCATCTTTTTTACTGGGAAAGTAAATTTTAAGTTAAAAATGCGGATTGGAAAGGAACTTACTTCCTCAGGACAGAGTTCGTGAGTACAGCTTTGGAAGTGATTGCATATGAGAGGAAATGCAATAATGTATCGATTTTGTGCTGGAAACTCCAAACACATGTGAAACTGATCCTCGAAAATCTTACTGTAAAAGCTAAGGAGAAAAATCAAAATTATCACCAGGAAAGTAAATACTGACAAAATTAGAGGGAGACAGATCTTGATTGCTATGTTTGAAACTTTGAGATCCAATTTCATTTTTTCATTGGAATATTATGAAAAAATACTTCAGTTACGCAATTTTCAGAACATTTTCTTAAAAGAAGGAAAGAAAACTCACACAAAATTTTGAGCAAAAGCCATGATCAGTAATTCTCCAAAAACGTAAACTAGGACAAGAAATCTGCTTTAAGGGAAACCTAAACATATGTTTCTTAATTTCCCTATCGATATTCTTAACGCAAAAAAAGCAGATCACGGTAAGGATGGTGTCTATTGGTTTTCTGTTCGAAAGATAAAGAATGACGGCAAATAAGTAACTCCAAAAATTGTAACATTACATTTTTGGGGTTACCCATCCATATAATAAATTTGTTAAACAACGAGAAATGACAAGAAACGGCATACAATTTTCAAATCTACTGCATGGAATTTCATCATACACCTAACGTGTGCTCACGAACAATCGAAGATTTATAAGAGTCGAAATTGGAGAGTACTCCTATGAAAAGATAGGGTCGTTAGAACTAGACGTCTCATGACTGTGGCTACAAAAAAACAAAGGTTCATCTCTTCAACTCGAAGCGAAGATAAACATTTGTTAGGGTAGAAGTATCATGAGTCTTACCAGAAAATTGAGAGATCTGAAGTTTCGACCATGATTTCATCAAGATAGTCGACCATTTTGGTGTGAAAGCTGATTGTATCAAGTAGGCATGCAAGATCTCTGCTCTCGGGCAGCGACAATGGGGCTTTGGCAACACTTGTGTATGCTTGCAACCGGAACCAATCCAAACGCAGTGGGCGCAGGTCAAACAGGTCATTTTCTTCAACTGCAATTTAGTAGAAAATAAAAGGAACTTTAGTCAAGTTTATGATCCCACAGAGAAGAACGGGTTTAAAATCAGGAAATTTTTCCCTAGGTTTCAAAGTTTTTTTTCCGTACAACTCAATGTTAGGGACAAAGTTTATCAACTATTTTTACCCTCAAAGCATTTTTTCTCGATTTTGAATTCGGGACAGAGGAGAATTTTTGACTGATTGAATTCGAAGCTACTCCTGACTCATTTTTTTTTCCAAATTGGGATTTGGTGCTTTTCTGTTCTGCTCTATCCAAAAGAAGATGACACAAACAGAAGAGCATAAGAACGTAAAGAGTCAAAGTCTAAAAAACTCAAAGTACTCATGTTTGAAAAGCCTCAAACCTTGATACCAATTGAAATTAGTAATTCTTTTCAATTACGAATACTTCTAATTATTAAGATTTTAATACATCAGGTTTTTACGTTTTTTCCCCAGATAATTTAGAATAGTTGTTTTAGTCTCATACCTCTGAGCTTTACATTCCCTCATACTTCCGTGCACTTTTGAACAAGATCAAAGCATTAAATAAAAGCAATTATGTTGTTTTTGCTTATCCTCTCATTAAAGGAATTATTGACTTAGAATGAGATTCAATAATTTAGAATTACTAGTGAATACTGAATTCAATCAAACGAAATTTCCATTACTTAAAATATAATACCTTGCTTAACTGAAAGACTGGCAATGGTGTTACAAATCGACGAAAGGATAATGCTCTCATCTTCAGGACAAACTGTCAGATTTGGCATCATCTGATTCAATGCAATTGCATCGAAACCGGCTAGGTATTGCACGTAGTAACGCTGAATCACTTGACTGTATTTACGGACGAGGACTGGAAACAAAAAAATAAAAGTAAATTAGAAATCAGAAGAAGAAGCTGATGACTTGAGTTGAATTGAACTTGAATTGAAAGCTATACTGAATTTGCAAAATTGAGAAATTGTAAAAATGAAGGTAAGTCTGTTGGTGGCTTGAAATTGAAAGATCATTCCCTCATTCAAGAATCCTGAGACATTTTATTAAATTGCAGTAGTTTTAAAAAATTAGGGTACTTTTTATTCATGCTACAGTAAAAGCTCGTTAAGACGAAAAATGAAGGGACCGAAAAAAATTTCGTCATAAATGGCTTTTCGTCTTAACCGTTCTCCGCTTAAGATGAAATTTTTCGGCATAAGCGGCAACTGCGCTTAAGACAAAATTTTTCAGCATAAGCCAAAATTTGGAAGCAGTTTTAAATTTTTAAATTTTATACAATACGAAATCGAAATTTTGAATTTTATTAAAATACGCAAATTGGTTTACCGTCAACTGTCGATTGCATCTCAGTCATCCAGCAAAACAGAGGATACCCACGATCTACTCTAAACCTACTCTTTTTATGTCAAGGTACGTAAAACTAAGTCTATTTTCCCTAGGAATTGGCTCTTTTTTGTCGTTTTTACCCAATTTCAGGGGAAAAAATCGGAAATTTTTCTTCGTCTTAACCGGCTTTGGTTACGGGTCAAAATTTCGAAATTTTGTCTTATCCGTATTTTTTTTACATTGACTCTTATGGAAGTGTCAAGGGACCGAAAAAATTTTTTCTTAAGCGGATTTTCGTCTTAACCGTATTTCGTCATAACGAGCTTTTACTGTATTTGTAAAAATCCGAATTATTTGGAAGCGTTTGCCCGATAGATCACAGCAATCCAAATAAAATGTTTCAGGTGATCTTAAAACAGAGAAACGTCTTGTGCCTTTATGTAAAAAACCGAAGGGGTATAGAAAATGCTCCATCATGCTTTCGAGAAGGCACCAGAAAATATGAAAAAGCTCTATTAAAAGTGGAAGGAGGGAAAATTTTTAAGGGTCAAAAGCTGAAATTCAAAGGTAAATAAAAAAAAAGATCATCTCTCTTGAAATTAGAGGGAACTTCTATGGAAAGCTGGCTGGCAGGCACTTGAAAATGTGGAAGCTTCAAAAATTCTGCTCCCCTGAAAAATCGATTCAATTCTTGAACGGTTTCTATCTTAAAAAATTCAACTGGTGATTTATTGATCCCTAGTCAGTATTAGGCAGACAAAGTTTAAAAAATAGGAGAAAAAAGCATGGCCACATTCATTAAAGAATCTGTAAATGAAAAACCATAGCACGTACATTGTTTTTTCAAGTAAGTCAACAGATTTACTTCATTTCAGCTAAATTTCTTCTGAATATATTGAGATTATAATCATTGGGAGGGATTTAAGTATTGAGCTAAGAAAATATACCCATTCAACACTGAATTTTCATTTTAAATGAGATTTTAGCTTACTCCGTAGTTCTTCCATGTGAAAGAGAAGTTCAGGCAATTGGCGATCCACAAGATCTTCCGTAGATTTGCCTTTGCTTTTGGTTGGTGCAGGATTGTCATTGTGTCGTAGGAGCCAAAGTACCTCATCTCGGGCGTAGCATAGACCAATAAATATCAACAAACACTGAAAAAGATTAAGAAGTCTATGTAAGAAACAAACGATTAGTGAATAGACCATTATCATATTTTCAAATGCAATTGATTCTGAGCAGAAAATCGCTTTTGCTGACCTCTGAAAATGTATTTAAGCACTCATTCTGAGCATACATGATTTTTTTATCTAGACTTCCCAAAAAATTATAAAAACCTTTGAATGATCCTGGTGACGGATAACTTTCAAACGTTGTTCTATTCGAAAAAATGGAAACTGATCTTGTAGGAACCTTCAAAATGTGTCAATGGAATGGGCACATGGCACCCATTTCTGTCTTTAGTTAATTTTCTGAAAGTAAGGCTTGTACTAAGCTTCACAACATTTTTCAGATTTTCTTAAACTCTAAAAGGCAAAAAAACCAGTTTGGAAAATGCCAAAAAGAGGACCCGTCTGAGATAATATGTTTGAAGGACTCTAATGACCTAGCCAGGAGATGGAAACAGCGTTTGCTGAAAGGCTGAACTCAGCATCAGGCATTGCCTTTCTGTATCGACCCGACTATCAGCTTTTGATAAGCTCTTTCTCTCCTTAGAAAACCTTTTTGAAACTTTGTAATAAACTTTTTGATTTTTCAGAAAATTTCACAAATAAAAACATATAATACAATCCTGCAAAAATTATTGGCCACTGCCTTGTTATGTTGCTTAGCCAAGAACTGTCAAGATGAAACTTGAAAACTAAAAAGGGTTAATAAAAGTTAGCCATTTCTTTAAATGTAACAATCTGAATAGAAATTATGAGATGTACCTTGGGTCCAAGAAGTCCTGGCTGATCTGAAAAGATGAACCCTAGCTCTTTAAGCGCCGTCCGGAGGAATTTCCGTCGTTCTCGGTGTTTGTAGGTTCTGAAATATTTTAATCATCATCAGATTTGAAAAAAACTGAGTTAATAAAATCATACACATTATATATTCTGTACATAAAAACAAATATTCTAAGGAGAATTGACATAAACATGGAAAACTGACACAGGGCTCATTCAGGCTGAAAGATTCTTATCAGGGCACAAGTCATGGAGTAGAAAGAAGAAAGTAACGTTTAGAGACCGGACACTCATTACATTAGATTTGGAGGGAGATAACAAAAGCTTGCACTTAGAAATGGGAATTGACGTCAAGTCATCTGTTAGCCTTCTTTTATTAGGCTCTTATTGAGAGAGTTACAACATCGAGGGTGCCAGTAATAACGATAAAAAAAATTCCCTGGTGTTTCTCTTGCAAAGATTGAGTAGTTACCCTGTAAAGGGTAAGTAGATAAGGTATGAACTGAAGCACTTTCTTTTATTTTCTTAGTTTAAAATTTTAAAGACAAAACGATGACCTTGACTGCACGTTTTGAAACTAGCGCCTGAGCAGTACTGCCATGCTAGGCTGAAATGCTGTATGAACAGCTGCATTTTACCAAATTTCTTTTGATGTGGTATTTATGTTTGAGAAAAGTTATGGATATTTTCCTTGAAATATGCAGATACTTTAAATCAGTCACAAATGAAATTCACAGAAAAATTAGAAGAAAAATTTTCACACGTTTCCCTGAAAATTTGTATTTTATCAAGGTAAATTTGGTAATGTTTGAAGGCTTATTCAACGTTTTTCCTGGACATGGTAGAATATAGACATTTGTAGAAAGAAAATTAAGAAATGTTGATGCAGTTGACCTCATCATTAGACATTGCATCTAATTTGTGTTCAGAATTTATGTCATTATCTCACTTGGAGGATGATTTTCTAATTCGAATAAATTGCTTCTCAAGTTAAATAGTGAGGAAAAAACCAAGAGCAAAAGTGTCTTTACATCCTGACCCGATAGTTGTCCCCTCCCACGCCGCGTGCACATACACAACAAAATGTTCGAATTTAAAATAAAATTTTCAAATTATTATGAGACAGAAGTAATCATGAGATTATTTTAAGAGAAATAATCATGATACCAAACGAATACATAATTTTCAAACATTCAGTCAAATTATAAATTATGCAAGTTCAAGAGTGTTTGCACAGATTTTTATTTTTTTCTCCATCTGGAAGCTTGTTTAAATTTAAATTAAGTGATGTAAGGAACTTACGCTTTTTGAACTGCGACATTATAACAGTCCTTGAGTTCTGAGACACGCTTTCCGTAGCCCTTGATGGAGTCGAAAAATGTTTGAATGTAACTGTGGATGAAGATAACCTCATCTCGAAACAGCATAATGACCCAGCTAGACTCGAGGGCGCTCACCCACAGTTTATTTGGCTGCTCTTGGTTTAGAATTTGATGGTTCAGCATAAAACCAACTGATAAAGAGAGAGAAACACACATCAGCTAATTAGTTGAACTTGATTTTGTTCGCGTCAATTGTACTTGTAACAGATCCATTTGGTAGTTGAATTTGACAAATTAGCATGAAAAAAGAACAGTGCAATGATCCAATCTCTGCACCTAAGATTCAGAGAGAAGTCCAGGGTGCAAAAAATTCTAGGCCACAAGACAAGGGGGTCAAAATCGATTGCAGGAAAAAATAGGGAGGCCTCGAAGCAGGTTTTAAAATTGGGAAGGCCAGTATGCACTGGCGTTAAAATTGGGTATTTTCCAAAAAATCAAGTTGAAAATTGCGTGTTCCTAGCAAACCTCAGTAAAAAGGGCAAATTTTGCGCAAAATTTCTACAACTTTTAGAGAGCAAAAAAAGGTAATCACTTTGAAATTTTGAGAGAACACCCAATAAATGGGGAGGCAAAATAAGAGGTCTAAGAACTTTCTGCATCCTTGGAGATATCATTCTTTGAGAAATACCATCCATGGTATTTTTCAAAAAGGGATGACTCTATCCATATAGTTGGATGTAGAAACTTAATATTTAGAGGATCTTATATTCTTTTGCTGTCCTAAAAAATTCTCGATTCAAACTATCATTCCATGAAAAATGCAAATAATCTATTTAGTTTGATAAAAGGGCACTGATAGTTTGCTGTCGACTGTTTCTTAATTCTGGTGTTGGAGTTAAATGAAAGATTAACTATGGAAATCTTATCTTAGAAATTTTTCTTACCAACGCGACTTAAATCATTTAACTATTTAATCAAAGGCAGCAGTTTCAAAAACAATATTTGACAATTTTTTCAACTTTAACAAGTTAAGTAGATGATGGTACTTATGAGGGAAATGACTCTTGTCTTATTTGAAAATTGAAAGGAGCGGTACTTCAATGAGCGTATGCAGTCATGATTTTCTTCATACCTGAAAAAGTCTCTTATTTCTTGCAGGGTGTTAATTAGAGGAGTGTAAATAAATCGGTAACAAGAAAAACTGGATTCTACTCACAAATAATCCATTTCTCCATGGTGTCCAAAGACAGATATTCACAAGTCATATTCTCCGTTTGAAACGGTTTCAGGATCTGACCTGGATTGGAAATAACGCTCAATTTCTGGTCCGACCTGTAATACCATAAAAATGAAAGATTAAGAAGGAGGATTGAAAAACAAGCTATGATAGGTAGCTAAAATATTTAATCACTTCAGATGCTGAAGAAGATTATGCGTTTATTTGGGATGAAAAAAAGTACAAAAAAAAAAAATCTGATTCCTTGACAAAAAAAAAATAGGACACTAAAGAAAACTTTATCCGCGGAGAAGGGCTAATTTTACCGAATTTTTGGCCTGTTTCACGACAGTGTTACCAGAAGGATTTTAGATATTTTACTTGGAAATTAATTGGTCGTTGAGTTAAGCTTTGTAACCCTCAACATATTGCATTAAATCTGAGACTTAATTGACATTTGATAGGAAATATCAGGTTTTCCTGTAAAAAATTGTGAAGTTTGGCAACACAAGGCCTAAGCACAAATGGCGTTCGTGATACTCGAGCCGAGGAGGACAGTATCTTGTACACAGGTTTGACTCAGATTTTACGCAAGTTTCACAAGTGAAATTTCTGAACTGGAAATTTCTGGTTTTGGTTTACAGAATGACACAATGTTAGCAAAATTGAGGACACAAGAAGATCTATTTCTGATGAAAAGCAAGAATCTTCTGCGAGTAAGAATAATAAACATAAACAGACAATCTTACCGCCACTTATCTGCTGAAAGATTCCTGTTTACGTAAACAGGCCATAATGACATCAACGCTGATATCAAGAGTTTTTGGTGCGGAATAAACTCCTCCGATAGCTTTTTCAATGGAGCATCGTAATCCATGATTAACTGGCCTAGCCGCGGAAAGCTCTGGTCACTGGAAATTAAAATAATTTCTTCAGTCCACAACTGAACTAGTTGAAAGCAGTTGGAGAAAAGACACATTATGCATGCAGTAAGGTGAAGAAATAAAAATATTAAAAACAAATTGATTGATAAATCCTAGGCACTACTGCAGCCCGACCACAGACTTCTTTGGCTCCCGGCGATGGAAGTGCGAGTTTGTTCCATAGCAGTTCCATCGCTAGAATTTTTGCAACCACAGACCTCAATGGAACGGCTGATAGATTACGGTCTGTAGTCACCCTCAAAGGGTATTCAATTGGAATGGAGCCGAGTTCTATCAATATCGATGGAAGCAAGAAGTCCGTGGTTGGGCTGCTGATAGATGTTAATGACCTAACCTAATGATGTTAACCCAATTTGAGGTAATGCAACACTTCATCAACATAAAAAGTTTCTTATCTTGAAAATATTGTGTACAAGCACGGATGCTGTAGTAAGTCACCAATACTGCAACACCTGGGAGAGGGTAGCTCCAATAAGCAGATTTGGAATGGCCACGTAATAATCATGTAATATTTGGGAATATGAATGAAGAAGCGGTGATTACGGCTTCAGCAACCTCAGCCATGAACACAGGCGAAATGTAAATTCCAGTGTTTTTCTACTTTTCATTATGCGCACAAATGTTAAAATTATGTATTCATACTTCTTATTTGTAAGTAATTACTGCATTCTGGAGTGATGCGCATTCAAATGTTCAATTTCAAAATAAACATAAGTAAGTAAAGCACCTTATACATAAACTCATAAGCTGATCTTATAGATCATATGACTTTTGCTTCAGTTCAATGAAAGATTCTTTTTACATTATAAATCAAATTTGCAGAAAGATGAATGCTTGATTCTTCAACATTTAAAGCTGGTTGTATGCCTGATTGTATGGTCTTTATATGAATCATGTTCCCAGTCTGAGATCATGGGCTGAATAAAAATGTATATGATTGATTGATTTAATATCCACAAACCTTTGACTATTGACCATTTCGTAAGCAGCATTGAAGAGACCCAAAACAGCTTTCCTGTCTTCAACCCGTGACAAGAGAATCATCAGTGATACATAAGTTGTGACGAGGTCCAGATATGCTTTGGTTAACTCAAAATTAAGCGTCTGGAAAAGAAAAGTTACTTACTTTCATTCTTTACAAACTAGCAACAAAACACCAACAAAATTGACTTCATCACTCATATTCAATCTCTTTAGAGATGATTGGTCAGTCAGCTCAAGGCGTTGATCTTTTCCAGTGAGAGAAAAGGTATCATTTTGAGAAAAAATATGATACAATCATATGATAGGTAGTATTACCAGCCATCATAATATAACAAAATTCAATTATATAGGATAATATCTTCGACAAGCATTGAAGAAAATCTCTTAACTAAAGTTCAAGAGTTACTAAAAGCTGGAAAAAAAAGAAATTAAGTAAATTGTCATTTTTAAAATGCAGAACAACTATGTGCCCAAAATCTATTTAGTTAAAATGAATGGGTAGGTTTTATTAAGGGACGCTCATACAAACACTAATTCATTAAGACGCTACATTTAAGATGTGGTAATTCTAAGATCAGAGCTCTTGAGGCTTTAAAACTCACAGCTTAAAAGTTTGAGCAATTACTATGCCAACAACAAGAATATCTTTATGATATCTCCTACAAAAACGTTCAAAAGTATTCTCTTGGAAAAATAAAATATGAGCAGAGATTTTGAAATAATAGAGTAGAAATATGTTTCCGCAGTTTCTCAGTTTTGCCACTGATGCAAAAAGTGTCATTCACCTTTAATAAATGAATTTGAAGTAATGCATAAACAGAAGAAAATTGACATATTAGAGCCTAAAAACGTATAGATGACCAGGGGACAAAACCACATACTTCCGTTTGCAATGTTGCAGACTTCCTGTCACGCTTTCTTTTTTCTTGGGGATTTAGTCAACGTAATTTCTTAAAAACCTATTTGATTTTTCTTTTCTGTTAGAAGAATATTGTATAAATTTCAAGCTGTAAAATTGGCTTTTTTTTTACAAAAAAATAAAATGGGAGTGCAGATTTTGAAATACCGCAAAGGAGGTACATGCTTCCACTTTTGGGCCATCTATGAAATCCTTCTAAGTCAAACTAGATGGTGAAAAAAGGAACTTACAATATCTAAGTGAACTCCGCAGGCATCCATGGTTGTGAGCAGCTCGCACACATTGTCTTTGAAGTCTAGAAGATCAACAAACGTGTAGTAATACAGGGACAAAGACTTTATTATCTCTGTGCGGATTCCACTGATTGATTGCAACTGCAAAAACAAAGATGAAAATTAGGATGGTAAAGTAAAATACAAGACAATTCAATACAATATAATAACAATATTGTTGTGTGAGGAACAACATGACCTAAAAGACATTTGCCGCATGCACTGATGGGTAACAGAGATACTCTTTGTGTTGAGAAAGAGACAGGTTGAGTAATGTCTTCATGTATCAACTGACATTTTCAAGAACGCACCAAGTTCGAAACCAAGAAAAAGAAGCTTGAATTTTTATTCCTTTACAAGAATTAATATTAAGGACAAACTTCAGAGACTATTTTGATGCTCACAGTATTTTTTCTGAACTTGGAATTTTTGAAAGAAGATGATTTACGACTAGTTAAATTCTAAACTACTCCTGCAGCCTGATTGTTGAAATTTATGTCGGCACGACAAGAATCGAAAATCGATATATTGCACGGCGCATATAGGGCTATGTCTTGTCTTATCGTGCCGGCATAGCCAGTTAAAGTTTCAACAATCCGGCTGCTGACTCATTTTATTCCACTAGCGCAACTTGATATGCTTCTGATTAACTCATCCCACTTGGCGGAATGTACATACTGAAAAACCTAAGTTTAAAGGGAAAGTTCGGTAATATATATTAAATTTGGTGAATACAATGAACTCAGTTCATATAGCACCTTCATACAAGGAGATAAAATTCACTGGTGCAAATCCTCCATTTCAAGAAATAGCATTGCAAACGCAATTCAAAGTTTTACCATCCATTTTCTCTTCACTCAGAGCGTCAAAGAGAGTCTTTCTTGCTATTCCTCTGTAAGATTTTTCAAATCTCATACAGCTAGCAATTTTATCTATCATCAAGTGCATTTCAGAGTGTTTTGAGAGAATAGCGGGGACTACTAGTTTCAACTGGGGACCCGCCCGGCAAGTGGTTGCCTGAAGTAGATGCGGAAATGTTGTCACAATGTAACTGCCAAAAATAATGTTGCGGCAACGTTGCAGCAACGTTGTGGCAATGTTATTTTTGGCCGTTGCCGGACGGGGAACAACACAAAACTGCACTGATATGAAAAAAATGCAAGGCAAAAAGTCTATTAAGGATGAAGTTTCTTTGGTCTTCCAAGTTCATAATGCATGCGGTAAAATATGTTCGTGCAAGAGGGTTTAGGTGTTATCAAAACATAAAACGTAGATCACTTACTCCTTTGAAATCAATGTTGGGAAATTTTCGCACGATAAACTTTATGGAGGGTTCAAGGCTTTTGTCTGATAAGAAGCCAGGCTTGGACTTGGCGTCACCGCATGCCTGTAAAATCAATGAAATAAGATTTGAGACATAATAATATACGTTTTACTAAGAGGTTTTCGGGACAGATATTGGTTGAGACTGAAAATATTGGGACACAGCTCAAATTAATCGAATTACATCTACCAGTCAAGCTACCTTGATTATTAGGTGTCTAAACCATTGGCATAGAATTCATGGGCTTTTTTTTTTTTTCCATGGAACACAATGGATTGGGATCTTTGCAGTTCGGGACAGTTCAACCGGCCTAACCGCAGCCTCAACCCACCCTGGAAGAGCGGTCCAAGCGTTCCACTGGAAGAGCGGTCCAAGCGTTCCACTGGAACGCATGGAACACATTGGAACGCGCCAGTGGAATGGGATAGAAAAGTGATGCGTTCCGTAGTGTACCTCCGCGGTTCAGATGAAAAAAAAAGCCCTCTAGAAAGTTTACATTCAGAATACTTGCCATCATGGTATGAAAAATTAATGGGAGGGCCAACAACAACATGTAACCATTAGCATAGCAATTAATGTAATAATATTTTTCAATGTCTTGTCTCACAGACAATAGAGAAAATTAAAACTCCAATTAAGAGGGAGAATAACTCATGTCAATGGCTAACCTCAAGACCCACATATTTTGGTTTTCATCATTGTGGAGATTCCATTAAACTTTATTTCTAAATTAGAAAATGTGCGAGTACAATTCCTTGAAACTTTCATCGAATTCTCTTTCCGTAGGAAGAATATTCTATGGAAATTTCAAGCAATGAAGTTGGCTCAAGGCATTTCAGAGAAATGAAATACGAGCATAACTTCTGAAACATTGCCATTCAGAGTGCTGGTTTCTTAGTTTAGCCATCCATATAAGTTATGGATACCCTGAGTAATGTCGAACAGTGCATACCTTTTTGATGTTATAAATGCGGGTGAGCATTCCAACTCCCCTCACATTGATGATGCTAAGTTTCTCAGCCAGCTTCTGCTGGCTTGGTGCTAAAGGTCTCGCCATAATGAAGTGAAAAATTGATTCCGCAGGACAAATTTAATCACCGAATGATATCATTCTAGCGCTGCTCAACTGTCGGCAACACTTGTCACGAGTCCATCGCAGACTCTAATGATACCTGTGTGCAGAGATTCTCGACACGTAATAAGAGAGACAGAAACATACTTAAAAGAATAAAACCTCTACAACGATCGCACTTGGCTTTCGGAAGAATAACTACTTCAGTACTTAAAGGTTTAGATAAAAAAATTAGGGGTCCAAAAGTTAACCTCCTCTGATAGGTACTTGAATTTTGAAACTATAGGTAATGCTTTTTCAACTGATCACTGTCTTAGAACTGCACAAAGTGGGTTGAAAATCTTACAGTACGGCAGAAAGTTGTGAGCGTTAAAAGTCGGGTGAATTAAATTAATTAATTAAACAATTGACGGCTCGGTTATTTGTTTACAGGCGTTCAGCCAGCCGAGCAGCCGACTCCCATACGACACTGTTGTCAGACTTGTCGAAAAAATGGTGTCGAAAGGCAATACAAAACTACATTTTTCAATGGATGAATGGAATGATATTAAAAAAAAAAAAAAAAATGGGTGAATTTTAAAATTTCTCACAGTGTGTATTAAAAAGTCCATACTTGAAAGGAGATCCAGATTAATAAAAAGAAAAACTAAGCGAATGGGCAACGTTGTTGAAAATTCTCCGATAGAGCGCATTACGTTCTGCATGCATGTCATGTACTAAGAATTGCATAGATTGGAAATTGAAGGCAATTAAAAACGAGAAAGTAAAAATTATTATTATTAACTTATAATGAACTAAGCCTCCCCCTGTAGGTTTTTGTACGAACGGCGTTCCATACTAAACCTCTGAATTTTTCAACCAGTATGGTCGAAATTTTTATTCCATTAAAATATTAATTTATCACCACTCTGACAGCTCTTTAAATCAATAAGATTTTTAAAGACTAGGCTGCTGGAGACCTCTTAGATTACTTTCCCTCTTTTCCTGTACGCCCAGCGGGCCGATTATTAAAATTTAAACCAGCCCTATAAGACATCGAATTGCGATATATTGCATGGTTGAGATAGAGCTGTGTCTTGTCGTGTCGGGCTGACATAGTTTCAATAATCGGGCCGCAGGATGAGGAATCACATAGTTACAACAAAAGTGGATGGTAGGTAATCTGAAACGGGCTGTAGCAATTGTTTCTTTGGTGTTCCAAGGAGTTTTGACCATTGAAAACTCTAATGGAGAATTTGCACGCAATTTTTTTATTGCTTCATCTGAAAGTGCCTAATGAGCTGAGTTCGCAATATTTTTCATAATTTTTTTCTGACATGGGAAATTGGAGAAAAATTGATTTAAAAGTGAGAAAATGTGCCGCCTTGTGACGTCATCTGGCGGCATTTCCCATTTAAACACATGTATTTTAGCAGAATCGGTTATTTTGTTATATCTCCTCTAATAGTTGCTCAATTTATGAATCAAGGGTATCTTCGTGTTCAGTTCACTCAGAGGATTCCACTTAAACAGGAAATTCATCAAATTTCAGACCCTTGCAAATTCTCCATTCCGATTTCACACCCGACTACTAGCATCTCTTTTTCCATGGACTGAAGCACGACTTGCGCATGTTTCACTTCAAAACATAATTTGAAATCTACTAGAGTTGTTTTATAAATATAAATTCAGATTCCAAAAAAGTTAAATTTTTTTACAGAATTCCTGGTAAAATTTAAAGTCCATAACGCCCAAAAGTAAGGGCAAAAAGTCAGGGATTAACAACTCCCCTCTCCATCAGTGGTGTTGGTTGATGAAATACTTGAGCTAAACTTGTACTATAACTTGAATTTTTTTGTTTCTTTGGCTTTTTTTGAAACAAGTGTTTACTTCTGTGGATCCACCTTTTTTACAACAAAGTAAAACTCAAAAACCAATAAAAATTGAAGCGAGTAAACAATGCTTTAAAAAATGGCTAGATTTTGAGCAGATATGAAAATATTAGAGAGGGATAGTCAGAATAATACAATTGTTATTCAAAATTTAAAACAGTCTTTTTTAATTTTATTACATAAATAACAAAGAGGGTTACAAAAACTTCATCAAACCTTGATTTTTAAAAAATTAATATTCATGATTTCTACAAAAAATTTCACTTAAAATAAAAAGGTTTAAAATCATATGAGATAAGGAAGTGTCAAATAAGAAAGAGCAAATCAGTCAGATAAAAATTCAGCGCAGTCCAGACAGTGTAGGTTTTCTCCATCAAGAACAAGACAAAAATAAGCATGAAAGTATAAATTTTGCAGCTATCACAATCTTCAAGAATAATGAGAGGACCTATCTTCTTTCTTACACTGATTAGAACTCTCGTCTTTTATGCTTTGTTTGGAGTCATCGGAATGTTTATCTTCCTTTTTGGAAGGTTTAGGGGGAAGACTGGGGTTTTTACACTGATTTTCTTCTTTTTTGCCCTGACTAGAGTTGTTAGAGGAATTCTCCTCTTTTATGGACTGATTGGAGTTACTTGGATAAGTTTCTTCTCTTTCGCTCTGGTTTGGCTTAATAGGACTATCCTCTTCTCTCTTGCACTGACTTTGCTGGATAGAATTATCATGTCCCTGACACTGCGCGACTACATTATCACAAGGTTTCCCAGGTGTCACTATGACTCTTTTGTTGGCCTTATCAAACGTCATACAAACTCGTGGAATTATCCCTTGTAACTTTTTATGCATCTCAGCAACATTATTTTTAAGGCCATTGAGCTTATGAAGCAGTATACACGGTTTCTCATAACCTGGTTTGCCTTCCAGCGACTTGCATTTACCGAGCATCTTGTCACAGAGGCTTTCATTTCCAACAACTTTTGACAAGCACGGGACACTCTCTTTGATTTTATCCACGAGTGCCGCCATGGAGATCTGCGTTCCGCAAGTGTGCGGCTCACAATATTCAGAGGATTTAGTAGTTGGGGGCATAAGAACCTTGACGCTTGAGTCCTCGTGGGCTGCTTGCGTGGTATCAGATGGCCTGTTAAAGATGCTTGTCACCGATTGAATTGCGTTCTGTATTTTGGCCACTATTGTGTTTGAGGGGTCGCATGAAACGAAAGAAACAGGCTCCTGAAGATCGCAGTCGCAAAACTCATCATCATCGTTTTCAACGTCAATCATTTTGTTCACTGAAGTAGATGCAGCAGCGATTTTTTCCTTTGATTCGTTATTTGCAGTTTCTGATGGAGTGTTGTTTCTGGGACACTTTGATTTGGTTGTTGACATCTTTCCCTTGCATGCAGACCTACTAGCCCCACACAGTCCACAAATTTTCGGGAAGTACTTACGACACCATGAACGGCAAGCTGCTAAGTCACAATTCAAGTAGCAACCAGTGGAGAATTTACAACAAGTCATTGTAAAGAATGAACTCCTCTCGGGAAGTCTTATTAAAAACTGGTTCACATTTGTAATAGAGGTAAAAAAATTAAGCTTGCTGTTGACAGTTTTTTCTTGCCCAACGAAAAAAGGATAAAACCCTCAATAAGAAATTAAATAGTTTATTTCGAGACTAAATTAAAATCTTGAATGCTTAGTTAACACACAGAGTCAGTGGAATGAGAAGAGTAAGTTGAGATGGAAGTCTGACGTTTCTTTAAGTCTCTTTCCTTGGCCGCTGGGCAGCGTTTACCCGCTGATGATCTTGGAGGCGGTGTATAGCGCTTACCTCTACACGAGATTCTGATTTGCGGCAACTGGTCGAGCGCTTGGAGAATGCAATGAACCAGGTAGCGGATGGTGTTCATGATCCCTTCATAGTCGTCCCAGACGCTTCTTTGGGACTCAGCACAATGCCCACATTGCATTATAGCCTTCAAACAATTAAAAGAAGTACCTGGTAGGCTTACATTATGCCATTGACATTTTGCAATTCAATTATAATAAAGGCAGGAGATCAGTCTTAACTTGAACTTGAGGAACTGTCAGATTCCGAATCGTAACTAGATGAACTGGAGGAACTGCGGTGCTTTGATTTCTTTTCGTGGCGTCGTTTGGTTTTGCTAGAGTGTCTATGACGCTTGTGCGAATGTTTCTGAGATTCACTGCGAGAGTGTTTTTTAGAGTGTTTTCTGTGCTGGTCTGACTTGTGACGACTCTTATGACTGCTTTTGGAATGAGATCTGAAACATGATGAGCAGGTGAATTAATTAGTGGCTTTAGCAGATCAAATCAGGGGAGAGTGAGGGAGAGTTTATTAAAAAATTCAACAACTGCAAGCTAGATAAACTTTTAGGTAGAAGTAAAATGACAAATATCAGGATGTTGAATAAAAAAATACTGACTTACAATGTGCAGCTTCAAAATAAGCTCTGGAGGATAGAAGATTAGCTCTTTAAATTGTAACAAAAGTCATGGCATTGTTTCCATTAATAAGATCACTGCCAAGCTATAGTGACTAATCTTTAGTTGATCGCTACAGGCAAAAAAACCATCACAGTGACCAGTGTTTTGAATGGCGCTGTGCTAACCAGCCTAATTCAATATTTCACCTTTTCCCCGCACTTTTTTGGCCTGCTAGAAACAATTTCACAAAAATATGTTGGCAGTGAATGTGTTAAAAAAAATTACAGTTGATTGCAATTAAATTCAATTTTACTTTTCGGAAGCCGACAATTTATAAAACGATAGGTATGCTTCTTGCACTTTGAAAATTTCTATTATAGCAACACTTTGATGAATTCTGTATTTCATTCATTCCTGGCTGTTTCAAAACAGGTGGTATTTTTGCTGGAAAAGTATCACCTGTTATGAATGAAATAATCAACTTACTTTTTAGATGACTTGCTAGAATGTTTCTTCCTTTTCTTCTTGGGAGGATTTAAACTAGGTGAAGGCGATCGCTTCTGACGTCTGGAGCTTGATAACGGACTTAAATCGATGACAGGATGGTTTACCTGCGAGCCATTTAATTTTTTCTTCTTCCCAGAATTTTCTTCTTCATCGCTAGAACTACAACAAGAAAAAAATGGATATCAAAGACGTAAAAAGATAATTTTTTCTTAATTTCCGAAAAATTACTTTCGATTACAGTAGCAAAGTTTGCAAAGGAGCGATTTTTATCAAGTTAGTTCATAAAATTAAAACCTAAATTTTTAAGGATGAATACTCTCTGCAATATAAAGAATAATATGAGAATAGCATTGCAAGCAATTTGATTCATTTTTGTGCCAAATAAGGCTTACTATTTTCAATCTGACAATTTACTGTCTTAAGTCCAGTTTGGTTTGATATTTCAGAACAATTTTTGAACCAGAATATTTGTAAAACGCAATTGTCAAAGTCAGAATTTCAAATCCCCTTGCATTGGACTCACTTACCCTATGGAAATGGACCATCCATATTTATGGGATACCTATCAGTGTCAATAAATTGTACTTTGATAACTAAAACCTGAGAGATTAACCAAAAAAATAAGATCCATGGACAACCAGGTTTTTAAGTCCAATGAGTATAACGTTGAAAATGATCATAAAAGTAGGTTGCATCATCCACTATAAAGTGCATACCAAAGTTTCTTTCAAAACGGTCTCATAAAAGAGCACGCAGATTGTTGAAATCGTGACTCAGTTGAGAGAACTTGATAGTTGGAATATCATTATGTAAGTGATCAATTGTATTACTCCCTTTTCTTGTGGTTTCTTTATCAGGTAAGATAGTCCACAGTTTAGAAGATAGGAAGAAAACAAAATAAAAACAAAAAAAAAGAAAATACATACTTGTCAGAGATCGCTATAACAGATGAAGGGGATGGTAATGATTCTACATCATCAGCTTCTGTAACATTATTTTGTGTGGCTGTAGATCCACCTGTAAAGTTTTGAAAGAGAAAAAAAATTAATTTTTCATGAAAAAATTATTGATACTTGGGATGAGAAGGATAGTTAAGATATGCAATGTGAAATCAACACCATGAAAGTTGCAGAGACTCGACAAAACAAAGGAGCTAATTGGTGCAGGACTTGCAACATCAACTTCCACCCTGAAAGAGCTGGGCTTATTTGATTTCTGACTTCAGGCGTCGCCTTCAGGGACCTGCATTGTGTGCTTTAAGGGCCACACCTTCAACTCGATTAAGATACAGTCGGTTCTCCTTTAAGTACCACAGGTATTGATTGGACTTCCACCTAAAATGTTGTGTGACTGTTTTTTTTTAAATTGCATAGGAATTTTGCAACAGTGAAACAAATAGAAAGAAAGAAAAACCGAGCAATCACTAAGGCACAAATTCACACATCTATACACCTAAAAGCTATGTTTTATGCTAATAAGTGCCAATGTAATGAGAATACAGTTCAGCAAGGGTTGCGTAACATCTCCTGCCCTGATTGCTATAAGATGCTATTTGCAGCAGAAACATGAATTTGTAAATGTCCGTTCTTTGCGTAGGTTTTGGGTCAGTTATTTGTGATGGCAGGTTAATTGCACAGTTCTAGTTATTTTAGGTGCAACAATTAAACACAATGTTCTCTTACCTTCTTGATTGTGGTTTGATGTAACTAGTCTATCTTTCTGAAGAAGATTCAGGAATGCTGCTGCCCTCTTTTTCCGCTCTTGCTGGATTTGACGTTCTCGTTCTTTAGCCAGTAACTTTTCTTTTGCTGTGGCTGAGAGCTTGTCTTTGACCCTTTCTTCAACTGCAAAAAATAGAAAATGATTATGGAATATTATCTGGAGGAAATGAAAAAAGAGGTAAAATGACAGATAGGAGGAGGTTGCTAGTTTGCTCATATGCAGTCCCATGCTGCCATGATGTCCACTGCTGTTGGAGAAAGTTGCCAGCCAAATTAAAGCATCGGACTCTTTCCTTGCGACAAGATTCTCTGATGTACCCTTTCGATTAAGTGGATCTACCGTGCTTGCAAAGGTCATTCGTTAATTGATGGATTGATTGATAATTCCTGGATTTTAAGAAATGGATAAAAAATCCCTGAAAGTCACATCAAACTGTATTGCATTGGGCATTCAAACACAAAACTTAAATACTTAGGAATGAATACAAAATAAGTTCCAAGGCAAAATTGGAACTTGTTTTGTGAATTGATTTCTGATTTTCTTTCTGAACATGCTTTTGAGTTATTTCAAAGTATTTCTCAATTAAATATTTGTACAAATATCTGATGAACTACAGCATCAAAACATGAAAAAATTCATGGCATGGCATAACGCATGATAAGACATGTGGGGATTTTCGAAAAATGTCTTAAAATCCAGAAATTAAAATTTGACGATTAAATCATCCCCAAAAACGGGATGGAGCCACCTTAATAGCAACTATATTGGATTAAATCAATTTTTTTGCCTAAGTCATGACAGATAAGATACTGATGCTTTTTGCAAGTTCCGGAGTAATTCTGCAAGCAAGGAGGACAACAAAATCGTATGCAGAGGACGTACAACAGTTGAATGCAAAGATCTGTTGTGATCATGAGTTTTCTACAAATCAGGGAGAAGACCTCAAGACCTGATTTGAAAGATTATTGACGATGTAGAAAGATAGAGTGACTAGAACATTACCTTGAATGAACCTCTGGTGGGATGATTCATGCACACTACATTTAACAAGTAAGGTATTTTAGGATAAACTGATGAATGCAAAAACGAAGTTCGTTTAAGAGAGAAAAATATTGAAATAATTCATACTTTTAGTCCAAGTGACACACTCAAGTATTTTAAAAACAAACCAAAGAGGACCCAAAACACTTCCTTCACATTTCACTGGCACCGAGCATCACAGAGAGAAATGAGGCTTAGAACCAAGTAAGCTAATGAAAGATTTAGAGTTTAAAAAAAAAATGAATTTAAGTAAAAGGACGCCAGATGAAAACTTTCGGAGAATCATAAATAAATGCTCATATTGGATGCATACACTGGAATTTTGATTGATTTGAATTTACCAAACAAACAAAGAGAGGTTAGGAACACTTGAAAATTTGTTGCTAGGGTTTCAGAAATATTTAGTATTAGCTCAGTTCAAGGTTGCCAAACTATCTTGTATTCTTTCAATTTTTTACATAAAACTAATTAATTCATATTTTTTTTTTTTTTTCCATTTTCAAAAAGTAATCATCCTTTTTGAGTCTTTTTAGTGCTATTTATTTCGTATTATTTTGTTTTCTTTATCTTCTATAAAGGAACAATTTGCGATTATTATTTATGCTTACGCATAGTTCTTAAATGGAGTATAGAATCTTCCATTCATCAGTTTTTGCCAACATTTAACACACTGTTATCTTTAAAATCTTATCAGAATACAAGCATGATGTAAAAATATTCTTCCCTCAATTTATGTAAATCTTTGCCCAGTACCACAGCTAAAAAAAGAAAGGAATTGAAAGAAATACAAATGTTGCCCAATTATTCCTTACGTAGTTAGAGAAACGATACAGGAAAATATCAAATATCTAAAAGTAAACTTACTCCATCTGGCATTATTTTCTGTAGAGTGAGATCCTGTTTTTTCTAATTGCTCAGTTTTTTTGGTCTCTTGATTTGACTTCGATGATTTGGAGGTGTTACTGTTGCGATCGTCTGAATCCTCATCTTCGGAAGATTCCTCCACTGGTAGAGCGCTACGGCTTTCGAGGCTTTCAGCTTCTTTTGGTTTTTTGATAGAGAAACAGACAGGCACTGGAAACATAAATCCCACTTGTTTTAACAAATTCATAATTAGTGGAATCGTTAAGTTTTAAAAGAAACTAGAACTTATGCCTCCTAGGAGGTATTAGCAGTGAAATTTGTTAATACAACTATCCTCTGATGTATAGTTATGGGTTCAATTCAAAAAGGAAAAGGCAAAATCCAACATTCATGATTCAAAGATTTTGCAGAGCTACTACACTTTTGGGTGTAAATTATTTACATTTTATAGAATGAAAGAAAATGGAAAAAATTAGAAATGAGAAGGAAAAAAATTAGCGCTAATGAGTACCATCTCATCGACCTTCAAACTGAATTCATTCTCACACACCGCTGACTGAAACTGACAGCAATATGTTACATTTATGGACTCCACAGTAGAGTTGCATTCCAGATCTGCCGTGCTGAGGAAGAACGCCGTATGAACATTCGAGAGTTGCCAAATTTCCTTCGATAAAATGTTTATTTTTGAGAAAAATTATGGATATTTTTCCTTGAAATTTCCAGACACTTTGGGTAGAATTACGAACAAAATTATCTGAGAAACCGGCAGAAAAATATCCAAAAATTTTCCTATAAATTAGTGTTTTGCCAAAGGAAATTTGGCAACGCCTGAAGGCTCATACGGCGTTTTTCCTTAGCTCGGCAGAGATGGATTTGATCCCCCTTAGGAGGAGCTCAATTACTTGCACGGAGTTTGATGTATCATTGAATAAGGTATCCTGAAAACGCTTTGATGGATGGTTTGTGACTGTTACCATTACTGGTGCAATTTCTGCTTTAATTTAGCGACACACCGAGGGAATTTTTTCATTGAGCAAGGACTTTAATTCTTTAGGAACTTTTAGGACTTCTTTAATATTTTGACTGCCACCATTCTGACAAGTTTGAATTCAAAATTATTCGTCAACATTTGTGGTGAAATGAAACTTTTGAGGTTGGACAATTGATGGGATTGATTAGCAGTAACAATTAAAACGCCGATATATTGCTATCTATGGAAATACAGAACACAATAAAAGCCGGACGGACTGTAATAAAATGGTTTGATGAAATATTGAATTCCAGAATGCAGTCTAAAATTGTTTTTTATTAAGAGGCAATATTTTGGATTCATACCTGGTTTGCTGCGCGATTTAGCTTCTTGGCTATTTTCGTCAACAGACAAATTGGACTCAGTTGAGGGTGCAGGAGCTCCATTGCTATCTATGGACTGCTCTGATTGCGATGCCTCTGGATTCAGTTTCATGTACAGATTAACTTTTTGCCGGTAGTAAGGATGATATTGATGTCCTTCTTCCAGAAACGAAAACCTCGGATCTCCTGCAAAAATTATCATTTTACACTGACACCATGATTTGATGGTCAATCAACCTACATATCGAGCATTAATATGAAAAATCTGGACGAGAAATAATTCAATATAACACCATAAGTATGGCCCGAGTGAAAATCGTACATCATTTTGCTTTTCAGCCTGTCTCTCTCTCACTTAAGCTAAAGCATTGAATTATTTCAAACTATTTCACTGTCTAATTTTGCACTAAAGAATGATTGGACTTTCATGAATTTTAGGTAACATTCCTTGAAAAATGGGGATTGTAGATATATTTATCGAACCTCTGAACTGAAACATTGTGGAACCATCTTAAAAAGAAGGTACACTGGTTAATGATCGCACAATCATGGATATTTATGTAGATTTCTTTGACGAACTAATTTTGACTGAGCTAAAATTTTTTGTCAGAAATTTTTCAACATGTTTGGTGAAACTGCTTCAATAAAACTAACGAGAACAAAAATTCTCTCCGAATAGTCAAACCGCAGGAAATAAAAAGATTTTTCTTATTGATGGCCAAAGTACGAAACCACGTACCTCCATTTGCAACTTTGCAGATTTCCTGAAATACTTTATCTTTCCTTTCGAAAACTAGTACACATAATTTTTTGAAAACTTCATTGATTTTTCTAACATGTTAGAGAAATATTCTGAATAAGTTTCAAGTTCTAAAGTGGGGTTCCTTCTCTTTGAAAAAAAAAAAAAGGAGCGGAGATTTTGAAACACCGCATAGAAGATCTGTGGTTTCGAAGCCATTGATATTCAAGGAAAAGTGTACGATAAAAAGTTGTGATGATGACAACACACCCTGTCTTCTCCGCTGAATGTATTTTTATTGAAAAGATAGGAGAGAAATTTTCTTTGAGCACTTTACCTTTGCTTTTAACTATTCCTTCAAAATCGATTCCATTTTTAGCAACATACGATGCCATTTTGTCAATAATTAGCTGCATATGAGGAGGAGGTGTTTCAATTGGACAAACTGGTGCTTCCATCTACAAAGCAACAAAAGAGTCAAAGATTAGAATCACTTCAAAAAATTGTGAGTTGTAATCTCATTAGAACAGACCCAAAGACAAAAAATAGTAGGTGGTCTTCTTAATGGTTGGACCTCTCAGTGTCATTGAGATGGCAACTTTAGCTGAGAACCACTGAAATTTAGAAGAGGAAATTTTGTTGCCTAAGTTTGATTCATTGTTATTAAAGCAGCATTTTTTTTTTTTTTTTTTTTTTTTTTTTTTTGAAAAAGAGTTGGAACTGAAAAAACTAAGACCGATTTTACAGTTAAAATTAAGACAAGTTTGAGATCTCCTTGCATAATCAGCCTGGGGTCCCGACTATTTAACACCGTGTTTCTTTCGCAACTGAGGAGAGTTTTCTAATTTTCAAATTCTATGCTTACAAAACAACGCTCAAGGATAGACACTTTGAAGGTGAGACTCTTAAACCATGTATTGCATTTGCAGTGTTTTAAAATCTCCATTTCTATTTTATTTTTTAAAGGAGAACCAATCAACATCATTCCTTGAAATTTTCACAGATTTTTCTTTGCAACGAGAGGAAAAATGATGGAGCTTTTAAAGAATCGATGTTGAGTGATTTTCCATTTAAAAAATAAAGTATTACATTGAGTCTGGAACATCGCAAACCCAGATACATGATCGTCATGAGTTACATCGTTGACTTGTAGTATCTCTGGCGGGTGGTTGTCAAATTATGAAAGGAATAGCCTTTACCTAAATGATACCAACACTTGCTGGAAAAAACACCTATTTGTTTAGGGAATCAATGTCCGACATGTTTGTTCTAAAATGAGCCAAAACCTTTCTTCCTGTAGTACAAATATCATCCAAATTAATGAGCGCACAGTATAACATTCCTAAATGAGTACATAATACAGATCGTGTTTACATTACCTGACACAATCATTATTCTCAGATATTAGAAATACGTACACATGTGTCCTCATCTTCTTCTGGAGCGTAAAAGTGCGAATCAGCAAGGGCTTGTTCCGCACGAGCTTTCTTCCGTCTCTTTCTTAATGTTGAATTTGAAACAGGTGTTGTTGCTGTTGATACTGCTATTGAGCCTACTTCTACGCTTGGGTTTGAAGATTCATCATGACTGGAATGATTTAAAGAAATATATCAATAGTCAGTCAAGGAATAGTTGGAAGTCTAAGTTTCCAGGGTTGCCACAGAATTTCGAGAATGAATTTTAAGCTTTGGCATAAATGCTTCAACAAACAAGGCTACTTTTGAATGTTTAACAATTTAACAACGGATGAAGGTAAAAAACCCAAATTTGAATCAAAAGTTTTAGAGATTACTAAAACAAAATCAAAGGTTGAAAGGACCCAATTTTCAAAAACTGGTCCCTCAGATTCTCTTTCGTTCAGTAACGTCTTTTTTATATGATAAAATTTAGTGAGCACAGAAAAACAAAAAAAATATTAAAAAGGGAAAACCCAGCCATTAGACTTTAAAAACTCATTAATTCACTTATTTTCTTTAAATGGCTCTCAGAAGTTCGATGACTGGGTTTATCTTTTGTAGTTTTAAGTTCACTATTTTTCAATTAAATCTATCTCCCTTCACAAAAAATGTCTTACTCAATTTTTGGCGATGGCTGCGATATCCTAGGTGGGGATGGTGCTGGAGGGGGTGTTGGCTCCTTGGGAAGAAGGGATGGAACGCTCGGCAATGCCATGTTGCTTTGTTTTTCTTTTATTTTATTAACAAGCATGGAGTAAGCACAATCCGATGATGGCTTGTAGTTAATAGCTGGAATCACAACCCCTGGAGCCTGTTAAACAAAATAAATCAACACAGATCAGTACCGAGACAATCAGTGATATGAGCGGGTAGTGAGCTAAAATTAAAGTTTTCCAAAATTTAGGTTATCTACTCTTTACAACGGAATTTTATGCTGGTAAGTAAAGCTTGCTAAAGGTTTAATCAAACTTCACTCAAAAATATCACAATTCCACTGGCTCTAGAGTTCATGACGAAACAATTAATTTTACAACCTTTACTTACTGGCTCCCTCCCTCAGCAAAAACCACTAAAAAAACCTTCAGTCACTGAAGATGGCAAGAATTTTAATTTCCAACGAAAGGGTAGAGTCTTGTGGGAAATATTATTTTTCAAGTTGCAGATATTCTCTGTTTTGCTGCAGAAAGATTAGATGCATTTCATGGTGAATTTTAGACATTTGATGCAATAGCACACCGCTGTTTGTGCAAATCTCATTTGGAGGAGAATAGAATGTGATGAAAAGACCATAAACAGAGCACATTGAAATCTTATGTGCCCTGAAACCAGCTTCAAAAGAAAATAATGTTTCCTCAGTTTACTGGGATAATTTTTAAAGAATGAACACAACGGTAGTAATCTTTGTAATGTCATTCAACACTGAGTCAAAATTGACTATTTCAGTCTGCCTTGAAACTTACAATGCTGTAAGTTTTCTGTTGTAAACTGACACTGAATGAGAAGATGGACAAAATAAAATAAAACACGGACATATATTTTTTTCTTCTTCTTTTTAAAGAGAAGCGGAGCGGAATTTTTTGCCTAAAGTCACAACAGAGCGAGCATTTTATGTCAGTGATATGAAATGACCCAAAAAATTTCTGGGGCCCTGGTAATCAAAATTCATGCCTTACATTTGGCTTTACATTAAAATTGTATGGGCTGAAACGTTTCATTTCCTGAAAAAATTTTGCTCACAAAGTATTATAGTAAGGAAAGAGAAACATTTCTGGGAGAAAATTATTCGGATAAGGGAAAAATTTGAGCCTTGAAATTAAAGTTCTTCAGTGGTCAGGGAAGTTCAATGAAAGTGTTCCAGAGAATGAGAAAATCATTCAACATTGCATTGACAGGGTTGCCACAGTAATTGAGAACAGTATTTCCGATTTTTCTTGACTTATTTTATTCCCTGATTTTTAAAAATAAAAAATAGGGTCAATAAAAAAATTGGTTCAATAAAGTGCTTAATTTCCCTGAATAGTACTTTACAGTTATTTCTCTCACCTTCTTTTAAAATTATTCCGAAACTATAGCAACCCTGCTTTCATTTTGAGATAATAGAGGAACAATATCAAATATTAGACTCATCCAGATTTCATTGGCACGAGATAGAAGGCACCTTTGTCTCCCAAAAAAAACTCAAAAAATTACAGAGAGAAACGTGAAATGAGACTTAAAGTTCCTTCCTCTAGCTAGAGGCAAATACGGTGAGTCCATGTGAAGATGAATAATATTGGTACCTGTGTATGCTTCTGATGATGACACATAAAATACCAAAGGAGAATGAACTTCTCTCATTAGAAATCTTTCTGCAGAATTTGTGGAGTTTTAAAAATCAATGGGCAAATTCTAAGACCACGTACATACCTCAATTCATAACGTTACAAACTTTCTCACGTTTTATCTTGAAATAGGAGGAAAGATCAGCCTAATTTCATGAAAACTTCCAAGATTTCTTTTTCTGTTTTTATGATTGTTCACAGAAGAAGGGATTTTAGTCTGCAGATGAAAAATTTTGGATTAATAGATCAAGAGTCTTCCTTCTTGATAATATCAGTGATTTTCCACTTTTTGAAATCTTGGAAATATTCAAAACATATCACAATGACTATTCCTAAGACTTGCGTGACATTGGTGTAAATTGGCCTGGAGCTAAAATGTACACACAAGATAGGACCTGTGCAAAGAGGCACCAAACATGATGAAATCATGAAATCTATGAGCTCAATATTTTTGAATGAGACTGAATATGCATTTTTTCAACAGTCATATTTTCAACTTGCTGGATTAACTTTAAAAAAAAGAGGAAAAAACCTGGGTATATTGCACATTCTTTGCCCTTTAGAAAACAAAAATAAAGCGATAAAGGAATCAAAACCCCAATGGAAAGTCTTGCTTGAGTGATATGATGATGCATCAATATTTCAATTTTTCAATGTTAATGATCTATCAAGACAGAAGCATACACAACGGAGTCCTTTCGCGGAGGGAAATAGGTCTCACAGTTTTCTAGCTATACGAAGGAACTCCAACAGGCATATTGTGTATTTTTACCCTGCAGAACAGTTTTTCAAACACTTGAATCCACACATCAGCACAAAATAGTCAACTGATAAGCCTGAAAAATAGAAATCGCACAGAGGTTATTATGATCCATAAAATGATAAGCCAGTAATTGCCTACGTGTCTCGCCTTCCGATTCCTTGAGGTTTTTTGCACTCATTTTTATTTGACTTTTACAATATGCTGACAAACTAGACCAAATTTTCATTAAAATGACAACAAATAATGTGAAACATGACTAAACTTTCATAAAACTCCAAGAAACTTGTACAAATTTTCATCAAACTATAAACAATTATCAGTGGTAGGATGAGAAGAATTTCAAAAAAGTAGAATTAATTGGGAAAAGCTTTAAGAAATAGTTTTCAGATTTAATCAAATCAATCAGTTATCAGTGTCAAAATATGCTTTGCAAAAAACCCTTGGTCAAATTCGGAAGGTCGTAATATGTCCTGTGAAAAAACCTGTAAGGAAGAATTGGCAGACATTTTCCCTGAAAACTTCTGAGATTCTGAAGTTATGAATCATTATCAGAGAAAAAATATTTTAAGAAAATACGATGTTGAAAAGAAATAGAGGTCATAACATAAGAATGGGGATTATTTGGCATAGCGTTGGAGGTAAAAGAATTTTAAGCCGAGTTTGTTCAATTATATGATATCACAATATTATCAATTTTTAAAATTGAACGGAAAAAAATAAAACCCACTTGCTTAGGGTCAACTTTGCACTGATTGCATTCAACAATTTCACATCGATTCAGATTTTCCGGACTAAATTTCCGATGCAGAACTCTCAGCTGTCTTTTCGACCTCTAAGAATATGATAGGGTCCCTTGATTGCTTCTATTTAAAAATAAATTCAATATACGTTTTCTTTTTATGTTTCTAGCCACAGGAACCAAAAATGGAAACCGATTCAAGAACATATCTGCAAACTTTGTTTAACCTGCTTTCCAATGACCCTACCTAAATTTAAACCACTGATTACAAAGCTACTTTAAAATAGATCTGATCTGATTCAAGGAACTACGATGATACTTATTGTTGTCTGTCAAATGTAATGCAATGAATGAAAAAAAAAAAAAATAATCTGTTTTTATTACCCGTTTTCTTTAGTCTACTTTGTGCGTTAGCTTTCTTTTGGACTTACAAACCTTTTAGGCAACCTTCTAGCATCCTCAAACTGGCTTTGTTTTGGGAATAAAATTCAAGGTACTCACCGCCATAAGGTACTTCCCTTTAAGAGGATGGTAAGTTCTTGGTAATAAACGGATAAACAAACCACGCAACGTCCTTCCGTTGTATCATCCCTCGATTTAAACAGGCAGTGACGTTTTCAAATATTTGAAGCAGGTACCTAAGAATGCAGAGGGATAGAAAGAAACAGTGCCATAAAAAAAGCAATGCATGAACGATCGATGACACCTACCGGTTCTGGGGGCTCGAGCGGGACTGTCGCAAGGCTCGGATGCAAGTAGTGCTCTGAGTTCGCTTCTTCTCTTGCTTTTTCTGAAAAAAAAGGATACATAAATTGAATTAAGGAATTTAGCAGTTTCAGTCACATTGACATAGTAAAACTTCTAAACTGAATGAGAACATAAGAAGATCGAAGGCATGAAAATAGTAGCGTCCAACTTGAGCAATTCACCTGAAGCACTAATCTACGGATATTAAAAAGAGATGTGGCAGGGCACACAAGTTATTTACAGAGAGAGATAGTGATCCTGCTATCATGCATTGAATTCAGTATAAAACTGGAACCCATGTCTTATTGATTAAAATTACTTTCATTTTTTGATACAGTCATACTCACCCACTCATCCAACTAATTGAAGCGCTGGGTGCGAAAAGGGTGCTTTTCAGTTGCAATGTCTCAGAGGGGCCACTAAGTCTAGATTATTTTAATGGTTTCTAAGCCTATAGATTTACTACTTTTTTCCAACAGTCATGGAATTTGAACGGGAAGCAATCAAATCTTACCTTCAAGAGCTTTTTGCTGTTGTGTCTGTGGACGATAACGTCCAGTCTTGATCGCCATGTACACGTGGCGATAGTAGGGATGAAGAGCGCTCCCAAAAGAGAGAAACTGGAACTGAGGATTGTTGGCCTGTTTCATTTTTAACAGCACTTCCATCTGGGCACCCTGCTCACAAATGAATTGTGCCGTCCTCTCAATTATGGCATTCAGCTTCGTTTTTTCCGGCTGTCACAAAAATTTTTGAAAAAAAATTTTATCTTTAAGTTTTTTTTTTTATTGACATTAATTAGATGACATACTTGTAAACACACTCATTTATGTTAAAATTTTTGTTTAAAAGACACATGTGCAATAGTTAAGGACCTTTACCATAGAGCCTTAGAATGGGGTACATTCAAAATTCGAATTGGGTGAGGCTTGACTTGTGGGAGACTTGTAAAAACCACTCAAGACTCCACAGAAACTTAGAGCCAGTAAAGGGCTTTTAATATCCGATAGGCACTTTCGGTATGATGCAATGGACCACTGTGCAAGGTACGAATTTAAGCATTCTGATACTTTCTTCATCAAAATTTTACTTAGAACATGATTTGTGCAACAAAAATTACTGAGAGTAACTCCTAGCTGAGATAATACCATTTTTCTTTGTATAAATTCAAACTTCCCGCTCAAGGAAAAAAACAATAATCTACAAGAGTTAGATCGCACACTCAATGTTGCCGTGACAGTCTTTTCGGTACGGAAACATGACAAACTGAATATCGACACTTAGGCTCGGCTATTGCATTTGATTTACACTTTGAATGACTCAAGAAAGGAAAGTACACTGCTTTACTGCGAAGCTTGTTACACTCGTTGTAGTGTGCGATTTGATTCATGCAGACTCCCGTTTTATGGTTAGGGAGAAATTCAAATTTTTCCTGACCGATGCTAAATAAAAACGTTTATAACCAGGTTCGAAAGGAATGAATCAGTAATTTCCATTTTACAAATCACGTTGGGCGTAAAATTTTGAAGAGGAAACAAATATTAGACATAGTTCCATCCTCAATTCTTTATAATGCAAAAAAAAAAAAACAGTTTTAAATCAATTGAAATCATAAATAAGGAGGGTTTGCGACAGCTTGCGAGATCGTTCATCTAGGTCAGGCTTTCAAGCACCTCACTCAAGGCAAACTTGACTGCCAGCCACAAAGATAAACTGCCTGCAGGTGCAGGAAATTGAAAAAATACCAACACAGAATCTGCTCTTAAGGGTGGGTTTCAGACTTTTTTTGTGTGCCTATCATGATTTTTTTACACTTTCGTTTGTAGAGGATCCATTCACTTGGCTATATCTCTTGTCTGCAACAGACCTGTTCAAGGATATTCATGAACCTCTTGGGGGTACTTATGAGGATTGGTTCACTTACCACAACCATGCCAACAGGTATATCAAGCTCATGAGGGACAATGAACGGGGCATCTTCTTCATCCTCTTCTTCTTCTTTTTTTGTTTCATTTTCTTCTCCTTCCTCCTTCTTTTCCTCGGAGTACGTAAAGCCAACTTGTCCATAAGCCTTTTCGCCATCCAATGCTTGTTGCAATCTCTTCAGCTCCTCCTCTGAAAGATTCATAGGGACAGACAAATGAGTCGACCAAAAATAAGTATTTTCTGCTCGAATACAATTTTAAAGTTAACTTAAGTTAATCTTAAAAATTATTCCCACCACCACAAGGAAATTATCACTTTTTGCTTATCACTTCTAACTTTGAAAATAGCCTTAGATTTTTTCCTACCACTAACTAATTTTTGTGAAAGCAAATTTACCATGACGGACCCTTTTTTTTGGGGCCTTGGAGGAGCACTATATTTTTGAAAGATTTGATTTGGCAAAACTTGGGTGACAACGGAAAAAATGTAAAGTCATTTTCGGATTTGGCAACAAAATACATCAAGGAAATTGTGCCACTTCAACATTTAAAAAAAATGCATCTTCCTTTCAAACGTAAAACGAACAGGTAAGATTCAAATTTAGACTGCGACAGAAGATCAAGTGAATTTTTTTTAGCATTATAAGTAAATGCAAGAATCAAGATGGCAGGTCTTCTGTTACAGTCTAAGAACGCATAAACTGATTTGAGAAGGACTCAATTGGAGTGAGTGGAAACAATTTCTTATGCACATGGAGTATTCTATATATTTATATAGCTGCTGAGTTCAGAATGAACTTCGTATTTACCTTTAAGGCATAAATTATTTGACAGAACAAAAATTTCCCCTGAGAAGACTGGTTTTTAAGTAGGTAAGTAAATTCTGACATGATAACATATTTTTCATATTTTTCCTGAACTTAGAACTAAAAAATACGGGGAATGATTCAGTTGACACAAAACAGAGGCATGATTCAAACTTTGCAGCTCTCTGTTTTAAATTAATTCTGTACCATGGAGACAGAATAGATTGCCACATAAAACAAAATGGTCTCAGGCCAGAGAGAAAAAGATCCAACTGCTTCTTTGTTTTCTTTATCGGGTACTATGGTCACTTACTTTCTTTCTTTTTCGCTCGATGCAAATTTGCAATTTGCAAGAAAGTAAGTGAAAAAGATCCAAGTTTGAAACCATTCTTTGGTTTATGAAGAAAATTTCAAACTGTTTTGAGCAAGAAACTCCAACTTTTAAAAGCTCCAAAATCCAATTATTTTGTCTCATCTAAATACCAACCTTGATACAGAGCCTCCTCGTCCTCGTTGGTGGTGAGAGCTCGATACCTTTCTTCATCACACATTTGCTCCACATATCTCTCCTCACTGGACAGACCAAACCAACGATCTTGGCCATCTGGAAGAGCCTCATACATTGATAAATCATACAGGGTTCCTCGACCGTCATACCTGAAAATTATAAATCATTATTAAAGTCAATGGGTCGGATACACAACAATATAAATTGTAGAACATATTCTTGCAAATCAGGGAAAACAAATAAGTTCTGTCAAACTGTTATTAAGTACAAATGAAAGGGATGAAATCCGCGGTCCAGCGCGATCCACTCGTTCCACGGATAAAAAAAAGCCCTCATGGTCCATCTTCATCATTCCCCAAGTCTAACTTTGTTAATGCGTAAAAGGTTGTAGATTAATTAACACCAAAATTTACCATTGATGTTATGAATGGAAACAACTTCATTTTCTTTGTTGATGAAACACTATGTCCCTTATACCTCGTCACCACAGGGCGTTTCATGGGATTTTCCCCAAGTTCCCGTTGCAGGAATGAAACTTCTGGGCTTTGGACATAGTTAACCTTACAACAAAATTTCTTCATCTTATTTTGAAGTCGTTCCTGGGACTCCACAAGGACTATTAGTTGTTACTGGGATTGGTATCCACCGACTCAATATTATTCCCAACTTCGCTAGCAAGATTTTTCCCTGGGACAAATCCCATGAAACATCCCGTGGAGACAAGGCCAATGCAATGAAAAAAAGTACCTGTCTATTTTGAGGGATTCATCTCCCATCCATGGAATCAGGTGTTTGCCTTGATCGATGAGAAGGGCGCGTTGGTCATCTCGGAACAATTTACACGAATATCCAAACACCAACAGTTCCTCTTTAGGTACGTTTTTTTTGCGAAGAATGCCAGATTCGTTCAACTGCCAAGTTTTATCATTATTGATGGTCGACATGACGTTGTGGCTTGATTACTAAACTAAAATGAACTTAGAAGTAAATGCTCTCTGACTGAAAAACACAGACTGTGGGAATCTCACTTCAGGACAAGGCACTGACATCCAATTTAAAGCGGTCGTTGAAGAAGAATAGCAAACTGATGATGATGATAGAACTGAGGTGAAAGCATTAGGAAAGTTACAAAACACGATGAAATCATGGATTTTTCAGCACGCATTTAGTCTTTTCTTTTCTTCGCCAAAAAAATTATCCCAAAAGTTTTTACAGGTTAGAACTGTCGGAGGCCATTTTGTACCAGCAGAACCAACCATGACAATTTCAACCACATGATTTTAGAATTAGAACAATTCATGATTTTCAAACTGATTAATTTTTTTCTTTTATTCCTTAATTGCATAAAAAAAATATTTCGGTATGAAGTTTTTGCAGCTTTAACTATTCAGAATTATAGGAATTTCAATGAGTTGTAAGTAAATGAAAAGAGTACATTGACTCCCAGAGGTTGGCAAACCGTTGAATTAAAATTTCACCGCCAAATTTGAAATTCGAGTGCGCCTGGTCCCATGACCAATGGATAATATTTAATATTATGACAAAATACTTTTCTCACTCTAAAAGAAAGAAGTAACGTTTAATTTTGAAAAGTTATCCTCAAAGAATTTGAAAATATTCCTATGCAGTTCACTTCCGACATTCATATGCACGGAGTTGGTTTGATGGCTTTTAAACAGTATAATTTATCGAATTTTAGATTATGGAATGATCCGAGTGTCCTAGAGGTTGCTCTTTTTAAGCTTATTCCCATTCCCAATGGTTCATCCATAATAACCGAACAGACGGCTCGAGCTTGCACTAAAAAGCTAATAAAAAAGGGAGTTCTTAAAAAATTTATGCATACATTGTTCACTTCACTGGGTCATAAGGGGTATGTAAGTATTTTTTAAACATATTCTATGACTATCATTGAAGATGGGGTTATGAACAATAAGATGTTGCTATTCGTCCAAAAACCCAACTTTTACCATGATTTAAAAAACAATAGATGCTCGTGGATTGGTTATGAAGATATTGGTGATTTTTGACAAAACTGCCCTTAAAATGGGCATTCAGAAGCTTAGCTAGAACCACAAAATCTTTGGGCTCTACATTATCAATTATTTAAACTATTCATGAGCTTTATTAAGTGATTGTATTATACATTCAGCTCATTCTTCTTGAAATCTCAGTTTAATGATACTCATCACCTCTTTAACTGATCAGTAATTTTGGTTTCTTTTCGAGCAGCATAAATTGCTGGTACTCCATCTAGCAGACATTACCATATCTGTGTACCAGCACTACGCAAACATGTTTGAATAAGCTCTCCCCCTCAACTAAGAAGTTCATGCTGAGTTATAATCCAAGGAAGATACCAATATTACTGCCACAACATCTTTTGAACGTTTTCAAGGTATATCATCTAAAAAGTTCATGGTATTTTTTCTACATGTTCGTATTTTAATTTTTTATTTTTTTTTAAAGAAAATTTTTCTACTTTTTCATTGAGTAGGTATTGCCATACGTTGATGACCAAACAGCAAAATCACATTCCTCCATTATGATGTTTCAAAATTTTTGTTCCTAGAAATTTTATTTCTTCACAGAGATGCAAGCCGACTTTATAGCTTGAAATTTGAACAGAATATATCATCACCTTCTGGCTGAAGTATCACAAGCGCTATGCGATGTTCAAAAATTTCCACCGCCATTTCATTTTTTTACAGAGAAAAACAATTTCTCTGTAAAACCAACAAGGTTGAATCTGTTCAAAAATTTCACAGAATTTCATCGGCAGCACAAAGAAAATTCAGTGAAATTTTCGGACAGCTTCGCTGAGCAATTTCACTGTAAAAGAATAAAATGGTGGCAGAAATTTTTAAACATCGCATGGCGCTTGTGATACTTTGACCGGAAATTAACGATATTCTGGTAATAGAGAAAGAAATTAAGTACCTACGTTGGCTGATTAGAGAGACAAAAGAGGCTTTTTATATTAACATTGGAAAAAGGTCTGAAAATCCTATGTCCTTAGGGAAGCAATTCTTACGTGGGATGAAACAAAATGGAGAAGTTGGTGCCAGAAAACCTATTTGTATTTGAAGGACCTTTTGCATATACCTCCAATGCCTCATTCCTAATCCTCATGAAAATTGATCCAGAGTATCTAGTCTTTCTTGTTAAGCAAGAATGCACACCCAATATTCGTGTAAATTAATGTGTCCCCTCTCCCCTAACACTCACAATATAAGTGCAAGCAATGAACCTTGTGGAAGCTTCCTCAATTTTTTCATGTTCTTTTTAATTGAATGATTTTGAAGATTTAAGTATCATAAGCTCAAAAAACCTGGGAATCTAAAATGACTTGAAGAAACAAATCGAAGCGTCTCATCATAATAGGTACTACCATGAGAACTCATTACACTCGCATTATCAGAGCCGCACTTGATACAACTTTAAGAGAGGGAGAGAAAGAGAGTAATACCATACAATCTATTTTGTTTTACTATCAACTATTGAAGAATCAAGAAGCCATCACCTAAATTTTATATTTGTAGCTCTAAGAACGATGATCATATGCTAACGTAATCAGTTGTAATTAGTTGTAGTGTGTTAGGTGCTGATGAAAGGGGCCTAACGGCGGATACCGGCAGCTACCCAAAGTGTATAGTTAGTTTATAGTTATTCAGTGTATAATTTTAACTCGATTTATTCTTACTGTTTCTCTTGTTCTCTCTCTCTCTCTCTCTCTCTCTCTCTCGGTGTGATGTAATTTTACTTCTGTAAACCTTTCGGTGGTAAGTAACCAAAAAAAAAAGTTGTAATTAAAAAAAGAAATTCTGTAAAAGATTTTGTACTGTATCAAAATATTTGGAAATATCCCACCTTATACAAATATGTATCTTTGCGCATTATCATTTAACTTTCTGTTGTGAGGATAGGTTTGAACTTAAATTTTCAATTGGAAAAATTGAGGGAAGTGTTTTTTCGATGCATTGTAAAAAATTGAGGATGATGCAAGCTGAAGTCATTTTTTCTTCGTTTAGTAACAGAGACACTCGTCTGTGACAAGGAGAGAAAGAAAATGTTATAATTGAGGTTAATAAAGATCACTAATGAAAAATATAATTAATTTTATTACTAACTTATAAGCCGCAATTGACAAATTTTGGCGGAACAAAAACAAAATTTTTACAAAAACAGAGGCAAAATTGGACAAACCTATGTTACAGATATCTGTCTGTTATAGAGATCCAAGGTCAATAAACTGTTTTAGCACATGCGTCTAATTGAACCTTCATATTTCAAATTTGGTATGTATAAATCATTCAGGTGTGTACATGGGAAAAAACACAATTCTGAGATATTGAGAGATTTTTCATCAACATCACTAATTTGGAGGAAAAGATATGCACATCGTTCACAGGGAAAAACAAAGGGCTACAAAGAAGTGGAAGATTAAAGATGGCTCAGCGATAATACATTACAATGGATATGGAGAAAACTTAAATAGCTAGGTTCAACATGGTCTACTGTGGACATCACTGCCCTCAAAAAAACCAAATTTTATGGCTCATCTGTAAAAGCACCTATCTGCATAGGGACATCAATGGTAAAAATGATATTTCTTAAATGGGCCCAAAAATTTGGTTCCTTCGTCAGCAATACAATCCTAATGAAGGGCCAGGTGAAGTAGTTGTTAACTGGTTTGTTGCTGGACTTTATACTGTCAAAATTAAATTTAAATTCTGCGACCATGATATTGAGGCAGGATTAGCATGTTCAATAATGACTTTATCAAAGCATCAACATCCGAAAGGCTGAAACTGCTAATAAATTATTTACTTGAGCATCCACATGAAATATGCAAGGCAAAGCATGAGGTCATAGAAAATCATAGGTTGAAGTTGAAAAATGCACACCTCAGATTGTGATTTTTTTGAAAACTGACCAAAAAATTTTACTGAGATTTTTTTTGGATTTTTTCCGTCATTCTAAGGAAAAAAATTCATAAAAAATTGCAATGAAGCATTTTGATTTGTTTTTCATCAGGTAAATAAAACATAATTGATGGGTTTTAAACGTAGCAATTAAAATACGAATTTTTCGCACTTGATCATAAAAATGTATTTCTAGTTGAGAAGATGAGGAAAAACTTGATATTTTGTTGTGAAGGTAGAACTTACTATGATCAACAAATTACACAGGAGAGAATAGGTTAATATGCAGTGTCCATGAAAGCTTTCAAGAAATGACTCGGCAGATTGAGGGGCGAAATGATTTTAACGAATTCAATCCTTATATTTTTCAGTAGCTGAGATTTTTTCAGCAAATAAGCCTACTCAAACATTTTAAGACACCCGTGAGGATCTAAGACTTGTAGTCTTTTTTTGACAATTTAGTATTGAAATTGAATTTAAGGTAGGTGTCCCAGTGATGGCCAGGCTTTCAGTTAATGCTTTATACTAAGCCTGCATTGGGAGGGAAAGGAGGAGTAACGTTTTGGGCCTTTTCGGGCCCCACCTGGATTTTGCTAAATGTTTCATAATTTCAAAGTACTAGTCTCAGGTAGACTCTGTGCCAAATATTAGACCGAACGGAGCCCATGCAAGAGCGCAGCAGCGCCTCAAACCCAAAATCCTGGAATCGAAAAACAATTATTTTCGTCCACTTTTTCGACTGTTATCACTCTTCCAGCACATGATTCTTATGTATTTTTTTGCGTACTTTTCGTTTCTGGCCTTTTTAGAGGCCTCCGATAAATTTTAAGGGGCCTTATGGCCCATTGTTGCCATTTTTGGCCCATTTTTAGGGATTTTTTCCATATAACGCATTCAAAACTCAATCTAATCCAAAAACTGTGTACATTTTTGAAAAGTACGTAAAAGAATGAATAAAAAATGTTCAGTAAAATTTTTTCCTATGTTGCCAAATTTCCGAGAAAATTGGTCCCGAAGTGTCAAAAACGGCAAAAAATCGATAAATCGCCGCGTCTAAGGTTCAAGAAAGTGAAGTACATTTTTCATACTGTACCAGATAACAGCTCTTATCCATCCATACAACATATTAAAATATCATAGTTGTACCTGGATTCCCACGATGTGAAAATTGACCGAGATGTCGATTTCAGCGGCCTTTTTATACTTGAAGGTAGCTCTTTTGAATGTTTTTCGACCTTAGTCACCCTCTATGGGTGTGCGCTATATGTATTTTTCTACGTACTTTTCATATCTGGCCATAAAAATGGCTTCCTGTGAATTTTAAAAGGCCTAACGGTCCATTGTTGCCAATTTTCACCAATTTTTAGGGGTTTTTTCAAGTTTACGTGTGTGAAACTTAATTTAATCTAGAAACCGTGTACAATTTCGGAAAGAATGTAAAAAAATACATAAAAATGTGATTTGTACCTTTTCCCTACGTTGCCAAATTTTCGAGAAAAATCGTCCTGAAGCGCCAAAAATGCCAAAAATTGGATTAATCATCACCCTTCCTTTGTTTCATAATTTTTATATCATAACTGCAATTTTTATAGTAATATATATAATAATTGTATGATATTAACTGTTACAGAACAAAAATCATGTCTGTTCCACACTGTTAATGAAAAATTTGTTTTCTATGCTCTTTAAGGAATCAACTGACGAAGACCCCAAAAGAGATGTAGAAATTGCAATTAAAAACATGACACGGGAAAATCGCAACGACGTCCTCCTTTGCATTTTCAAGATGATTGAGGAAAAAGACCAACAAATTAAGGAACTGTTTCTAAATAATTCAAAGCTGCAGGAAAATTACTCAGAGCTGAAGTCAAATTACTCAGAGCTGAAGTCAAATTACTCAGAGCTGAAGTCAAATTACTCAGAGCTGAAGTCAAATTACTCAGAGCTGAAGTCAAATTACTCAATCCTAGAATATTCAAAAGTAAGTCATAATTTTGAAACATTTTAATTGCCTTTAGTTTTTGAAAAATTGTATGTAAGGGAAAAATTCACGAGTTCATAATAACTTTCCAAAAATTCAAGGATGATTGTTCAGATGAACACTACAAGAAACAATTCTGCAAATCAAGAGTGGCGGTAGGCACCCCTGGTCGAGAAAAATGACGTCCTACTGAAGTCCCGATAGCATCCTGATGACATGGCATCATACGGGCTGGATCCCTTCTGTTCTTTTTATTTCGAAAATTACGCATATCACACCTAATGTACAATTTTGAAAAATCCGACTTTGCCTGGTCCTCAATTGACAAAAAGGGACGCGGAGAGAAAAAAACATGAGATTCTGAAACTGAAAAAAGTTTTTGATGAGAAAAAATTTAAGTTGTTGAAACGCATGGCTACGTCCTATCGAATGCCATTGTCAGGAGAAAAAGTTAGTCAGTATAGGGAATTATTGGTGGACAATAAACGAATAAGGAATAAGTATCCGGGGAATGTTGTCAGTCTATTAAATAGGGATATCTGTTCTGTAAACAACATTTCGGAACCAATTGCAATTAAACCAAAGGGACGCCTCGCATGGTCAACGAAGCCAAACCCAACCCGGGATTCCAGGAGACCTCACAGATATAGCAGAACCTGTTTCTGCGTTTCTGGAGCGATTTGGAATGAGTGATGAAGAAGTAATTTTTTACGGAACACATGGCACCGAGAAAAATTCTGTCTCTTGGGCTTCCTCCTGAGGCTGTACAGAACTAGTTCCAATTCAAACAAAGCCATGCTTTGCATCATCAACGAAGCCAAACCCAACCTGGAATTCCAGGAGCACTCAAGGATATGGCAGAATCTGTTTCTGAGTTTCTGGAACGATTTGGAATCAGTGATAAAGAAGTAATTTTTTATGGCACACATGGCATGGAGAAAAATTCTGTTTCAGGTGTTGGCGCAGAAAATTTATCAGTGTATGGCTGCTCTTTGAGGACTATCAACAACAACGAATCATACCACAAACAGTTGAATAAGATAGGACTGAAACATCCGAATATTTGGGTTTTTTTAAGTAAGTTTTTCAAACCAAGGGGTTCATGAATAATGAATTTTTTTCATTGTAGAAGAAGTAATTTTTATTGCACACATGGCAGAGAAAAATTCTGTCTTTTGGGCTTCCTCCTGAGGCTGTACAGAACTGGTTCCAATTGAAACAAAGCCATGCTTTGCATCATCAACGAAGCCAAACCCAACCTGGAATTCCAGGAGCACTCAAGGATATGGCAGAACCTGTTTCTGAGTTTCTGGAACGATTTGGAATGAGTGATAAAGAAGTAATTTTTTATGGCACACATGGCACGGAGAAAAATTCTGTTTCAGGTGTTGGCGCAGAAAATTTATCAATGTATGGCTGCTCTTTGAGGACTATCAACAACAACGAATCGTACATATACCACAAACAGTTGAATAAGATAGGACTGAAACATCCGAATATTTGGGTTTTTTTAAGTAAGTTTTTCAAACCAAGGGGTTCATGAATAATGAATTTTTTTCATTGTAGAAGAAGTAATTTTTATTGCACACATGGCGGAGAAAAATTCTGTCTTTTGGGCTTCCTCCTGAGGCTGTACAGAACTGGTTCCAATTGAAACAAAGCCATGCTTTGCATCATCAACGAAGCCAAACCCAACCTGGAATTCCAGGAGCACTCATGGATATGGCAGAGCCTGTTTCTGAGTTTCTGGAGCGATTTGGAATGAGTGATGAAGAAGTAATTTTTTATGGCACACATAGCACGGAGAAAAATTCTGTCTCCCGGGCTCCCTCCTGAGGCTCTACAGAACTCGTTCCAATTCAAACAAAGCCATGCCTTGCATCATCAACGAAGCCAAACCCAACCTGGGATTCCAGGAGACCTCATGGTGTACAGTGGGTCCCCCCTCCCTCTCCCCACTCACTCGTACAATTCAAATTTTTCCCGCCGTTGAGTTCTGGGCGTGTACGCGTGAGCAGACAGATTCCTGTCTGTTCCTGCGCAGACCCCATTCCCGCATTCTAGTTGCTGACGCGCGGAGAGACCGTTGAGTTTTTCTTTTCCATCCCCGGAATTTCTTTACATCCTATCAAAGATGTGAGTATATTTTCTTTGTGAGTTGGTCCCCTTTTGGGGCCAACTATATTTATTTTCTTGAGCTCCGCTCCGGCCGGTTCGCGGGTGGGAGTCTCCCTTTTCTTTTTAGTTAGTCACTCTTCAGTTTTTGTCCTGTGTACTGTGTTCGCTTAGGCCCACAGCATGGCTTGCTCAACAAATCCCCTGGTGTTCATTATTGTGTTAGTATCCTGTCTAGTTCTTTTTTTTTATATTTATTTCTATATAGTACGGTTCAGCCGGACCTGTACAATGGATATGGCAGAACCTGTTTCTGAGTTTCTGGAACGATTTGGAATGAGTGATAAAGAAGTAATTTTTTATGGCACACATGGCACGGAGAAAAATTCTGTTTCAGGTGTTGGCGCAGAAAATTTATCAGTGTATGGCTGCTCTTTGAGGACTATCAACAACAACGAATCATACCACAAACAGTTGAATAAGATAGGACTGAAACATCCGAATATTTGGGTTTTTTTAAGTAAGTTTTTCAAACCAAGGGGTTCATGAATAATGAATTTTTTTCATTGTAGAAGAAGTAATTTTTATTGCACACATGGCGGAGAAAAATTCTGTCTTTTGGGCTTCCTCCTGAGGCTGTACAGAACTAGTTCCAATTCAAACAAAGCCATGCTTTGTATCATCAACGAAGCCAAACCCAACCTTGGATTCTAGGAGACCTCAAGGATATGGCAGAACCTGTTTCTGAGTTTCTGGAACGATTTGGAATGAGTGATGATTGAAGGTCCGTTTATTTCCATCACTTATATGAAAATACCCTTGTGACATTTCTTAAGAGCCCTCCAAAAGACTTTTCTTTTGCTCTTCTCCTCTCTCCAGAATGTTATCAAGAAATGTTTGAAGCTACACATGAAACGTCTGGTCACAACGGCTAAGGGACGACGAATCTTAGGATGCATTTTGGCACTCCCTCTGTTGCCACATGGGGACATGAGCAGGGGGGTAAAGAAAATAGAAAGAATGATCAGGAAACATGGATGTGGAAAATTTGCTGAACTCCTTGCTTATGTCAAAAAGCAATGGATTGAAGGTCCGTTTATTTCCATCACTTATATGAAAGTACCCTTGTGATATTTCTTGAGAGCCCTCCAAAAGACTTTTCTTTTGCTCTTCTCCTCTCTCCAGAATGTTATCAAGAAATGTTTGAAGCTACACATGAAACGTCTGGTCACAACGGCTAAGGGACGACGAATCTTAGGATGCATTTTGGCACTCCCTCTGTTGCCACATGGGGACATGAGCAGGGGGGTAAAGAAAATAGAAAGAATGATCAGGAAACATGTATGTGGAAAATTTGCTGAACTCCTTGCTTACGTCAAAAAGCAATGGATTGAAGGTATGTTCATTTCCATCACTTACATGAAAGTACCCTAGTGACATTTCTAAAGAGCCCCCCAAAAGTCTTTCCTTCAAACTTTGTTACAGAGAAGCAATACTCTCAATTTATCAAAAAATCTGAAAATTTTGAGGAAGATGCCCCTCAGGCTCGCAAACAGTGTAAAATATTTGTAGATGCAATGTTGGCATTCATTGCAATGTTTTGCATCTGTATTTGCTACTAAATGTTTTGGCTTGATTACAACAAAATGTGTTTGGTGAATGATTTTAGTTGAGTCAGTGAACTTACATTTGGCTTGCTGAAAAAGTAAGTTTTAATATGACTCAGTTTGTAGTGATGTGTCACATTACGTCTGGCACAGGATTTTTTTTGATTCCAGACCTGAACTGTAAGCTACGTTTTATATCTCTCTTGCACACTGCCTTTCGTGTGCAATTCATCACTATACTTCAGAAGAGACAACTTTTCTCTAAACTTTGTTTGTAGTTAGAATCTCCTCTGTCGAATGAAGTCCAATTCAGTTTGGTAGTTCTCAATTTGATTTAATTATGCTCTGACATGATGAAAATATCAATAAGTTTAAAAGTGTTCAGAAGCAGACTTGAAGTTATCAAATATTCAATTTTAATCGTATTTAAACGTAATCGTATTCAACGGAAATTGTATTCAGAAGGAATCATCCTTAAGCATAAGAAGAACATGGTTATTAAAGTTGGAGAAATGATTTAAACGGAAAAATATCATTTCTAGGTATAATTACATCTAACACAATACCGGATCATATCTTTCTATATGTAACATGAAAATTCTTTTCAGGTGTTGGCCTGTTGGCGCAGATAATTTATCAGTGTATGGCTGCTCTTTGAGGACTATCAACAACAATGAATCATACCACAAACAGTTGAATAAGATAAGACTGAAACATCCGAATAATTGGGTTTTTTTAGTGAGTTTTTCAAACCAAGGGGTTCATAGCCCAAAAACGCTCCACCCTAGTGTTGGCGCAGAAAATTTATCAGTGTATGGCTGCTCTTTGAGGACTATCAACAACAATGAATCATACCACAAACAGTTGAATAAGATAAGACTGAAACATCCGAATAATTGGGTTTTTTTAAGTAAGTTTTTCAAACCAAGGGTGTAGCACGGTAATGTATCAGAGAGAATGGCTTTCTGGTAGTTTCGCCAGAGGGCGACACTTCCCCAGTGGTTCTGGACGGGGCATCTCTGATTGGTTGCAGTTGCCGAATGATGATGGATCGACCAATCAGAGATGGCGTGCCCTGAGCCGCTGGGGAGTCAGTTGTAGTTTTGACTCAGGTGGAGAAGCCTCGGACTGTTTTCACGATGTGAGTATCATCTTTGAAAGGTTGGGGGACGTGTCCCCCAACCATACCTAAATCCTTTTAAATAGTGCGTGTATCTTTCCGGTCGTGCCTCTGTTTGTCCAAAAGATTCATTTAGTAGTTTTCCTTTCAGAACTTCATTCTGTATTGTGTGCTGGGCCCCAGAGCCGGGTGGCCTAGTCACAAGGGGTTCATGAATAATGAATTTTTTTCATTGTACAAGAAGTAATTTTTATTGCACACATGGCGAGGAAAAAATTCTGTCTCCATTTCCTGTCGCCACTGAGAGGTAGTAGAGCATGTCTGGAGAGGCAGTCTCAGTCAAAATTCCATTCTCATTCGGCTGGTCAGGGGTTGGAGCTCGATGTCTCTTGAGTTGCAAGAGTGTCTTGAGTACGCCCGTCAATTTGGGTTAACTATCGGGCGAAACAGACAAGCACTTTACCAGCCTCGTAAACCAGCAAAACCCAGGGTGTCTAACAGTTTACCTGCCAACGCGGGAATCATGGTCAAACCCAAAGCAGCAGCCTTCACGGTGGAACGTAAATTCTTGCAACTCGTTCCACCGGAGATTCTAGCACACGCACCTCCAATCATCCGCTACGAAGCCGACAGATCTTTCCACCCACAAATCTGCGCTTCTTGCGGATGCTGTCGAAACCTCTGCCGCTGCACCAATCCGCCAGCAAGGTGTACGCACAGATTTTGCTTTTGCCGAACACCAATGATGAAGCCACCCGAGGTGATACTATTTCAGTCTTCTACAACCCCCGCTACAGACTCCGTCTGGAACCGAGGGGAATCCTGTGGCGGCTCCTCCGCCACTAGCGGTTACCTGCCCGCGCACTGATTGGGCGGCGACCCACCTGCCGCCGGCTATATAATCAGCCGGCGCGCACGATCGAAATCAATCTACGCCTGACCGCCCACCTGGTCACATCCATCAGCTCTCGTCACCTGGCCGTCCACCTGTCATTGCCGCTCTGACCGTACATCCTGACCAGCCGAAGACGTCCCAAACCGGCTGCCCGCAGAGAAGACGACTCGCCAACAGTCGTCGCCGCACCATTTGAAAACGGCCCTTTTTAGGGCCACCAATCACTCGAGCACCTGGCCGTCAAAGCCTATATGAGCTTTTACCTTTAAAGTTTTTAGTGAAGGTGTGGGCCTTGGAGTTCGACCTTGATGAGTGACTTGTTTCTTCTTTGCTATGTCTTTTCTTTCTTTCACTTTTGTTATTGTCAAATTCTCTGTGGTCGTTATCTTCTTTTGTTTATCAGCTGTTTTTTCTCTTGTATAGTTTTTGGGCTTTGCTCCCATATTGTTTGTGAAAAAAAAAATAAGGTGCTTTGACAACTCAATTCAACTAGGCATAGGAGTTTTGCTCAACTCACCCAGTAACAAAGAGGCATCGCAAAGAGCAAGGAATATGGCAGGTTTTTTATGTCTTGTACTGCTTCCAGGGAGTTACAATCAAAGGCAATGGAGAATGACAAAGAGGCGAAATAACTTCTTTAGGTGAGAGAAGAATTTTTGAGTAACGAGAAAAACGACACTGACCGAGAAACTTACTCAGGAGTGATAAACCAGTCAACACAAGCAAAGTAATAACGAAGTACATTTAGTCCAGTAATATTTCTGAATTTTAATCATTTCAGTAATTAGTGATCAGAAGTATGCACTCTGTACAGTTTTCTTGTTATTTAGTGTTTTATAATTGACAGCAAATATTCGCAAAAATACCTACACATGATGATGATCTAAAGCTCAAAATGGCCATCAGATAACCACCACACACAGAAATAAAGGATCGGACCTCAAAAAAGTGAGTACAATACCACTTTCCTGTGTTCACCAAGCACCTGCAGACTCTGTCTCGACCGTAGAAGGTACTGCGGCAGCTAGCCAGCCACCATTCAATGGCAACAGTCCATCTCTCACTTTCTTCTCATTAGGTCCTACACCTGCCTGCCGGTGCTATATTAGTAGCACCACCCAGCCCTTGTGTCACTTAAGCCGGTCCACACCTGTTGTTATTCAGCTGTCTAGTAGCTCCATCGCCCAGAGCACATCATCCAGGCCCATTAAGATTCAGTACTCAACCGGCCCTTTCAGGGCCACCATGTTCAGAGCACCCATAAGATATCACAGAGTGGTTTGGGGTAAAGCCCACACAACTTAAAGAAACTTGAAAAATTTATTTTTCCTCACTGGTACCTCCATGCTTCAATTTCTTGAAAGCTTCCTAGGACTTTCACAGTACATGAAAACTGCATATTATTTACCTCTAGCTTACTTTACCATACACAGGTCAAATTGGAAGTTAAAAAATCAATGCGAGCTAAGATCAAAACTTTTAGAGTAAAAAAAGATCAGATGTACTGAACGAACAGTGAGTTAAAGGGAGCCAAATCAACTTATCTTTGACTAAATTTTTTCATTAACATCTAATTCTACTAAAACTGAGGATGGCATTTGCAAAATCATTGATTCAATTTGAGCTTAAAGAATTAGGAAATGGGGTAGTTGCATGCAGCTGTGATTTTAGATCTGATTACTGTTTCTAGCAGAACTTTTCGCGAAAAAGCGTTTTTTGAATTTGCAAGTTCTGAAATTGAGTCAAAAGCTCTATTAAAAGTCGATAAATTGCAGTAATAAAATAAACGATTTCCATTCGCTGTGACATCAGTTAGTATACAAGGCCCGGCCCAGCGCCATCACCCCTATCTTGACCGAGTGTTTACCGAGCCAAAGCGTCATCTGTTGTGCTATTCCGTAAAGTTCCAGTGAATGGAATTTTTTTTAAAAAATTCCTCAATACTCTGTAGACCTCAAACTTTAAGGTTCGGATTAAACAAATTCCTTGCAACTACCCCATTGAAGATCATGATATTCAAAACACTAAAACTTAAAGTTGTTATCACAGTTAACAATAATCCATTTGCAGCACAGAGACACTGAGGAACTATGAACAGTGTGAGTTCATATCAGACTTTTGAAGGAAGTCAAACCTGCGGGTGACTAGTATATCAATTTGAACTAATTGTTTGAATACATGCAGACGTCATCAAAATCACTGATCAATATCATCTGCATCTGGTGCTTTGGTTCTGCAATTACTGCTTGGATTTTAAAGTAGTCTGAGAACAGGCTGAGTTGATGATGAAATAAAACTAAAAATCTTGAGCTTACAATCAGTTGACGACACCATCTGCCGTTTCCACGATCAGCATAATACTGTTTGGATCCGAGCGAACACATTCCACCTGGTGGACAGCCCAGTCTTTCCGCTGACAGAATATCGAACAGTATGGCGTTCGGCGACACAAGGAACACTCTGCATACGCTTCCCTATCACAGTTGGCACACTGCAAGCAAAACAAAAATCTGATTTAGAAATTAGGATGGATTTTAAAGGCTGAAGCTTCATGGTTGATGTAGCACTGTACAACCAAATTTCAAGTATATTCAGGCACTATTTTGTGAATTTTTCGGTAAAGTAGAACATGCAATGAGATTCCTCCTAACTCCAAAAAGACACGGAAATTCAACCGGTAGTAAAGAGTGCCCAATTGCAGCAAACAGTCAGCATTTTTAAACTTGTAACACGACTGGTATTAATTTGAAAAACTTAACAAACTTCCAAAAGAATTTACAGAGGAAAATTATTCCTGCACTTCTGCTAAGATGCAGCTCTGATTGTCTTTTGCAGATCAGTGCAGGGTCTCAAAAATAAAGTTTAAATCTGAGTCTGCTCAGATTTAAACTATATTTTTGAGACCCCGTGCATTCAGAAAAACCACAGATCTATTAAAAAATGTTTACTTTTCATTGAGATCCCTCTTACCTTCTTCTGTTCATTGTTATCTGCAGTTGGCTGGAGACTAACAGAATTCAATGAATTTACAAAATGGACTGAAGAATCGTCGACAACTCTGAAAAAAAAAGAGGAAAAATAGGGTTTTTTCTATGTTATACATTTCCAAACCTTCAGCTTTCTGCAAGAAAAAAAATCTGAATGCCAATAACTTTAACCTTGAGTTGTTCGTCCCACTGGAAATGCGATCTCAAAATTTAATTAAAGTAGCAGCAAACTGAGACCTTGGAGCTAATCTATGTGATATAATCGCAATGGCGGGTCATTCTGACTTATGATTCTCTCGCCTTCAAATCACCTTGATCTGCTATGTTCAGGACTCATGATGGGTTTGTTGCACATAAGAGACACAGCAAAGTGAATAGACTGTCTACATTTAAAACCCTTTGCAGACCTCAATTGGCAGATTTAAAAAGTGTGAAATCCACCCCTTGGCAAGAGATTTGCCTACTTTAAAACACGTTTCTTTGAATTTCCCACACTCCGAAAGTATTTCTTGGTGGCCAGCAATCATGATTGCTCAGATGGAGAGACTCAGAATAACCTAATCTAAGTAAACAAAAAATCTCGCAAACCATTACGAACTTTCCTAATGAATGATTTTCCCTAATAAAGCTTTAATTTATGCTTTTGGTCTTTTTCTCTCCCCTCAGTTTTGTACTCATACTCATTAGAGCTCAGATTTTTTACTGTAATTGAAATTTTTGGAGTTTTCTAGTCTTGATTTCTCTGGAGAATATCGCGGACGCAGCATTATTCTACCTCCTTGTCATTTGGGTAGCAGTTACTTGACCTTAAAAAATAACAGCATTGAAATTAAGATTATTTTTACCGCTGAGTGTCGACTCGACTGTTCAATATAGCATTTTCCTTTTCTTTCCGCAAAGCTTCTTCTAGAGTGGACACTTCCCTCTGCCACTGCGCTCTACTTTCCTCAACTGACTTCTTTAGTTGATATGCAAGTTTAATTAATTTGTTGGCAACCTGAAAGGATTAACATAATTAAAAATTAAATTCATATCAAGTGTTTTTCCTACAATGAAAGTGTTGAAGGACCTGTTATGCCCCTGCAACTGTTATGTTGTGTGCATTGGAAGGAAACTATTTCAAACCCGTTGTACTAAATGCAGCTTTCTTGTTTACTGATGAACTTGATGCACAATTGGACCATTTCCTGATTTTATAGCTTGGAAAATTCAGTATTTGCAACAAATTGACCATGAATTCATTGATTTTTTACTGTCGATAATACTTATAATCATTTTTGTATTGCATTCCATTGAAAAAAAAAACGAACAAACAAACAAACAAACAAACAAAAAATCCCACACTAAATTTGAATTTATAGATAATTTCTCCCTAAAACTCACATTTTCTACTTTGGTGAAAGGATCACTTGAGCCAGTATCATCCTTCTCGGCAGTAACTGACTCGATGGAATCGATGACTGTTTGGGCTGTTTCAGTCACTGAGTTTACAGCAGCACTAGCTGATTTGATTCCGCCACTAAATTCAGTCTTGACTGGTACTCCATCCTGGCTCCAACGACGGTTACTTCCATTTATCATCAGAAGTGGCTCACCTGAAACAAATGCTCTGATAGGAGTGTTGTCTCTAAAGGAACTAAACAGTCTGAATAGTTCATTGCATAATCCAGCCTGACTGCATGAGGTAAGCCGGCAAAAAGAGATACAGTGATTTCAATATCACTGAAGGAAGCAAAACTATTTGTACTGGGAAATTAGAAAAAAGACGAAGGTGAAACTTCCAAACCACGTTTCTTGGTTCGCAACCTTGCAGACTTCATATCACACTTGTTTTTTGAAAGGTGAACTACCTAATGTCAATGCTTAAAAACTTCCTAGTTTCTTTTTCAGTATGGGGCTAATTATAAAATTTCAAGGAATGATGTTGACTCATTTTTCTTTAAAAACATAGGGAACAAGATACATGAATCACTAAATACAAAAAAAGGGCGTCCAGAAAACCAAATTGTTCAGGAGACACAAAAAACTGTTTCTTTTGTGGTAGATATTTTTTTGGAAAGTCGTTATGTTTAAAAATACCGGCGCGGGGCAAAGCGGAGCGCCGGTTTTTTGAAACATAACGACTTTCCAAAAAATATCTACCACAAAATAAACAGTTTTTTGTGTCTCCTGAACAATTTGGTTTTCTGGACATGTGCCCTTTTTGTATTTAGTGATTCACATGGTATGGGAGTTTCGCTGTTGATATGGGCTTTATTTTTAGGCTGATATTATATTTTAAATAGAGATGCATACAGGAGCAGAAGAGGTTGGAAAAAACTGCAGAACAGTTGGAGGCTCTATCTAACTCTACTGTAATTCAAATATTTTAAACTCCTCCGTGTAACAAAGAATTTCGTTTTAAGTTTTTTCTTTTTTTTTTTGTGGGCCATAAAGCTGCAAATGTGTCACGGCTAGGCGACACCGCAGCCGACCCGGCTACACTGCGCTGCGATGCCCAGCAACGGTTCATCAGCTATCTTTTGAATGAGGAGCAATTCAATAAAATATTTTTCTCCTTTCTCTCTCTCCAAGGTGCTCTTCGAACTGCGAAATCAGGGTTTTCCGTAGTTTTACCCAAAGCAGAAAATTTTAAAAAATTCTAAACTACTATAAACGTCTGTAGGAAATTTTCATACATCCATTCCTTTAAATGTTATATTTTAATTAATTTTTCCTGTACCAAAATTTACGTAATGAATGTCGAGATCGTCTTATAATAGCTTCAAATCAATCTGATGGCCCTCTCAGTCAAACTTTGTACATCCCCCTCTCCTTTCAGGAGGGTCACCTACTCTCTCCTCTTTTCTTTACTCTTTAGGACTTGAAGTGCTTGCTGTAAGAGGCATTTCGTCCAGTTTCCTGTACACTCACTTTTCCACTATTTCCTTCCTCTGGCGCTTTAAGTGCACACTGTGATCGCATTTCGGCTCAGACCTAGATTTGCAAATTTGGAATTGTTGAATTGATGTATAGTCAAAAAGAGAGGATTGAAGAGGTGGATCCTTGCAAGCTTATCAACTAAATATTTCATTTGTATTTTGTAAAACCTGCCTTGTAAATAAACCAGAAACTGGTAAATTTAACCTTTTTTCTTCGGATTCCTTTATTTAAATGAGGCTCAAATCCAGGATCACGCCGAGTTCATCCGCCACCCGAAGTGACGTTAGCGGGTCTCTTTCCTGGGGACGTTGAAAGTGCTTTAGAAGATCTAGACCTGCCCGTTACACCCTGTAGACTGGCCCATTCTGGTGATGAAAAAATTGCTTTGGCACCATTTACATATTGATTGCATTACTATCAATTATTTTTACCACATAAATTATCACTCACCATCTTTGGAATCATCATTACTTTCGTCCTCGTCATTACTGGTTCCATCCGAGCAGCGTTTGATTTTTTTGACCTTGCGATGACCGCTATCATGTTCATCTTCTCTCCTTTTCCGCCGTTTATACGGGGTAAATAATCTAACGGGTCCACTCTGAAAAGCAGATGAATCAGATATTAAGTAAGAGATATTTGAAATTTGTTTGATAGGAGAAGGTCCTATAATCCATTGACTCAATTTGATAGGTTAAACTCATTATTGCAGACAGAAATTGCGTCTGAAAACTTAGAAACGTTGAACTTGAACTGTTTACCTATATTAGACGGTTCCTTGATGTTGACAGATTGCATTACTCATCATTCTATCTGCTTATCTCACTATATCACACACCATCATCATTTTCAGACAAGAGAGCGCAACTTCAATACAACACAGCAATTTCCTCTCGAAAATCATGCTTTTACTGAAAAACGGTACAGCATTACTAACTGAAAATTCCACTGATATTTCTTCTGATCATTTGTGAAAATCAAATTAATTTTGAACAAAAATTGTACTGTTGTATTCTTTAAAAAAATTGTTTGTTTAAGTCCATTTTGCAACATTGGAGTGTGGTTGCATTCCTTTATCTAGGAAATGACAATGTGACTAATGTAACACCTTTTTTGATGCAGATTTTTATTCTGTGATGACATCTACTCCCGCTTATTAGCACTACTGGACGAGTTTCACACGCATACAGGTATTTGGGGTTACTGATATTGGCCCAAAAAAAAAAAAAAATCATAATTTCCATAAGTACCTACCTCAATGAAAATGATTATGAGGTAATGGGTTTAGATGGATAGAAATATTTAAGGCTGACTTTTGCCTAACTGTTGACTAATTTTCCCAACTGAAAAATTTACAAATTCCCTGACCTTCGAACAAATTTACCACTTAGATTTTTTTTTCTAATTATGTTGATTTAAGGTAAACTTGAGACAAAATTTCCACTTTAAGAGATTCAAGTAATAGAAAAAGACTCGGAAGTTGTTTGCACTCTCTCAAATGACACAGCTGAAGTTGCTGGATCTGAAATCGGCTGAAATCTGAAATGATTTCCTATAAATCGAAGAGAAACTTACTGCTGATTCATCTCCACAGCAAGCAGCACAAATACAACTGGTGGCATGTGGTAACAAAATGCCTGCGTCTATAAGAACTTGCAAGCTGCGTCCTCCAAATCTGAAAATTAGAAACTGAATTAACAAAGTGGCTTCCTAAGCACTGTAATTTTGATGAAAAAATAAAAAGAGTAGCTGATTTCTAATTGGTTTGGTACAGAGCACTCCTTTTAGGGGTAAAATTGGCTCTTCATTTTCTTAGACTGATGCTGGATCTGTTATCAGTACAAAGAAATGAAAGGGGGGATATTAACTGTTAAAAATTGTTTGTCGTTAACATTCACATTAAAGCATTCTTTCTTTGAACGGGAGGGAGGGAGAGGGGTCGAAAAAAGCTGTAATTGTTAGCTGAGATAAATCACCACTGGATTCACACTAATGCTAACATATCAAACAAATTTTTTTAGAATGCTAGTTGCATTTTTTACGTTCGAGTATAACAAGTTCATTATGAACAGATGTACATTTCAGGTGTCAATTTTTGATGGATCTACACAGCCCTTCATTAGAGCAAAACTATCTGAATGTAAAAGAATTATGTAAACAGACTGATGAAATGTGCTCCCAAACATAGCACATACATTTTTTGTTGAATAAAAAACTAAACTGGTACTTCACATTATGTTTGGTAGCACAAAATAAGGTCCATTCATGAGTAGACAGAAAGGAACATCCTAAAATTATGAGATGCTAAATTTGCCATTATTTCAGACACTCCCATCTCTAGGTAGCATTTGTTCAGAGAAGTCCCTGACTTTAAGTACATGAACATTTTTACCTGATGCTTCTTTTCCAATCTTTACTTGATGCTCTTCCACAAAGTGCTTCGAACTCGTTGGGAGTGTGCCATGTATCACCGAGTTTGATGCAGCGCCCCCTTCCACCAGAGCCAAATTTTGATTTATGAAGCTCAGCATTAGTACTCTGCAAAATAAACAATCAATAAAAACATCAGTAGGTGGGTGACTGATATGCTTGATTTGGTTAGGCCAAGGGTGCTAATGTGGTGAGGTGAAATAAATAGGAATTCTTTCCAAAGAAGAAAAAAAGTAGATTTATAAATATTTCACACACTTGTTACAAATTACTACTTTAAGATCGTAGAGAGCTGCATGAGAGAGAAGGTAGCTGTTTCATTCACTACCATTGCAGAAAGTCTTCCTCAAGGTATACTAAAAAATTGAGCCTCACTACAATTGATGAAATTCAAAAAGTTTTTAAATATTTTGATACATTGAACAAGTGTTGAGGATGATTTTTGAAGAGAAAATGAATTTGTTACAATGAAAGCTCACAACAGCTTGGGAAATAGAGGAACTGTTCAAACATTATACGACTCCTCCTTTCAAAGTGTCATGAATAGTTTAAATATATCCATTGTAACATTAGCAATCGAAAGTGTACACCTGTACTATTATTACTGTAAGATAAATATTGGGATTCTAATTCTACTGAATCTTTTGAAAATGGAAAATCTTTAGAACAACTCACAGCAAATGATATTTGTGTTAGCAATTTTGGCACATGGCTTTTTCTTAATTATCGGATGAATGAAGGAGTTGATCGGCTTGTAGAGCTTGATCATCAAACATGGAGGTAAAAGTCAAGTATTGTTTAAGCCACCACTCATTGATGGTTCCATCTATTAGCATGCATTAAACTGCTGAGAGGGTGCTGATTCGGAGCTAATTTGAGTTTGATATTTGTCTTAACATAAAATGAGGAAGAACTACACTGGTAAGTGTCTATGCTTTACATTATCTTCACACTCCCTTTGATTATATTACCACTTATTGTTCCCGAGATTTACATGGCAGATATCTGCAGCGTGTCAAGCAAAAATGGACCAAGACAAATGCGACATTGCCAACTTTTATCAAACAATTTAATTTTCCCCAGAAGAACAGTTGTGCTGATTCTTTTGAAAATTTTGGGGAATTTGCAACATGGCATAGAGGAAATTCCCTAAAAATATCGAACGGATCTTCACTATCTTTTTCATGTAAAAAAATAAATCATCCTATGAATTTTGGCAGTGGCTGATATGATTTGGTTCTTTCCTCCTCGATGCAGTCATTTATTCTGCTTGCCACAGAATAAATGACACAAAAATTCACTCTGCCTACAACAAAGAGAAATGAAACACTGGAGGATCTACCTTGCATCTGATGGGTAGAATCGGGCAGTTGGCAGCTGCAGCATAAGTTGTGGTCAGGCAATCTTGCTGATTGACAGTTTGTTGCTCCTCCTGGCTGTCGCTTGCCTCTTGAATAACTATGTGTGTTGCTTTCAGTTCACCATTCTGAGCAAAATAGACGAATAAAAAATGGTTGATTTAAATTAATAAAAATGAGAGGAAAAATTCTAAAAATTAAACATCCAAACCAAGACAAAGCAATAAGAAAACTTATGGACAAGAGAATATCCACAAAAAAGTGCCTCATCAAGGCCAAAGTAGAAACTTTGGAGGCTTATGATTCCTCCCTGTTCAACTATGAATTCATTTAGTGACAGACATCAGTTAAAACTAATATCAGGTTAATTAGTCATTGTTTACTTTCGACTAACCAGGACGTCTAACAACTTGGAGGAAGGACATTCCCTGACTTTCTTGAGTTTCCCCTAACCCCTGGTGTCTAGAATTCTTGACCAGACTCATTCTCTGATTTTCCCTGATTTTCAGCAGCTCATTCCTTAATGAAAAACCAAAGTTTTCTCCAATTTCCCCAGGATTTTCTGGGGGAAAAGAACATAACTCTCCAGAGTTCCAGATATGAATATCGATTTTAATTCATCTTTCAGCCATTTTATTGGCGCACATTCAAAATTTTAATTTCAAAAGAGCTCCTGATGTTTATGTTAACTGGTCAATGAAAGTTTCACCATTAATTTGAAGATTTTAATTATTTTGGCAATAATTCCACCGCTAAAGAAAACGAAATGATCCCAAAGAGGTAGAAGAGGAGATTCCTGGTTTCTGGAAGAGATTCCCTGATTATCCCTGTAAATTTTCATTCCTTAGGGAATCCCGGTTTTTCCTGTTTTAGACACTGTGCCCTAACCAAACTTCCCCCAAGTGTTACAGCGAAGAAAAAGCTGCTTGATGAAGTTTGAAGAAGGATGTGGAACTCGCTACACTCCTGAAAAAACAACTGATTGTGAGAAAAAAAATTTCTTACCTCATCCCTCACCCAGGTTCGCAAAGGATCAGCTCCAAATTTTGTTCCTTGATCACAGCTGATACAATTGTTCTCCACGCATAGGATCTTTTGGAACTCTCCAGACAACTGAGGGGCAGATAAATGCACATTAGTTAGCATGGAGGCAATGTTCTGAAGTATAGTATTCCTGAATCATGAGCTTGTTGAAAGTAATTGGCTTAAAATAAAAAAGGAGGAAATTCCTGAAAAACACTCACAAACTCTAAAAACAAATGGGTTATGGAAAACAATTTTCTTGCCCCCCTTTCACCATATAAGTTCTCAAGATTTATATGAAACCAGAACCGGAAAGAGTGAACCTCATGGAAACTCTTTTTCCATCCTTGCCGATTTCCTGATTGGATCATACAGTAAAATCTAAGAGTCAAAAACTTTGTGGGTCACAGTTAGAGTTAGTAAAATACTGTAGATCAGCCAGTTTGAGGATGAAAATTAAAGGTCATTGGATTGTAGGTCTAATATTTGTCACGCCAACCTGGAGCCTAGATTCACAATGGGTCGTGTAACATGTGGTCATTGAAGGTCTATTGAAAAATGAGTGTCTTCCACAGTCTTCTTCATTTTTCACTTTAACACGCCAGCTGGTAGATTGGGTTTTCTAGATATAAACCATACCTTTAAACTGAAATAGAATTGATTTTCGAGTAATAGAGTGAGAGAACGACTATAATTTAGAATCAACACAGAGTAATTCAGGTAAAGGAGGTGGAGGGTTAAATATTCGAAAAATTAAAAATGACTTTTTTTCTCATCCAAACAGCAGAGGATCCCAATCTCCAGCATTACTATCTTGTAGGGCTTTTTCTTCATCTATGGAACAAGATAGATTGGGATCTTTGCGGTTTGGGCCGGTGCAACCGCCCTTACCGCAGCCTCAACTCACCCTGGAAGAGTCCAAACATTCCACTGGAACAAATGGAACGGGCTGAGACGCGCCAGCGGAACAGGATAAAAAAGTAATGCGTTCTGTAGCGATCCTCTGCGGTTCGGATACAAAAAAAGCCCTTAGAGGGTTCACTACTGTGGTCCAGACCATTGCCATGCTTTCCAGTGGATCGCTTGGATTGTTCTTCAGAGGTAGTCATCATACAATTACAGGTAGTTATAATCTCACGGAGATCCATAGATAACGCTATCTATCACATTACATGGATGTAGAAACCTTGAAGAAAAGCTAACTGACCAACTAACAAGTCGCTCTTAGAGCGCTTCTGTGCGCTGTTTTGGAAGAAAAGCGATTTTGCAATTATCAAGACCCTCCTACAGGTGATGACAGTAAGGTTGGCACTTGAAATATCCCGTTTGCAAACGACCGCAGTGCAGTTGTCCAATGAGAATCGGAATTGACTACGCTCATGATCGGGCCACGGTCAATCCTCGATTACTATAGGGCAATTGCTTGCGAGCGGAATGTAAACAAGTGCTAACTTACTTAAGCTGCATTGTCAAAGTAAACTATTTAGGACTATTTGGAAATGGAATCACCCGACTTCAAACGGGCAATGCTACTGGCCTCCATTAGAACTACCAAAGGTTTGTTTATTTACAGACGAAAGCCTAACGTTTCTACCAAACGCTCGACAATCTCAGGAGGTCCATGGGACCGTTGGGAAACGGAAGAACCAAACGGAATCAGATAAGATTACTTCGACAACGTACCTTGAGTTGACCGTACCTCCACCAACTAATCCACAAACACTTTTTGGTGTTTGGTGAGATGGATGATGAGAGATTTTCATTGTGTCGAATTTTGGAGTTTGGCCGAGTGAAAAGACATCCGGTGAGCTATGCATGTGGGAATCTCTGAGAATCATAGCGTCACATGGTGCGCTGTGCGACTTTCTGACAAAGAATTTCGGGGAGATAAACATAAGGGTACATGTATGACCAAAGAAGCATCTTTCGCACACCTTACAGGAAGAATTCTATGGGTGTCAAGGTGCTCAATACTGACAGTCTGGAAGGCAACTTAGGATATGCGAACTGCTGGTGGATACCTACAGGATTCCAGTCCGCCATTGAGCTACTCTCAAGGGAAAAGACTTCTGCCATTAAAATGCTCTTACCTGAAGTCTATCGGCTGTGATGACATTGAAAGCAGTTGTGGAGCCGCTCACGTTTATCAGAGATCCAACCGGGAGAGAAACAGGTACCGCACTCACGGGGATCGTTTCGACAGTTTCCGTCGAATGCTCGACGATATTCGTCTCGGCGTGCTCCTCAGTTCTTTCGTTTGACTCGGGTTTATTCGCCAGAGAATCGGTCATGTCCGGTATGGCTATTTCCGAGGATTCCTCGTCCATCCCAGGTGGCTGTTGCGGGGAAAATCACTAGCCCAGCATGACGGCGATGGGCCTGAAAAGCGGATTTTCAAGAAAAACACAGTAAAAGTTGAGCTCCATCAGCAAAGATACACAACATAATCAAGAGCGGGTAATCAACGCGGAACAATGGTTGGCCGACTGGACTAAAGATAGCTACAACGGCCGTCAACTACAATGAGCACTGTATCCGGGTACGGCGCTCCGCCGCACACTGGGCTCGGGTCCCGCCAAATGCTATTCCACGCAGGCGACAGGCGACACTGGGCTCGGGTCCCGCCAAATGCTATTCCACGCAGGCGACCCCATCTCCATTCGACTCCTCAACATTGTAAAAGAACTATTGGACGCCCTTCCCCCCCCCCCAAAGAACAATTACTAGGAGAGATTAGTTAATTTATTGAAGAGCTTCTCCGAATACCTTAATGGCCGTAGATTATGATTTCAATCATGACATGAGGAATTCTTACGAATCTCTTCGATGGAATGAAACGCCTGGAACCTGGAACAAAAATCTCACTAACAACCCCTCCCCCCCAACCCTCCCCACAACCCCCGGAGGAAATTATTTTTCCAAGGGAAGACTGTCACACAANTCCACCAACTTAATTTCCATTCCAGGTTAAATTTATTCCGTTCAAAAACGAGTTTCGTTCCATTTTGATGGATTATATTTATTTGAGACACATATGTTTACGGGCTTTGGTGATTTTTGAAGTTTACATGAAAGCTCTGAAGCAACTCCAAAAGCGAGAAGTTGACGGAGAAGTTGGATATTTTCTTTTCTAACGTTGCGTGGCTGCAGGCTACAGTGGTACCCGCGAATTTCAAAAAGACGCAGAACCCCCCACGCTTCCGACGGTGGAGCTAAACCGGGTGTCAAAAAACTATTAATACCCTCAAAAACATTTTTCGGATAAAAAATCCGGTCGAGGTAATTGTCAACGATTCCGACGGTGAAGCTAAACCGTGTGTCGAAATTTCCGTCGTTCCTTCATTTTTCTTTTAAGAACGATAGACAAAAACCCAATAAACACGATCCGCCTTTTCAGTCCGCAAAAGCGGAAGTTTCAAGTTATCTTTTATAGTTTAAGTTAAACGTTATCTTAAGATGAGAAAACTCATGCGAAAGATTTCATGAAGTGGGGACGTTAAAATTGAGCAATAAGTCAACCTCAGTGCGTTTGCGTTATTAAAATGCGTAACGCTAAACTTTTGGATCTGTGACCCCTCTTCCCCCTTGGAAATCGAACATGAAAAAATATTTTTGGGCTGGGATGTTTTTTCGTGCACCGCGCATAGTCACATGCGATCGCTTCAATTTTTTGAAGATCTAAGGACTTGCAAGGGTTTGATAATTTGCAGTGCCTCGTAAGTTTTTACGGGCGGTGGGTTTGAGTCGCTTCTGGGAGCGATACCTAATCCTTAGGAAGATTATTCGCTAGACGTTTCGTACGAATGTTGCGAATGCATTTGGGCCGCCCGAGTACATTCGCGCCCAAATTTGGCGGCGGGGTAGGAAGCTGTCCACCGAGGATTTCCTTTGACTCCGCAGACACAGTTGCCTGCGCAAAGCTGCTGCGGTACCTATGTACCTATCCGGAATGGTCCGCAGAATAACAAAAAATCAAAGACTTTCATATTTTTTGTCCGATTGATGAAATGCGATGGAAATGTCGCGAGTTTTGAAGTATTTCTCAAGGAAATCGCGTCAAATCACCTATGAAATAATTTTGTTATTCTTACCATCATACCCTCTGAAATTCCAGCGGTGCAGGGCCGAATTTACCTACTTGCCGCCCATGGACCGCCTGTATTTAGCCGCCCCTTCCCATTCGTTTTGAAACATCGATACAAACTATCAAGTGAACGTGCCGGAGGAGGAGGAGTGCATGGACGCGTTTAATCGTGTGGGGCACACTTTTTGTGAAAGCTCTGTTAACACTAGCAAAAGTTCACGGAACGCGAAAATTAAGTTCCGTAAAAATATCTCTGTGTGGACGAGGTCTTTCATTTTTAAGAAAAGAATGAACAAATTATGAAAGAATAAACATGAATGTGGGTTAATGGTTTTAATTTCCGCCACCGCGACAACCGTACTGTGTTTGGCGCAATGCGTGAAGTATTCCTACAGTCTTGTAGGCGCTATGCGTTTCACGCCGACCGCTGTTGACGCTGATCGCACTGTTTTTGACGCAATGCGTGAAGTATCCATGCAGTCTTGTAGGCACTATGAGTTTCACGCTATAACCGCTGCTGACGCTGACCGCACCACGTTTGACGCAATGCGTGAAGTATTCACGGAGTCTTGTAGGCGCTAAAATGATGTGTTTCATGTTGACCGGCGCGCCGAGGGCTTCTCTTTCATCTCGAGTCACTAGACTAATGAAAGGCGCTGTCTCTTGTATCACCGGAAGACGAACAAATCGGAAATTACTATACTTTTAACTCTCAGGAAATGATATATTTTTTCGCCTTTTCTCGTTTGTAATTTCTTTTCTGATTCAGATTTTTTTCGTGGTACCGACACTTGAAAAAATTACAGCATTTGCCGCCCCCTAAATTTGCCCCCATGAGCCGCGGTCCATGTGGCCACCCCCTAAATCCGGCTCTGCAGCGGTGTAATTAATTTTAAACCGTATAAATTAGGCTTAGTAATAGACGGTAAATTATACTCCGATAGGTAAATATGTCGTGCATTCCTTCAAAGAACGTCATACGTCAAAATATTACACAACCCCTTCCCCATCGCAGGTAGTCTTAATAGTAGGTACCTGTCTTCCAGTTACACGGTAGATAGTTGGTGATGAAAAGCCACGAAATTATGCATCTATATTGCTAACTTTTCAAATTTTCCGCTTCGTTTATTTGTTAGTATTACCCATTCTTATTCTTTCACTTTTTATATGGTAGGGGGTCGCAAATCTGAGCCGTTGTAGCATGCATTTTGCAGCACTATACCTACGTAGAACAGTATTCTACGGCGTATTTAAAACATTCGATAATGGCCAAAGTAGGCGCAAACCAGAGTCTGGACAATATTCCGCTCGCTAAGGATATCCTTCGAAACAAACCATTAAATCCCCGGTGGTAAAGGGATGAGGGGAGAAAGTTTTAAAAAAAAGTACAATACCTAGCGAAATTCGAAAAGCTTCCAGCGATGCCGGCTTCAATTCAGAATCCGGCGAAAACCGGAAGCCACCACGAACAAACATGATACGCGATTCAGTATGATTTGCCTTTGAAATCATGAATTTGTCTGTATATGTCAACCGTCAGTACTAGAAAATCAAAATCTGAGCTTTTAAGATGAATTTTATGGCGTAAGGGAAAAAATTACGATGTTGTGGTGAACGGGACTTTCAGCGGAAACGTCATCTCATTTCCCGTTTTACTAATTATTCTCCATTTTAAAGACCTGTGAGAGAGGCTAATGGTGTATAGAAACTTAGAAGTAGTGCCTAGTTGCATATCCCTCCGCCAGCTCCGTACTTTTAATTATTGCATTTTTCATTTCCTTCTACGGCCCAAACAGTTCTTGTCATGAATTTCCTTTTCTTAAATTTTTGATTTTATATTTAAGCCGCTAAAAATTGTAGGCTCCGTTACCCGTATTTCTCAAATTAGTTCAGTTAATTGAGGAACTATTGCACCGTACCACAGAGCCAGTTGTTCCTTCGCGCGTCGTTTCAGCCTTGCCTATCGAAAGCCCTACTTGTAAGTCAACGGCCCAAATGTTTTACATGGAACTAAAATGAAAATAAAACCCCAAGTGAGTGCGAATTTTCATCGTAAAACTGAGTGTGTGTTTGGATTGTGGTTCTTAATCGCTGCGTCTCACTCAAATATCGGCCGGGAATGATGTGAAGTTGCCCTCATTATGTGAAATCCAACTCCGAATTTCCAAATTTTACGGTCAAAACAAACATAATAATGGTTTGAATAAATTTATCTCAATGACAATCATGTTTGTATTTCATATTAAACTCTGACTTATTGTTTCTAGTTTGTGCTCCGGATTACATAAATGCTAGTTTCGAGAGTTCAACAATTTATGTGAGTGGTAAATTCTCCGCCAACTGACTCCTGCATTCTTAACCTGACCGTTTATTTACCATGGTAGACGAGGATTTCGGGCGAATTTTCCCGTTGTATTCGTGCAGTTGCCTTTTAAAGAGCCAAATTATTTGAACTAGCGCAACCTGGATTTGATCAATTTCTACCGCTGGTAGTTGCAGGTAATATTTCAGATTATTTTGTTATGAACTACTTACCAGGATCCATTGGGTTCGATAGGGTTGAGCAGTTGATCTGGCCATTATCACCTAGAATTGAGCTTCTCCAGGAAGTTTAAGTCGTAGTTTCTCTGCTAAATAGTTTGATAAATAGAGCGTTTGTCAATCCACCAATGGCTTAGTGAACATCTTACTTTATGGAGCATCACTATCTCGCAAAGAGAACCAGCCGAGAATCAGTGATCATGTGAGGTTAGGTATGTCACTAACATTTTATCTCTGACTTATCAGTACTATTTCTCCTACAGTTCTTGTTTTGGATGCAAGAAAATAGTTACCTCTCATTCATAACTAGCAAGGCTCTGTAAGTGTGACTAACATCAAGTTTTTGGGCCCAATCACTTTCATCATTCCAAGTGTCATTGGAGAGCCACCATTACTGAACACTTTCCCCGTCCAACGGCACTTGTTCAACTATAGGCAAGTTAACAATAGGGATGTTGCTGAAATTTTTTCCACTCTTGTCCAATCTCATTGTTCAGTTTTGAATCTTAGAGCCACTACCCTCATTAATGACATTATATTTTGCGGTATCCTAACGTGTTATGTAGCCAAAAACTAGGTTATCAGCAGATCTGTCATGAGCTTCCTGTCAGATGTGTAATGTGACTATTTTAGCGATTCCCAAAGAACATAGGACATCTTTGTTACAAATCCTTCCTCAATTAAGTAATTGAATTTAAGCTGTTAGAATTTTCCCCGGACATATAACCATAATTAGAGCTCGCGCATCGTATGTTGAGACAAATGTCAAAGGATTGTTTATGTCACCATTCACCAGTGGTGCCACCTGACTACATGTATTAACCTGTTGAGCGGTGCGAATTCGGAGCTAATCGGAGATTGACGTTTGTCTCAACATACGATGAGCGAGCTCTACATCACTAACAACATAATTTTAGTTAGGGTCATTACAAATCCATTGTAGTTGTGATCTTTCCAAAGCATCATTTCATTCTGACACTTATGGATTTTTTCTGACCCCCCTATCAGTTGGATTTGCTGTTGCACCAGACTTTAACACAGAGTAGGATTGGGTAGGTATGTTCCGAACAAATAGTTGTTTGGTTTATCTACACCAATATTCCTATAAAATAAAGTTTTAACTGACAGCTAAAATTCCCATCAGGCCACAATCTTCTAAATATGCTAAGTTATGTGTATGATAATCTCCCGGGTTTTTTTAATCTAAATAAGTAATAGCTATCTCAGAAGCGGGGACATAGAACTCGAGCTTGCGCATTGTATGTTGAGACAAACGTCAATCTCCAATTAGCTCTGAATTCCACCACTCAACAGACTAATACATGTAATCAGGTGGCACCACAGGTGAATGGTGACATAAACAATACTTTGACGTTTGTCGTACAATGTCTTGAACATACAATGCGCGAGCTCTAAGCTTAGTTTTCTTGAGGGATGGGGGCAATTCCAGAGAGAAGTGGAGGGAATCTTTCCAACTGCCCAGATTTCCTTCCAGTTTAACAACGTCTTATGGTAAGGCAGTGTGCTCAATCATTACTGTACTCCTGGCCAGAAGGGCTCTTTTTTGCCCGCTTCAGTTGAACCTCACTGGCGAGCTATACACTTTTCATTGGTTTGGCAGGACAGCTGTGCTACTACCATGACGAAATCGAATATTCACTTTAGTTTAATGGGTTTTCCCAATGTTATTGTACAATGACACTAGCCGAGCGAGGCATGAAGACTAAAGCCTAGTGTTAAGGTGCGCACTCTATGCTGTGTAAAGGGCGATAAAAACTCCACCTCAGGAACAGCTGACCAATATTGCCCCTCTCTTGGTCATGAAGGAAGATTAAGGTTAGCTTTACCTGACTCAACCTTGCAAGGGGCGCAGAAAGTTCCATGTATTCTTCGAAATTCGATCGGCTTTCCCTATTTTCTTATGGAGTTCTTGATTGTTTCCCTTCGAAGACCAAAAAAAATATAGCTTTTCAGGAAGGTTCCCCCATTTTTCCCCACTCACCTCCTGTGTCTGCGGCCACATTTTTCACTATTTACCGAACCTGGAATCTGACAAACCAGAGGAATATCCAGCTAGAAGGACCCTGCATGTAAAACCAAAGGAATTTAAAGTGGAATTTAAAATCTAAGAGGCTAAATTTTGTTAATATTTGCTGTTGTGATCTTTACAACCCGACAAAAACAAGCTTTAAAATTGAATTCTCCATGTGCTAGTTTTGAAGAAAGAGGGTCTGAAAAGTAAATTTTTAAGTAAGTATTCTGACATAAGTTTTCTTGCAAAGATGTTGCACTGCTGCTATGTCTAGTATGTAGAGTGTTTTGTTGCGCAGCGGCGTAAACAATACACCGCTTACAACATTTGGTTTATCCTTTTCACGTGTCCATGGTAAGAGATTAGAAGTTCTCCAAGATCACCGACATTTCCTTAAATAATGTGTGGAGAAATGCTGAAAAATTTTACTTTTCTGCCCTGTTGTCATCGAAAGTAGTACACAGTAAATTCAATCTTTAAATCTTATCATGTGTAGGGAATTGTAAAGTATATCATATCAAATACAATGAAAACCTGAACATCTGACATGATTATCCAACACCGTAGTTACGGTGTATTTTAAACTCGCTAATATATGCAGTATAGAAAAATGGCCTTTGTCCGAGTTCGATTCGTCAAATCATTACAGAGCTTGCCAAAATTTGAAAATTGCGGGGCAAAATAAGACAATCCTTTACTTAACCATATTTTAAAATTTAAACTTCATTTGAATTTTTATATGTTGCTTACATTCACATTGTTGGTGTGTTTAAGGCTTGGAAGTCGAGTTGAAAAGTATATTGAATCATCTGACATTATCGGTATCTGACAACCCGGCTGTCCGTTACTGTCGGATAATTGGGGTTCCACTGTAATATTAAAATGTAGCCTAATTGTCTTTGATCAGTCCAATTTCTTTTACCAAACGTTTTTTCTTTTTTTTTCAGATGTACGTTTCCAGAGTTATGCTCCTCTTGATGTGAACATTTCTGATTTGTTTCATCAGATTATTCTTCAGCTTTTTGTGTTCTAACCTTTATGCCATCATGGATGATAGTTACCTATCCGGTCAACTAACCACCTCATTTCATCTAATGCAGGTATGATTTTTTTTCTTCATCAACTATTAGGGGGGGGGGGGACTATAGATAGATTAGGGTGTCTACAAGTCCGGAATACTACTGAATTTGTAAGTGCGGTCCGAAGCACTGAAAAAGTGTGGAATTCCGCAAAAAGGTCCGGAATTTTTTTAATTCTTGTCATTTTTATCGCAATTTCAAATTTCTGAAAATTTTCGAATTTCGTCAAGTGGAGGTACTGAAAAAGTCTAGAATTTTTCTGTTGACGGAGGTGTTGAAGTTCTTGAGAATGTACTGAAAAAGTACTGTATAAGTACTTATTTTTGACCAGCCTGTGTTGGTAGATGTTACGGGTAATCTAGTCAAACCGGGTAATGTTGACATTACCCGGGTAATGTCGGCAATAATTGACATTACCCAGAACGTTTTGGTTAGGTTAGGTTAGGTTAGGTTATAATACCCGCCATCCCACCCCTCAGTCGTCAGGGAGGGCCGCAGACGGGACCAGCTGGACCTAACGTAACCTAACCTAACCAAAACGGCCTGGGTAATGTCAATTATTGCCGCCATTATCCGGGTAATGTCGACATTACCCGGTTTGACTAGATTACCCGTAACATAGACACCCTGTAGATAATTTTTGCAAACAGCTGCTCAGGAGTCATTTCTCAGCCTGCAGGAGACCGCACTTAGGTGTACTTGTTACCCGGGCAAACAGTTAGCAAGTATGTAAGTAACAATATTTCCAAGATTCTCCGAAACTATATGTCCCTAGTCCTGTATGAGTGCAGCAGCGCAAAGTTCACCTCTCCAAAAGTAGTCAATCAATTTCTGTTTTTTTTTCTTAAAGAAGAGATGGAATTTTGCCAAAATTAGTCAGGGAATTTTTTAGAAAAAGTCATAAGTCAAGAAAACGAAAAGTCTGGAGAAAGTTTCAGGTATTTAAGTTCATTTTCCAACTTAATACAGCACAGAAGAGCTTGTAAGAAATCTCATTCTCTATGGTATATTTCTCTGCCGTTTGTTATCTTTGAAAATAATATTTTTCCTGTATCAGCTGTAGATAAAAGTAGTTATTTAATGTTCAAATTAATTTTTACAGACTCTCCATTACTTAACCAGCGATGTGCTTTAAAAGACGAAAATGAACGGAGAAGTTCCAAGTGTGCCAATTATTACATTGGCCAGTATCACCAGCCTCTCCGATGGTAAGTTGAATGTAGTCTTAGGCCCTGTCCACACGAGCATGGTTCGAGGAACCTATTCAACGAACTGCTCAGTTCCCAGAACTTGTTCCTCAAAACGAGGCATGCTGTCCACACGAGTTTGCCCGAACTGGAACTTCAATAAAACTGTACAATTATTGCAAAATAATAGATTATTACGGCCGCCAAAGTAACAAAAATAAATGTCAAGACATGTAAAGGACGTAAAAAAACAAAAACAAACAAATTCACATCAAAAGAAACATATGTAGAAGCTTGGAGTACAGGGGAAGTTCAGGGTTTTGGAGGAATAAGTTTTAGTAAGTAAGAGGAACAAGTTCCTCGAACTAAGTTTCGCGAACCACGCTTGTGTGGACAAGGCCTTATAATATAATTCTCTTATTTTCTCTCAAATCGTTATTTTCCTGGAGTAAATACATCAACGCTTATCTAGTGTCCTGTTCCCCCTAAGGGTCAGTTTACGAGTATCCCATCTACAAAATTTCAAGTTTTTTCCACAAATATTTATTTAAATTCTAATCTAATAATAATAGCATACAAGCTTGCACTGAAATATATTTTTCTTTAAATTCAGCTGTTGCAAACCTTCAGCTAAAACCAAAAACTTCATCCTTCCCTCCCATTGCGAAATGTTTCAAAGACCACAAGCGAAATCGTGTAAATAATATTCCTTGCCCCATCCCAATCAACCCAGAGACTTTGCTTAATTTTGAGCTTAGTTCCTCAAAAAATGTACCATGCCAGGTTTCTAGCGGCCTGGGAAACACGGAAAGTCGGGGAATTTACAACAATGCGGAAAGCCAAGGAAAATCAGATATTTTTAAGAGAAGCGCAACGGCTGAGGAACTTCACTAGTGCCACTCAGAGAACAACTTCTGAAGGCTTTTTTCCATGGTGTAAATTACTAGAAGCGGAAATTTTGTCCAAAGTTCAGCCAAAGTCAGCACAGTCGAAAGGAAGAAAATACCTAACTGGAAGTTTTGTTCAAAGGTCAAGCAAGCCAGGAAACTGAGAAATTTTAGTCAGGGGAAAGTTAAACTGAAGGAATTATAGAAACTGCAACTGTGCTTCATAAGAATCAAGTGTTGTCATTGATTGCAAAGACAGAGTTTTAAATTCAAATTCTAAATTTTCAAATTTCCAGAGCTCAAAATTCAGAGTTTTCAATCGCTGGATTTCAACGCTTCTGATAAAGTTGGCAAAAAAGTCAAATATGATGGAAAAGAACAAATGACCCTCAAATATATCACATAAATGATAGTAAATAATATGTGATATCCAAAATTTTTGGAATGCAATCACTTCATTTTTTTTTCAATTTTTCAGTGGTTGGTGAACTGCCTTTACCGAGTGCCATGCCGCACACGGTAAGTAGCTCGCTCCTCTTTCATCCGCGAGTTGCAGAAGAAGCCGTCAATTTGCTGAATTTGCGAGATGACACTCTGGTCTCGCAGTTAACGCAAGCTTTAAGCCAAACATCCTCCGCTCACATGTAAGTGCCTAACTCTTGTTTCCTATCGTAAATCTCCTGACAAGAGCAGTATCTATCTATGGTAGAGTAGTAGCATGAATGAACTTGGTCAAGGTAATCAGTCCAAAAGCACAATAAGGCCCTGAATAGACGAAGAATAAGGGTAATCTCTGTCAATTAAACTGCATGGATGTTTGCCCCTTCTTTATCAGTTTCCTTGAAACATCCTTATGTACATGACTATTCATGAGGATAAGAACCTGAATCTATGAAGGCAAATTTTCCAGAAATGCAATTTTACTTAAGTTGGATCGAGAAATCAGAATGTGAGTATTCAATGAAAAACCCTCAAGTATCCTAAAAACGTCTCCAAAATCGATGATCTCTCTGTGGAGCAATCTCCGGAGTCGGTGACCTGTTTGTGAAAAGTCGTCACAGTCTTGAGGTCTGAAGCAGAAGAAAATGTTACTTGTTTTCTCTGAAAATCTTCTGTCGAAAACGACTCGCATAACAGGCAGTGTAGAAATCAACTCCAACGTGAGATATTAACAAGTCCTTTTAATACTGATCAAATTAAAGGTAGATCGTATAAATGACGCCAGGTGGATTTTTGCTGTTTAACCAATGTTAATGGTGAACATTCATTCGGCAAGAGCCAGATTCTTTTCTAATGCAAATACTTTGTGTTGTTACAGAGATCTGAAAGATCAGTATGCTGGGTCGGATTCCCTCGGCGAGAATCTCCTTCATCAGAATGTACCTGAAGTCCTCAAAGCGATTTTACTTAAGAATCCCAACGTGTTCAAACAGCCCTCAGGTAAGCTTATTCTTTTGGCCTCGCATCTCCAGCAAATTTCAACACTAGTTTCATTATTTCCTTTCGAAACTAATAGGGCTGTGTGAATAGTGAATTTTCTGAACGAAGTGAATAGCGAATAATTTCGGCAACTATTCGCGAATAGCGAATAATTTAAGTCAATTATTTACAGCTACGAATAGTAAAACGAAAAATTTGAAATGACTTTTTTAATTGTCAGAATTCGCAAATATTACCAAAGTCGACAAAAAAAACGTGATAATTTTTTTAAGAATTTTCTATTTGCTCATTCACCTGCACAGAAAACAATGAAATGCTATGATAGTAGCCTAGGCTGTTAAGAATGTGTTTGAAGATCCCCGGATGCTGGCTTGACTGTCCCTGCAGTTACGTATACATTCCCAGGATTTGAAGGTAACTGTGCGGGCAGTCAAGTTAGTATCGAAGGAACAGCAGACACATTTTAGTATTTTATTTTTTTTGGTGTAAATGAAAATGTGTTTATGAACTTTTTTTTCTAATTCAGACATTTCTGTGTCTTTCAATCCTTAATTTGGGCTCTTTGCTTATTCTCCCAATTGCAATTGCGCTCGCTGTTCGTAAACTCGGCAAAGTCGGTAAGATCAAAGGAGATCCGCCGTTCGAGATATCTCGGGTGGCAGCTGAAGCCTTGCGCAGGTCCTCGCAACGTTGCACGATTCCCACTAGGAATTTCGTTCCTCGTGACGGCGCGAATATTTGAAAATGTCAGTTCAAAAATTCACTATTCGCAACAGCGCGATTATTTGCAATTTGCGAATAGTGCGCAAGGCAGACGAAGCGAATATTCGCGGCGCGAATAGTCGGAATTGCGAATATTTGCACAGCCCTAGAAACTAAGCTTCTTTCATTGTTTTTGAGGTATTTGCCGAACCATGCATGTAACAGGTATAAGCATGTAAAAAACAGAACTGGAATCAAATGTCATTTTCCAAAGTGAATCAAGATAGGGGGAGAGGAACGTTGTTCAGGGGCTCATGGACACTTTTAGTGTTGCCTCTTTAATGTATCAATTCTCATTAGTAGGACTAAAAGAAGTAATGCTGCTTCTATTATTTGGATTCAATTTGATGTAACAGAGAATCCCCATAGTGATGTCACCTCAAATAACGGTTATTATCTAACAGAAAAATTTTGCTTTCTAGTATTGAATTTTAAAACCCTTATTTTTTCTTTGCAGCAACGCAACCTGTCTGGAAGAGCGAAAATTCATCAATCAATGCAAGTGCAGATGACATGTCATGTTCGAACCCCATGGGTGTGACCAACCAACGTGCCTCTGTGATTATGTCTGACAAGGGGCATCACAACAGCACAAACTGTGATCTTCTTGCGTCACCCTTCTGTGATATCAAACCAGAACAACTAGTTGATAATAGCTTTAGTCAATCGCAAGGCCAGCTGAACAGTAGCGAATCAATAGCAATAAACGCTGGCTCAAGCACGATGCAGCACATGCCTGGGCCACTTCCACGATCTGCACATTCTGAGTCATGCTTTCCCAAAGATAATTCGCAATCCCAGTCGTGCTCAATGCCTCTGACCACTCCGAAGGCAAACCTCCCTTCTGCTCTAGCACCAGGTAATTTTTTGTCAGTTCTTTTTAACATATGCCAAGCATTATCCCTGAAAGATCAATATTATCTGGCATTATGACATCTTTTTGTAAAATTTTTATTAATCAATTTCTATTCACCGCTCCGACTTTAAAAAATAGTTCACCTGCAAAATAATTCTTCCTCCCTTTCTGCACCCTTTTTCTTTGAAAGGCCCTTTTTCTTAGCGTGATCATCTTTAGTGTGCTCTGATCCTGTTTTTTCTAAATCGGTCCCAGCAGCTAATCATGCAACTGCAACCAGTTTATTGAAACTATGTCAGCTCGATACGACAAGACATAACCCTATCTTAACCATGCAATATATTGCAATTCGATGTCTTATCTGGCTGCTTTAAACTTTCAATAACTGGCCCACTGATCTGCTGTTGTTTTTCTGTTACATTTACCAACTCAGGCTTCTATCATCAAGTTAAACACTGGAACGAATAAAGCAGAAATGAAGAGTGTTGGCCTTTTATTTTCAGTTTTTTGAGAGTTCAAGTTCATTATTTCGACTTTTTGTACAATTTTTGTTGTTTTTGCCTAAGATTTAAAACTCGTAGTTTGTTACCTCTTTTTCTTGGTTTTGTTGTTTCACCCAATTATTTTGAATTTTTTAAAGTGGTTAATTTTTTTTTTTTTCAGGCTCCTCTCCAGCACAAGCAAGCACTGCGCCTAGCCAAGTCAAATTAAAAGAAGAACCTAGTTTACTAAGTCAAGATAGCAAAACCAGTGTAAATTCAATTAGAAACCTTAATCAACCAATGAAGGAGCCGCGGGTCAATCTATGTAGGCTAACAGCAGAGGTATGATACTTTCCTACCCTTTTTGTTAAGAATTGAAGATGAAAGTATTTTCCTCTTCTTTGTGCTTATCAAACGGTCTTAGTTAAAATAAAACGGATGATAGAAGAGAATACGCTAACTAGCAGGCATTATTTGTCAGTGTTTTTGCAAGGATTTCTGAAAGATTATGGAAGTATGAGTGTCAAAAAAATCATTGTTTACCAACTCAGTGCTAGTGTTATCTTTAACACCCCCCCCCCCCCCCCCCCTACAGGTTCTCCACGCTTTATCTTGTATGCTGAGAGTATAGAATTATGTACCAAGATGCGATTTTTGTTGAACTAATTACTTTTGCAATATGACCAAATGCATTGTGCAATTCCTAACTACATTATCAGTAGTAAAAATAAATATATTGACAAAGCAAAAGCATAAACTATACAAGCAACCAGAAGGCAAGAGAACAGTGCAACTACTTGTTAGTGCCATGCTTAGCTTAAAGTACTTTGACAATTTTAATCAATGAGTCAGTTTCAGAAAGAGCTACATGTAAAACAACAACAAAGAGAGTTAAAGATGGAATAACATGCCCTGATGGGGGAAATAATAAGTGAGTATATGGTAGAAGAGGGGAAGTTGACAATGATGTAATTCAGGAGATTGTTTTAAATTTTTGGTCTCCAAAGTTGAAAAAATGTCCTCTGCGGATAATTAAATTGTATGAATCTTTTGAAAAATCAAATCGACTTGTTGAAATCAGTTTTCCAAAAGATCATCATCTTTATTCAATAACATTACTTTTTTTTAATCAGTTCCATTGTAGACCTGCAGGTAGCAGTTTATTGCTTGCAAACGTAGCTGACAAATGAACCTATCAGTCTTGGCTTATGATGCATACACTCAAAACGACTAGACTAGGGAAGGTCTCAATTGCGAAATTAATTGTTTTGGAAATTTTGCACCCTCATTTCAAAGCTATGGATTCTATTTGTTTTTCAATTTTGCTTTGTTGCAGGACCTTCTGGCATCTCAAAAATTGAAGAAAGAACCGGTTACACCAGAACCTGTATCCAATAATACAAGTAGTAGGCTCAGCACTAGGAACAAGAAAACACCAATCATAGAGTCAAGTTCCGATAGTGAAGATGATGAGCCCATTAGTAGGACAAAATACTTCAAAGCCAGAGACAAAGAAAGAGAAATCAGGCGGAAAAAAGGTATTGTTTCCTTGTTTCGTTTTACATTAGAAATCTTATTATATAATGTCCTGGAAATGCTTCATCAGAGCCCAAATCTACGCGGGCCAAAATTTTAGGGGTGCAGAAACTTAGTAACCGTGGACCCGTTCATCAGCTTAAGTAGAATGGAAGAAATCCCTTGAAAATAGGAAATAATAGGGAAAAGCTGTCTGTATGTTGATATTTTTGCTATGCAAGAAACTTTTTTTTCAAGTCCTAAGGGGGAAATAATCGGGCATCAGGTTTTAGGTAAAAATGGGAATGGGGATTGGTTGAACTGTCTGCATCATTCTAAAATTGTTAGAAAATTGTCAAACCTTCGGTGCAAAAACCCCTGGTGCTTTAAGGGTTTTGTACTTATCGGCATGATTATAATCGTACAATAGGCTAAATTTTAGCTATTAATGCTGTAATTATGACATTGTTATTTTATTTAAATTTATTCACATATACTAATGCGATTCAGGAATTCTCCTATTTTTAGAGCTACAGTACAATTCATAAAATAACGAACAAGTAGACATCAAAATTACCAATTGAAACAAACTACTTTATTCAACAAATGTGAATTTTGCTTCAGACACACGTTTGTAACAAAAAACAGAGAAACCAGTTTGACATTGGAGTAGTTGATGGCAACTTGCAAGAGCAAGTTTGGAAACATATTTCTCGTAAAAAATGATCCAAGAAACACCTACTTTACGATGCCTGGATCATGCTATGGCCTCATTATTCCATATTTAATTACCACTGTTCAAAACTCACAGGCGCCAAATGCGCCTAAAAGATCAGTCTTGGCGCCTAAAAAATGAAGGCTCTGCCCCCCCCCAAAAAAAAAAATTCTAATTTTCCTGTTCGGTAATTTTTCGAAAGTTACAAGTAACAGCTACTAGTTCTGTAACTAAAACATCTTGCGTCTGACTTTTCACAAAATGTGCCGTGATATATAGGCAAAAAGTCAATTTGGCCCCTAAAAATTGAGCTTGATGGGCCACATGGCTCCTGAAACTCAAAGGTGAGTTTCGAACACTGATAATTTCCTTTAAATTTTCTACTCTCCTGTATTGTAAGCAACTTATCTCTATATTTTGAGGAGAATCTTGGATTTTATGTGGAGTCTCCATCAACCCTCTCTGGAGATTAAGGAAAGCAAGGCTGCCAAACTCACTAATTTTAAGTTCTCAAGGTCAACAAGTCTAGTTCCGAACACTTCTCATGCCCCAGAATAATGAGGAAAAACCTGGTATAGGTGATCTGATACACCCTGCGTAGAATAAAAGCGCTAGTAATATCATTAATATTTATGTGTAATTTTGCCTGTCGTGGAATGAAAGTTCAACTTTTTGTTTTTTGGTTTCTTCGCAGACAAAGAAGAGCGGAAAAAAGAAGATAGAGATTATATACCAGAAGATTCGCCAACATCCAGGTACAGCAAACGAAGGCGAAATAGCATAAGTGAATCGAAAGATGATAATGACGATTCTTTTAATAAACCAAAACCACCAAAACTACGAAAAGTTGAGCGAAAACTAGTACCAGTTCTGGAAAAGCTATCGACTGAGGAGCTCATGGAGACCAACACGTATCATAGGTTTGTTTTTTAAATGGATTTTTTTTTTTCACACTCCAAAATTGTATCCAAATGTAGAGATTAACAGCGTAGATTGCCTCAGATAAATTTTATTTAGGCAATATTTTTGGGAGGTATTAAAATTCAAAACTTGGAAATTCAATTTGGAAAGTAACTGTGTAGAAGTCTAAAAATCTGAGGAACAGGGACAAAACATTCTCTGATTTTGTAAAGTCGAAAATTTGGGTGTAAAAGAAAGTTGATTCATTAAAATAGGCTCATTGAAAGATTGTTGCGAACAATATGCTGATAAGTTAACATTGATCATATAGAAAAGAAGCGGAGATACTTCAGAATCGATTGCAAAGCCCTCACATTGAATGCAGCCTAGAAGTAGAGTCGGCGTCCCTACAATTGTTAGTGAAGACATGAAGTAGTTTCAACTTGTTTTCAAAATAAAGGAAGCATTATTAAGAAAAATTTTGTAATAATTGAGTGTGATGAAACCAAGGTTGGTGTCATTTAGAGACGTTTGGCCAAACCTGATGGGAACTGGTCTGTTGCACTGAAGCATTGCAGCCAAGTGAATAGACCATTTGCCTGAAAATTCCACTCAGAAATTCCACAAATGTTTCGAATACTTTCGGAAAAATGTATGTATAAAAAAAATTAAATGCTTTAAGTTGATTGAAATCATGTGTGAGAAAAATGTATGATAAGTTTGCAAGATTGACTGCCGCTCTTGTCTCAAGACGTCTCTCTCTTGGCTAACCTGATTGCTAGCAATTATGAAAAAAGTGCCTGCAGGTGTGTAAAATTTAAAAATATGTATAACATACCTGGCAAACTCGGCATTTTGGAGGGTGTTATGTGCATTCTTTATATCCTCAACGTCATTTTTGTGTGGATTTTACCTGCATCAATTCCACTCAGTTGACTGTATTTCTTGTTTGCAACAAATACAGTAATAATGCTGAAAAGATTTTCAGGTGTCAGAAGACTTGTGACTGTTCCTCAAAACGAAGAACTTTGGTTGTGAAAAATTTTAATATTCCGCATCAGCATGCTTTGAGTAGCATTCCTGCTCATTTTGGCTGAATTAACTTCCAAATATTTTACCATTGGAGTTAACATGGCTCTAAGCTTTAAATTGCCTTGTTTAGGTCTCAATATTATCAGATAAAAATACACCTAAAGGTGTAAGTTACATCTCTTGCCGGTAAAAAATGAACTTTACTACTCTGGACTCATTTTTTGAGAATTGACTGAGTATTTCCAGCAGGAATCACTAATTCAGTTTCCGAGTCTAATTTACCCTCCGAGTCTAATTTAGTTTCCGAGTCTATTTCAATGAAAGTTCTCACCTTGGAAAGTTTTCCTCCGCTCACCAAAGTCTTTTATCCCACAGATAGTCACTTTTTAAAATCGTAGACAAATATAGATTACTATAAATTAAGAAGAATTTTTGACATTCTCACAAATTTATTATTTCGTTTTTACAACTAGGTTCAACAAGTCAGTAGAAAAAGTTCTGGACAGTGTAGAAGATATTGAAATGGGCGATATGCACGATGCAGAAGATGAGACAGTGCCAGCAGAAGTCCTCATCCCCAAGTACCAGCTCCAGGATCTCTGTTCGGAAGCGGCCAAGCTGAAGACCCTCGGGGCCATGGAGTCCGTGCCATCCGACAAGCTCATCCGGCTGCTGTCCATCCTTGAGAAGAACATCCGCGACGGGGCCAAAGTGTCGCCACTGGCCGACCCGGATGACGACGAGGAGGAGCGCAAGCTCTGGATGGAGCTGGCTATGGAGCGCGTCATGAGAGCTGTTGACGCATCGCTCACGGCGTTGTACATCCTCACGTCGCCAAACATGCACAAGAGAGTCTATCTGGAAGATGTTATCGATAGGGTCGTGTTGTTTGCCAAGTACCAGCTTCACAATACTGTCTATCCGTCTTTCGATCCCGTCTACAGGATTGATCAAAAAGGAAAAGGTAATTTTTTGAGTGCCTCTAAGTTCAATTTGCTTTGCGTAAAATAGTAATCACTGATTCGTTGGTAGATATTGCATCTGAAGACTTGACCCTTTTGATCAGGCATAATTATCTTCTTTTCTTCTCTTTTGACTAGCTCTCTTACTTTGGCAGAATCCTCATTAGACAAAGAATGTATGCTTTAAATACTGTTTGTCGAACCTTGAACCCTCTGCGTCATTTTGAAAAGGAAGCTCGCCTAATCTGCTCACCAGCCAAAGTAGCATGATGTAATAGTTTAAAATTTTTATGTTTTCTTTAATTTGTGTATGGTAAACCAGAATGGTCTAAATTATAATATTTAATCCAACATATAATTTTAGTTAGAAACGAGATGGGCACTCAGTGATATTACAGTATATCTCTCTGAGGGTTGTCGTGTCTGCGTACAGATTTTAGAAACCACCTTGGTTGATGCATAACCTAAAAAAAAAAAAAAAAAAAAAAAAATTCATTTATCATTGGGGCTATTTCCAATATACATAACACTAAATTTCGAATTCTTCACACATACCCTCCCCTGTAATGCTTCTGTGACGTAGTTCCCTACCCTTCAACATGTAAAAATACAATAGCGCAACACTCTCATCGACCTCCCTAAGTAGCGTCACATATTTTATGAATGGCCCCTTTCATTTGATAAGCCTGTGTCACACTATCAAAATACTTTGGAAAAAGCAATTAATAAATTTTGTTGATGAGTCGCATTTGACCAAAGTTTATTAGACGCTAATATTTGGCTTGACTGTTAGTCAAAAAACTTTTGTTGTGTGCCTGTCTTTTGGTAAGTGTCTAATCTTCGCTTTGATTTTTTGGGACAGATGGTTTTGTCGGAAGTGCCCGGAAGAAGCGAAGTAATGCCAAAGAAGTTCGAGAAAAGAGTGTGCTACTACTTTATACAAAATTAGTGGAAGTGATCAGTTTACTGGCTGAACTGCTTAGTATTCAAACTTTAACGGACACAGCCGTGCTCCATGCATCGTCAATGGGTATTTCGCCTTTCTTCGTTGAGAACATCAACGAACTGCAGCTGTCTGCACTAAAACTAGTTACAAATGTGAGTAGTGGCTTCAATTTTTCCCGGCATGTTTCACATGGTCAGAATTCACTATGGGCTTGCTCTTTTCAAAATTTACATCGAAAGTGTTCAAAATAAACAAAACTAAATTTTCATTTTTTTCAATTGTGTTGCTCGCCAACGTAGGTTACACTGGTCACTTTTCTAGTTTCTACCACAAGCCAAAACAGTTGCAGTGACCAAATTATTCTGTGGTATGTTTTCATTGTGTTACTGAGTCATAAAACTGCCATAGGTCATGGATGCACTCAAGAATTAGGGTAGTTTTCCAGAAACAGTTATCTAATTTCATAGTTTTGGGGGTTTTCTCATCCAATTAGTTTCTTTATCTTTCTTCTTTTTACATCGTAATATTTATATTGGTAACTTCCACACAGAGACTGTCCCTCATACATTACATCGGCCATAATTTCTTGATTTGTCTATCTCTTTATTTTAGGACTGGTAACCTTAAAAAGCTAATCAATGAAATTTGTTTTCAGATTTTTACCAAGTATGAAAAACATAGGAAATTACTTCTGGACGATATCTTAGCATCAATGGCAAGGCTTCCAAGTAGCAAACGTTCGTTGCGCTCTTATCGTCTCAGTTCTGAAGAATATATTCAGATGTTAACGGCATTAGTTTTGCAGTTAATCCAATGTATGGTAGTATTACCTAAGCAGCTAGCTGATAAAAACAGCAATGTAAGTAGTCGTTTATATCATGACAAATTAAACCTCTGTTATGTATTGATATTCTTTGAATTTATCATCCTTTTTTAAAAATCAGACTTTAATTTGGACTGAGTTTCATAGAAATCTATGAAGACACATTTAGGGACACATTTAGACAATGAGTAAGGGTAGTTTTTAATTCAAGTAGTCTCAAATTTTCTCCTGATGAAAATTCAAAGTAGAGAATACATATTTTGAACATGAGAATACTTGTCGAACTTTGTTTTTAATATTAGTCCTTTGAAGGAATAAAATTTCAAACCTCTTTTTCTCGGTTCAAACAGAGTGCCACGGGGTGTATTTCTGTCGAACTCCGCCAATTTGTGATTGCACAAATTCAGCAGTTTTTTTTTTTTTTTTTGTGAGTGAGGAAAAATTTGAACTAACCACCTGTTACCTTATCTACATTTTTAGCTGCTATCTTTAAACTCCAAATTCTAAGAACAGCTCTTTTCGTTGCTAGGATGGTATACATTGAGGTATTGATGTGAATTGAATGTTGTGTAATTCAAGGATATTTTAAATAAAGGGAAGACTTTTTAAAATGAAATCTTTGTAGGATCCTCTTCTTTGAACTTTTCAACGTTTTATTGTAATTGTATTCTTCTTCGTTGTTTTTGCAGAGTGATCCGGATGTGGTGATAATTAGCAAATTTAAAACAGCGAGGTCGACAGCCTCAAATTTTCTGTGCATCTTCCTAGCAAAGTGCAGTAGCAAATCAGAAGAAATAGACTATAGGCCTTTATTTGAAAATTTTATTCAAGATCTTCTGACAACGGTGAACAAACCGGAGTGGCCTGCAGCTGAACTCATGCTTAGTGTCTTGGGAAAAGTCTTAGTAAGTAGCTTTTTTTGCGCAGATGGAACCATTTTTTTCCCTCCCAATTATTCTTCTTTGATCGTGAGAAAAAAGTCTGTAACTACCCCCTACATTTATAATTTGCTCTCATTATATAAACTACTCTTATGTAAAATCCACCAGCAAAATCCTTTTTCTGCCATAGAAATCTATTTCAAGTATTATCTTTGTTGTCACTTTCTCTCAATGGAACCTCCACCATAGTAAGATTTCCGCCAGATTATACTTGAAATATATGAGTTTTTAAATTCCAATTTTAGATTTAGTGAGTTCAATATTGTTTAGCATTTGTAAAATCTTTTTTCATTTTAACTAGGCACAAGCAGATAATTTTGAGTGAGCTGAACTCGAAATATTAATCGTCAATTTCCAAAATTATTCCTACAGTCTTCCTTTAGAATGACTTATGATGACAGGAATAATGAAATTGAATTTTACAATGGTTGATAAATTAAAAATCAAGATCTGACTGCTGATTTTTTAGTACTTAAGAGAACAGATCTCTTGAAATGTTGACTGGAAGGTTTTTCCCCCCTTCTTCATTTTTCGAAAGAAGTGCGGAAAAATAATTGAATTTGTTTTTCCTTCACCTCTCTATTCAACGTATTCATTATTCCTCTTTTTTTTGTTTTCAGGTCTCTAACTTTGTAAATAAAAGTTTAGAAATGCCTTTACGAGTAGCCTCATTAGATTATTTAGGAGTCATCGCAGCTCGCCTGCGGAAAGACGCGGTTGTTTCTCAACTCAAATTGAGCACGATCGATCAACTTATATATGACATTAGAACTGAAGAAATGAAGACTGAAGATGGTGTTGTGAAGGTAGGCTTTGTCCGGTATTATAGAGTGATATTCATTTGCAGATCTGAAGTTGATTAAGGTTACTGTTGGACCTTATCAATCGTTTCCAATCTTAGAACTCAGGAATGTTGCTGTAATGTAAGCAAATCAAATCAGTGGACATACTTGACAAAAAATGCATCTTTTAGTTCTAATCTCTTACAAATCCAAAATGTGCAGGTACCACAGGGACCAAACTAACGACGAGCATTACTTTTATTAGTTCTGCCAATTTTTGTTGTTTTTCATACTTTTGGCCGTACATTATCTGAAGTGGAACTCTAGTTTGCCCAATTTCCCTAACGTCAATCTCTTTTCAGTGATTTGAGGATGAAACTTCCTAGGCTCTCAAATGTAATCAGGGTTGCCACAGTCAGGGAATACGGGAAATTGTGGGAAAATCTGGAAAGACATGGAAAATGAAAATAGTGTCCAGGAAAAACTGTAAAGTCACCTTTATTTGCTGTCTAGAATGGTTTTGATGTTTTGAACAAGCAATTACTACTTAAAAACTATTTCAAATTATATCTTTATAACCATCTGGCAGATCCTCTATTTTCAGAGAATTTTACGAAATTATGTCAGGTAAATCAGGGAATTTCATTTTCTAAATCCTGCAATGCAATGGGTCTTTTGAAAAAGAATGTATGTATGTCCTACATTTTGAAATTCTTGTATTTTGTTTGTTATTTTTAATAATCTTAATATCTGATCGTCTCAGTGCTATAATTCTATTTTTATCTCAACTACTTTCAGGGAGAGGTCCCGAGGGTCAAAGACGATGAAGAGCGAACACAGTTTTTACAGAGCGTTCTTCTAGACTTTCTAGCAGTGCGATCTCAGTCAGATCATTCATTAAATTATGCTCGCTATTTTTATTTAACTCTTTGGTACCAAGATAACGCTGCCAGCACTGGCACCGCTCCCACACCGGTCAAGTCATCAACCAAAGCCAAGAAAGAAAAGAAACGGAAGAAGCGAAAATGTAAGTTGATATTTTCTCTTTATTTGTTTTTTTGTTTGTTAAAGAATGTCTTAAAAGTGTGAAAAGTAGGAAAATTGGGCTGTTAAATGTTTGCCCTAAATTTCCTCAGTAAACTAGGAAATTATAGGGAAGTCAATGAAATAGACAAATATTAAGATGATCCTATGTTAAGTGCCCTAATATTGTCACTCTGCAAAGGGCCGTCAACATGCTTGCTAGCAGCGATGATGTCCGTAAGGAGCCTGCAAGGCTGGTGCAGCCAATGAAAGCAAAGTGTGCGCTGATGAGCAGTACAGGGCTCATGTACACATTGTCCATGGGTGCAGGTTGGGGCAACTAGCCAGTTGCTTTGACATTGCAGACTATTGTGTTTCCTGCTCACCCCGATTCTTTTCTATCTTACAAATTTATTTTATCATCAAAATCAAAGGTTTCGGAAAATTTTCCTCAGCATAAGCTGTATCCAGATGTGAGTCAGTTTGTGTAAAATTATTTAAGTGAAAGAGTCTCATCGAAATAGTGTAATTCTCTACATTCAGCAAGCATATCTTGGTTACTCTACCCTTTCAGGTGCAAGGTTCATGCTTATAGAAAATTATAAAGCACTGTATATGTGATCTCTTTGCTTGTTCTGCATCATTTTAAAATATTGAAGCCTCTTCAATTGGATATAACATTTTTTTGTTTGACATCTTGCAGATTCAAGTGATGAAGAATCATCTAGTTCAGAAGAAGAGGATGACGAAGAGATTAAAAAACAGAAAGAAAATGGTACCATAGACGGAGAGGATCCACTAGAAGTATTTAAATTGAAAGAAGCCCGGAAGAAAATGCTGCTAGAGAAAATTAACCCCTTCCATAACTCCATCAATGTGAAGTCAGGCAAAAACGAAGTCAAAACTCAAATCCTGCAAACTTACATTGATTATGACAGCGCAGAACTCGTATCGAGGTATCTTGCTGCGAAACGGCCTTTCTCTCAAAGCTTTGACACGTACCTTAAACACATCATCAAAGTCCTTGGTGAATCATCAGTCCAAATCCGAACGAAAGCCATGAAGTGTCTGACTGCGATTGTGGAGGTGGACCCTGGGGTCCTAGCGCTCAACGAAATGCAGATCGGAGTCAAACACTCGTTCCTCGACCAGTCCACATCAGTGCGAGAAGCTGCTGTTGACTTGGTCGGTAAATTTGTGCTCAGCCGTCCAGAACTCATCGACAAATACTATGAAATGGTGTCTGCTAGGATTCTGGATACGGGTGTCAGCGTCCGTAAAAGGGTGATCAAGATTCTCAAAGATGTGTGCACAGAGTGCCCTGACTTCCCCAAAATCCCGGAAATCTGTGTGAGGATGATCCGGCGGATAAATGATGAGGATAGCATTCGAAAGTTAGTCATGGAAGTGTTCTCAAATATGTGGTTCACGCCAGTGCGAGAACGGCCACCTGCAAAAGATGTTCTCTTGCGAAAAGTCATGAACATTACTGATGTTGTAGCAGCATGCAATCGTGATCTAGGAATGGAATGGTTTGAACAGTTACTCACTTCATTGTTCAAACCCAAAGAAGACAAAGACGATTCCACAAAGCAGATTTTAGAGCCTCCTAAATCATTGATCCAAGCGTGCAAGCAAATTGTTGACTGTCTCATTGACAACGTTTTAACGCTGGATGGTTGCAGTTCTGGCTCATCCCAACGGTTAGTCGCGTGTTTGCTCACTCTTCACTTGTTTGCAAAAATCAGGCCGCAGCTATTAGTGGAGCATGCAATCACCCTCCAGCCCTATCTAAGCGTCAAGTGTCAAACGCAAGGTGACTATCAGATTATCAGCAGTGTTGCACGGACGCTTGAACTTGTGGTACCTCTCATGGAACACCCCAGTGAAACTTTTTTAGCCTGTCTCGAAGAGGACTCGGTTAAGTTGATGATGAAGCACGACCCAAGTGTCATTGTCAGTTGTGTCTCCTGTTTAGGCTCTATCGTGAATAATGTCACCAAGAATTTTTCGCTGATCCGGGACTGTCTATTGAAGTATTTAACTCTCTTGCGACAGTTCAAAGATGTCTTGGAGAGAAATCCGCCCAACAAAGATGAATTAGTTGTCAAATTCTGCCCATTCTTTAGGAGATCTTCATTCATTGTTGGGCTACTTCTGAGACACTTTGATTTTACCAACAAAGAAGTCTTAGGCAATGAGTTGAGTCCGAATTTGAAGGATGAGATCTTTGAAATGTTGATGTATTTTCTACAAAACGAGCATGACTCTCAGCTGTATACTATGAAAGCCATCGGGTCTGTGTGCATCCGCCATCACGATCTCATGCTTGGCCCAGAGCTAAAAGCTTACTATCACCAGGTTTTAGAAGACCCGCAAGGTTCTGAGGCTATGAAAGCACAGATTCTAAACAACATAGAACAGTATCTGCAGGAAGAGGAGCGCAGGATGATACTGCAAGATTTGGAGTGGGCAAAACTGTCAAAGCAGGAAAATCTCAAAGAGATGGGTGATGTTTCGTCAGGGATGGCTAGCACAATTATTCAACTGTACCTGAAACAAATTTTAGAATCATTTTTGCATCCGTCTGTGAAAGTGCGACAAGCTGCCCTGCAAGTAATCCAGCTTATTTTGGCGCAAGGTTTAGTCCACCCTGTTCAGATTGTTCCATACCTGATCTGCATGTCGACGGATGTTGATAAAACTGTCAGTAATAGCGCTGATCGGCAGCTTCAAGAAATCGAGCGCAAGTATCCGGGTTTCATCCACATGAAGTCTCAGTCGGGTATTAAGCTTTCTTATAAGTTCCAAAAGTTGCTTCAGGGTGATGAAGTAGTTGTGAGGGGCTTCCGCACCAAGGAAAACGAGATGCCATCAGCTTTAAATGGTTTCTTGTTCTCAATTCTCCGGACAAAGCCCCAGAGGAGAGCTTTTGCGCTGGCTATCTTGAAGCAATTTGATGAACAAGTGGTGAGTCATCTAATTCTTATATTTTTCAAAAAAGATCTATGGTATGTGACAGTCCACTGTTAAGTGAAAGGGCTGTAACATTAAAAACTTTAAAACTAAGCTTTTAGACTGCTGTTCAGAAAAGTAAATTAATCAAAGTTTGGCATTGAATTGCTCACAAATATCAAATATAACTGGAGTTATAATTCCTCTAAGTTTTCAGTCAACAAACGTGATATCGGGAAAAAACAATTTAAAATTTTAATCCACCATGTTTGGGCTGAAAAATTGTTGAATTAAATGCCCTCCTGTATTCTCAATTGGCACAAAAATTAACGAGAATATTGCTTCTGATTATTTGGAACTCTCTTTATATTTTCCATCAAACGCTCAAATTTTAATTTCTGGACACAACTAGAGAGAAATCGCTTCCCTGTGAAATTTATTTTCTGAAGGTCCTGTATTTTTAGTTCTAGGAGCCAAGAAATTGGAACTACATTTTTGCTCTGAGATAATAAAAGAAAACCTTGCCTGTTTCTCCCAATTACATCCCGAAATTTGTGATAATAAGGACATTGTCAAATTACATATATATCAATAATATTTTAAGTTCAACCCAGTAATCTCATGTCTGTTTCAAATTTGTTTTGTTATCTCAGAAAACATCGCTTTCGCAAATGTTATACTTGGCAGACAACATGGCATATTTCCCGTTCCAAGTTCAAGACGAGCCGTTGTTCATCATTCACCACATCGATATCATGATATCGGTGACAGGTACCAACCTGCTCCAGTCATTTCGGGAAGCGCTCTTGCCAAACCCCAACGCTCCCCAAGAGAAGCGGATTGACCCTACAACAGGTCAGGAAGTGCCGGTAATCGACGAAGATGAGGATGAAGATGAAGAGTCATTACTCAACCGAGTCCCAGAAGACACATCTAGCCTTCAAGAAAGTCTGACCGCATCACAAGGCTGTCTTCTTCTTCTCGTCCTCAAACAACATCTCAAGGCGCTGTACGGGCTCAGTGACGCGTGAGTAATACTTAAACTCTTCTACTTTTCTTCTTAGAGGATTGCCACTGTCAGGGTCAACCAGGAAATGTCAGGGAATTTTTAAAGGTCAGAGATAATGACGGAAGTTTTGCAGGTAAATTTTTACGTCACCTTTATTTCCTTGCCATATTGTGTTTAATGTTTCAAGTGACAAATGTTGCGCTATAACTATCTGAAGTTATGTGTTTTTAAGTAATCTTAATATCCTCAGATGTCAGGGATTTTGAGTAGAATGAGTCACCAAACCATGAAAGAATTTTGACCTGCTAGTACTGTTTTCTGAAGGTGAATGATAGACAGAACACGATGCGCCCATTAAAAATGCGAAAAAGTAATTCAGAAACAGAGAAATATGCAGTTCAAAAAGCGCAACTATCCCTCAAATTTAGAACGCCCTGGTTTCGTGCCGAACCGAATAATGTCATCCGGCACCAAATAGAAGGGAGCACGGGTTTCCACAATTTTCATCAAATGTCTTCCTACTCCTCATTTATAAAAACATTAGGAAGATGGAAATTATATCGTCAGAATCAAAGAATCGAATCTCATTTATGTTATCTGTAGTTAGCGAAGAACAATTTCACCTTGAAATACCTTTTCTTTAACGGACATCAGTGAAAAATGAGAGGAACAGCAATCTGACTGCCACAGTACATCAATTCCATAATTTTCTCGCTACTCTGGCGCGTTTGAAATTCCTTTGAGTCTTTTGACTTTTTAAAAGCGGGATTTTCCGGGATTTTGCCGCCAACACAACGCAATAAATCAACATGTAATCTACTCTACTGGTACTTGTAGAATATTAAATACAAAATGCAAGGTTAAGTGACCCAGTAGTCACGGAAACATCAGGCAATCATTTACTAAATTCTGTGGCAATCCTGTTCCTGTCGCTGTTCTTTTAAGTAACTTTCAAGAAATTGGGTCTCCAGATGACTGCTGTCCATAGTTGCCTCTTGCTGCCCATAGATGAGTCCAAAGTTTGAGTCTTTCTTATATAATGCCTAACAACTTCAAACTAAAAAATACAAGCTCGAAAGCAGAGTGATCAATCTTAGGAAGAAATGGATTCATTTGAATCGGTTTTAAGTTTTAAATTTAAATAATCCTGAGACATCATTTTATTTAATCTTCAGAGTTTTTTCCCCTATCTAACTGAATGTTTTGATTTTCAGAAAAATCTCGCAGTATTCGCCCTCAGAATCGGCCAAACTGTATGAGAAAAATGTAAATAGGAAAAGCAATTCAAAATTCAACCCTAAAGGAACACTAGAAAAACTAAGGTTAGGAGAGCCACCTCCTCATTTGGACGAAAATCAAAGGAAAGCCTTAATCCGCGATTACCTAGAGGTAAGCATTCGAAATCATCATCTGTCATGAAATGATCAATCAGTTAGTCAGATCAGTTACCAATAAATTATTGTATGTGCAGATGTAAATTCATATGCAGTATTGAATAAATATCTTTTGATACACTTTCTGCGATTCTTGTCGATGAATGAACCTCTTAATGTCAATCAGCCACTCTGAGCAGTCGCATCAATGGTCCATTTTGATGGGCTCATTTTGACCGTGGAAACAAAGCTTTGCTGCAAGTTATACCAAGGCTAACCGTTAATACCTCTATATTCATTCCCTTTTTCTCATCTCTCCCTCCTCTTTTCTTCTTTTATTTGTCTTTTTTCTCATTTTCTTTTCTCCTTTTTTCTTTTTCTGTTTTTCTCCTTTCTTTTTCTCTTTGTCTCTTTCTCTCTCTCTCCTTTTTTTTCATTTTTTCCCCCTCTTTTTTTCGTTATTTCTTCTTTTTCTCTTTTTTTTCTTTGTCTGAAATTCCTTCTTTTTCTCTGTCTCCCTTTTTTCCTCTACACTAAACAAATTCTACCACTCTTTACAGATTTTTCCCTCCTTTATTCATTTCTTTCTTCTTTTTATTATTTTTTTCTCTTTTTTCTCTATCACCACTAGTTTTCCTTCTTTTCTCTTTTTTCTCTTTTGCTTTAAAATAAACGTATATTACTACCACTACTACTTTCTTCTTTTTTGCTCTTTTTCTTTTTTCTTTTTCTCTTCCTCTTTTTCTCTTTTTTTTCTCTTCTTTTCTCTTCATTTTCTCTTCATTTTCTTCTCTTTTTCTTCTTTTTTTTTCTCTACTAATACTTTTTCTTCTTTTTTTATCTGAAGCTGTGTCAACTAAAATCAGCTAGAAAAAAGTTCCTCAGTGACTTGAATCATATTTTTGAATTTCAGTTCAAGCACCTGATTATGAATTTGGACCCTGATGATGTTGATGACGATGATCTTGACAAAAAGCCAGGTTCTGGTTCAGGTGCCTCTGGTTGTTCTTCAGGGTACGCATCATACACGGTTTCCGAGGCCGACAAAGTCGATCCGGGAAAGCAACCCCAACCACCGCAGCAACAAGTCCAAGGAGATGTCGTAAGTGCTCTTTTTCTCTTTTACCGCGTTTCTATGATTGTGATTTTTCCCTTTTGTTTCATTTTATTTATTGGGGCTGATACAACAATTTAAACACGGAAATTGGTCACTTCCAGTATGTTTTAGAGCTGGAGGAAAAAAAATAATGAGTTTTAAGTTGTGTAGCAAGTTCAAAATAGAGGCGCGATTATGGAAGATGAAAATAGATGCGTTTTCTCAAGAAAAAGAAGTGGGAGGAAGGAAGTCTCTTCAAAAACATTAAAAAATTGTTTTCTCAGTACTGGTAATCATTTATTAGAATGTTTATTATTTTAAAAGTGATATGAAATCTCAATCTTTTGAAAAGTTCATAAGTTATGGTTTTATCTCAAAAAAGTTGCTGAGTATATTCAACTTAACGTAGTGCTGTACAATGTAATTTATGTGAACCAAAAACACCCTGAATGTATGCTTTTTTACATGACCTTACTTGTTTATTGTTCTTTGGTTTCAAATTGTTACCATTCTTTTTCTTTAACCACAGAGCAAAGCTGATCCAAATCAAGTGGCAAAAGAAGTCGAATCTCCAGTGGCGCGGATTCCCAAGCTCATAATCAAAAATAATAACGTTGAAACGAAACACTCATCCCATCGGTCCCACAAAAGCAAGAAAAGTGATAGGCAGAAGAAGCACCACCACAAACGGAAGAAACACAAAGTGCGGAGCTCAGACGAAGAGAGCGATGAGGGTTACAGCGACCCTGATTTTTTAATTTAAGTGAAAACATTCCTTCTCCGTTCATTACTTTCTAGTGTCTCTAAGCCCGCCTGTAGGGTTTTTGGGTTGCCGTTAGTGCCAAACAAAAACTGTTTTCTGGTTTGGAGTTTTCTCATCGCTATCAATCAATGGTATGATTTATTTTGGATTTAAAATATTGTTTATTTATTTTTTTCAAAATCTCGTACATAGAAACTGCAATTGCAGTTGTCATACAGGTCAGTAACAAATATTAGCAATAACAAATGAAAATAAAAAAAAACAAAACTTAACAACAAATTAGCATAAAGCATATTTTTTTTGAAGCAGCTCATCAACTCTATAGAAAGCTTCACGAATTAGGAGCTGTTTTAACTCTAACATGAATGATTCAAAACCAGTGTCCTTGAACAGAAGTTTTAGTTTTAGTGGCAGCAAATTTAGAAAGTGAATAGATGCAGTTTGATATTGCTCTCGGACACCTTTAATGAGATTTTGATGTTAGGATGCCTGGAATTATAGGAACTGAGGGTTAGTTTAATCCCATCAGAAATCATCTATTTTTTTAACTCTTTAAGTAACTTACACTAGATAAAGGTTATCCGCAATCTCAGGCAATCTGCCATAATAGTATCACTGAAGGCATCATCAGCCTGGTCAGAATTTCACCTTCTCAAAAATGTTGTAATGCCTAAATTGGAAGTTTACATTTAAAATTTTGTTTTATCTTGGACGCGCACTTGAAAGTTATTGATCTACAACTGACTTGAGTTATGACTAGTATATCTTAAAGTTAGCTTTATCAATGATTCAATTGGTAGGTGGGATTTGTAGTTAATTCATTCAATAATAGCTGATTAAGTATAGTTTACTTGTAATCCCACCTTTTAAAGTCTTTGAACGTATGAGTGATGAAGGTCACTGATCTTGCTTTAGTGAAAATTCGGCTCTGAAAACGACGGCGACCTCTAAACGCTGCTGAGCAGGGTTTTTTTTTCAATTCTTTTTGTAATTCGTGTAAAAATGTGCAATTGTATCTTAGTCATAACCAGACTTGTGCGAAAATATTATTTTCGACAAGCCCTCTATTGTACATATCGGAATTTCTGAGCCTCAGCTAATAATTGTAAAGTCATAAGAGAAATAATGTAGAGTTTTGCAGGTGTAAAAATTTGCTGAGTTGTATTTGTACATATGTAAGAGATATATTGTGTACAGACCAAAATGTAAATCGGCTTCTTCTGTTTAAATGTGAAATTCGTGTATGATTCGGTATATAGATGTTGAAGTTGTGATGTAATATTTTTCGTGTGAGTTTTGAATTTGTTTCCCTGTTCAATGGCTGTATTATTCTATGTATTCTCAAGGAGTGTTACCGCTTTACGAATCTTCACTCGGGCGTCTGAAAAGCCGCTAGCAAGCAACTGTTCAACCCGAATCATCACACTGAGCGCCCACGTGAACTTGTAAAACACTGTTGCATTTTAACTGTAAATTGAATATGTGTATGTTTTGTTATTCATGCGTATAATTTTGAAAATTGTACAAAATAAATGCAGTAATTTTATGATTAAATCAATTTCTCTTTCTTTAACGGCAATTTCAACAATCCAAAGATATAAGTGGAAAGTAAATAGAAGTACATTGTTATGTATATACTTTATTCAAATTCCTGCATTTAAGGTTTTTGTAGATTGTACAAAAGGATAAGGAAGTTGATTAGCTTCCGTGGTTTTTATTTCTCTTTTTTCATTATTTATTTTATCAAGTTTTCGCGTGTCAGTGATGTAGCGAGAGTGACTCAACTCCCTGACGTTAAGTAATTGAAAGATATTTTCTAGCTAATTGATTTTGAACCTAGACACAGCAGATTAAGCTTAATTTTAATGTTAATGGAATTGAAGGGTACTGTTGTTTAAGCACCAGGATTTCAGTTTTTGTTTTTGAGTTCAAGCACTGTAAACGGGCTCCGCATCGACCCGCTGAATACAGTGCAAAATTTATAAGTCTACGAATTTAATTGGACACCCAAGTAATTCTAGAGTTCATTTTTCATTTTGAAACTAGTTTATTTTCATAAAGTGTCTATCAAGAATACTCAGTGCATTAAAAGATGTTTAGATAGGTAATTTATTTTTATACCTCAAGTCAGTAAAGTATCGAGTTTTCTTAATTTATTAATTTATTCAACTTTTTTCTTGGTATTCTCAAAAAGGACAGAAGAAGCATCTTTTTCGCCCAGTACAAACAAACCATCAAGCTTCACTTAAAGCTAGTGTCGAAATTTTTAGAGCACATGATAATTATGTTGTGTGAAATTACTTCGTTAATGCTATGAAAGTGCTTAACTCCTGTAAATATCACCAGTTATCCGTAAGACAACATTTTTTTACCGTTATCTAAGTAAACCTTGTAATTAAAGTTGTTTCTACTTCTCCATTTTCCTTTTGCAAACCCTCAATTTAAATACTAATTCAAAGTATTATTTTCTTAAATAAAGTGTAATATAATCCCCTTGTCCTCTCGCCATTCAAGTGGAGCAGTTCTATAAATAAATGTAACTTGATAAATTGTCCATATGCCATGTATTTCTTCTTTTTCTTATGCATATATCCACTAAAATCAGAGTCTACAAAGCTATTAAGCTTTGTAGACTCTCATACATATATTACGACCCCAAACATGTTCAAAATAAAACTCTTTGTCAAAGAGTTGGAAATAGTTACTTAGTTTCCTTGCTGAGGAGTGATGAACAAAACTGAAAATATGCAGCAGGACTTTTAGTCGATCAGGATGTATATATATATACACACACTCAAAAAATGAGTATTTTATAATCTCGACAAAATTCAGCTATGAAAATTACTGCTCTTTTAAATTTTTCGTAGAATAACTTCAGGAACACCTAGAATTTCATGGTGGAAAAAAAACATGTTGTCAGACATTGAAGAAAATCCAAATTTTTCGTCCTAAGGCAAATACTAAACACCTTTAAATGCCATTTTTTTCGTGAGTCTGTCACTAAAGTCGAGTTTATTAAATGCAAGGCAAAATAAAGAACTAAAATCTTCTTGAATTCTGAAAAAGATAATCGAGACAAATCAGAGTTGATAAAAAAAAGGCACCCTCATAAATACTTATAAATTCATATTTTATTAAATTTCTCCAAGGTCAAAAAATTTCCAAGGGACGCCATCCATACATAAACATGTACATTTAATACAAAAAAAACTTGAATTGTAAACATAACAAATAATACAAGGACTGAGTGGCACTGCAAAACTCATATCAAATTCTTGGTTACTAAGAGGTTTCCGAAATTTACAAAAGAGATTATTGGGCACATCAGGTCTTCCATTAAGCTCAACCGACATGGAAGGTCGGAAATTCATTTAATGACTTTTCAGTTTATTTAGAGTTGAATTTGTAGGGTCAAATTTTTTCACTCAGACAATTAACAAAAATTATGCGAGGGCTTTACGCTCAAATCTTAGTGGTTACAGCTGCCCACAGATCATGCAAACCTAAATTTCAAACTGGCGGAATCAATCAGTCAGAGATCTGACGACACAACTTCACTGGCTACACAAGTCATCTGCGACCTTACAACATAATCGACATAAAGGTTCTGATTCGTACATCTTGAAAATAAATGTTATCATTGTTGAAAGTACCAGCAAAATCGTCAGGAAACAAAATTATGACTTGTGGAGATGAGTACACACCAATGAAACACTTACTTTCGAAGATTCCATATTCTGTTTTGAATTTCGGAATTCCTTTTTTAAATGGCTCTTACAGTCATTTCCTGTAACACTATTACAGAAACCTCTGGACAAAAACTTCGAACATCGTCTGCCTTCAGAATACAAGGGAAACTGAAGTTTTAGAGATAAAACAAAAAAATAAAATTAAATAGGTACCACATTCTTGAGAAACAGTCAAGAATGACGACAGAGACAATTTTGTCTTGTTAGAAAGTTAAAATACTTTTTGATCAAAAATAATCTTGAATTTTTTTATTTTTTATTTTTTTTTTAGAAAAAGGTGGTCTTTTTTTCGGCAGTGTCCACATTCTGCCCATTTAGTAAAGGGAACCTAAAACTGTCAGGTTTCAATTTATTCACCCAGTGTAAATCACAGATAGAAAGAGAGGTACATGGACTATTATATAAGGAGATAATTACAGCACACCCTTGAACAGTTTTTCATTATAATTGTTCAAGGAAAACTATGGACACAGCGGACATTTTGAATATCAACACATATTTAAGTAAATTTACATCTCATGTTACAAATAAGTGATTTGAAGTTTGAAACTCCTGATTATCGAAAAAAGGAAATTACCTGTTCACATTTAATAAATAGAATGTCTTGAAATAACTCGTTTCGCCTCTAGTTCAGCAAGAAAATCGGTTTGTGGGGCTTTGAAACTTTTAAAAATGGTTGATTTTTTGAAAAATACTTAAAGATTCTTCAAAAAGTGCTTGAAAAGCACATAATGTTTTAGTCGAAAGACTGTACAAACCATGAGAAAAATTATTGGCAGGCCAGTCATTCACTGCCCTTTGCTGACTTGGGGCTGGCGACAGGCATGACACCAAAATTATTGAAAGTCACAATAAACCCCTTAAGATAAGCATATTAAATTTTTAATTTACAGTACTTTTGGTTGATGTAAGAAGTTCCTACATCTCTACTTCACTCTGAGAGCTAAATAATTTACCGTATCAATTGTATTGATTGATAAATTCATGAGAAAGCAGAACTTCACAATTACATTTACATTGTTATTTCATCTTCATTTATTCATATCAACTTCGTTTTGTTAGAAAACTTTAAATGAAAATTGTACATCGTGGAAAACGGCTTTGAATATTTGGTGCACATCAAGCTGCTCTGCACGCAAGACTGCCAGATTGTAAGAAAAAATCTGAATATTTTTTGTTCAGTTAAATGGGGATATGTGCTGAATTTTCAGCAGAATTTGGCGACAGTGTCTGTGCACCTCCTTGCACGACTGTGCAGGGAGATTGGGCTCATTTCTTACACCCAAACTGAAGCTGAAAATCATGAAAAATAGGAATAAAAATAGAGGTACATATTTTCGATGCTGGAATGCCCTTTGGATTGCATTTTGCAAAAAGGGCTCAAGAGTATTCTAATGTCCCTAAGATTGTGCAACTTTGTTCGCCTCGCAAACCCATCATCAGTTTGTTCAACCATCACATATTCATGGCTGAAGTCAGAAAATGCATATCTTTCATCGCAACTTTGAACATTTTGGCCCATGTTTTTTTTTTCTTCTTCAAAAGAAAACTAGCCAACATTTTCCTATAAATTTTCTTTGAGTTTTGTCTACTTGCTCATGAGTATTCTTAGATGATTTCAATAAGGTAAATTGATTAGTTTTCTTGTAAAAAATAAAACATTATCTGATATTTTTGAACACCGCAATAGAGATATGCATTTTTTGACAGTAGCCATTCCTGCAGAGAAAATTAAAGTTGCTGGAAAAGTGGGACCATCTTAACGTTTGTCGTTTTTTTCTTAACTTCGACCTTATTAAAATATGTTTTTTTCAGAGCATGATATGGTATGAAATACATAATACATACACAGATACATGATATGGTGTAGTGGAGGGTTGGAAGGAGGTTACCTCTGTCTTAAAACGTTTCTCCTACTCTTAGCTGACCCCATCAAAACCTGAGCCCTTTGAAAGAGCCGAACTTAAACATGAACCTTGCTATGATTGCTACTTTGTAACCAAAGAAAAAAAACATCCGTACAGGAAAAAATTCAATAGAAGAGGTTGCCTGTTGAACATAGGACAAAGAGAGAGAATAAACAGAAAAAAACATGGATGAAATTGAATTGGAGTCACACTTATTTAAGTAGAAAGTACAGAAACTGTAAATGAAGGGCAGATTTTAAGGAAATTTAATTAAATTAATTTTGCTAGACATCATTAACCCTCCTCACAGTTGTAGAGAGATCAAATTTGTTGAAGTCTGAGGCATCTTGGACTAAGTTTCGAGAGAGTATGACATTTGGAAATAGAAGTAAGTGAATTTGCCACTGATGTTTCTTTCTCTTTTCTTAAGGAAAAACTACGAAGCAATGTTGGAGCTCAGGAAAACAGAGGTCTCATTTTCAGAGGAAGCACAATTGATGCATTGATGGGGAGAATAAAAATAGGGTGTTCCTTACATTTGAAAAATTATAGTATCAAACCTCAAATACACACTGAGTAACAAAACGCTCTTTTCAAAGAACCGCAATATAGAAAAAAAAGGAAAAACATATTCACCTCTCAATAAAAAAGTGGAACAAAAAAATATTCTTGATACACAGTCAATCATTCACATCAACAGGAGGATGAATGCATTGGCTCTATGATATCAATCAAGCCGCACTAAAGGAATGACTTCTTCATCAGAATCAACTAGATACTTTCGTCTTTTTTTTTAAATACGATTCACAGCCAGCCTTCTCTGATTGAACGGCGATGGCGTTGGGATTGCACTTGATGACAGGGATGAACTGATCAAGATCACAGCTAGACAAAGCTATTTTCTTGACAGGCTCTTGCGTATTTGGCGACTTGACAACCACGACGATCGACTGAGCAGCACCAACTGGAGTGAGCGTTCCTGAAGAAAATTGCGGAACTGCTGTCGTTGAGCTGATGGCGCTGACAGGAGTTGAAGTAGGCGGTGCAGGCGCGATGTCAACTGGTTTGTTACTGCTCAATTTCTGTTGCAACAGCACACGCAATTTTGAGCTATTAACCTTTTCCTTGTCGGATACTTCTTGGCTCAACTGTGAGAGAAAGTGATCCGGAATTAGTTGCTCTAGTAAGTTGGGAGGTGAAGTGGATTTTGGTGCCTCAGAGTCTGAAAAACAAAATTAGGAAACAAAATTTGATGAAATAGGCAATTGTAGATGACAATTTGAAGATGAGACAATTGAGAGCAGAGGTCAATAGTTTGATCTGACGCTCCATTTTTCAATGTGCTAGCAAAACTAGAAACTTTTTGTGAGGGAGGCCAAAGGGGCATCTCATTAAAAGGGGTCTAGGGGTACCATGAGATTCCCCACCATTAGGATCTATCTGTGGGACTCCCCCACTTCAAAGGAGAGTTTGGGATATTTTTTGAGCGCTAAGTAAAGGGGAGATTCAGGGACTTCCTCTGAAAAATTTTGAGAATTTGAGTTGTCTCGGAAGCCATTTTGAGCTGTTCTCACCAAAAAATTGATCAATATACAATTTCAAAGACGAAAGACACATTACAGAATTAACCCTTTGTGTCGACTAATTATTAGTACCTCTGCTTTGTAAAGATTGCTTAGGAAAATAATTGAGTTTTCAGTACCTTGAACCATGGCTTTCGTGACAGGACAATCCTTGTGAGCAAGGAGAAGTGTTTTTAGCTGAGCTACTTCTGCGCGTAAACAAGTAACTTCCGTTTGAAGCTTTGTATTTATCATCTGCATGGATCCTGCGCTTTTCTCCAACTGTTCAACCCAAGTCTTCCTCTTTTTACGACTTCTCATCGCTGCCACCCTGTCAAAAATAAAGACAAAGCATTAGATACCCAATTATCATAATGAACTGGTATCCAGTATGTGACACTCGGGGGCTACAACCTAAAAGCACAGGGGCCAAATTTTTTTGTAGGTAAGCTTTCATTTATGGACAAATAGTCACTGCTCTGACGTAAGGGCGTATTTCTATTTGCACATGAGCCCTGAAAAGCAACAAGTTATATGGAGAGCAGGGTGAAAGAGAAGCGACAAAATGTGACCAAATCTGTGAAAAGAGACCTAATTTTTCGGAAGAAAATTTTCCTTAACCTTTTTCAAATGCATTACGGAAGAATATTTGGAAATTTTGGGGCAAGTTTGATCCTGGGAGCTCAAAAATTGAAGAAGATATGAATCCTGAAGTTCTGAGACAGAAACTCTTCAGTTGTAGAAAAATGAGGCTTCAGCTTTTGCAAAAAGATAGAGAAAATTTTCTCCCGGAAGATAAGATCCCTTTCTACAGATTCGATCACAAATAAAAGGATGTTAATCTCAGCTATTTGATAGCTACTAGATGGTTGAAACCGTATTAGGATTTAATTAATGAATCTAACTGGCTGAAAAACTCGACTTACGATAAAATATCTGTCTCTAAGCTGTCTAATGATCATTGAGACCTTTTTTGTACTTTATTATTTGTACTTCATTTTTCTTTTGGCTGTGATGAAATTGTGATGCTGTGACAATAATGCTTACCTATTCCTCTCTCTTTTGAGCATTGTTTCTTTGTCTACTTCATCTGAACTAGAATGAGCAGAGTTCCGTGATTGAGACTTTTCCTGTGAAAGAAAAACACGAGGGCATTGAGCACAGTGTGGACATTTTCAAACAAAGCTTTCAAAGAATATTTTTGAAAGAGCCAAGGTAAATTTCACAAAAAATGGGTTATTGATAAAGGCCGTTTTGGGGGCCACCCTGAATTTCTTCGACTCTACGATCTTTTACACACTGAAAGTCTACATTTTCTAGAATGCATAATGACTAAATTATTTTCTGGATTTTCGGTCGGTTGTGGCCAAACATGTACTAGCAAAAACACAGGCATTTAGGCCAATTTTGGCGAGTAATGCGGGTTTTGCGGTCGAATGCCAAATATTCTGGAATTTCCGCTATAATCTGCCTTCAGACCCACGTTGGGACCAGCGTTAGACAAAAAAAAAGACCGAAAATTACCAAATTATGATGCGATCTGTTCAATTAGCAAACAATTTTTAAGTTGAGGAAATTCTGCAAGGCTGGACGGGAAAATGCCCCTTACCGACTCTCCTCCTATTTTACAATAAGGAAGATACAATATCCTTTAGAAAAACAAATGTGCTAGGATATCTTAAACACAGATTTGTGGTTTTGTCATTACACTGAAAATACGCATAGAATACTTTATACTAGAAAATTTGGAATAGAATAGAATACTTTATTCCAATCTCTTTTTCAAGATTTCAGCAAAGCTGAACTCTCGTTTGTCTTTGCTTGTGATTAAACTATTCACTTTGTATAATCATCTCATTTTTCAGACACCAACGGATCAATTAAGGAGTATCAGAAAGTTTAACAAATTTTTGGTTAGAGTTTTAGTTTTAAAATTTTTTTATCTAAATGCCAAAAAAAGTTTAGTTACAGCCACAGTAATCTGGACTAGTGGATAAGAGAAAGCTTTAACCAACCTTGTCTTCAAATATTGATTTGGATTTTGTCGACTGCAATAGGTTCTTCTTGGACATGAGGGTCGATTTCAATTTCTGCAATAAAGAAAAGAATTCATTTTTTAAATTTAAACTCATTTTAAAAATTTCAAGGAAAAAAGTGGATTACATCTGATGGCTAAAATTTGCTAAAAAGGTTAGTACTTACGAGTTGAGTACTTCAAAATCGAAAGTTACGATCCATATTTTCAACTAAAGATTCGCTGAGTATCCACTATAGTATCATAGTGCTTGAATTATAGAGCAACTGTATTAGAACAAAACAATTAAATACAAATAGAAAGACCAATTGCCCTGATTTAAACAATACCTTGTTGCTGTTTTAAGTCAAAGGGCTCAATAAGTGGACGATTTGCAATTAAGAGCTACTATTATAAACTCATTTTAAAAGCAACGAACATGCCGTTACCTTTTCAAAAGGTAGATTTGAGGCACCTTGAAGCAAAGAAAGCTACGTCCATTTTACTGATGACTAGTGTTGTGAGGCTCATTAGGAAAATTGGCTTTGCTCCTTTGCTTTAAGATGCCTCATACATGCTTCCATGAATGAGCCAGAGGCCGTAGTTCCCTATTGCAAAAAGTAATCTAATCGGTCTGAATGAAATACTTGGCAAACAAAAATAGAACAAAGGTTATGGAGAAAGACTACGAATGACAACGTTAGTTACGTTTGTAACCGAGTAGAAGCGCTGGCATTGCAGCAGCAAACTGCTGAAACTGTGGCTTGAAGCATTCAAATTTTGCCGTTTTCATACATAGTTTTTTGGCCTGGCAGGAATAATTACACTAAATAAACTAGCAAGAAACATGCTAAACTAAGAAAAGCAGAATTGGTTTGTCTTTCACTCACGAGTTTGGCTTCTTCCAAGGGTCTCAATGCACCACTAAAGTTCTCCATTATAATAACACCACCTTCCTAAAAGTAGAAAATATTGAGAAAACCGGTTAGTTTCTGACTATGAAAATAAATTAAGCCAAAGCTAGGGCTTTTTTCAAAGGGCCACACACGGAATATCAAACAATGCTATTCACAATCTCAAGTAAGATGAGTTTTTAAGACCGAACTTCCTGTGTAATTATAACTGTGATTTAAACAGGCCGTCCAATTTTTGCATGACTAGATGGTCCCATAGTAGAGAAGTTTCGGTACCTCTAAAAGATAGTAGAAATATTTTCATCCACATGCTATGACTTAAAGCTTCATATTTGATCACTTATAAATTTTAAAATCTACATATTGCATAAAATTCCCTTGGGAGGTTTAAATAAAAAACTTTCTCCATCTGCTAAAACATCAAATTTTCTTTAACATTTTTTACTCTGATTACACCAAAATGATATTTCCAGATACTAACCCGAACGTTGGAGGAAATGGTTCGTGTTGAGGATACATCACTCATGTCAGAATCAGTCATAGAGGTTTCCTTTATACCGAATTTCCCACCTGAATGACTGCATTTGAAGGGTAAAAAATAAAACATTAAAAAGTGTGAATTAATTCCCTCTTAAGAAGTTTAAGAGGGTAATCCATTGAAAGTCTACTTCAGTGTAAGGCAGAAAATCAGTTTTCAACTTACTCTTCAGATCCAATATCTATTCTTAAGCGTACAAAAATCTTAAAATTTAAACTCATGATTCACGTTTGAACTTCTGTAACTGTAAATTTTGCCATTGAAAGGCAGTCTAATGGATAAGAATATCAGCTTTCATTACAAAAAAAAAAAAAAAATTGGACCTTTAAAATTGTTTTTCTTTTATCGCAAGTAGGTACTGGTTTCTAAAAATATTTAACAGTCAAAAATTAATAAACTTAATAGCCTTTCAGAAGAGTTTCTGTGTTGCGTTTTCTCTATAGACTTCAATTACTGATTTTCATTTTCAATGTAAAATTTTCCTGATTCACATTCACTTGAAACACGAATTTAGTGACGAACGTGAGTTCAAGGAAGTAACAAAACATTGACAGAGTACATCTACTGAATGGAGAGGTGTCATACCATTCTTCCTCTGGAATAGTTTCCTCTGCGAGGATTGGGTCTTCAACCTCTACTGTGCTCATGGATATGTCTGAAAAACAAAAAAAAAATTATTCTTTCAAAATTTGTAAAAAAAGAACAAGAGAGATTCTGAAATACCAAGACTGAAAAGTGCCTTTTCTGCACCAGACGCCTTTAATTACTTTTAAACTGACTAAACTTATCTATTTACTTTATTGTCGGGTTTTACAAGAATGATGTCAAATATGAAGGTAAAAAAGAAAAAACAACTTCAATCGTCAGAATTCCAAAATGTTTCATGGAGTGTGGAATTATCAAGCTTTCAATTACCTGATGCAGAGTCTGCGCTAGCGGTAAAAATAGTAGGTGTAAGTAAATCGTCTCCATTGGAACAGCTCACCTGAAAAAAGGAAATTGTTGTTACAACAACAAATAACTTTCAATGGTTTTCAATTGATGAAACATTTATTTTCAACGATAGACTACTAGACAAGGTACAAATTTAAGTATTCTGATAAATGTTTCTTAATCAGAATTTCATGTAAAACACGATTCTTGCAATGAAAATTACTGAAATCACCTCCTAAGTAAGATATTGATGTTTATATTGCATGTTGGTTATGGGATATTTGAATTGTCCGGTCACATGCAACACAATACTCTACGTGAATCATATCGCGCACTGCAACAGTTTTGGAAAGCCTCTTAATCAAGCAATGTTCCCTCTCCTTTTTGTTTTCTAAAGTGTTATCAACAAGCAACGGCTGAGTCGAAGTACCGAGATTGAGGTTGTCACATTTGCATTCTGCGAAGCGAAGACTATTGAGGCAACATTTAATGCGGACCATTGGACACATGTAGACCATTGCGTTTTCATGAACAGGAGGTTTGAATTAATGCATTAAGAAACATTATATATCTTTATTAGGAGTTCATTTCAGGAATTTTAGTTGCGCAAATCATGTTCCAAGTGAAATTTTGGTTCAATAACATGCATCAGAATGCTTAACTTTGTATCTTGTTCAGTGGTTCAATGAAAAGTGTGGCTTTGAGCACTTATGCTTATGAACATGCTGAAAACGGGAGCAGCGAATGACAGTCATCACTTGTTACTCCATAAATTTGAGTTTTTCTTATCAAAATTTGTACCAACTTAATTCAAAGAGTTCAGACAAACTGATGGCGCGTGTCATGCAATTTTCAAGACACCACTCAACTACACACTTATTACCTACTCCCGATTGTAGCAACCATTATCAGCGAGTAAACTAAGCATATGGCAAAGGTCCACCTAAGGGAAAAAAACTAAACTAAAAAAACCAATGATATTCATGGTTCCTCTTCTGATAAAATCAGAGAAAAAATAATATCAGCTGTAAAAATGATTGTTTTTTTCCTGATAATGATTGCTACTTCTTAAAAGCCTAGTGGAATGCCAAGAAAGATTCTAAGTTTAGGAACTTGATAAATCAATTGAAACTGAAATATAGAGGAGGAATATGCGGCTGAAGAGCTGATATTAAGGTTAAAGAAAAAAAAGAAAGAAAAGCTCTGAGAAACTTCGGTTGTCACTAAAAAAGTATCTTCATGGGAAGGAATACCCACTTGTCATTTTAATGAATGGCATTGAAAGATATTGCTGGTTGACTTGCAGTTTGAGTTAGTAGTTGCAGTTGAGTTTTTGAAAATCAGATGAGTAAAAATCATAAATCAAACATACAGCCTGACAATTTGTAAAATTTTGCTTTTCTAGGTTCAATCCATAACTTCTTGAAAACCAAATTCTCACCTTGGAGGATGGTTGGTGATTCGGTCCCAATTCAACTCTCTTTCGGAATGACTCCTCGAAAAGATTAACCTTCTGAAGGTCATCAAACAATCCTAATGTTTCACAATCTCTGATGAGTCGCGTTGGAGTGGGAGTCTCATCTGAAATACACAAAAAAGTTAGTCTCAATTTCACAAAAATTCCTTCATTTCAAAAGAAAGAGAAACACACAGTTAATGAGCGGTCGCAGCAGCATAGTAAAGACACTCACTGAACAATAAACAAGTCTGTCCGTTATGTATTTTCAAGGTTTTTAAATCCCAAGGGTGCATGAAGTTCCAAAATACCAACTGAGTCTCTTGATCCACCATTTTTGCCTCACAGCAAATTTAGTAATATGACTTACAGAGAGGACAAAAATGAAAAAAGCTCTCACTTTTGAAAATCACCTACCAGCCCAAGATTAACATCAAGTGTACCGCAATGGGGATGTTGCATGTGTGAGGAATTTGCGATTTGACTATTGATTCTAATGTAAAAGTTCGCGAGAAACATGATGGTGCCACTGGTTTTCTTTGAGATCAACTCCCAAGCTCAAAAAAAGCTCTCAAGTTGAGGCTAAAATGGAGAGAACATCCCGCGCTATCCTGAGAGTCCACCTCTACATCAAGACAAACTCTCCATGCAAAGATAGGGAGCAAATAAATTGACAGGGCTGCCACTTTATTTGGGGACTCTAAAACTGAAAACACGGCAACCCTGCTACTGTATTTGCTCCCTATCTTTGCATGGAGAGTTTGTCTCGATGTAGAGGTGGACTCTCAGGATAGCGTAGGATATCCCCTCCATTATGACCTCAACTATAGAGCTTTTTTTGAGCTTGGGAGTTGATTTCAGAGAAAACCAGTGGCACCATCGTGTTTCTTGCCAACTTTAACATTAGAATCAATAGTAAAATCGCAAATTCCTCAAACATGCAACATCTCTATCCGTGAATCTCGGTAGTGGAGTGGTGGAAGTAGAGAATCAGGATATTGTGCTGATAATGAGACCAATTGGGTAGTCTTGCGCAATAGAAAACAGAGCACTCCGAAGATGAGGAGTCAGATTTTTACTTGATCAGCAGAGTGTGCATCAATTTGTGCTGATTGTATACTTCAGGCAGAGTAGCCAATTGTTTATCAAGTTTTTTACTTTACTTTTGTGTGGTATTACTACACCTGTCGCATACTTAAGTGGTTGCTTTCGACACTGTTATTGTAGTATTTTTAATTTATTGTAATTTTAAATATTTTTGGTGAAATAAAATATAACTTCAACTAACTACCTGACTGAATAACTAACTTTGTTCCTTGCAAAGTTCCTCTCTTGAGCAATCACGGAGGGAAAAGCTTATCAAATGGTTGCCCTCTATGATTTAGATTAGCTGCTTTTGCGATCAACAAATAAGGAGATATAGTAGGTAATTTTGATAATTTTTTTAATTGGGAATTTGGATACTGAATATGTTTTTTGCTACGAAAAATCGTGGGACTTAGTCAACCACTCTCAATAAACTGACCTTTCCTTTCGCAATAGAGTGTGCATCTTTTTGCTTGATTATTAGGTATGAAAAAAGTGTGATTTGATTAAATTTATATACAGACCACTGGTGAATTGTTTGTTGTCCAAGACCAAAGCTGTTACGCTTCCTTTGTTCCGATCTTGTCTACTCATGATGCCTCATCCAATATTGTAAGTGAAAGGAATTAAAATCGTCTGATCATAAAACCTGAAAATGATAGAGAAATTTCAATGAAAATACACTTAACTGCATAGTTAAAACTCCTAAAATGCAGCACAACAATTGTAAAAACTGCTTCTTTTCAGAGCTCCAACTAAGTATTCTTCATCATTGTTAAGTAAACTAGGTAGCATCGAAGTTAAGGTTTAGAATGGTGTGAAAACTTAGCATTGTACAACCCTGGAGGGTTCGTTTGCTCCCATCAAGTCTTGTACAACAGTGAGTAGCTAATCCACCATAGAGACACAATAACAGCATTTCCTGAGACCTGCCCTCTAAATTAGTGTAAAATAATGGTCCCTTCAGTAACCTAGCAGAGAAGGGAGAAAATAAGCTGGCTTATAGGTGAATTTGATGTTAGGACTGTCTAGTAGTTCCATCCAAATTTTCTTCTTTTGAATTGATATCATTCAGCAAGACAAAGCTGAGAATTAGGAAATACTAGACTTAGCATACTTAGACCAGCAGAATCAGGGTGCAATGAAGACTGATATGTTTCCTGATACCAAGTAGTAGACAAGACCGTTTCAATATTACGATCTTAAATCCCACCAAAAGAAGCTTAACGATGTAGATAGTGTCTGCTATGACAGATCGACTCAGAGTCATAATTTTATGTCCTAGAATCCAGGGATAATTTTGGTGTATCTAACTTGCAGAACTTCCATGCTTGTCTCTCATGGCCATGGCTCTTGCTGAGTCTGCACACAACGGAACCTCCAGTAAGCATTTACATCGATAAATTCGGTGGGTATTCAGCGCTAACCCTTATTGCAAAGCATGCACATAGTAATGTTTGTGGCAAAACTGCATTCCACCGGAGTGAATATTATAACTAAGGGAATGAAAAATAATAAATTACATAAGGAAATGAGGGCCTTCAACTTTCAAGTGCTTTGTGGTTATGTATGAATTTGTTGCATAGTCAGGGATTGAGATAACATCAAATGGATTCAGAACTGTTACGAATTTGAAATTTGACGTGAAAATGAGTATTTCAGAGAAAATTGTTGCATGAGAGCGCAAAAATTCTGAAAAACACGCAAAAACTGCGTCCAGCCACGGACATGGAAGAATGACGAAACAGTGTCCGGATATAAACAAAAGAAGAATATTATGCAAGAATACGAGATTGAAAATCACTAACGACTTTGACACTTACAGGCACCCTCGGGGAATTAACGAAGAATAATTCGTGGCGGTAATTACATTATAATACGATTGACTAGGCACTGTTTAAAGACAAAAACACTAAAATCAAGAAAAAGTCACGACGACAGCAAAATTAGATTTTTCACTGCGGAGCAAAAGCGCCATGCAGAAACGCCGATGGATGAATGGACCAATCACGGCTCACCGCTCTTCCGGGGACATGCTATGCAATGCTGGTTGCCGAACTGAAGACATCAGGGGATTGTATTTTTCAAAATTTTCAAAACATTTTTGAAAATTTTGAGATTGCTTTAAGATTATTGTGAGATATTCTGGGATTATTGTGAAAATATTAATAGAATACTCTTGAATTATTCTTGGAAAATTTTTAAAATATAAGGATTATTCAAAGGTTAACTATTTGTGGAGCTGTATGATAATTATTTAAATATTCCTTTCCTAGATCCTCATTTGACATCCCCCCCCCCTCTCCGTCAGAGTATTCTTTTTAAAAGTGTTCTCTGCGCACTCACAGAACATGTTCCATGAACAATTTGAAAATAGTCTTTTAACATTTTACAGATATTCTGCAGCAAACTTTTTGAAAAGCGAAAATATTGACAATCTGACTCTTAGATTGTCCCTGTTTCTCCCCAATTAGTAGTAGGTCCTAGTTAATTTCTGCCTTTTAGCGATTTCTGCACTTCCCTTAATCTCAGAGCAAGAAAGAAATTATATTTAGAAATTTTACATTTCAACTCCAAGTTGAAATTCATGATCACCTTAGCTTCCATTAAAATCATTAAGCTTTGCCAATTCACAATCAGAGTTAGCATTTGATTCTTTTCTTGGAGATGAGTTCAAAACTGCATCTAATGGTAATATTTATAATTTCCTCAGAATTAAAATTTGCGACTTTGAAGGATCGATTAGAGAGAGAGAGAGAGCGAGAGAAAAAGAGAGAGAGTGAATCACTAACTCATTCTGAAGACTCAGCCGAGAAGAAAATTTGTAAGTGCATCGCAATACTGACGGATCTTGCAATGTTTTCCTAACCTAGCCGTCTTTATAGAGCTCAAATAATCACTTAAACTTCATTGCTACAGTCAATTCATTGTCTCCCGCACCAAGGAACATATCTCTGTCCTGTTTGGTATTTCTACAAACATTTTATTTCGTGATGGGAGAACCTTGCACCAAGTAGTTAGAAAATTCCAGAGTCTTCTCTCCTAAGGGTAAAGAAAAATTACCAGAAATTTTAGAAACATTCATAAAGACGAAGCAGTATACACAGTCACATCAGTCGAAAAAATATAATTTCTCGAGTGACCTTGGTTTGATTTCTTCAAGGCCGCTGCTGCCTCTTTTCAAAACTTGGGATAAAGGATAGAGATAATCGAATAAGAAGATCAAAGAGTTAATAATAATAATTATATTCATAATATATAATAAATAACTTAAAAAAGAAAACGAACAATGAATGATGAAAAAGAAACACAATGAAAATATGATAACGCAGAAGTTGGTTGTAGGAATGTCTAAGACCCGATGTTCCACATCACACATCAGTGGGTACCTTCGGTTTGACTATTTGATATGTTATCAGGTATTCCGGATAGGCCTGCAAAAAACGAAGAAATATATCATATAAACTGAGGCAGTTGAATCAGATTAGGCGGTGAAATCAATCTGTGTGTTAGGCAAATGACTACAGATTGGTTTCTCACTTATTTACTTTCTCTTATGATACCTCTGATCTTCTCAGAAAAAAGCTAAAGCACAGAAAAATTCTTCCTTTGTAAAATATAATGAAATTAGTTAAGTGCTCGATTTGAATTGAGTAAACTCTGGCTATTTCTTTAAGCAGGAAACGCGAATGAATGTAGACAAAAACTGTTATTTTCCAAGTTATGAGTTGAATTTGGAAAGTTTTAATCTGCCCATTGAATTCAGAATAAAGTACCTTAGATGCTGAGGGTCCAATTCTCATGGACAAGCTGAAATAATCAATTTAAAATTAAAAGCATCATTCATTAAAACGTACTAAAGAAACTGACCATATGATCGCGCAACATTCTTGTAACAATGCAAAACAATTTGAGTGCACTTAGTCTACACCCCAAGCAGCCAATCAGAAAGGATACGAATAAAAAAGCCCATATCACTGATATAATAAAACCAGAGCTTGAGAAATAAAATCAGTGACAAAATAACAATGATCAGAATAAGCAGAGCGATGATCAGTATGCTACCCATGGTGATTTTCTTAACACTTAAAACATTTGTGTGCCGAGGCTTTTCTATCTCACAGCAGTATTTTTAGGGAATGAGCATGAAACCACGTAGAGTAGAGAGATAAAATTTATTCTGATCATCGATCGATGATGATTAAAACCGTCCTAAATTCAAAAATGATGCAGTGGAGCTGAGGCTAAATGAGAGATGCTATCTGGCTTAATCTTGATAGTAAAAGCAGAGGCGCCCTTTTTCAGAAAAAATTCATCTACATATTTCACATTGTTGGGAAGATTCAGGATTACAAAAAAATAACACTAAATTAGTGGAAACATGCTTGAGATAAAGTAAAAGACAAGAAGACCATGAAGAAAGAAGGTTAAAATAGACTTCAGCGATAGGACCTAAGAAAACTTTTTTTGATCACAGTTGTAGATCACTAATTGATTGCTATGTAGAAAATAATAAGTTGAATCGTTGAGTATTGGATCTGAGGCCCTAGAAGAGCATAGGAAAAGAAACATTTCTATTTTCCATGCAAGCAAGCTTTAAATGAAATCTCAACCTCTTTGCTACTTGATTGATTACTTATGTAGTGGTACAAGTTCCTAAATCTCCCACCAGCAGACAAGAGAAAGACAATCCATAAATTTGGTAACTTTAGATTAATAATTTTTTGACACCTCCATACTTTCTATACAGTAAAAGCTTGATTTATCAAACACTTGATTGAAGGCGTTCACCGGATTTTTTTCAAGGTCCCTACCGTATTCCCGCCACAATAATATTAAAGTCCTCGTAATGAGCTGGAATTTTTTGCAGTCTGGTTGAAAGATTTCCCCTTTAACTAGCAAGATTTTGAAAAAATTGCCCCTCTAAAATACATGAAACACTTCGTCACATCACTATCTAGCAATCGGAAACTCAATGGTCTAATTGCCTTCTCATAGCAGCAGCGACCGTTTTTTTTTTAATTACTTGCCATCATCAATGATTATTGAGTGCTTTGCGGAAAGGGCAAACATAAACACTACCACCTTAAATAAAAATAAGAAGAGAGAGGGAATAAAGAGAAAAAATCATCGTTAATTGCGATTCGAGATGCATGCATTGACATGATAAGTTCCGAGTCAGCAAAAGAACGCTAACAAATATGGCAAAAAATGCTGTGTACTATTAGTTTATATATTGACGGCGGAATAACATATCTCATTTGCGATATCTGAGAATCTCCTGTAAGTTTGATATGAGTTCATTATTTACGAATCTTAAGTCATTTCATGACCCACCATACGAGAAATTTCAATTGGTCTAATAGAAATACTGTGGTTGAGTTTCTGTTTATATTAGAACCATCAAACAGCAATTGTCCATCGCCACTAAACCTATATATAGAGAAGATTAAATAACGTACTTGTTCTCCTCGGTAGATAACATACTCTGGAAAACTAAGTCCACCGTAGGAGGGGCGACCCATCACAGAATGGTGGCCAGGAGGGGCATGAGCCATCTTCATGGCGCTAAACTGCATGAAAGACTTTCCGAGTGTTACGCGACACAACAATAAGTTCCTGGAAAGAAATAGTGACGGCGTATATGAACAAGGAAGATATTATTGGAAGACAATAAAGACAATATAAGGTCTCGGAAGGTTAAACTCTACCACTGATTTTTATAGAGAGATTTAAAGTGGTCAAGTCGATGGGGATCATTTGGATGATGAAAATTCATTTTCTGGGACACACTCAATTTTCTTAAAACTTTTCACTAACTTCTTCAAACGGACCAGTTGATATTATCTCTTGATACATGTGGCTTTTAAAATAATAACAATTCAACCGGGGTAATGTCAATTTGAGGATCACAGACTTGTCCCAAAAAAATTAGCCAAGTGTCTCAGAAATTATGAAGATTCCCCAGTAGATTCAGAGCTTCAAATCCGCTGAGATTTTAAGCTTTCTCCCAGAGGGTTTTTGAGGAATTAGGGAACCCTAAATTATTGACCTTACTTTTGAACAATTTTATCAGATCTAAAATACCCATTGAAGGAGAGGATGGGCACCCAACTGTGTGGTACAGAGAATAAAATAACAAGAACGAAGAAATATATTTACCTATGACAAATGTAACATGATCTATTTTTATGCATTGGGCATCCAGTCCCACCGCAAATACCATAAACATACTGATTACTTTTCGAGGAATGTTCAGCAAAATAGATACCTGCGAGAAGAAAAATAATTTAAGTTAATAAATGGAGAAAGAACAGAGTAAAATAGATTTGTTTTCCACCTTTACAAGTCACAAAACTATTCCTGAGAAAACCTTGATATTTTCAGGCACAATCTTTTCGGAGATCTTAAAATCTCAACGAAACCAATTAAACTGGAATAACACATTCTGTGCATAAATTAAAGTGAAACAAGTCGAAATAAGTCAAATATACAATCACATGAACATTTTCTTTAAAATAAACTTGGTTAACATTCCTTTTCATTACTAAGAAAACTTGAATAATTTTCAAGTTATAAACTTATTTTCAGCTTTTGTCAAGAAAATGTTCATAGAATACTGTAGGATAAATAAGCAAAATAAAAATTCATGAAAGTGTGTCACACCAAAAAATACAGAACCATTGAACACAAGGGTTTGTATAAGATAAAGCCCTCCAGGCCCTGCTGAATATTAAAAGACAAGCAAAAAAAGCATAAAAACAGGCAATGAGAAAGGAAAGAATTTAAAATCAATTTCATTCCACCAACATTTGATTTTGAACCACGATGGAATATTCTTATTAAAGAATAGAGTTATAGAAAAACAATGAATCGTAATGACAAAAAAATTACCTGCACCAAACATGCCACCAATATAGGCATGCCGTTCATCGAATCCTTTCTGAACAATAGCGTTGATGAAAGACGATCCATGGAAAAGCATACGTTCGTTTGCTTGGTGATTGTTTTCTTCGCTCACCTCTTCTCTTCTGTGGCAGTATCTTTCCCAGAGTTTCCGGTTTTGCACTTTTTGGATCTGAGAAAAAATAATGGAAATATTTATCATTGAAACTCGTTCCTTAAAAATTCTAACCCAAAAGAAAGGTAGGTGATAAAAAGTAAAAGTTTGTTACTTCCCAAACAGAGGAATAAAACTACATTTAAAAATAGAAAAATAAATTGGTGAAGGTACGTGTAAATAACATTCCAGTGGATTTAACAATGGGTCAGCAGCAGCATTTTTTTAAATCCATTTTCTGAGAGAATTAAGCAAACTAAGCTTCTGGGAATTTTTCAGATCTTTCTTTTTAACTCTAAATGGCAATGAAATCCTGTTTTGAAAATGCTAAGGATGGAACTTGTTCGGAGCTATATTTTTGGCAGGCTCTGATGACATAGCCAGGTAGGGAAAAAGGCGTTTGGTGATTAGCTACACTCAGCTTGAGGCATCGCTTTGCTACACTAACCAACTGTCAGCTTCTGAATGGTCAAATTTTGATTAACTTTTTCTTTCTTTAGAAATGTTGATAGATAATGAATTGTCATGAGGTCATCACACACCTTATATTCGCAGTAAATTATCTACTCTCTGTTATTACGTGAGACAGATGCGCTAATTTAATAGTTTCAAACTGCTCAAATGGCATACTATGCACAAGTCTATCCATTTCTTAGGAACAATATTGCCCATTGGGGCAATGCCAAAGGGGCGTTAGATGTGCTCAAATAGCTAAAAAAATAGTACAATGCATGATGGGCGCGAATCGTAGAAAGTTCCGCAGAGAACATTTCAAGAATTTAGCATTGTTATCCCTACTAAGTTTACAGATGCAGGAAAGCATTAAATATTTAAAATAAAATGTAAATGACTTTATGCATTTCTCGAGTATTCACATTTACAAAACCATGGACAAAAATAATATCCAACATGAAAAGAGAAACAAAGATCTATGTAGTTAAATGGGATCCATATATGGTAGATGGGAAGCTGTACAACAAATCAACAGTCAACATTAAGCAGTCTGAAACCAACAATGTATTTTTTAAAGCAATCTATGGACTAATGATACATAGCTGTTGTTACACCGTCAAGGAGTATCTAGAATCCAAGTTGTCAACAATTTGAAAACCTTTTCCTTAAATGTGAGCTACATTTTTGCAAGCTTACAAGACCTGTACCATGGCCTTTTGGCCAAGTATTAATTGATAAATAAAATAAAATAAATAGAAATAACATGATTTTTTGACCTTTTCAATGAACTTTTTGGTTTCCCAGGAAATTTAACATAAGAAAAATTATACTACAAACATGCAAAAATTTCTTACCACTGTCCCATTGGATTCAACAAGTTTTACTTACCCGAATAATATTATAGGAGCAGAAAACACCACCGGAGTGACCATTGTCCCTGTGCTGTCGGATTGTTGTTTGCATTTCTTCTTCTACGGCTATAAATTCTTTGTCATCGGGTAACAGATCAACGAGTAAAGTAGTTTGATTTGGGCTGAGTCCTTGTGGAATACCTATAACAGAGCATAAATATATAATCAGATGAAGAGTATATGATGGTAGAGGTTCACTTTTTGGCAGATTGAAGTTTTGTGTGAATTTCAGTTGTGCATTTTGATGTCTGTAAAGCAAATAGGGTTTGGTTAAGGGTCTATTACAGAGCAAATCTTCCTCTAAAAAATGAGCTTTAGAACTTTAACTTTGAAGAACGTTTCAATTGAGATACAGTAATTTTAAACTAAGACCACATCAGCTGTTTTTAGCGGATTTTCGTCATGGTTTCGCGCGGTTTTCATGGAGAACTTTTTTTTTTAGGTATAAACGAAGCTACGATGCTAATGTAGAAGAGGTAGAGCAATCAAAATGAATCAAAATACCTGTAGTGTTAAGTTTGTAAATGATTTATCGAAAGAAATAAAAATTTGGTAACTTTTCAATAAAATAAAAAAAGAAGAAACTTCGTACACTATCAATCTGGTAAAATAAGAAAAAAATTGAAAAAGGTACCATTTCTCAAAAATTTGTTAGTAACAAATCTTCCTCACTTTCATTACTATTCTAATGTGCTGATTATACAGGATCCTTACGGAGATTGATGAGCTTCAGCAAATTATTTGAAATTCTAACATCCGCTGTGTTGTATAGAACACGGTTTGTCATCAATATTTTGAAATATAATTATGCTACAAGTCGGAAACTTAGTATCACCACTCTTGAAGTGGCAGATGTTGATGTCTGCTGTTAATACAGATGTGGTTTCACATAGCAGCTGCTTTGTGTAACTTTCGGACTGTACTGTGTATGCTAAGTATCTCTCTGTCTCATTCATTCACAATCATTGGTTGAGTTTTAGGACCGTTCAGAAAAAATGGAAGATACCGATTTCAGTCAAATTAAGCATATATTCAAGAGAAGCAGGAAAGGAAATGCTCTTATACAAATTCATAAAAATACTTGTAGATAAACCCTGTAAAATGCAAACGTAAGATCATAGATGACACTCAAATTCCAAAGCTTGATCATTGAGATTTATCTAAGAATATGAATTTTTTTAGGAGCAACAAGTTATGATAAGATTAGTAATTATTACCTTGAGAGGAGTGCAATTTCTCTATGCCTTTTAGGAGCTTAAACCTGTAACCATACGCAGAGACTCCGACTTGTTTCAGATCGTCGTGAGTCATTTCCATTAGGATATCAACTGTGATCTGCTCTCGTTCAAACAGTTCCAATAAATGCTCTAAGCCAAGACTAGAAAGGAAAAGAAAATTTATCATCATTTCAGTGATACATACAGATAACAGGGTTTCAATGACCTAGCATTTGTCAAGAAAAGCCGTGCAGCTAGTTCAAGATATCTAATAAATGGTGAGTATAAAAAAGGAAATGCCTTTAAATGAACCTAAACGAAATTAGAATAACAACTTAGTCTGGGGAAAGGCTGCATTAAAATATCACCGATAAAAAAAATAGAGAAAATCCAGGATGTTTCGAAATAATTAGTCTCATTTTCAACCAGAAAAAAGCCGGAAAAATGAGTTGTTGCTTTGCTGACATTGCGGATAGCAACAGCCCAAAAATCACAGCGCTATTTACTTATTCCTGGTTGAAAATAAGATTATGATTATTTTGAAATGTCACAAATTTTTCCATTTTTTTCATCTTTTGTATTTTATTGCAGCATTTCTCCAAATTAAGTTTTTACTTTACTATATTTTTTGGTTGATAAAGTTGTTCTCCATTCTGAAAAAAAACGTTGACCATTTTTTTAAATGGATCAAAATTTTAGATGACTTGGAAGAGGCCTCTGAACAAAGAATGAATGAGAGCATTACACAACGTGTTTTCTAATCAAAATTTCACAAGAAAGATGAATCATTAAGATATTATTTCCTAAACAAGATATAAGTGCTTGCAATCAACAATGGTTGATGGTAAGAATACAAATGACATCATTTGTATCATTAAATTTCCATTTGATCTGAGTTAAAAAAACTTGTTAATAACTCATTCAGGAGTTGATTTTCAAACTTACTGTTGTGTGTTACGCTTTCAAATGTTAACTTTTAAGGAGGAACCAAGTGACATTTATTTCTGATTTGGATCTTATCTAGTGACCCATTAAGTTTTCAATTTGTAATTGGGAATTTAGAGATTTTAATTTAAATTAGACTCAAATAACATACCTAGTTAAGAAACTTGATATCGAAGAAATGGGAGGAACACATTTGGCATCGCCTTCGTTTTGAGATTCAACCGCGCAACATCCATCGCCTCTCGGAACAAGACTCATATCTGGCGTGGATAGAGTGACTGAAGCGCCGGACGGCATGACGACAGTCTCCATGCGTGATGTCGAGGTCGACTCGCAGGACTGCAGGACTGGTGTTGAGGAATACGTAGCCATGGCGTCTTGGAGCAGACTTCGCACATCCTCTGCACTAGCCAAGTCAAGGGGGCTCTGCCCTTCTTGATTTTTTAGGAACGGATCAGCGCCATGAGCCAGCTAAAAAAGAACAGAGCATCTGGAATAAGTACTTGCAAACTACGTCGCAACTTTTGCAAATAGGATATTCTAATGAGAGCGTTCTGAACAAAAAATGAAAAGGCCCTCCGTCCTATAATCACAGAATTCTAAAGTGTCAGAATTAATGTAATTGAAAATTTATCTATGAGGCACGAACGCCAGATTGGGAAGAAACAATTGGCATTTTGGAGGTATCTGCACCTCCGCCTATGATTGTAACATATCTACTGAAAAAATAGATATTGTGAATTGCTGTGGAAGAAAATGTTCATTAACAATATATATTCTTTTTTTTTTTTTTTTTTTTTTTTTTTTGGCATGAAATTTCTGCAAAACAATTTGGAGAAAGCATATAAAACGACTTGAAAATTTGAGTTGGAACAATGCCTGAGCGTCCTTCAAAAAAGTACGCCATCATGGAAAATCAGAAAATATCTCAGAGGTGGCCAGTTTAAAAAACAGGTTAGTTTGAGAGCCAGACGATATTTTGTGACACAATCAAGACACAAGTATTGACCACTTAAAACTGCACTGAAACGGAAAATGGTTATATGCTATGCAACGGCACTCGTAAAAAAGTGGCAGATGACCATTTTTCAAGTCAGTGTATGTAAGGCTATCGATTTGAGTGGTCAAAACTTGTGTCACAAGTTTGTCACTAAATATCGTCGGGCTCTCGGACTAGATGGAATTAGCCGTGACCTTCATTATTACGGACTGTGAACTTATAAATACTTTTCTAAAATATTAATTATTCTATTAGAAAAAAATTTACCAATAAAGCGCTGAGTTGTGTTCGACCTTTCTGAGCTGCTTCATGCAAAGGTGTGAAACCCCACTTATCTGTAGCGTTTACCACTGTGTTGTGTTTGATCAACAGAGCGGCAATATCCAAGTGACCATAGGAAGAGGCATTGTGCAAAGGTATGAGCCCACCCTTGTCTTGGGCATTCACGTCTGCTCCATGCTCCAGCAAAAACTCTGCCACTTCTAAATTGTTGTAACCAGCTGAAAACAAAGAGGAATAGTTTCATTTCAGCTTCACAATCTGACATGCATTTTATGGAGGAGCAAAGAATACAATAAAAAGCTTAGAGAGCAATTTGATAGAATAAATATTGAAATGAAAACAGCAAAGTACTCAATTATTTCGACACTAGTTCTCATGTTCAATAAAATGTGTTGTTTTCATTTAAAATTGCCGATATTTTGAGGATGGGCCTTCCTTCCTGAGTCCCTCTAAGAGGTACGGCCATTGTGGCTCTCTAAAGATATTCCACCTTAATACCGAAAACAACGGTTCCAACTGCAACATTTTGACTTGAAAATTTGAAAAATCACAACAGATAAAACATTCCTTCTGCTCATCCCAGTATATCTGTCACCTACATAGGTATATCTAAAAAATGCAAAAACATCAGCTGGCAAATATTGTACTGTAGAATGTGGCATAGTTGCTAACTCATCTCTGCTAAAATTGTCAGTTAGGCATTATTGTTCCATAGCAATCTTTACTCTATTGGAATTATTTTCCGAAAAAAGTGACATGGCTTCTACACTTGAGGAAAAGAACTTTCAGGACTGGACAAGCTTGCTTTGATGAGTTTCAAGCTAATCCAGCTAAACGCCTTTTTTGTTTCACTGATGACTTGCTTGCATACAAATGCATTAAATATGCAACCATCATACCAGCTAGATGTAAAGGCGTTGAATTTCTCCCCTGAGTGTCACGACAGTTGATGTTCTCGCCAGTCAACAGCCGTTGAACCCGAGCCAGGTTTCCTTTCTTTGCTGCATCCAACAGAGCAGCGTTACCTCGCAATAGGTCTGCAACTTCATGATCGTCTTCTCGCACTAAATCAAGCGGAGTTGCACCATCCCGGTTCTTTTTGCTTGCATCTGCTCCGTGCTGAACACAAAAAAAAACCAAGGAAGGATGAGAAGTGAAATTATGAAATACTAGGAAACAAAGTTCTTGGTATCAAATTTACTTCGATAAAGATAACAAATTGAGGTGCAAAGGATTAAAATGTAAAAAAGAGAGTCTAAAATTTATATGATAATTGAAGTATTCATTTCCAAAAGATGCCAACTTAGGGAAATTTGTTTTTTCAGAAAACAAGAAAAACTATACTGAGAGCAAGAAAGGATTACTTTGCGGTCAAAAACTCAAATTTAGATAAAAATTGGACTTTGCACTTTTCTGAAAAAACGCTTAAATTCTTATTTTAATTTTTTTATGAACACTTTGGATAATCAAAACTGACAAATTCACAACTGACTTTCACTAAAGCGGGAGGCTGGCACCTCAAAGAGCGTTTTGCAGTGTTGAATGAGAATGTCTATTTTGTAATAAAATTGATCAATTTACATTGACTATAAAATATTAGTGCTTGAGACTGCTTGAAAAAAATTAACATCAATTTAACATCCAGGAGTAGTAAGATATGAGATACACTTCTTGATAACAGTTGAGCCACCTGCAAGAAGAGTCAAATGACTTACCTGCAATAACAAGCGAACAATGTCATATTTTCCTTTTGCAGCTGCTTCATGTAAAGGCGTGAATTTCCAGAGATCTGCAACGTTCACATTTGCACCATGTTTCACCAACATTTCAGTTACTTCATAGTGTCCATACGAACAGGCATTGTGTAGTGGTACAAGTCCACTGTAAAATTAGATAGCAAATCAATATCAATGAAATTAACGCGGAAAGAACTAGACAAAAAGTCTCTTTAAACTGAACCTAAACTGAAGAGCCCAAATTTAGGAGGCACTTTTACGCAGAAATGAAAAAGCCATCGATAAGTCCAAACTGCACCACCAGCCAATCAGAGGTGCTAAGACAGACTTACGAGCAGTGAGGACTCACCCTTAGTATGTTGAAGTACCAGTGGAAGGACAACAAAATTCGGGCCCAGGTACAACTGCACCATCAACATAAGGCAAGTTATACTCGATAATTTGATGAAATTTGAAACTTTTCTGTTCCATAAAATCAGTTAATTTTTTCTCCTTTCCTTCTTAAACATGCATTAATTGCTAACTAAGCTACTTTTGTTCTGTGAAACAATTTCAAGAGCTCTCATAGTCCTTTAATGAATGCTCAGAAAATCTTTTGGAAGGAGAATCTAACCCTTTGAAATGGATACAATGCAACCAATTACAAACAATAAATTCTGCTATCTGAGCAGCAATTTCACCTACTTTCTTTATGATTCAGTTTTTGGCTTTGTTTTCTTCTGATAGAGGAATAATTGTGAAGGCGGATTTAATCTAATTTTCTTTTAATTGAAATTTTGAGATATTTGTCCATTACGAAAAAAATGATTAAAAATTACCCTTTGTCTTTGGAATGAACATCAGCGCCATGGGCGAGCAGATATTCAACCACCGAAACTCGATTGTAGCCTGCTGCAAAATGTAATGGGGTTGAATGCCTGAAATAAGAGATTAAAGAATAAGCATAGCAACATTTTTATTCAAACAAAACAAAACTATGAATACAGATGCAAATCCACACTCAGTTGTCTTCTAACCGCATTAAGAAGATTTCTTTTCTGCGTAGTAATTTTTTTAAGACAAAATTAAAGATATCTTTCCATCAAACTAGGAAGGAAACTTGTGAGAAATTAAGATCTAGTTGTTTGCCTGACATAAAGTTTTATCTATGGCTGAAGCGCGAAACTATGTACCTCTATTTGTGCCATTATAGACTTCCTGTCATCCTTCAATTTTTCTTGAAAAAACCGGTAAAAGTATTTTTCTAAACATTTCCTTGATTTTTCTTCTTTGTAGGAAGAATGTTTTCTATAAATTTCAAGTGATAAAATTGGCAGGTCTCTTTTTGAAAGAATGAAATAGTAGCAGAGATTTTGAACCACTGCAATGGAGATGTGTAGTTTTGCACTTTGGCTATTGATATATACAGGCAATTCAAAAGCCTAATTTGACTGACGTTAATTATGTTTTTTTGCAAGCATACAGTTTTTAGTCACCGTTTACAATGTAAACTATAGCTTTTGTTCTTCACCTAAGATTTGTTTTTTAAATTTTTCGATATGTTTAATGTGTCCTGCATGAAATTCAGATCGGAAAACATGTGTTGTAGTGCCATCTTTGCTTGCTAGAAGCCAGTCTCTATAAAAAAACTGTCAAACCCAATCAAAAAAATTTAAGACATTAGGGCCTTTCTCAACAAATGCCAAAAATCTATTGATTACCGAAGCAGATGAATTTTAAATCATTAACTTATTAATATAAATAGTTGTTTACCTCCTGACTCATACCATAACAATGACCCTTCTTTTACTTGTACCACTTTATACTGAATAAATAAATAATTTCTTGTTTTGTCTAGTGATCTATTAAATGTTTTTCAGAGTTTGTTTCTTCCTGTTTTTACAATCTGTTGACTGACTTAAAAAAGTTCGAGGTAAAACATCCTCCTTTCAAAATAACGATACATGGAAAAAAAATTTCAGGTTAGAGTGGTCCTGCGAATGATAATGTAGTGCACAAAATAAGAATAATAAAAACTCACCTGCCATCCAGATCTCTGCAATTAACTATGTGAGGATAAGTTGATAATAATTTTTGAACTTGTTCTAGATCACCGGCTTTGGAAGCTTCTAGGATTTGACTTTCTAAATCAAGAACTGAGGGTGGTTCTGGAGCGAGGAATAAAGAGAGGGAAAATTAGCCATCATCATAGTTTATAATTAAACAGGGACCTATCAAAATCTGTTCCTCCCATGGTTATTCCACAAAAAAAGAAAAATATCGTTTGAATAAACGCACAAAAATCATACGATGATCATTAAAAATGCTTTAATGATCTTCACGACAAACGTTTTTAGAAATAAACAGTTCGTATGCTTAAGGTTTACAAAGGCATTTTCTCAGCAATCTTTTGACCATTTATGAAAAGAGCAGCTTCTTTGACAGGGGTAATAAAATTTTCAATTGAGCTATTTGTGTAAAGTTAGATGAAAAATTCAGATTTTGGTATTTCATTTATTTTTTTACCAACCAAATACTATTTCGACGATTTTCCCCCCAAAATATAACAGATTAGATTTCTAAATAGCCTTTTCTCAAAACTATGTATGGAACTGGAAACTAGAAACTGCTTAACTCAAATTTGGTTTGAGACTTTTGGGTTCTTTTTTCATCTTGAAATTATCTTAGAGCACTCCTTTTGGCTCTGGTATCGAAGTATCAATTTTTTGTTTGAGGCGCCTTCTCTGATAGAAAACATGCAGGGAAATTAATAACATTTTCATTGGATAGTTGTAGAATAAAATATTCAAGAGAGGTTCCTAAGAGGGTTTTTTAAAATCACATAGATTCACTGAAATTTTTCTATTTGTATAGGTACAAAAAATGTAAAGTGAGAATGAAACATCATATTAAAGAAGAAATTGAAAGTTATGGAATAATTACCTTGCAAGATTTTTTGTGCACTTTCTTGAGCAACCGTCAGAGCAGTGTAGCCTTGTAATGAAACTATACTAGTATCCACATTGAATGAAAGAAGGATCTGACACCCTTGAACGTTATCTTCACGCGCACAGCGATGCAAAGCTGAAAGTTCAGAAAGTTCTCTAAATATTTTGCAGATTACAGAAAAATTAAAGCAGTTTATTTGTAGAGCTCAATGATGATTTAGATGCAATAGATGTTTAAAAAACCAAGAAAAAGTAATCAAAGAAAAAATTTGATAAAATCAATGCAATAAATTGGGTAGAATTTCATGCGTATTCACTAATCAAATCAAGAAGGAAAAAGATGACAGGTAAAATATAGGCTCACCAGTTTGTCCAAGAGCATCCAGTGCATTGACTTTGGCTCCTAACCTAAGCAGTGCCTCCATGATATCAAAATGAGACATATCAGCGGCGACATGGAGAGGAGTCAAGAAGTCCTTGTTCTTTTCATTTAACTGTGCACCTTTTCTGATTAACAATTCAACTACTTGCTTGCGTTTGGGATAGCAAGACATCACAGCACGATGCTGAAAAAGACAAGGATAAATTCAGTGGTGTCAGCGAAGTCAAAACGTTTGATACGGAGAATGTTCTGACTAAACTTAAACAACAATAAAATGTTGATGCACCAGAAAAAAATTTGGTTGTAATACAAATTCATTGTGATTAACAAAGACATCAATCTGTTTTTGTGAAATTTGCAGAACATTAAAAAACTCTTAGAACGTTTGTAAAATTTACAGAACCTTTGAATAACTTGCAAAATGATAGTAAATTAAAGAAGGTATTCTATCCTCACTACAGCTTGAATTTTACATGACACTTTTCAAATCATTACTATACGCTCTCTGACTCCTTAAACTTTTATGTTATGTCATGGTTCTTTCTGGCGTTCTACCAGGCCTATTTTCGTTTTTTTCCATTTTTCAGTCCCTACTAAGAGATATTTACTCAAACCATCCCTTATTAGCATACACAGGATCATAATGAATGAAATATCATGATCATTTAAACTATCACGAGATTATACTTACAAGAGGTGTATTCCCCGTATAGGGATGTTTAAAATTGACTAAATCTACGGAGATATATTTTTTCACTCTGGAGATGTCAGCTTGAAAGCAGGCGTCCAGCAGGCAGTGTCCTTTAAATTCAGCTGGAAAAAGAATTCAAAATGATTAGTAATGAAATAAGCGACTTGCGAAATTCTGAACATGGCTGGATGGGTGATTTTTCATAATCTAAGGAGAAAAAAAGAAATCAGTTTTGAATGATTATAAAAATCTGTGCTTTCAGCTTCCTGACTCAGTATTCAGGACATCATTTTATTTTAACTGACTCAATACCCGATTATTAACAGTGCTCCATTTATCATTTCGAAATTACAATTTTTAAAGTTTTTGACAGCATACTGAGCAAAAATTTTGGATACAAATTACTTAAGCGGATGGGACAGGCAAAATTTTTAACGATGCACATTGCATACAATACATCTAACTAGAGACTGGGTCACTTTCACTTGTCTCAGAGTCAGATTTTGATGACTGAATCAAAACAGGAGTAGTAAACGATGAGAATTGTCCAAATAATAAGTTTCTATGATATTTGAGAAAATAGTGTCTCATAGTGCACCCTGCGCAGAGTGTCACGACACCCTTTGCACAGAGTGGCTAGGAAAATTTAATTTTATCATTCCCTGACTTTTTTAAGATAACATAAGGACACTTAATTGATGTGGTAAAAACCTAGGCACAATAGTGCGATCAGCTGGCCCATCGCGGACCCGATTGTTACGTAGAACCTGGCTCCCAAAAAATTCCTTGACCGTTGAAGAAATTCCCTGATTTTTCCCAGTAGAGTTCCATTCCCTGACTTTTCCCGGTTTTCTTGTTTGCTAGCCAGCCTGTCTGTGGTAGTACACATAAGTAATAATTTTTTCTATCCTGGTATTGTCAGTGATGGACGTGAACAAACCAGTTCAGTTACACACAATAATCATTAAAAAATCCAAGGTGGAAGAAAAAGCTGTACACACTAACGCAGTAGATAGCAGAAATTACTATTTTTTGAAGGGTACAACATCTGTTAATATTAGACAAAGGAACTTGATGTCAGCCGAAAAGGTATTGTTTTAAGGGCTTTTCTTTTTTATCGCGGAACAGGGTGGATCGTAGTGGAACGCACCGGATTGGAATCCTGAGCGATGCGGATCGATCCAAAGTGTTCCAAGTGATAAAAAATCCAAACTTGGAATATGGCTTGATTTGTTATTGTTTTGATTTGTTGGAGACGGCAAGTTCCTTGCATTAGGTTAGGATCATATTGGATCACGAGCTCGCCCCACCTCGGAGGAGCGATCCAACTTTCCACCCTGATCCACTTGGAACGCTTGGATCACGGCTGAGGAACAAAATAAAAAAATACCGATGTTCATCACAATCCACCGCGTTCCACTGCGATCCTCATAAAAAAGAAGCCCTTTAGATACTCAAGAGGGCTCAACTATCAAAACATAATTCTGTGACAAAGGCTGTTGACCCATTACCATGTTTTGATTAGAAAAATAAGTCCCTTACTTGATAGTTTTTCTTGAAGCTCTTTGGTGGGTGCAACGTCTATTGCAGATTTAGAGTGGCAGTTGAGAAGCGTTGGGTCAGCCCCTTCACTGAGAAGCAACGAGCAGACTTCAACACGGGACTTCGAGGCAGCTTCATGGAGGGGTGTGAATTGCCATAGATCCATAGCGTTGACGTTTGCTCCGTGCTTGATCAACATCTCGGTCACCTCAAAGTGGCCATATGAACACGCATTGTGAAGAGGAACCAGACCACTGGAAGACACAATTGGAAAGGTTAGTCGATAAGAAAAACATGTCGCTCACTTTGCAGATTAGTTTTAATATATTACTTGGTAGCAGAAAAATAATGACCAAAACTATTGCAAAAAAAATTAAGCCATAACTTTTGCCTAATCAAGAAAATTTTCAAAATAATTCCCACAAATATAAAGGTCACTTAAGATACATCAATACACGTATATGAATGAAAATTTTGAAAAATTGCACACTTAAAATGAGTTCTCCTTGATAGAGTGCGTTGTGGTTTCATCTATAAAAGATAAATAAAAATAATGTTCGTTTTTTTTTTTTTCTGACTTAGGGACTAAATCAGTACTAATGGACTATTTCAATTGATGCCTGGTAACACTCTCTTAAAAAATTTAGTGGGAGGAGAAATTATGGTGAACCACAATCATGACAAACGTTTTAATGATTTCCCCATCAACTTGCTCTTTAACTAGAGTGAATAAAGGGAAAATAGACAGACACACATACGAAAAAAGAAAAAAAATACAACAACAAAGTTAGAAAATCTTATTAGATAGGAAAAACGTAGCAATCAAGAGTAGATGAGAGAATTCAATGAAGAATAATGATAAATTTCATAAAAATTATGATTTATTTTATAGATTAGAGAAGAATTATTTGATAAATTAGCTGATTGCAACTGATAATTTTGGCTTGTATCTGAATCAGCGCTTACTTTTAAAATGGGCGGCATTTCATCTTTCAAAATCTTTTTTTTTTTTGTGTTTTTGCACTCTTAAACAGTCCTCACAGTATTATCCAAGAAAGCAGCGGTAGTCCACTTCTTGGAACGCAAGTGACAGACACATGAGAACACAAATGTAACGTAAAAAGAGCTTCAAAATGAAAAAACAAAAGAAGTTTAAAAAATTGGATTTCCGCCCTTAATAAAAGTACAGATTCACTTCAGAAAAACACCCTCAAACAGAGATATTAATGATGATAATTGGGTCTGAAAACTGGAAGGCCTACTAGCAATTCTTCCTTGTGAAGCTAGTTTGTGAGGATTGTTTTTATTCCATTTCTTTCTGTAGTTTAGTTTCTATAAAAGGTCAGAATTATTTACCCTTTATCTTTGGCATGGACATCCGCTCCATGCTGGAGAAGTAGTTGAACAACACGCCCGCGATTGTATCCAGCTGCTAGATGAAGAGGGGTCGACCGGCGACCGTCACTTGCATGACAGTTAACGTTCAGAGGATTCAGTAAACTAAGCAGCCTGTTAAAACAAAAACAGTATATTAATAATAATAAAAATACAAACTCAATCAGAACATAATGAGCAATACGTTTGGCAAACAAGTTAATTTTGGGTAACCTTGTTGGGCACAGTGCTGAATTTGTGGATCTAAAGACAGCAAGAAAGGGAGATGACTAAAGTTGCACACAAGCAAATAATAAGACTCTAAAAATGAAAGTTCCCATAATTGTGAGGATTTTAGAGGGAGATCTGTTTCTCCCATGACACAGGTAAAAACTCCGATTTTGAGTTCAAGTACTTTGATTTTTTGAGAATTTTTGCCGTGTGTTGCTGCCTAGGAAAAAATGTTTGATCTATGAGGTAGTCAAAGCTAGTCAAAGTTGTTACCATATCAAAGCTAAATGAAGAAATAGGATTAATTATACTTCATAGGCAACTAAAAGACAGTTAAAGAGACGTAAAACCAACCTATCTTCTGCTCCAGATCGAGAAGCTTCCAGTAAGTCCTCTTTACGATACTCGCCACTTAATACAGCTCTTGTGCCTGCTTCAGCTAAATCTAACGCTGTTTTCCCTTCTGTGTTTCTAATACTTGTGTCTGCACCATGTTGTAGCAATGCTGGAAAAATATCACAATATATTTAAACTCGAGTCTTCAAATTTACAGTTTACACTGATTTCTTCTTCTCTTTTTTTCAAATGCTGATTAACACTACCATTACACAGTTGTGAAAATGATTTGTTGAGTCCATAAGAAATGTTAAAATATTGATCTCTTATATTTTCAACAAAATAGAAATAAGAGAACAGTGCCTATAAATTTACTGAAGGGTGCAGAAACCTTCAACAGTACAATTGGGACCACATGGAAAAATCGGATATCTGTGAAAAAGGAGAAGGCGTGCTTCTGTAAGCTTCAAAATTAAGTGTTCTTCAGAAAAATGCAAAATTTGTAAGTAAACAGAGTAAAAAAGAAAAAAACCCGACATTTTCAGGGACACTTTTGAGGAGCTTAGGCATTTTTATCAAGCCTACAAAATATTTTAAATTACTTTGTCTCATGCGCACCATTGATACAGCGAGCGACAGACATTACGACAATATTCTGCATCCAAGGGTAAATTTCTTAGACTTAGGGTACAATCAAATGGAAAAAAAAAGTTGAAATAAAGTCTCATACTTTCAAGAGTTAGGAATAAACTAAAGAGTTGGAATTACACTCCTAAATGAAAAAATAACTAAATCTACAAAGCCATGAGCGGACAAAAGCTATTGATCTTACCGATGCAAACTTCTACTTTTCCTTTGATGGCTGCTTCATGCAATGGGGTGTAATTCCAATTGTCTCGTGTATTAGCATTGGCTCCGCCTTCAAGAAGTACTCGGACTACATCTGCATGCCCGAATGAGCAGGCATTATGCAAAGGGTGGAGTCCTCCATCATCGCGTGCTTGGATTGATGCACCTGCAGCTATCAAGTATTCCACTACCTCACGACGGCCATAACCTGTGAATTGTAAATGAAAAATTCCCATTAAAACAATATTTTTTATCATTATCAGGACGTATTTCTGCCAAACTGAACTATATGCATTATGACGTGAGCCCTGTCATGCACATATTCTTAAGGGTCTCAGGGCTCATGTCTTAATGCACACAGTTCCGTTTGATAGAAATACGTCCATCTATCTATCTATCTATCTATCTAATAAGAATGTTTAGAGAGGTTTTTTTTCTCTAACTCTCCCAGTTACACATTTACTTATGATTTCCACAAATAATACTAGCAGGTAACAGTAGCAGGTTGATCTTTTTGATTACTACTACACAATATTCATCCCATTGAAATCACTCTTTCTCATTCCAAAGAAAACTTTGTATTAGTGTGTGATGGGTAACCTTCAGGGTATGTAAAACTACACAAGCCATTTCTTCTTACAATGTGGTACAAAGTTTTAGTCAAATGCTACAGTAGGTGACCCTTGGTATTGTAAAAGCAGAGCTCTAAAATACCAAAATAACACTCTTTCATTATAGGAGCAATTCACGATCCTTTGAATTTCTGTATTTCTGGAAGGTTGTTCACTAGTCAACAAAAACGTTTCGTTGAACTGATCGAGAACACTAAGTTCAAAACTGATCCACTGATTCTAACAAGACTGCTGATGGATCAAATAAAAAACTGTGGTTAAACCTATCAGTGTACTAAATGGAAAAAGGGAATGAGAAGAGATTGCCTATTTCACTAAACTTGCTTCGAGTACATACTGCCTAGTAGTTTTGATTCAACTTAGTGTCTCTTATTGAGAATCAAGCTTTGCATGTCTTCTATTGTGCGTGAATGTATTTCCAAGTGAAGCGTCTGTAATGTTTGGAGGTTTCCTCGGACTGGCATCAACATTCTGGATTAGCGCTCTATAGGGTTTCAATGGTGAACCGTAGGCATGCACTGTATTATGAGTCAGCAGGAAACATAAAAGGAGTAATTCAGAGACAGGTATCCATAACTCTTGCTGTTGAGAAAAGATGCACACCTGGAAAACTGGACTCGGTGTTGCTAGTGAGTGCCAGCTCAGTGCATGACTACTATCGAAGCATTCTACTGCAGGTTCAAAAGGGGACATAGAATTTGCTGAAAATACTAAAGAGAAAAAGTCCTCCTTAACTTATTACTGATAAAGTCAAGTCAAGATACCTGCTGCGAAGTGGAGAGGGGTCGACTTGCGTCCAGCTGTGTCCCTCGCATTGACAGTCTGAGGGTTGACCAGCTTTTTCACTTTATTCAAATCTCCTGTTCTGCAAGCTTCGAACAACTCCCTGAGCGGATCCGAAATGGAGCTGGATGCAGGAGGCTCGCTGCAGGAAGTATAAACGGGTCTTCGATGGGTCATCTTGGGAAAAGTATTGCTTCATGTCACAGCACAGCTCACCAATTATACTGGGTCACAGATTTGGGAACGATCTCTGCACATTTTGCGGAGAGGAGGGAACTGCACGTACTCCGCGGTTCGTTTTAACTATTTGAGAACATTAAAGATGATTAAAATTTGCAAAACTATACCTAAATTTAAATGGACGATGGAGGATCCATAAGATCATAACAAACTGTGATGGGGAGAAAATCAGAGCTCACAGCGTTGCCAGGTCGACCATATACAAATTTTTCAAGTATTACCCCACTTATCTACGGTTTTGATCTACGGATAGCATTTATGATTATTTTCACCATCAAAGGTGAAAAACTACTTGCGGGTATCAATTTTTGAGCGAAAATATTATAGTTTTTTTCAATAAATGAACTATCTCTAAACTTTCAAACTTGTACAGCGCGGCAACGTTGATGGAGTTTTTTTTTATCAAAGTGTGTGATGGTGTGTGTTAACGGTGTGTTATGGAACTTATGGGGTGTGACTGTGTGAGTGAGGTGTGAAGTGTTATGATTTGATTTTATGGGCATTGGTGCAAATGAGTCATTAGTCATTATCAACCCCAACCACAATAATTTTAACCCTAGTATTTTATGAATTTTACTCCTATTTTCGTATTGATCACTCAGAGACTCATGTAGCATCCTGTATCATTTCTAGTTTGATAATCCAAGCGTAAACTCTTAGTGCAATGACTTCGTTGTGAGTTGGTTACGACACTTCTGCATTTCAACTTTTTGAATCATAAACCACAATGGTAAGCTCTAAAAGTGTTTTTATCTACTTCTTGTTATCATGTACACATTCTCTTATGATCAGCCAGTCAATTTTAAACTAAGGAAACTATCATCTCATTTCTTGCTGTAACTAACCTAGTAGTATTCTGCCATAAATGGATAATGGATCAATGGACCCAAGAGCTAGTAAGAACTACATGGAATTTTGATGGCAATTAAACAAGCCAATCGCCAACAATAGTTTCTGAAACCACTGGTAAGCTTTGAGTAGCTGATGCTGATCGCACCCTATGGTATATAGTCGAGTGGGAGCTTGTGATACCAGTTTCGATTTCCTCCGCTGATGCGACACGACAAAGCGGCAACATAGAGTCGATATCACTTCAATAATCGCCCCGCTGATCCCTGATGTACTCAGTTTTCCCTCTAATCATTACCAAATATATTGGGTCATAGTGTCAGTTTATATTCAAAGCACCTCAACACGTAATGGTTCTGCAGCAGTTTCTACTCGCGGACTTGACTCATTTGTGAACAATGTTTTGATGCAAGTAGGCATCTACTTCCCATAGGACCAAAAGCTGCTAAAAATTTAAAAATTGTGCAGTTTGCAAGCAATGGTGCCAATTTGCAATTTGCGAAAGATTCCACCTACCTAAAAGTATTCTGGGCATTTGGTTGATAGACTTTACAGTGATAACTACTGTCACTAATAATTTTGGTTTGTCTTGTTTTAGGCCTCAACTTTGAAACCTTATCTCACGGCTGTCAGGCATACCCTGTCTGCTGCTATATGCTTAGAAAATTTTTCATCTCAAGTCGTAGAAAGGCATAATAAACCTGAAGTAGAGGTCAGGTAAGTCACCTTGCCTTAATTTGTGTTATTTCCATTTTTAGTCTTAATGTATCTTTCAGGGACGAATGTTGTCAGTTTTCCCACATGGATTAAAGCACCTAAGATTGTAGCCTTAGAGCTCACACCTGTGAAACAAGTCCGTCAAAATATGTGGGAAGGTATCAGGCGTTATCAGCTCGAGTACAATGTAAAAGAAAAACTATTTTCTAATCATGAGAAGGTTGAAATGGTAAATTTCATTTCTAAAATATTGAACTTGTTTTTTAGTCGTCCACATTGATTTTTTCTCCTTTTTACAGAACGAGTAAAGAGCTGCTGTTAAATCCTGTTGTGATCAGTCGAAATGAAAAAGAAAAAGTTCTCATAGAGGGCTCTATCAACTCAGTCAGAATCAGCATCTCAGTCAAGCAAGCAGATGAAATAGAAAAAATTTTGTGCCACAAGTTCACTCGCTTCATGATGATGAGGGCTGAAAACTTTGTCGTCCTTCGACGGAAACCTGTTGAGGTAACAATTCATTTTTTTATCCATGTAATTTTCAATCATTCAGTAATTCGACGGCGTAAGTCCGCAATCACATATCTCAATTTGAGGTGTTTGAAAATCTCTGCCTCTATGTTATTTTTTTAAAAGAGATCAAATTGACATCATTCCTTGAAGTTTTTGCAGAATGTTCTTTGGACAGAGAAGAAAAATTATGGCAGTTTTAAAGAATTGCTGTTGAGTAGTTTTCCATTTATAAAATATAGTAAGTACGACAGAAAGTCTGCCATGTCGCAAACCAAGTTATGTGATTGCCGACTTACTCCATAGAATTGCTTTGAATGCCTCATTTAGGAAATAAATCTTCGCCTCTGATTAGCGGTAGCACTCTCTCTCTCACTCCACTTCTGTCCAGTCGGAATGAAACAAGAAAACACTTCAGACCCGCAGTGAAGGGAGAACTTTGTCGGAGAATGTTCAACATCATGACATAAGTCTCTATTTAAATTGAATATCTTTGCCTTTGATTTTTGAAGCCTCCCAATCAAGTAACAAAAGAGCTATTGGTTTTTTTTTCTTTGAAAGTTTGGATAACTTTGAGACTAGATATTATTTTCTGCATGATGACGGAAGCTGTGTCCAATCTTTCAGGTGTAACGCCCATGTTACAAGTGGAAGGATTTTGGTCTGTAGAGTTTTTCATTATTAGGGACTGGTTTTTTTTTTTTTTCATTTATGAAATAAGGGTTTTTTTAGGGACAGGCGTTTGAGACGCTGTTGGGACGGATGGGATCAGTCCTTGTGGGCTAATTTANGGGGGGGGGGGGGGATCTGATGCTTGAACAAGGAGGGCCTCTTTCAATTTGGATGTGGTTTTTGACAATGAACAGTCCTTGTACTGTTTAATTTTTTTTTTATCGTAGCAGAGCCTTGGTGCAATTGGCTCATAACATGTTTTACTTTCTTTTTTCAGGGATATGATATCAGTTTTCTCATTACAAATTTCCACACAGAACAAATGTTGAAGCACAAGCTGGTAGATTTTGTTTTACATTTTATGGAAGAAATTGACAAGGAAATCAGTGAAATGAAATTAGCTGTCAACGCTCGGGCTAGGATTTGTGCTGAAGAATTTTTGAAACGGGTAAGTTGTGTATTGATATTTCTTCACACTTAATGGAAGACAAATTGGATTTATTTCTATCAAGCGGAACCAAGCGCCAATTTGAGTTCCTTTTGAGGAATTTAGAATGCCGGATAGCGCGAGAGTATAGGAACGAATGAGCCTGACGCCCAGTTCTGCCGCCAATCCAAGCCCCCCTCTACCTTCCTGCATCAGCTATTTTTTAGATTAATTATTTTTCAATACATTAATACAGATTCGACTTGTTTCCTCTCAAAATGCGGTCTGTTCTCGGTAAATTCACAGTTTGTATCCTGTGTCATCTTTTCTTATAATTTTTGCTCTAGAAAGAATCATGTACTTAGCGGTTTTAAGGATTGACTTTAAAATATTGGAATAGTAAACAATCTTGGAATTTTCCGACCATGCCATTATTCGTAGCAAAGACCTGTTCGTAAAAAGGATCAAGGGGAAACTCCCTGTTGATCATTTCAATTTTTGCACCCCAAACTGAATCGGGTGTTTTTATTTGCCTGTTGATGCATATAATTAGTTCTAGGTACTGGAAATAATTATTAAGTTTGGTAAACACAATTTCCATTGGCATTGTTCAATTTTTAGAAGTAAGGTTAATTCAAATTTGTATTGTTTTTTTTTTCAGTTCTGAACTGTAACTAAATCGAAGCTGCCTCGTCCTATTGGATCTTTTATCATCAGCAGGCTTTGGTCTAAAGACCCATTTATCCCAAGTGGCCAATATTTGCAATTTTATAAAGAATGTTTTGTATTTATTAATTTAATTTTGATATTTATTTTATCTCCTTTTATGATTTTTTCTCATTTTCTTATTATAATATCTTTTGAAATTAAAAAGTTGTTCATTTACATTCACTCTATTCCTTGGATTGTCTCTCAGTGGATCATTTTCTAGATGGGTACAACTTTAAGTACAACCGTTTCATGACTTAAATAATGCTCTTTTCAAATGTTGATTTCAGTCATTAGGTCAGAGACTAAAAGGACTGGCTAAGAAATATCAAATAATATACCAACAAAGCATTCACTCAAGACATTGACAGTCAAAGTGTGAAACCCCGCACTCCTTTTGCAACACTGCAGACTTCCTGTTACACTTTATTTTTTCTTTGGAAAACTACTAGTCAAAGTAATCTCTCGAAAACATCCTTGATTTTCTTCTCTGACAGCAGAATATTCTGTTTAAGTTTCAAGCCATAAAGATGATTTCTTCAAAGAATAAAGTAGGTTTTGAAATATTGAAGTACTATAATGGAGATGAGTGGTTTCGCACTTTGGCCATGGATGTATTTGTAACTTACAGAATTTCTACACCTCTCAGATTTTGAGAAAAAAAACATGCACACCTCAGAACTTTTTCTCATCTCAGTAATTTATTTAATTTTTGTGTGGATATCCTCAAATATAAAAGAACAGAATTTGCTCTCATCTATTGCTGATTTCCAAAAGAGATTAAATTATACTTTTCTCTAAAATTTATAGTACAATTTTTTCAGTTTTTGTGTAATTTTAGACCTCTTTCTAGTACCTCTTCAAAGAAGGCTGACGGGATGGTACCAGTATGACTGCTTCATGCATGTTTATAAAAGTGTGAAAAGTGTAGGTAGTACTTAGATGTTAAAATTTTGATCCTGTGCACTTCATATGAGAACTAATCTCTAGAAGTCTAGATCGTTTACAAACCTGTTAACTTAATAATCTGGCTCATCAGACTGTTCATTAAAATTAAATTCAAAGTTGAAAAATAAAACCATTCCTTTCCAGAAGAAAATAAATTGGAAATCTTAACGGTGGCTACAGTCACCAAACACCAGGGCCGGATCTAGGGGGGGGCAAGTGGGTGCACGTGCCCCGGGCGCCACTTCAGGGGGGGCGCCAAAATGGCAATGACTTTTTTTAGAAAGGAGGTGAGAGGGAGGGAGGGTGAGAAGGGGGGAAAAGGAGAGGGAGGTTACGAACATCGAAACAGGAATACATACATATGAGTCGCTTTTATAGCGATCTTCGGCGCTTTACCACGCCTAATCGCCACAAAGCTCGAAACAGGAATAACATTAGAAAAAAGGGACGAAATTTGTCAGTTTTCATATCTTCTGAAGAGCACCTGAAAGCTGAAGTCAAAGTCAGCACTGAGCATAAGGCGTCAAGATTAAAGGTATGGATTGAAAATTCCAATATTTTTAATGCACACGGAATCGTTAAATGCATTCCGATGGGTTAACGAGGCTAACTCGGGGGTGAAAAAGGCGCTAGATTTAAGGAAAGAACGAAATTAAAATAACAATGAGTGATGACTGTAAACTTAAACTATGAAAGAAGACGAGGCGCTACTTTAGGGGGGGGGCCAAAATGGCAATGACTTTTTTTGGAGAGAGTGAGAGAGGGAGGGGAGGGAGGGAGAGGAAGAAAAGATGTAGGTTCCGAAACAGGAATAACATTATAGAAAAAAGGGGCGAAATTTGTCAGTTTTCATATCTTCTAAGGAGCATGATTCTGTGACCAGCAGAACTAACCTATTGCAAGATTCCAGCGTTTAAAATTTTAGAATTTCTTTCGTGTAAGATTGACGGGAAAATTGAATCTATTTTTGGGAAAAGGGCTTTTTAAACGGCGAAGAGATGAATAAGTTGAATGATGACGATTTAAAAAGCATGCGAAAGATTTCGCCATGAAGTACGCGATGGACGTAGATCCCTATGAATTTGTCGAGGAAACAGAAGTCTTTCGGGTACAAGCCAGAGAGCTCTCTGGCAATCTTCAAAAATTAAGCCCTCTTAACCTTCTGAATTTAATTGCGAAAAATGACCAGAAAGATACGTTCCCAAATGTCGCGATCGCTTTGCGTATGTATTGCACTTTGCCGACAACCTCCGCTAGCTGTGAACGCAGTTTTAGTAAGTTAAAGCTCATCAAAAATTATTTGCGGTCGACCATGTCGCGGGAAAGATTGACAAATCTGGCCATTTTGTCAATCGAAAGTGTGGTTGCCTACACGGTTAATTTTGATTCCTTAATTGACATTTTTTCAGAAAAAAACCCTGGTAAAAATTGGCGATAGGAGCTGCGTTTCAAAATACCATAGGAGTTCTTATAGCCGACTAGAGAAGGCTATTGAAAATTATATAGCTGGCTGTAGAAAGCGGAGCAAATCATATAGCCGGGCAATACGAAGCTATAAAAAAGTATACAGTTGGGCTATAGTTCCTATCACCGGGCTTTACACTTTATCGCCTGGCTGTTGCTTCTTCGCCATCGATTATAAAAGGCTATAAGAAATTGTGTAGAAATTCGTGTGCTTTGGAAATCATTAAGTTTGATACGGAAGTACCTTTATATTTACGAAACACATACATATTATATTTTCCAGTGGCGTGGCGTGAAGGATCGATTATCGATATATCGCCATTTGAGGCTATGGTAAAGAATCGATTACTAAGGTGTTCGCTGCGAACGCCCTGATAATCGATCTTTTTTCATAGGTTTGGATGGCGAATCAATCGATATATCGCAAAGCACGCCACGCCTCTGATATTTTCCTTTAAAACATATTTTTTTTTCATCAATTAAAATGAGAATAGTCCATACAGAGTGTGCAAACATTTCAAAATCATGAGTTGAAAAACGCTGACTCCGCCAGATTAAATATTAGAGCCTAACACAAAGCGGAGCGGCGGCGACGCACTGGCGCCTACAAACCTAATAGGGATATTTCACGCATTGCGCAATGCGTGAGGTATCCCTGTTAGGTTTGTAGGCGCCAATGCGCGTTTTGCGCTCTCTGCCCGCCCGCCGCGCCGCAGCGTGCCACGGCGTCTGAAGCAACTATTTCACACCAGAGGTATTGCCCAGTATCACAGGAAATTGAAGGTTCTCCAACATATTAAGAATGACGGGCATCCTTCAAAAGTACGAAGCTTTCCTCGCAAAATAAATCAAGATACTACGGCACAAAAAGAGAGCGGTAGTCCAAAAACTAACTAAGTCCTATAGTATCCGTATTTAGTAACGTTTAGCATAAACTTTATCGTCTGGCTGTTGCTTAATCGCCATCGGCTATAAAAGGCTATAAGAAATTGTACAGCCGGCTACAGAAGCTATTGGAAATCTTACAGCCGGCTTTAGGTCTATAGTATTTTGGAACACACATTCTACTGCCAATTTTTACCAGGGAAGGCACGAAAAGTACAATTTTAAAACATGTTATTGGCACGTTCCACTAATGGGATTGATTAAAACCTACTTATCCTTTTCTTTCTCTTGTTTTTGTTGTACTCTGTTTAACAACTAACCCTCAAAAAAGCCTTTCCCTACGATACAATTTCACAGTTGAAAAAGCTTCCAGTGAATGAAGGGAGTAAGTGAGATTACTGAAAAATCAAAATACCTGTAGCGGTGATTTTGAACAAATCTCATCTCAAAATACCATTTTAAATAATTTTTTTTTGCTGCAAGACCCCACGTAACTTTTCAACATTAAAATCGTCTTTCTAAAAATCACAAAAATGTTACTTATACTTACCTCCTTCATTCGCTGGAGCTTCAACCTACCCTTTGGTACACCAAATATTCATTCATAAAATGTGAAGTGTAAGTACGTATCTGTCAGTGCTTCATAGAAAGCACACATGAAGAATGTATTGAGGAATGCGACTTCAAGTATACCGCTCTTTGAGACCTCAAAAATCAAACTTAAAAAAATCAGTTTTTCGCTAAAAACTACGGAAAACGGCCTTCTGGTACGCTGTAATTTTCAAAAATTTTCCGGGGGGGGACCCCCGAACCCCCCGCCTTCCTGGGGGGTATTCCATACCCCCCAGACCCCCCGGCGTGGGGGGCGCCAAAATCTGGGTTTGCACCCCCCTACGTGAAACGTATATCCGGCCCTGCCAAACACATGCCTCAGTTGCTGTGTTTCAAAATCTCCAAGTAGGTTTTATCTTTCTAAAGAAACCTTACTTGAAATAATTTAAGTAGTTGCCAGCAAAATGTGCTCAATTGAGGTATTTCCTCCTTTTCGTGTTCTTCTTTAAACAGGCATTTGTTCATGAAAGCTCTAGGTATCTGACTTCCTATAAAAAGACTCCAATTATCTTAGAAACGGGGAACTCATTACTTGGTTTTAAACAAGGGAAAAAACCTTTTCATACAGACAGGGCTGCAATTTTACTGAGTAAAAATACTTTCCCCGGTTCCAAGAAGTTAGAATATTAATTTATAATTTCATAGTTTTCCCACTTTTTTCTAAATTTTTTCTTTTATTTTTTAAATCAGTTATTATTGTAATCATTGCTGTTTCGTTCACTCACTGAGTCGCTACTTACCTACCTACTCATTATGGAATTTTTTAGAATTTTTTACAAGCAATTGAGCTCTCAAAACAGGACTGTCATCCACTCCAGTTATTTTCATGAAGATGAAGTTCTCGTGAAAAGACCAGCAACAACTCTTAAGAGATGTTTGAGCTGTCTTTAAACTAACGTTAAAATTGAATTCGTTTTCTTTCTTTTCATAAGTTCCATAATCCATAACTGATTTCGCTCCTTCAACTTGAGAGTATGCAATTGAGTACTCATATCTGCCCAATTGCCTACCGCATATTGATTGTGTTTCTGTCCGCTAGAGGTCGGGAGATTCAATTTATCCCGGTGTTTTGAGGTTAGACCACCACCCTATCACAAAAAATCACGTTTTTCAGAAATTTTTAAAGTTCTTTTGAGTTTTTCTTGAAACAAGACGTCACAATGGTAAGTGATTGCATTAATTATTTCAGGAAGTCACCATTCAATATCGAACTACGTTCAAGTTAACAATAAAACCATCTTGGCTTCCTTCATCACAATCCATTGTTTGATGGATGAGGTACATACTCACTGGACAAGATTCAAAGTATTTTTTCCGCCTAACTCTCCAAATAATTGAATTTTCAATGCTTTCAGTCCTCAATTTTCATGTTTTCTTCTGCGGTAAATTGAACTCGGGCCGAGTTCTGTCAATTTGACGGATGAGGACATAGTCTTTTCAGCCATGTGTCTCGTACGTTACTGCCCCCAATATCTCCAATGCCCGATCTTCCAATAATTTTCTCCCAATATCTCCGTCTTTCCCAAGAACGTTTGAACATTTCAAAGATTATCTACACGCTACTATACAGTCTAAATGTACTTCAATTATAACGGATCATGAATTTGACAGATTTTGTTGACAATGAAGCTCTGTCAAAGTGTGTGCATAGAATGCTCAAATCAAAGTCATGATCCAATGAGCTCAGAATCAATGAATTCATGCCATCATGTCCTGTGCATCAAGTCTTAACTTAATGAAGATTAGTTTATGTCATCAAAAGGCCCAGATTTTATTTTTTTTTTAGTTCACGGTTCTCCACTGACTGTACTATTGCCCTGTGCCGTGTACCCCTATCTGATTGATGCTTATGAATTTTATTTTATCCATCAGGCAGAGCTCTGTTGATGAATTACTGATGGTAATCGCATAGGTGAGAGTAGCCATTCAAAAATGGTTGGTTCAGGCAAGAATACTCTGAAGTAGCTAACAACATCACTGGTTACTCTCGTGGATTTTTCTTTACCGATCAATCGTACCTTATTCGCTGCCACTGGATCTGCAAACTCTTCAAGGAATTGTTCACAGAGCTTTCATCAATTCGTTAAGATGCTGCTTATGAATTTTCAATTGACTTATTCAAGTGTTCTTATCTGTGTATTTTTTAGTCCAAAGAAATCAGCCTGTAATGTCAGGAAATCTCTCCAATTTGTGGAAGTGACAGAAATGATTTCTGGCCCCTAAACTCTGAATTCATTTGAGCTGATTGCAGACCTCTGTCAAGGAAAAAGCCTGTTCCATCAAATTTCATGATAATAATCCTATACTTACTTTTCTCTTGCAGCAACCTCAAATAATTTTATTGAAAGAAGGGACAGAGAACTCTCAGGGCAAACCGCAGCTGATCTCTAACATCAATGCTTGCCAAGCAGTCATTGAGGCTGTCCGCACAACACTGGGTCCTCGTGGGATGGATAAATTAATTGTGGATGGTAACAACAAAGCAACTGTATCCAACGATGGAGCCACAATCCTGAAACTACTAGATGTCGTCCACCCAGCTGCCAAAACTATTGTCGACATCGCAAAATCTCAAGATGCCGAGGCAAGTATTGTTTATTCAAAGTATAATCTTATCCTGATTTCAAATTTTAACTCGTAAACTTTTTCAAAATGGATGATTGATGATGGAGGTGAAAACAGAACACGCATCCTCCTTTGAAACAAGTTTTATTCAAATTGCCTATATTTTAAGTTTTCTCAAAACCATTACCTGTATAAAGTCCTATGTCCTCACAGGATGCTTCAATTATTGCCAATGCTTGTTTACTCCATGTATCTGAGGAACTATCAAAGAAAAGTCAGCTTGTGTCATTCCTTGAGTTTTTAAAATGAAAAATCAAGGTGTCACAATTACTCACGCTTTTGAAGCAGAGAGTATTCTTTCAGCACTATCTTTCTCATTTTCTGGTTCTCGTTTCAGGTTGGAGATGGAACTACCACAGTTGTATTATTAGCCGGTGAATTTCTAAAAGCCGTCAAACCTTTCATTGAAGACGGGATGCACCCACACGTCATCATCAAAGCGTACAGAAAAGCGCTAAAGGAAGCTTTAGACTTACTTGATCAGTTGAATGTCAAGGTATACTATTATTTTTCACTCACTCTTTTATTCTGCGTTTTAACTTTCACTTTCAATTTCATTAATTTACTCATGAAAATATGATCAATTGAGAGATAATGATCTACTTTAGTGATTCAGTTTATCGCCATTTTGCTGTTTAAAACTGGGATTAGAGCCACCCCCGATCAAGACCCTTTTCAGCCTTTTTCCTTGAAACCTAGGACGTCATTGACATGTATCTAAAATGAAATCCAAGGATTAGCAAGACCGTAGTAAAAGTTTTACTTTGGGTTTTAATCTGATTTTGATGTTACAGTGCTGCATAGTCTACATTTTTTAGCATTGAAAAAGCTTTTACATGTGTGCAGTGAAAATGTCAATCTGCATTGCTGAAAAACAAAAACTAGCTTAAAACTTGTAAAAATTTTGAAGACAGCTTTTCTTAGTTTCACTCTAGCTTTATAGCCACAAAATCCTCTGGCTCTGGAAATAGAAGTCTCATTCCGTCACCCTCCGGCCAGAGTATCACAAGGACCATTCATGCTCAGACACTACGTTGCTGGACATCTCAATATTGTTTTAATTTTTTCTGAAATAGGTACTTTCATGAAAATTTAAGGGATCAATCTTGATGACAAAAAAAAAAATTAGGTAATATTTTTGAGTGATTCTGTTCCTTATTATTTCTGTAAGAAATTGGACAAGTTTGTGAGGTTCGACAACATAATGCGTAAGCATAAATGGTGCAGGCAATACTTTAGCCAAAAGGTGACCATTTGCAGAGGCTTTTCTTAAATCAAAGACATGAAAATGATGGGATTTTTTTAAGAAGGAAAAATAAAATCTCATTATGGACGAAGCCATGAGAGGTGCTCAACAAGCGCCCTAAACAGGGCTGTTGGAAAGGGGCAAACCGGCCGGCTGCATGTGCTCTGCTGTGTGCTGTGCGACATGAGTCCCGTGTGACTGACGGGTGCGGAGTGAGCCAAGAGATGAGCTCGCGGCTATGACAGTATTGAGCTACAGCTAATGAGCTGCACTGGTTGGTAGAGTGGTGGCTACCGGCCACATCATTATAATAGAAGCAAATGTTTATGTACGTTACTTATTATATTTTTTTTTTGCAGATCAAAGGTGATGAGTCAAATACGGCACATCACAGGACGTTGCTTGAAAATTGTGCTGCCACAGCCATGAGCTCCAAACTGATCCATCACCAAAAAGAATTCTTCTCCAAAATGGTCGTTGATGCAGTGCTTCATTTAGATGAACTGCTTCCCATTAATATGATTGGAATCAAGAAGGTTCAAGGAGGCGCTTTAGAGGTAAATTATTTATTCTTGGAAATGGGCCTGTTGCACACTTTTGCTGGAGCAATTAATAAGAGTTGCTCCTATCAGTAAATGTCTCAAAATTCAAGATGAGTGCATCAGCAAAGTTTGAAATGCACTACTAACTTAACAATCTGCGTAAGAAATTTGCGTTTTTTTGAGCTTCCCGCTTCAAAAACGTCACTACAGCAGAGGTGAACATTTCGTTAGAGGAGTCGTTCCATTCAATCCTTTCACAATTGCATACCCAATTTAGCCAATGCTTTCGTGCGCAATCTGGAACACAAGGTCAACCCTAGCGGATCCTTATCAACTTGAAGGAACCGTTATTGTAAACACACTGGGGTTTTAACAAACGGTTATTCTTTTCAAGCAGAGACACGGATACCTTATATTTTTTATTTAAACTCATTTGCAATTTGTCTATTCTCCTCATGAAAATTGTCAGGTTAGGGTTTTTGACTTTTGTAATGTTTAAGAAATCCACAAGATAGTCAGACCTCAATAGTGGAGAGAAATAAATAAAATTTTAGATTTAAATAACATTGAAGAATAATATTGAAGAATTTAATAATTTTTCAAATTTAAAGGGTCAAGCTTATTGAGGTTTTGAGTCATGGAAATCTGCAGTAGCAAAGACGTTTAAGTCCTCGAGGCTCTCAAGAAATCAAAATACAACTGACGAAACAACTAATTGACTTGAGAAGTGGGATTTTGTGCAGAAGTAGATTAGACGTTTATAGTTTTTTGGCCAATGTTTGCTAGGCCGAGGACTGGTTTTCATGACCTTTCCAAGCTTGGAAGCAGAAAATCAGGAGGCTGTGCTTCAATAAAAATAGGTCATACTAGACCCAAAACGCGCCTGCAGTTGCCTTTTTGATTTTTCTTAACTAGTGTCGCACCAAACAGCGTATATCTTTGAGCAAAGTTTTACTTGCATGAGTTTTTTCCTTTTACAATGAGAAATTCATTTTATAATTCAATTCTAACACATTTTGGCCAAAAAACTAACGGGTATCTAATTGGTAATTACATCCAACTGGAGTTGGACCTTGGTCAACTGCTTTAGTCGATAGAAATTATTGCAATTTTAGCATAAATTTTGAAATTAAAATATAAGTTTTGAAATTCAATCAATAAAGAAGTCAGTAATTCTAGCAAACTTTTTCATGGTGGCTTTGAGCTGCTTCAAGCTTTGAGTAAACTTCAAAGTTTCTTTGATTTACGAGGAACCTGATAGTTATTCTGTATTTATGTATTTCTCTGTATTTGTGTGTCAAAGATTCCAAATAACTTTCATCAGACTGAGTCAAAGATATAGTTTTCTATGCAGGTGGCATTTTGTGGAGGTACCTTTGGCATATTCTCTCATACTCAAAGTTTTCTCAAGCGTGTCAAAGAATTTAGTTTTCATTGTAATTTTTTGTTCTAGGACTCTTTCCTGGTTTCGGGTGTTGCTTTCAAGAAAACCTTTTCCTATGCCGGTTTTGAAATGCAGCCGAAAGTCTACAAAAACTGCAAAATTGCCCTCCTAAATATTGAATTGGAATTGAAAGCTGAAAGAGACAATGCTGAAGTACGCGTTGATAGTGTAGAAGTAAGTCTGTAACTATTTATCGTATTTTAAATATTTCTAACTTATCCTAAATTTAACTAACTTAGCTAAAATTTATTCCCTGAAAGTCTTACCAAAACTTTCAGGAAATAAATTTTACATAAGTTAAAGTAGTTTTGTTTATGTATTGTTTCTCGAAATTCATTTTTCAAACTAGCATTAATGTGAGGTTTTTCTTTGAAAGACTTTCAAGATTATTACTTGTGGATTTTCGTAAAGAAAGGGAAACTGATTAGTATGGAATCATCATTACAACTGTTAGTTCTGTCTTTGTTCGCCTGCTGGTTAGCCCCTCAAAACACTCTATTGCCAGTTAAATTAACATACAAAAATATGAAGTTTTAAAAATTGAGGCACTCTTATCCCTATTTAAAAGATCAAACACCTAAAAGTTCCAAAAAACTACATTTCTAGAGCTGTTTAAAGTTCAAAACTAATCAACACATTGTTGAAAGGGAATGAAGTGTTGAGCATATTCTGTTCTGTAACCTATGTCACATTGTTGATGTATATTTCTTTCATAGGCAAATCATCGGGCAGTTATCATTTTTTGTGGACGCTTTTGAGAATTTGAATTGATTGTTTCTCTTGTGATAGCAATATGAAATTATCGACCTCTACACCTTTTTTTTGCTCCCCTGTAAATTTTGGTACAAAAGTTGAGAATCTTTTCCTTTAGCTATTAAAAATAAGAAAAAAACCCTTTACAACAGCAAAATATGCTGCAGTCACTGAATCAAAGTTCTTCAATTCATTTGTTTTCCTTGTTTTGCTGTCCAGGAATACCAAAAAATTGTAGACGCAGAATGGCAAATCCTGTATGAAAAATTAGCCAAAATCCATGAAAGTGGAGCTCAAGTTGTTTTATCAAAACTGCCAATTGGAGATGTAGCTACTCAGTACTTTGCCGACAGGTATGTACCTTGACTATGTGCGGAACCACATATCTCTATCACAGTTTTTCAAAATTTCCTAATTCCATAAAATTCTATTTTGTCAAATTTTAAACTTCAAGCCATCCTTTAAACTCATGTTCTTCATAAATATCTTGATGTGATAATACTGTTTCCTCATTCTGTCTGTTTTTTTTTCCTATGTTTTAATGGAGCGCATGCTAGGTCTTGTGTGAATAACTAACTATTTCTATGCAGTATTTTGCGAGGTATGCTGTGATGCCACTAGTTTTGTTGAAATCCATCCCTAAGCTCACAAATAGCCTTTAAAGTTGAGAATTTATTAGCCACGAGTTTTTAGACTTAAAAAAGTTCACCACCGTAACTGATCAAAGATATACACTAAATCATGTGCACACTCACACGCAATCAGGTGCCATGACCATCAACCAAAAAGTACCTGCTCCTTTTTCTGAGCTTCACACAGCATTAAAGCCTCGCTCATGTACACTGTGAGTTCCCTCTACATGCAAAACCCCAACAACTACTGAAGTGGGTGCTCCCGTAATTTTCATCATTAATTCATTTATTTTTTTTCTTTTTTAAACTGTGTTGTCTGGGCTCCGATTACTACCAAAATTTTTGAACATATTTTTTTCAATGTTATTCAATTAAATTTTCCTTTTTCAGGGACATGTTCTGTGCCGGTAGAGTTCCAGAGCAGGATTTGACGCGAACAATGAAGGCCTGCGGTGGATCCATCATGACCACAGCCCATGACCTGAACGATTCAGTCCTTGGCCGCTGCGAACGTTTCGAGGAACGTCAAATTGGAGGTGAAAGGTTCAACCTGTTCACAGGCTGCCCCAACGCGAAAACCTGTACGCTCATCCTGAGGGGTGGAGCAGAGCAGTTCTTGGAAGAAACCGAAAGATCTCTCCATGATGCTATCATGATAGTCAGAAGGACTTTGAAAAGCGATGCTGTAGTTGCAGGTATGTATGTTTTGTACAAGTAAAGAGAATCCAAGAAATTCTGAATTTTTACTCGCTTGGTTGCGCCGAAAAGAATCCAGTTGAGTTTTTCATCAGAATTGACATTAAATAAAAGTAGTAATTTTCTACATGCTTTACTGACAGTCAAAGGTTTTTTAGCTGGTTTTCATGGTGTTTTTTTAATTTTTTGTCAGGTGGTGGTGCAGTTGAAATGGAACTAAGCAAACACCTACGCGCTTTTTCACGGACCATTGCAGGAAAGGAACAGCTAATAATTGGAGCCATGGCTAAAGCTCTGGAGGCCATCCCCCGCCAATTATGTGATAACGCAGGATTTGATGCAACCAATATTTTGAACAGGCTCAGGATGGAGCATGCAGATGGTAATTTCAACAAATTTTGTCTGTTGAGATGTACTGAGAGAAATTTTCTGCTCCCTTTGTAGTATCAAGAAAAAAAGAAAAAAAAATACTTCAGTTTAGAGCCAAAGAATCTTAACTACATTTTTACTGAGTTAAGATGTCAGGAGTGAACCTTATAAAACCTCAACCAAGCCATAGAGAAAAAAAAGGAGATGTTTGCATGAGGTTTGTTCACCCTGTGACGTAGGTTGGTACAACCTGGCCAGCAAAATCCGGAATTCGAAGTATGAAAAACAGACCATAATATCCCATTTTTTTGCTTAAATCAACTCATGATACATTTTCAAGCACTTGTTATAGAATGACTTTTTTCCATAAATTACATCATTTCCAAGAAAATCGATGATTAAAGTTGCTGTGCCGACCTACGCCATCAAAAACATTCCAAGATGCCCAAAATGCAAACACCTCCTTTTTTTTTCTCTATGCCACCAAGCACATCAAGAGGTGAATAATTTGACTTTTCAAATATGTTAGTTTCATTTCTTTAAATTATAGAATATGTATTACCAGTCATTTTCCTCAGTAGAGCCTCATGATTACCATAAGCTCTCTAATTCCCCAATATTTTTCATTATTTGTCCGAGATGTACCAAGAGATCTAGGTTGCTTTTCATGACTTCTTAGCTAAAAATTGAGATAACTATCTCTGCGGTAGCCTCCCACTTGAAATTTTTCCATTTTAACTCGTTTGTTTTATTGCCGCAAAGCTGCTCTCTAGTGGCGTGAACCAAGAGACCAGGGGGCACACCCTAAGAAAGACTTAGGGTCGTTTTCCTTAAACGTAAAGGCATCTCTAATCAATATTATGGCTTAAGGCTTAAGGAGACCTTAACATTTGAGGAACAACTATGAATACGACTCCTTTGCCAAGAGTTGAGGCTCCAGTATGAACCAAGGAGCCTCACTGACTGAAAGAAACTGAGAGATGATAAATTTTACCAAAAATTTTGGAAAACATTTCTGGGTTTTTCCCCCACATTTTATCTCTCATCACACTCTTCCTTTCGTTTTAGGTAACAAATGGTATGGAGTTGATGTTATGAATGAAGATGTCAGTGACAATTTCCAAGCTTGCATCTGGGAGCCAGCAATCATCAAGAAAAACGCCATGATCGCTGCAGTCGAAGCCGCCTGTTTAATCTTATCCGTTGATGAGACAATAAAAAGTCCCAAGTCACAAGGAGGAGGCCCACCAGGTGGTCCGATGGGCCGAGGTCGGGGCAGACCCATGTAAACAATCCCGGTTCACTTTTCCTTCATATATTTTTTACACACCAAGTTTCACAAATAACGATTGTGTGCATTTTTCACCTCTTAATCGTACTTTTTAAGCTGTTCAGTGCTATAATCACTGAAGTATTCACAGCTTCTGCTGTTCTTCTGCAAGTGCCGGGTCAGTTGTGTCAGAGATCATGCATGAAGTTGAGCAGTTTTGAATGAGTTACGTTAATTTTTTCTGCTTTGTTTTTTTACATCATGGCAAACTAACTTTAAGATAGAGCTTTATCCAATAAATAACTTTTTTATAATTAGGATTTTTTTTTTCTTTCATCCACCAACCATAAGCAGTTTTTTGTTTAAATCATGTTCGAAATAACTTAATTTAAAGTGGGTAAATATGAGAAACTGAAATTAGAAGCAGAAAAAAGGGTTGCGTTTTTTTAAATAAGACACACGACTTCCACAAAAAATATTAATTATAATTTCAAATATAGAAATGTATAATGAAGGTAAATATTTCTCACAGTTAACAAAAAATACACTTAATTAGAATTAGAAGAAAAATAAAATAAAAGAACTTTTCATTCATTAAGACAGTTCTCTACAAAGATTGACCCAACTATGGACATGATCTTGGAGACATTCAATTGTACGTTATGAAAAAAGAAATCTTTGAAAGAAGTGGTGAAGCCAATTCTTCATGGAAGTTGAGAACAAATGACTAAGCTTTGAATTTAAAGCCTACAAGTAAAACAAAATAGGAAAGCAACAATGCATCAGTAATTCAGCTTTAGGCGCCATCCTGAATGGATGCTAACTTCCACATTAGACACATTTGACGCAAATTAGTCTTCTATATTTCATGTTGTCTAATTTTCTCTCATGATTTATCTCTTGTAACATTAAACTAAACACCATAGCACCTTGAAATTCGTTGAACATCTCCAGAGTTCTGAAGAATATACTTAAAAAATTTCAAATCAGAATGTTGTTTTTCCTATTGAAAAAATATGACATGCAAGAAAATTAGGCAATTTTTGGTGGTGTTTGGCTGATTTAGATTAGATCCATCCACTTTTACAATGAGTCTCTGAGAAAAACTTGTCAAATGAATAAGAGCTATATTAGATCCCTCCCAATCAGTATGATTTTTTTATAATTAATTCAAACAACCTAATTATATTTTATGGCAGCGTCGTCTTAAGAAATATATCACATCGCCAAGTTCTGTTAAATACTTACTATAAATCAAGTCACAATTCTGACTGGTAGATCATGCTAGTTAAAAGAGAAAAGCACATTTGTATAAAAATAGAAAGTGTTCTGGAAGTCTCACTCCTCAGATGAGTTGTAGAAAATCAATAGCATGAAAGGAAAAACATCATAACGTCACTTTTGACCGTGGTCATACATCAAAGTTTCGGCAACCCTTTTGGCAACCATTGCCGGGCGGGTGAAGAACACCTCAAATCAAGCTGACCATGTCTGCTGCCTCTAAGAGGGTCAAATACAAATTCGTCCTCCGCAATAACAGGCTCTAAGGTGGGCTGAGGGTCCCTACGCTTGTCGAGGCTCATGATGATACCATCGATCATAAAAAGGGAACATTGCCCAATATCACCTAGTTAGTAGAAAGTTCAACTAACAGTAAGTTAAGTATTCTATATAAGAATTAAAAGTTTACAGACCTGCCTGCTTGGCGGGTTACAGGTAACTGATCCTGTGTTTACCTTCCTACAAGGAATTAAAACCTCAACAGATATGCAGGTTAAATGCCTGCTTCAGTACATGAGAGCATAGCACTATAAAAACATGTAAATGCAATGTTTTGTCATAATTGATAATAAATCAGTAAACTTCTAGTGGTTATTCTCAGTAGTTGAGAAAATCTGCGTGCGTCTGGAATATTTTATCACTGAAAAAAAAGAAAGAATTGGAAAATCTAAACCTCTTCTCTTCGCTACTAACCAACTTACACGTGACTTATAGAAAAGTTTAAAAAGTTTACATGAGTTGTGCGTTTTGTCATGCTTACCTCAAATGTATGGGGGTGGCACAAATTTTTAATCACTGAAAATTTTTTTGAAGGATCTCTAAAGTCGAATCCTTTCCAAATTGGCACCATGGTAAATAAAAAGCAATGAAACGCTCACAACCTACGTAAAGTCGATTTTTGAAGCAATGTCCCTCAAAAATGTAGAGGGGAAACGATTGAGAAAAAAATCTTACCGTTTATGCCGATGCTTAAACCAAATGAAAATAATTGATGAATGAAAAAAGAAAATCTCAATATAAAAATAAAATTCAAAATGCAGAGGAAAAGACCCATGAAAGTGGAGAGGGAACTCCAGAACAATAGAACCTGTCAAAATATTTCTGACTGACGGTTTTAACTGGTTAGAAGATGACAATCTTTCCCCCATCAAAATATGTACTTCTAGTTCAGATTTTTATTTGGACGCCTTCAAAATTTGAAGGAAATGCATTTTCACGAATTAAACAGTGTACGTCAAGTTTACGCAAGTTAATATTCAACTGGTTTAAGTGAACGAACGTGGTTGACCAAGGCGGATAAAGAATGGTGGTCGCATTTCGTACCCTCTGGACGTCACACGGTATCGGGTACATCGGGTACATGGGCCGGCCGAGGCCGGGGGAGTCGGCTCAACCTCGAATTGCATGGCAAAAACCGTACCTTCCTGACGTCACAGTGCTTCAAAATGGCCAAATCCGCTTTGGTGGTTGACCAGGTTCTATTGAGTTTATCCCTTCTGTACACTGGACACGGTGAAAACTTCACACAGGTAAACAAATACTTGAAACAGTCAATCTCAGGAAGACTGAAGCGCTAGAAATTAAAATACAAAAAAAACAAAACCATTCTGATCAATACTTTCCAAATGTCAGGGTCTAAAATATCAAAGCCCTTGAGTAATTAATGACGTTATTAATTAATCTAAGATTTTAAACTGGCCCATTAATGCAGCTTCTTCTGTTTTTCTCTTATTTTCATTTTTGACCCTCGGTCTTTTTGAGAATGATCGTTTCAACTATGCGTTTAGCTTTTAATTTAATAACTATTCTCTGAGTAACTTTAAATTGGTTACTTCTTAATTGAAGCAGTTCATGTTGAAACCTAGTTAAATCTTTTTCTGATAAGCTCTTTGGCCTCACTGTTGACATTTATGACAGCAGGACAGGACATTAAAAAATTGTATACTGCACGGCACAAAAAAGGCTATGCTTGGCCTTATCTTGTTACACAAGCCAGAATTGGTTTTAGCAATCAGGTTGATGAGGTCCAGAAGAACGCTTATATTCTGGAGTTTATCACATGCTCAGTTTCAACAGACGTTCTGAACTAAACCGTGCCGTTCTCCTCTGAAGATAAAGATCTGTGATTTGATTTTTTCAAACCCTGCTTTCAAAAACTTAAAATTAACACTTACTCCTAAAAGAAATTTGATATTTTTTAAAAAAAATTGGTGATGTTGACGTCTAATAGATTAAACAGTATTTTGAATGCTTTCTTTTAAGAAAGCTTCCACAAACATCAAGCTGGGTCCGCGGCAAAGAGTAACAAAAACATACGCCTGTATGTTTTGACAAAGCCTGTAAACTTAAAACTGATCAACGGTACGGTTCAAAACATAAAGCAACTGGTTTCTCATATGTAAAAAAAATTCACACTGACTAGAAAAGTTTTGACTCCCGAAAGTAAATCACTCCTTCACGATAAGCTGTCGGCCCAAAACAGGTTGTTGGAGTATAGAGCTGGACTGGTCAAAGGTGATAGGAGGTAGCACCATGATATGAAACCGATTACAAAGATAGCTGCTGTTATACTCCTGCGAGGCTCTGGCAGCGAAACGATTTCCATAATATCTGCGAGTCCCATAATGTTGCAGAAAACATGGGCTAGAAATGAAGGGACAAAATGACCGGTGCGGACGAACAAGTAGGCCGAATATGCACCAAATATTGTTGTATAGATGAACTGAAAAACTGCAAAAGATGAAAAACGAGTAATGGAATAAATTTTAAAGGCTGAGTTTAACACAAGGCTGTTAAAATCAAAACTACACATTTATTAAAAACTTCAGATTTAAGTATAGTCAATGGACCACTTAAAGAAGGTTTGGGAGAACACAAGAATAAAGTTTAGAAATAAAACTAGTTAAACTTATCATCTACTATGTTCAGAGCTTAAAATTTTTGGGTTGGAATGCAAATTTACACCTTTGGATGGCACAAAAATGAGGTACATAACTCACGACATATTTACAGGGATGGTGATTTTTAGCCAGTGTTTGGTATCAAAAACTCAAGCACTGACTTTTCATTCCGTTTAACAAAAGAGTTCCTACAAAAAAATTCATTGGCTCAAGCCAAAAAATGATTATCTCTGATTCCGACATAAATTTCCTCTCATGTTTTATTTTCTAAAAGGAAAACTAACGACTGTTTCCGTTGAAATTTTATGTGAGTTTTCTTCTTTTATTCTCAGGAAAGTCACATAAAATTGCAAGGAATTAGCTTTCCTTGGGGAAAATAAAATAAAATCGGAATTTTCAAACCTTTCAATGCTTCTTTGCATTTAGCCACCCATACCTACATGCAATAGAGCTTCTATTAATATAGATAGTCAATACTGAGTGATAACTCAAAATGATGCAGGTAACTCATTTTTTCTTTTACATAATTGCAAGACACTAAAATTTAATGATTTAAAAAAAATAAAAGTTGAATTAATACTCACAGGAAAACAAGAAAGCATGTTTAAAGTCAACTCCCGCCAAGACTCTCTCAGCTAAGCGGTTGAAATGAGCTGTAGAGTAAAGAAAAAGAAGATAAGAATGTGTCACATTTCATACTTTCATTTAAAACATTTTTCAAGATAAAAATACGGCCAATACAGAATTTGCAGGTAACTTAAATTTTGTGAATTTCATGTTTAATATGACACTGCTAGGAAAACTGAGTACGAGGATATCCTTGGTTCTAATCTGCTAAAATACATGTGTTTAAATGGAAAATGCCGCCAGATGACATCATTAAGCAGCAAATTTTGTCACTTTAAATCTACTTTTCTCCAATTTCCCATGTCCGAAAGAAATTATGAAAAATACTGCGAACTCAACTCATTAGGCACTCTCAGATGAAGCAATAAAATTTCCGTGTGCAAATTCTCCATTGTTGAAGATTTGAGAGAGCTATGTTACATCAAGATTCCATTTCCTGACGAATGAAAAATAGACAAAAATAACAGAGCTGAGCTTTAGAAATTCGTAAACTTGGACTATGAAATTTCACAAGGTCTTTGACTGAATTTGATCACCTCCTTCACGAAGACAAACAGAGTCGAAAGAGATCTTAAGACCAAAAGAATTGATTGGAAACTATTCCTTACCGGTTCCAAAAAAAAGCGGACAAATGAATACAGCAGCCATTGGCTTGAAACAAGTCAATAAAAGAGGTAACATGCATGCACGAAAAATAACTTCCTCTGACAGAGGTGCAACTATGTAGTTGCGTAACCATATCCAAATCTGTGGCTCAGAGAAGTCCCGACACTCTGGAAAAAAGAGGCAAAAAATTCAACATTAGAATGGAATATTCAAGACTTTCTTTTACATTAATATGATATGTTCAATTATTTTCCTTATCTGCAATAGAAAAAATAGTTTCATTGAAACCAAACCACCTAATATCGTTCAGAGGATACGTAAGCTACGACTCAAGAACCAGCAGATTCTAACAAAATCCGAGGACATTTAGCAGCAAAACAAAACATGTCCATCCCAAATATTTTCTCAGAGAATGAGAAAAAATAATTCAGTGATTATCATGAGGAACAATTGCCACTAATGCATGTATTTGGTGCTGTAAAATGAACAAACTATTGGAAAATCTTAGCAAAGAGTATGGCAAAAACGGACCATACAGAAAAAACCTCTTGATTGCAACACCTCTATTAACTATCATGTTTCATTTCAGTGGAACCACGTTGACATTAATACCGCTAGTAATGCAAACATCGAAAGCAAAACTGAAAAAATTAAAATGGCAATACAAAAGAAAGAAAATAATCGCAAAAAAGTTGGTTAGTAAGTAAGATTGATCGATGATGAAACTACGAAGCGGTAATTAAAAAATTCAGTTTACTTTTTATTTTTTTTTAGGAGAAAATCAACACGCTTGATACAGACTTTCTTGAGGATTTTTTTGTAGGCTGAAAAAGTATAGCATGAAGTTCTATGAATGAAATCTAGACGATTTTCTCGTAATATAAAAACAAGGAATGAAAAGAAATTATCATACTGTCTCAAATTATGAACCACATACATGTTTATCCAACTTTACAATTTATTTTATGATCCTTTCAGGGTTTAAGTAAGCTTAATGATATTTATGAGCCACACTTTCAGAGATATTTCAGTCTTACTAATAAAATACAAAACAATGAAAACTTCTCTAAAAATTCCTTAAAATCCTCCCCTGCATTCAGAAATCGACGGAATCTCCAAAAAAGGCTTCAATTATATCGACCCTCTGGGACCATTCATGAATACATCATGGTGATGTACGGAATTTCAAAATTTTCCTCCTCTCTCTCCTTGACCTGCACCTTTGATTCAGGTCATTGGCGCCCCCCTCCCCCCCTCCTCCCACACCGAGAGGATTACAAACTAATTTTCTAGATCTCCCCTTCTGTGCATTAAAAAATAAACTATAGATATTTTTGCCAAATATATCAAAAAGTTTTCACTTGTCACTTTGCATCATATTTTTCCCTTAGGCCATAACACATTACTGCCATGCTAAGGAAAAACGCCGAATGAGCCTCAAGGCGTTGCCAAATTTCCTCTGATAAAATACGAATTCATAGGGAAAATTGTGAAGATTTTTCTTCCAATTTTTGAGACCATTTTGTTCGTAGTTTAATCTAAAATAGGTATTTAAAAATTTTAAAGGAAAATATACATAAATTTCGTCAAAAATACATGTTTTATCCGAGGAAATTTGGCAACTCTCGAATGTTCATACAGCATTCTTCCTTAGCACGGCAGATTACTCAGGCCAATCCAGGAGTCTCGCACTTTCCGTACAACCCCTAGGATTCTTCCCCTTTTTCAGGATGATCCAGGATTCTGGATGATCTGGATGGTGTGAGACTTTTGGATCATCCTGTGTGGCTGGCCCATCTATTTTTGGAAAATTTCATTAGTATGAGTGAAGAGGTGTGTTGGGAAAGTAAAGTTTGCTCAATGTTTCATTTTCTTTCTTTCTTTTTTTTTTTTTTTTGACATGCAGAGAAATTAGAAGCTGTTAGTTTGATTCTTGGTAAACAAGTTTACAGAGAGAAAAATAAAACCAACCATCTGAATCTGACGGTAAACTTGCATTTGTAAAATTTGGTAAATTTGGATCTGTTTCACAACCATCCCATGACTGATCATTGCCAGTTTTACTCGATTTTTCTGGAGGTTAAACAGAAAAATTCAGAAAATTGAAGGATAACAGAATGCATTCAAAAACACTCGAAAAGTTAAAAAAAGTGGGAAATTAAAAATGCATGGAGAGGAGGGTGAGGAAGAGTTCAATTGCTTTTTGTGCTAAAAATTCCACTTAAAATTAGCAAAACAAATATCTCAATTCTCAACACGTAAGATAAGATAACATATTTTATATTTCAACAGAAAACTATGCAACATCATTCCTTAAAACTCCCAGGGCATGCCTGTATGTTTTTTCCCTTTTGTATGTATGGGCCATTCATAAAATACGTAAGGGTGAAAATTTGATTCCCCCCCTCCCTCCCCCCTTCTTTATGACCCGTGACACAGGTTCACACCCCTCTAAAAAAAATTGCAAACGGCCATATTATTTTGTGATGAAAAATTACAACCTTGTGTAGATTTTACATCTTATACTTCCAAAAAATCCACACTGCACACTCATTTTCAGCGTTACATATTACGCAGTTTTATACACTCTAATCCCTCGTGTGATACCTACACTTGTACTTAACACAGGCTCAGACTTCTTGGCTAGGTCCATCTAGCTTAAGTTCTAGTTTATCAAGTTCCATCCAAAAACACAATAAAGACAACAAAAAAATTTACTCTACATTACTGAAACTCTAAAAATACTGATAGAAATTCTGGAATATAACAAAAAATACCTGAGAAAATGTTTTTAAAGCCTCTAAAAGCTGCATCAGCTACTTGCCCCAAAAATAAAATCACAGTCAGTAACAAAGGTATGACTAGTGCTTGAATCAATCCTGGTAGTCGAAATCCCAGCAATTCTGGAATGCTATTCTGAAAATAGAAAATTGACATTATAAGAATTACAAAATCGATGCGACAAAAACCTATCACATCAAATATCAGTTGACCTTTCAAGATTGATTTGTGGAATGAGGATTTATTGAGGATTTATATATATAATATAATCTTATTGCTAAGTGATTCATCAGAATCTTTGAATGTACTCCTTACTAAAACTCTCCTAATTTTCACTTGTATCCATAAATTGAACAGGTACAAGTTGCTCGAAAACATACATTGATTCGAAATGTATCGATGGCCGAAGTCGAAAAATGCATACCCAACTCAGATTGCAATGTTGTAAGACTCTGCTCACGTTTTATTTTTTTAAAGGAAAGCTAACCAACAGTCTCCACTGAAATTTTTCGTGAGAATTCTATGCTCATTCTGAAAGACTAAAGAAAAATTGCAAGATTTTTTTTTATTTTTACAAAAAAATAATAAAACATAAGTACCTGGTTGGGACATTTTTAAAAGTTGCGATTTAGATAATTTTTTTACTTTTAACCACCTCTTCATCGAAGCAGACAAAAAAATGAATGGAAAGTTGAACCGAAAAAAATTTGATATAATAACCACTGCTGTGTGATATTGTCATAACACCAGGCATCAGTATTTGGGTATTTCTGTCAGATTCTGGTTAACGAAGATACAGCTTTCGGTAGAACTGGTTGGGAGAAATCGCTCTAATTCTTCGTCCAACTTTCCATTCAGTGGCATCATAGATTGGATGGAAAGTTAGACAGAAAGTTGAGAAAGAGGTCAGATTCAAGTTTTCATCTAACTTATCATCCAATTGTAGTGTTCTTATGACAGTAGGTACCACACAATTAAAATTTTCTTCCAACAATGGTGAAAGAAAAGTTGAATGAGAGGTTTGACCATCTGAATGAGGCATGAAAACCCCTAAAATTCGTTGTCCAACTCTCGGTTGCTTTTTTTTATAGGTGCTTTAAAGAGGCTCAATTGGTAGCAGAAAATATACCTCTACTACCTAGGATGAAAATTACTGGTATAGGTGACTCATTGAGTTGAAAAATTTAGAGTTGGAGGGTGCAGCAACTTACTTTCTGGAGAATTTCCTTTGGTAAAAATAACCACAGGAATACTGGTGAGATGAATGTCATAAAAAAACCGCTAAGGAACCTTTGCTTGATGACAGAAGGGTGGTTTCTGAAAATTTAGAGAGAGATAAGAGGAAGGTTTGATATATTTAAATGTAAACGTAGACACGATAGCAATGTGAAATCATCAAGTTTTGGACTTCTGTAGCCAGGAATGGATTTACTTATTTACTGCATGTGCTTTGCCATTTTAACTTCATCAGGGCTGGTTGACCATGTTGGATACTCTATTCATTTTTTACTAGATGACTATCAAACACAGGTAGGTAATCCGTCGGAATTTTAATTTTTAAAAAAAATTATGAGTGGGTACCTACTTTAAAAGCACAGAAAATTTGCAAAAATGCATTCAGTTTTCTAAATGTGAGAGAAGTGACAAGTTTCCTTACGGAGGATGAACATTTTACGAGAATTCTTGATTGAAATATAATTCTTCATGCCGGCATCATTAAGCATGCATTGGTGCAAAGATGGTCTCAGCGGCTGGCTGATGATCAAATGAATGAATGCCATGTGTGTGCTTTAAGCCATCATGCCTTTCAAACCTGCCAGCTGCACAGATTTAGCTGTGACTCTAGGACTGTAGCCTTACAATTACAATATATAAGTTGCTGATATTTCAATCTCATTCCGGCAAATGCATTCAAAATTGATCGTAGATCAAATAGGTAATAAGATTGCGTATACCAGATGTTCCATACAACTGTCATTACAATTCTTAGATGTGCATGGAAGCAGAATTCCAGTAATAACTGAAAACAGAGTCATTTTCACATTTAATGAGTTGATGTTGAATGACTCAAAAGTATTTTGAGTGGCAAAAGAGATAAGGGATCAATTAAAGATAATGATAAGGGCTTTATTTACAAAACACTGTTATCAGAGCAATTCATGTTGGCAGCGCTGCGCACCCATTACGTAGCGTGACAATCGATCTCGGGGCTGCGATTTCTAATCAATTTAATATTTCCCCAAGGGTACAGGGTAAAACTCTTGATTTAAAATTTAAAATTACCTGGAATGGGGAGACTTCCAAACGTACAAACTCCCTACAAACGTGGTGGCTAAAATTAAACATGCTAAAACAGATGAGATACAATTGGCACAGGGCAACGCGTCTCCGTCCATTCTTCAACTGAGGTCACGTGACTTTCCCGTGACGTATGATTGGCCTATCAATGTTTCTGTCTGCGGTCTCGAGAGAAAATGGCCACCGTAGTGTTTAGAATGATTTCTTTTGTTTGAAATTAAATTTTTGTAGTGCAATTATTAAGATGCCAAGTGCATCTATAGCAGCTACTCGTGCATATGCGAGGAGAACGCGCAGAAAAGGTGGAAACAGGATACCCGTCTCACGACCTGGTTCAGGTAAATCCAAATTGTCATCGCTCGTCGTCTAGGCGTATACCGAAATAGGAAATTCCGATGAAATTTCTCGTCCTATTCCGGCCCCTCGAACCTTCCTTCGCACTTATATCGAGCAAATTTCATTTCCTTGACTCTTCCAGCTTCGATTTCTCACTTCCATCATGCATTTTCTCCCAGAACTGTCAGGTATCAAGGGTCCATGATGGCTAGCTTTTCCTCAGAAAAACTCACAATGTAACCCTCATTAGTGCACTAGATAAGCACCAAGGTACCATTTATGAGTTGCACTCGTCGTTGGCAGTAATCCCAACAGTTCAATCTGCCTAATTCTTTACCGCATGTTCATAATTTCGTTGATTCCATCCTCAACTTTTGTATCACTCTTCAGTTCTATTGAAGTGTACCCTGTCAGTCACCTTTCCATTGTTTGGTTCTCCTGTCAGAATGCCTGAATGATAATGATCGGATACTTCTTAGACCTTACTCATTATGGATGTTTTAAGCCTACTTTACTCATCATTGTTCACTTCATTGTGATTTGGATCCTCCTATTTCCCACAACCTCTTTCTAGACTGAATAATTTTTTTTTGCTTCACCATCGACTATGAAACGTCTAACCCGGAATCCCTTCCATTCATGAAAGGTTCCTCATTTTTCATTCTACTCCTGTCATTTTTAATTGAGAGGAAAGGGTGCTGTCAAGCAGTGAATATAGGCAAACCAAACCAGCATTTCGCAAAGAAAAGTTCTAACCGTTTTATCAAGCTGATGATTACCAAGTCTGACTCTCCTTTTTTGTGTACGGCAGACATCAAACAGAAGTTGATCCTAAGCTCATGAAGCTTAATCTTCTCATTATACCAAGGAAGAAAGGTCAAAAAGTATATGCTAGTTGCCTCCCTGTCATTCTGAATTCGCATTGTTGAATTGGCCTCATTTGAAACTTGTCATTTGTGGCATGGATTTTTTTAGTCTCGTATCTTAGTCAGAGCTAGCAGCTGTAAATCGCACTGTTTCGCACCTGACATCGGTGTGTAGGATGGGCATCTAATTAGAATGGTTTCTCAATTTCTCCCTGTCTGACTATCTTCTTCTCTTGTTTAGTTTTACTATCTTTAGTGATTTCATAAAAGAGTTTTTGCCATCCAATTGCAATCAGGCATCTTCAGTTTACCGAAACATATTACATTACCATTTAAAATATAATGACTTCATAGTATCCTCTGATCTGGGCTGAATTTTAAGCTTCTGTTGTCAAAATCTACATTAGATATCTTAGGTTTAAAGTGGGCCAAGAGTGATGAAAACAAATAAGTATGTAGGCTTTGATAAAATTCTAGTGGAAATCTGTTATATTTTGTTAAAACCCTTAAATTGGTGCCTCACATCCGTTCTAAAGCATACTCTTCATGGACCAGTTCCAGCAGAAATAATTATAACTAATCGATTTATTTGGAAGTATCTTTTAACCCTCAAGCAAACCATGCTGTGCAGTAGCTTATTCAATAAGTTATACAACCGCCCTTTCTTGAGATTTTCTTATTTTTATTTTGTGGCTATGAAGGGAAGTTAAATCAAGCTGATAGTAAGCATGTGTGAAAATTGAAACTTATTTTGGTAGACATCTAGTATCATCTCCACATTGCCTAGTAGCTCAGCTGAATTTTAGTTCATAAATCTCTTTTTAATCAGTATGGCTCAGCTCTGCTGTGTCTCATCAATGGTTTTTATTTTAATATGCTCTTAAAATGGGAATGATTTTTGTCAACTACCAGGGTCTTGAGTTGCGGTAGTTTTAGTGCGCCAAAAAAAAAATCTAGGTGCGCATTATTCAATTTTTCATTCAGACTTTTATTTGCATGACATGTTAATGACTAAACTTGGAATCCTCTCGTTATATGGTGCTGCAGATTTCATGTCCTACTTTATTTTCAAATTGGAAATCCATCCAGCTTAAATTTTACAAATGAACAAGATTTCTTCCCTTGTATCCTACCAAAGTTTCAGGCATCAATATTGACTTGTTTCTCCTTGAATTGAGAAATGATGAGTGAAAATTTCCAATCGCGGTAATTCAGATATGTTGTTTCTGAAATACCAGCTCCTCTGCAACCAGAACTAAGTAATCATAGGATGAGAGGCCTAATTTCTGTTACTCCAATACTGAGTTGTGGACACCATCACACACAGAATTTTTATACCGACATTTTTTCCTAGGAAAATACCATAATTTCAAATCAAGAGAAGTTTCAGGAGCTATTGGCAGTTCGTAGTCTACATTTACAAAATGTAGTTTTGCGTTGCGACAGTTCAATTTTTTACCTAGCATTTTCCTATTTATGTCCAGAATGAGACTGACTGCCCTCTATTTGTACAAAATCGAATTAAACACCTTGTAAAATGTTCTCTAGCACACTGGAGAACGTTTTCAATGAAAACTTAAATACCAACCTTGAAACTGTCAAAAATCTACAGTCCTGGAACTGTCTTTGCAGAGTGCGGATGGTGACATCCAGAACTTTGGGACCTAACTGATTTTAACTGCCCACCTGTAGTAATACACAGTGTTAAAACTTAATTCTTCTATTGTTATTAATTATAATTTGTTCTCATGTTGATTTTTCAGAACCATGTGAGCCGCCTACGCCTGCTGTGGCCAGTGCAGGAGGAGTGGGTTTAACAGGTGCCTCAGCAGGACCGAGCACCTCTTACACGTCTCCGTACGATTTGCGGCGGAAGTCTCCGTCTCATCATCCCATCCTACCCTCTGCTGTTGTTCCTGGCTCGACCTCTAGTAGTTATATCTCAATGCTTCCTGCTCGCAAGCGACCAAGACGTTCTTGCTCTCTTTCTAATGAATCTACCGGTAAGAGCCTAACTAATTGCAACCGTTGTCTTTTAAATGTTGCTTTCTCTTCCTATAAGGATGTTAGTAATTTTCCTATCCTGTATCCTCACCATCATTTATTATATTCCTGATTCAAAGATTAACACTCAGGCAGTATTATAAATTCTCCAAGATTTAATACAGAAAAATAATGTGTCCCTTATTGTCCAACATAGCAAAGAAACATCTTAGCTGATATTTCTCTAAGCCTTGGTCAAATTTTACAAAAGATGAGTTTTCATTCCACTATCTAAGTATTTATGGATGCTTCAAATTGTTTTCACACCTATCTACATTGTGTGGATTCCATTCTTAAAAAAATTTCTTAAAAAAAGCAATAATTCAATGGAATTAGTGTTTCGAATACTTGCTCTGCACAAATTACTTTAATTTTGTAGTTCTTTGAGGTAATCATAAAAATCATGAATCCATCTCACCTCAGGTGGGTGCAAAATTCATTGAATTCTAAGATTATTAAATCAATCAAATTTATACCTTATCCCACAAAAGCAATCTAAAAGGAATTTCACTCTCAGTATACATTAAGAGAAAAATAAATCCAGCTTTCTGCAGAATAATGTAAACCCACTGCTGTTTTACAATTGCTGATGAGGTTTCATTCAACAAAAACATCACCAAAATTTTCAAGGGTGATCTCTGTTTGATGTGCAAGAATCACCAATACTTTTAAACATATGGTTTTGTTTCCTTGGACCATAGGCAATAGCATTAAATATTGAAGGTACTTGAAGAAATAAAAAAAAAACTTAAGTTATTCTAAAACAAAAGAGCTACAAATCTATGATCAGTCTGGATGATAATCGCCCAACTTTTTTCGCGTTTGTTTCTGTGAATATATGTGGAGCAATTTAGGCCCATGCCCAGCAAAGATTTCTTATTTCATCTCTTTCTCTTGCCCAGTTGATCTGATTTTTCTTCACTTTTAAAAGGATATACCAACTGAAGTCACTTTTGCAAAAATAATTCTTAGCATAGTGTGAGCTTGTGACTCTTAAAATCAATTTTTACTTCCTCTCTTCATGACAAGAGAGTTATCTTTAGTAACAATCATGCGTCAGTGTCTCTCACAAGCAATCACATATCTTATCTCTAAATTTTATTCAGTAGAAGTAGATGTTTGTTGTCAATTCCTCATAAGATCACCTGCTTGAGTTTAAATAGTTCAATCAAGAGATTACATGAGAATATTTCCTACTGAGCTATTATGAAAGAGTAGTTCCATGGGATGTCATTGTTTTTTTCCTACTTTTGGAGGATATGGAGGGATAAAATGGTCTATATTTTCCAGTATAGTACCATTATTTCTGGCTCTTTCTAGAAACAGCATTTGTGTCATTAGTTTCCCTATGTAGATAGGTACTTTTATTATGAGTCACAAATAGTAGTTCAAATTGCAAAATGTACTCCAAATCATCCCTACCATGATCGATAAATATTGAAAGTGTACCTTGCCAATACATGCTACCTTATTCATCCTAAGCTCACTTGTTTGCTCTGCTTTTTTCATATTTTTTCTCTTACAAACTGTGGTGTTTTATTCTGAAATTTTTTTAAATCAACGAAAACAAAATATTTTAGATTTTGTTGATTTAGCATGCCTCATTATTCTATTGATCATATTTGATCGAAGATTGGTTGAGACTAATTTTTAGTCATATTTTGTATTTTTTGTGCATGCATACGCACTAAATTTTTATCCAAGTGTGACTTAGTTCTGAGACTTTTTCCTTCTCTTCCTTATTCAAACACAAAAGTTAAAAAATTTTAACAAATTTTGAGGTATATGAGAACTTCAATAATAATATTAGAGTAAGAAGGGACCTCACTAAAATAGATATGCCCTTGGTGACAAAGATTTTTCTATCCACAACCATCAAGTTACTTACAGGATTATTTAGCATTATTACAGCAGGTTACAGGTTAGCATTACTACAGGATTCTAGGAACAGGAACAAATTTGAATTCACTTTTTTAATTCTACCTAATTCATTGCTTGGACGGAAAGCAAAAATTGACAAGCCTGAAAAAAAATTATCAAGAATGATCGAGAGATGGTCTTTTTTTTTTTTTTGCTTCAATTTTCAACCAGTTTAATTTAGTTGGCATTGAGCATTTAGATTTCATGAACTTATTAATAGAAGTCAAAATTTTCAGCCTGGAGCTTACTCCAAACACTCTTGAAAATCATGAGGCAATCACAATTATTTCATAAGGTGAAAGCTTTCTTACACCTCCCAAGGCAAAGGTTGTGAAGTGATGTTCATGAAAAATTGATATCCACAAGAAGTAGACGAAAAACTGTACAATAGAGGGTTATCATTGCCTTAGTATGTCAAATTTGACCAAGAAGTTGTCATCTCCTCTTACACTGTGAAATCAACCAGAAAATTGGCTTTAATGTTTGAACGAAACCAGCATTCAGTTCTGAAAATTTTTCAAGTCAAACCAGTTTCTCCTAATTTTAAATGAATTTCCTGATAGTAAGGCAGACAAGAAAAAATGGAAATTAGCAGGGATCCATTTTTAATAAATCCTCAGAATGATTTCCCAAGAAATTTTCACTTCATCATATTTTTCTTCCAACAAATGCAAAAGCTGGTTTGGGGGAAGAAAAGAAGCCTGGATAGGTATTATTAATTTGTTAAATTAAGTCTTGATGGTTAGTGACTTTAATAGGAAAAAAAACACTCCAAGCGAGCAGAAATTATACAGTTTACAGTTAAATAAACCAAATTTGGGAAGGAATATGGAATAAAACTGATTGGTTCTTATTGGCTTCTTAATTGAGGAACTAATTGAACACTGGTAAAAACTAGAAACTAAAGGTCAAAAACAACTCAATGACACCTGTCAACATGTTCTACCTACCTGGGTTAAGTCATAATAGAAAAATAAATCAGATTGGTCTCTAGAGGGAACCAACCCTGGTTTTAAATATTCTCATTAAAAAGGAACACGATTTTGCGGAAAGACAAAGAAAAGAAGCTGTTTCAAAATTTGAAAAACTTAGACTGTGTGATGGTGTCTGCGTAAGAGTGGCATAAAACTGATCGCTCTCACTTAAACTTTTGGTTGGTTGTGTGGGGACAAGACAAAAGTCCTTAAGTGTGGACGGAGTCCCACTGTTTAGCATCATAGTGTTATTATCAAATTTAGAAGAGCAGATGCAGGATAGTATCCACTGAGCTGTCAATTTAATTTTAAATACTCCCCATTGTAAATCCTGAATTAAAGCAAGAACAATTTGATTTCTGAGTCAGGCATTAATCAATGGGTCAGTTGCGACAAATGTAGGTCACCGAGTAGACTCTACTGGCCAAAAAACATAAAAGTCGAGTCAAGAGCATCAGATGTGTCTATGATCCACATCTTCTTGGGCATTATGTGCTGTCTGTATCGCATATTTTCAAGTGCAAATATTGTAATTTCAAGAATGCGTTTTACAAACTGCAAATTGAGCGGTAAGAAGTGAATTTTAGACATTTCTGCTATGTTGAGCAGGGTTTCTATGTGCTCTCAAAGACTTAAAAGTTGGCTCACTTGAATGCAACTCATGTGCTCAACAGATCCATTTAGATTGGATATTAAGGGCTCAAATCCAAAGGTGTAGAGTCTTTAAAAGCTTCCACATTTTTCTCATTAGCCTTCCACAAAATTTCTTACCAATTTCATAAAGGATTCTTCTTCTGTGTCCTCAATAACAAAACGAATATTTATTTAAAAATATACCCAAAATTAGGTCATATAATTAAATAGTTTAACACATAAGCTCCAATAGCGCCATTAGAGGCAGTATTTGTTGCCCCATCATTGGCTGAAATTAGGTAATCCCGGGTATAGACTAACAATGCATTCATTTGTGGACACAAAAGAAGGTGGTTCGAAGACTGAAGGGGATACTAAAGAAGCCTCTACCAAGATTTCGTCCAACTTTTGTATTACAACAATAACATTCAAAGTTTTTGAAGCAATCAGGGCAAATCCAGGCAATAGCCAGGCATCTAGTATCCCTTGTTAGCCAACCCTCTTAAAACTAGAACCACTAAGCTCAATAGTAAAGATCTCTTTCCTCTTTTTTACTTTGACTATCGAATTTTGATCCATCGAGATTCTCTCCTTTCACAACTTCACTTGCCTGCTTGTGCTCTTAATCGGGCATTTTCTGCTCAACACTAGGTTTTCTTCACTTCCAAAGAGACTTTTTTTTCTTGCAAGAAACAGGTGAACTGTACTCCTGGATGCCATAGATTCATAGATGCCTAGATAAAAAACATAATCCTAAAACAAATTGAGTTCTAAAATTTTGGCAATGCGTCTGAGTGCTCTTGTGCCTGAATGATGCATGTGTTTTTCAGATTAAAGCAAGTTTACCAATGTTAGTCATGTTTTGCGCTTATTTGTTATTGCTCATAAAATCTCAATTTTTTTATTTTTTCACAGGCTCTGGTACGATCAGAACTGCAGCACAATACCTCCAGTCGGACCTTCCCGATGAAGTACTCCTTACTATTTTCAGTTATCTTTTAGAACTCGATTTGTGTCGAGTAAGCCAAGTCTGTAAAAGATTCCACACAATAGCCAGTGATACAGAACTATGGTAGGTGGTTTTTCTCTTTTCTTTTAATTTAAACATTCATTCAAAGCATCAACTTCAATATAGTCTTTTTCTAGTGGCTGAGTGACTTAGGAGGCGGTTAATTCCTTTCAAATCAAAGCAAGTAGTACATCTTGTGCGTTCTACAAAAGATTCCTCTCTCAGATGGAAAATTCATCACAGCAATTCGTTGTATTCACTAATGGTGCATAAAGCAAAGAATGAAAAACTTGAAGTCATCAATGATTCCTTGATTTCCACCATCTACAAATGAACCTGTGACCTGTTATATCTCAATCATTAGTATTGCTACTTCTGATGCATTATAAATCGTAATGATCGCTAAAGTTCACGAATGGCCGATTCTGAGATATCATTTGACGCTCTTCAGTTCTAGAGCCATTTAATGATGAGTAGTACCCTACCATGTGACATCAGGCTAACAGTTAAAATAAAATCTCTTAAAAAGGATATTTTTAGTTGTTTTGATTTAAATTTCCTTAGCTTGGAAAAATTTAAACAAATGATTACCATTGTTTACAATTTCAACTTTTTCTTACCAGTTACTTTGTTAATCCCTCCTCCATCCCCCTTATTTCTGTTGAGCATCTTTCCAACTGCCATCTTTTTTGTTTTCAACGCAAAAAAATTTCCCACTATTTCAGTATTGGTGGTATCTGAATTCACGTCTGCAGTTTTATATTGAAAATCACCCTTATGCAGCACTCAAATATCTGAAATTTAAAGTGTTGTCAAGAGCCCTCCTTGTTTTCACCTTATAATTTTTCTTTAATGTGTGTCTAGGAAAACTCTGTATCATCGCGTCTACGAATATGATTTGCCATTATTTCATGTTGGACTGTGCCGTTTTGAATTCATACCACCAGAAGAGAGTGAACATGTGAACTCTTGGAAAGAAAGTTTTAGGCAACTGTATCGAGGTCTGCACGTGAGGCCAGGTCGCACTTCTTTGTTGCAAAGTGGCCGTCGATTACACTTCTTTAACACGATACAGAGTGCGCTGGATCATGCGGATGAAACAGCACATCCATCACCTATAATTTTTCTCCATACAGGCGTTTACCGAGGAGAATTCCTAGTTATCGACTCAGATGTTAACTTGATTGGTAAGTACAGGTTTTGTTAGTCATTGTAATCATGACATTACCATTATAATGAAGGAGGCTTTGACTGCCCCAAGGTGCATTGTAGAAGTAGATTTTTCAAAAGATCAGACGGATCTCAGCAGAACTTTTAAATTTTTTCGTAGAAACATGTAAATTATTTTATTATTTACTCAAACACTTATTATTTCTTTTAATTTCAATTACTTAGACTCAGTAATTCATTTTCATGCTCATTTGTGTAATTAAAAGTGGACCGAGTTTATCAGAAAGGAACCAACCCTCATTAAGTTGAATCTGATAAAAGAGTTTTGAAGTTTCATTTCTCCATGAGACTCGATGCAGAAAATAAACTTTAATCCCTCATTTCAAAAACTATTTTTCTTTGTTCGACGTATAGTTTTTGGCAGGAGAAAATCTGCGAATAGTGGAACTCAAAAACATTCTTAACTCAATTTTTTTGAAAATATGGGGTGGTTCCTTTCTGATAAACTCGGTCCGAGTAAATTCGACCAAAATCTTGCAATCTGAAATTAATTCTATAAACAATCACTGAACGATCTTTTCAATTTTTCTGATTATTTACACCGAAATATTGATGTCATCGATGAACTATTTCCTGTTCATTTTAGGAACAACTGTATGTGCTATTAGTTTCTAAATGCAGATTGATGTTTTGTTGGAGGAGCTAAAAATGTTTGAACGTCATTTCCAACAATTAGGCATTTTTTGTGTTGTGAAAGTATTTTGTTAGAACAATGAAGACTTTTGACCACTACTTTTAGACTGGGCCAAATGCATGTAAGTCAGATTGATCTCAAAGAGGCTCTTTGTAAAGTTGGCATGTGTAAAAAAAAATAGTGTCAACATTTTTGCGCCATGCATCATTGTACTTACTCATGCAAATCACCTTGAAGAAGGAGCCGCATCGAACTAATCGAGAAAACTTCCCTAAGAAAAATTGGATGGTGATACGAGATAGAAATTTTCATTCGCTGTTCTTGCTTGCCACAGGTGCGGCGTCAGGAAATGTCGCCGAGTCAGTCATCATCGAGCGTGAATCAGAATCAACTATCATGTTTGTTGAAGGCTCGAAAAACGCCTATGCGGGCCATCTAACTTTAAAATTTGCCCCAGATGGAACATCAAACACGCCACATCACAAACATTACTGTTTAGAAGTTGGTGACAATGCTAGTCCAACCATTGATCATTGTATCCTGCGTAGTTCTTCTGTTGGTAAGTCTTGAAGTCTCACTTTAAATTAGTTTCAATTGAAAGTTGAAAAATTTAGTTTAGTTGAAATACATACTAATTTTAAAGTATTCTCTAAGTCAGTCTAGTATACTGACCATTATTATTAGTGTTTCCAGCCTTTCAAAACAATTCAGAAAGTCTAATATTTCAGATTGAATGCTTAGTGCTAAGTCTTCTGGGCCCAAATTTTAGTGACAGTAAGCTTACCTTTATCACCAACTGGATACGAATTTTATGAAACCAGTTTTTCATTTCATAATGAACCACGAAACAAAAACTACCATTGTTAGCATCCTTTTTTTTTATGTTTATCTCAATTGAAGTTTTACAGACAATACAAGTGTTTTCTAAAAAAAAGCATAGCTAATGTAACATGTAGCTCATGTAAGCATAGCTCATGGTTCCTAGCTAAAGTTGGAAGTCATATTCAACTAATCTGCAGCTGTGCTCAGGGTCAGAATTCCGGCTCAGGCGTATGCCATAGCTTTTTATTTTCATTTTTAAAATGGACCGTTGGTCAAGAGAAGATTTGAAAGGTACTCAATACAATAAATCATTTCAAAGCTGCCGTCGAAGCATCTCCTCTTTTCTAAGTACTATCCCATTTTCAATAAAATATTAAGCCATCACTAATTTTGTTTGAATTGTGAACATTAACTGATCGATTTGTGTTAGTCCATTAGATTTTCAGTAAAAAACTTTATTCAGTACCTTGTCTTTAATTGCACCTCTATTTTTTTTCTACAGTTGGTGCTGCTGTCTGTGTAAGTGGAGTTGGCGCAAACCCCACAATAAAACATTGTGACATTAGTGATTGTGAAAATGTTGGCCTATTTATCACGGACTATGCTCAAGGAACGTATGAGGACAATGAAATCAGTCGAAATGCCCTGGCTGGAATTTGGGTCAAAAATTATGCAAACCCAATAATGAGGCGCAACCACATTCATCATGGACGTGATGTCGGAATTTTCACTTTCGACAATGGGATGGTTAGTATGTCCGAATATTTCTTATTACCTTACCACCAGTATAACTGAATCAGAATGATGCAATTATGTTTCAAGTAATTTTAAATCATTCGTCAAGAATAACATGGTTTTAACATTACATCTGAGACTCCATGCATAGGCCTGTTAGCAATCAGACTCCGCAAAGCTCAGTTTTATTTTAGCTCTATGAAAATGAAGTTGTTTACTTTACCTCTCATAGGAGAACAAATTTTAAAGAACCATTCAAGTGAGTATTTTCTCTAACAATTTTTGGTGCTGATACAGCACAAGTGCTATTTTACAATCTCTGTTTTTCTCAAGATGATGTATAACCTGGGACACAGACAATTTTTTGAATGACCTTGTGCTGAGTAGTATCTGATTGAGACAAACATTCTTTAAAGAAGGCACCATGCCACAGTCAGGGAATACCAGGAAATGTAAGAGTATTTAAAAATTCAGGGAAAACCTGGAAATTTTGGGGAAAAATAATTTTATTACTTTTATTTGCATACTAGAATGGGGATGACATTTCGAACAACTAGTTTTGTGTGAAGTTTATTTGAAAATTATGTCTTAAACCATCTGGCATTTCCTCAAATGTCAGGGAATTTCATTTTCTAAATTCTGTAGCACCTCTGAGGAGAGAAGCTAATTATCAAATGAGATTAGGCACTCTGAAAGTCATATACAGCTGAAGCCTCTATTCCAAGCCAAAGCCTGTCAACCCTTTTATTACCATGACCACAGCATGTGCGTACAGTGTAACCGCACTTTTCTGGCAAGGATTCTGTGTCGCTCAACAACCGCTAGTCAGAAGTATTCATATTTGTAGCTCTATCTGTCTTTATCAGCCTTATGCATTTCTTGCTTGGAGAATTCTTACATAAACATAAAACAAATCTTATCGATTCAGCAACTTCAAGAAAAAAAAACCTGCCATCTTCTCTGGGACAAATCTCGCTTTTTCCCTGTTTTTTCCTTCGTCCACTGTGGCATATCAACATCAATTTCTGCCCAAAGCAGTTTCCAAATTGTAATCCTCTCGTATAAGTTAAATTTGTCCCTTTCCTCAATCTTAAAATACAGATAGATTCCCTTCGCATTAAAGTATCAGTTACTAAGGTACTAATGGTGCTGAAAAAATAGCATTTTTCTTCATTTAAACTTTCATAGAATGTCCAAATTTAACCCTTTTTTTGAATCTTCTTAGTCTCTGAAATGTTGAACTACACTAGTTTTTTGACCACCTCTAATTGCGTGTTACAGGGTTTCTTTGAAGCAAACGATATTCACAACAACAGGATTGCAGGCTTTGAAGTAAAAGCCGGAGCAAACCCAACAGTAGTACACTGTGAGATCCACCATGGTCAAACGGGAGGCATCTACGTCCACGAAAACGGCTTGGGCCAGTTCATCGACAATCGCATTCATTCAAATAACTTTGCAGGAGTCTGGATCACCTCCAACAGCAACCCAACGATTAGGAGAAATGAAATTTATAATGGCCACCAAGGTGGTGTCTACATCTTCGGTGAAGGCAGAGGACTGATAGAACATAATAATATTTACGGTGAGTTTCAGACCTTCATGTACAACAGATGTGCAGCTATTACTGAACGGGTGGACATCGGTGAAAATTTATGTCAGCTGATGTTTTTTTTTTTTATTGAAATTTATGAAACCAGCTTAAAGGCAAGAAGGATACTTTACCACAAACATGGGATTTACTCTCCTTTTGTTTACATTTTTGGAAAAAGAAAGGTTAAAATATAAGCACGTAGTGAGAAACTTTCCTACTAAGTGTATTAGTATCATAATATCAGAAGTTATGCAAAGACAAAAAGTCCTGGGGAACTTACTGCATGTTGCAGTTCTAAATTTCCGATTCTTATCATTGAAGCAACTACTTTTCATGCATGCAATTTTACAGATGAAAAAGAGTGAGAATTTAACATCAAATTCACAGGGAAGATGAAGAAAGCAGATATGACTGTGTAAGATGACGCGAAAAACATAGGCTGTCATCCAAGTTGTCCTAAGGTAATTTTATTTTGTAAATTTGTATTGTTTCAGGTAACGCCCTAGCTGGCATCCAAATAAGAACCAATAGCGATCCAATTGTTCGCCACAACAAAATCCATCACGGCCAGCACGGTGGCATTTACGTTCACGAAAAAGGGCAAGGGCTAATAGAAGAAAATGAAGTGTATGCAAATACTTTAGCTGGAGTTTGGATCACGACTGGAAGCACGCCTGTATTGAGGCGAAATCGAATCCACTCTGGGAAACAAGTCGGTGTATACTTCTACGATAATGGCCATGGAAAGCTGGAAGACAATGATATCTTTAATCATTTGTACTCTGGCGTGCAAATTAGGTTTGTTGGCCTTTTTTTTGTTTTAAAGCATCTGTTGACGTGATTCTCATTTTGATTATTCTTAAATTTTTATTTCGAGTTAAGCTCTTTTAGTTTGCTGAGAAACAGTTTTCATACTGGGTTAGTTATACTATTCACGCATTCTTATTTTGATGGTTTATAGATCAATAAAAGTAGTAAAATCTGTCCTAATGTCAAGAGCTTCTATCTATTTTTAATTGAGATGAAGCCGTTTAAAAAACACAGCGTATGATGTCATCCATCCAAGTGGTGCATACTGTAGTTTCTTCCACCTTGGGTTTGATTTGAGCAACCAATAGAAATTTGTTTATTACTAATCCACTCCCCTGCCCAATATTAAGTGCCCAATAACCAAATGTGATGTTGTGGCTTGTTCCCATGAGAAATGCATTACATATAAATTTCTTGCTGCAATGTCCCGTAGGGTGTAGAAACTTGTTTGTGGGAATAACTCATCTGTGCGAATTGGTCTTAGTATTGACGATGGCAGTGGACGACGTTACACAGTATTGTTCGTAAAGTGATATCTCTGTTGATATTGGAGGTAGAAACTTGGCATCTAGAGGGGCTCAACAGTGTTTCACGGAGCAACACATTTACTTTTTTACCGTGCGTTCAAAATTTCTCTTGGAAATTGACTTAAACTAATATCAAACCATTTGATCTCCCAGAACCACACACTATGAAACCTTTGAAAACCTTAAAATTTTGAACAAGATTGCTGTTGGTGATAGCATTTCTCTGATCATTTGAAATTTTGTCATTATAATTGTTTTCTCTAACAATTTATGGGCCTTTTTTTTCAGGACTGGTAGTGATCCTGTGATACGAGGGAATAAAATTTGGGGAGGACAAAATGGAGGTGTTTTAGTGTATAATGGTGGTTTAGGACGTTTAGAACAAAATGAAATTTTTGATAACGCCATGGCTGGCGTTTGGATTAAGACTGACTCGAATCCTACATTGAAGCGTAACAAAATATTCGATGGAAGAGATGGTGGAATTTGTATATTTAATGGTGGTAGAGGTAAGTAACTTCTTTTGTCCATGTTTCAGCCGTAAAAATTATGAATAAAATAACCCGAATAATTTATAATTATTTTACTCAAATATGTCTGTTTTATTTTTTCACTCAGTTGTTTTGGATTTAATGAATGATCTGGTCGTTTGATGTACAGACGTATTCTAACTTAAAGTAAATGCGCTTATTCCTCTCGTACAAGATAATAGTAACTGTATTGTAAGAAAAAAAAAAAACATGAAATAGTTAAAAAGAAAGTTCAGTCTATTGTGCAACAATGTGATGTTGAACGGATTATTAAGATATTCACCTGAATATAAAAACGTATAAGTTTAGAAAGAAGAATTTGCAATCTCCAAGTTCTGATCTTTAGAATTTAATTTTGTGGAAGGTGTAGTTGGTATATTCTCATATAAATGAAGGTCCTTTTGCATTACTTTTCTAAGGTATAACCTTTTTCTGTCCAGTGTGTGCATTAAGATATAGCTTCAGTTATCATTTTTTTTCCACAGGAATTTTAGAAGAAAATGATATATTTCGCAATGCCCAAGCTGGCGTTTTAATTTCAACGCAAAGTCATCCAACATTACGTCGAAACCGAATTTTTGACGGTTTGGCTGCTGGCGTAGAAATAACAAACAACGCAACTGCAACACTCGAAAGTAATCAAATTTTCAACAACCGCTTTGGTGGTTTATGTTTAGCTTCAGGAGTTCAACCCATTGCGAGATGTGAGTATTCAAAATGCAATCATTTTACCCTTCAGAATCGGTACTTTTTCCATCAAATTTTCAAGGAAGTTTGAGAACCTAAATTAATTCGCACATCTTTAACTCATTGCTCTGCAAATTTTATACCTCATACATGTCCAGATTGAGTAATTAACAAGACCAATCCTCACAGGTCAGTCATTGTGCATCTTTTTGAAATCCACTCTCCCGCTCAGTCTAACTCGGCCGCACTCAGTGTGACGTCACATCAGATGCTCCCACAAGATAAACATTGCCAATAGCCAGTTCTAAGTCACTGCGCAGTAGAGTTTCAAAACTCCTTTTCAGGAATAACTGACCTATGGGGATTGGTCCTTGCAATTAATTTTTTCTAAATCAGCAACTTTGTCAGCTGAAGATACATTGAAAACTCGTTCAGTAGTATTGAACTTCCAATAAACATCAATCATTCTATGATCTCTGCTGGGAAATGGCCAAAAATTATGCTCAAGAGCTTCTATTATGGCTTGTTATACGACTGTGAAAATAACAAAATTATGAAATCAGCAAAAGTCACAAGAAAATTGAATTATTTTTTGTTATTAGGCACGTTAATATCTTTCTAAATTGAGCAATTTGCTGCCTAAAAATGGGGTTTAGTCGGTCTCAATACTCTTATGTACCTTCACCAATAATGTCATCTCTTACCAAAAAGGGTTGCCACAGTCAGGGAATATGGGGAAAAGGGAGAAATGCCAGGGAATCTTCAATAGTCAGGGAATAATTGTCGAGTCACCTTTTTAGTCGTGCGGCGAAGCCGTATAGACTCTAGGTTTCGCCGGAGGCTAAAAAGTGTCCACACTTTTAGGCTAAGTCCAAGAGGAGAATTTTCGAGGAACCAAGTAACATATGAAGTATTGATATCGGTGCATTTTGGCCCAATGGAGATGTTACATGTGCGAGGCATTTGCAATTTGACTGTTGATTCTTGTATAAAAGTTC